ATCTTAATCCAATTGAGAACCTCTGGTCGCTTCTGAAGGCTGAGATCTACAAGATACGACCAGATTTCATCGATATGAAGAACAATGAGACAACTAAGCAGATATTAGTGGAAACTGCGCAATTTGCATGGCAAAATATCGATATGAAGCACTTAGAGCACCTTTCTGAGACTATGCCTAACCGGGTACAAGTAATTATTGAATCGGTGTTACAGCCAGGCGAGTTGAGGTTCAAATCGGTGCATTCAACGAAGCAACTAAATCTAGAGAGGAAAGGGAGAAGAGAAGTTCTATCTTGCTAGAAGAGATTGCCTTTATAGGGCCCTTCTCTGGTAACTCCCGTCCGTCCTGGGAAGTTCCATGTTCGCACAAACACGCATTGACCAGTTCGATCAATCTCCTTAATCCTCTAAGCCCAGTCCTTAGTCTCCGAATCGTAACAGAAGGTATAGTATATAAAAGGAAGCTTAAGATATTACCTTTTAAAAGGTTTCTTGGATATGATATCTTTCATGAGAGAGACGAAGGTATTATATTCATAAACTAGTAAGTTTACCTCTCCGATTTAATCTCTAGCGAAGGTTTCACTAATTACTCGCCTTCTCTAATTCCGATAGACCCGTCTTAGAAAACTACCGACGAAGATACTAACGATAGCACTAATAAGCTAGACTACGCAAGAAAGATAGGTAAAGTTAGTTAGCTATCTATTAAAATACGACCTAACATCGCTATAACTATCTCTAAATTATAACGACGAACCGGTTCCCCACGAAAAGAAGATATCTATATATATAAAGATCTTCTCCGTTACCTCTCTATAATAATTAACCTTAGTATCCTATTTAGAAGAGATCCTACTAAAGGTCTCGAAGGTTTCGTTAATTCTTTATACGCCGATACCGAACATAGAAAATCTACCGAAGGATATATTTAGTTCTTTACGGGCGTACTAATTATATAGTCATCTCGAAGACAAGATATCGTCACTACTTCTTTAACCATAGCGGAATACTATATATTAAGCACCACTATTAAGGATAGTCTTCTACTAGCAAAGTTAGCGGGTGAATTAACCCTAATACCCCCATTAACCGAGGATGATTCGAATACCCCTTTACCATTGTATTACGATTCGGATAACGCTATCAAAACTGTCACTAATAGCAAACTAAGTAATAAAGTGTTATAGATTAGCACAAGATACTATTTAGTGCGCGACCTAGTTAAACGAAACTAAATTTTATTGATTAACATTACTAGTAAAGACAATCCTATAGATATTTTGACGAAATCTAAGCCGCGAGAGGTTTTCTAGGCCGACCGAGAAAGATTATTAATAATAAAAAGACCTCCGACTCTGAATTAATTTCTACTAGAAGTACATTTCATGTTAAATTGAAATTGTGGTGCATTTCCTTCCAATAAGATTAATAATTTTCATGACCTTATTTAAATGCGTTCTACCATTAATATATATAGAAAGATGTGTTTTTCTACGCTCTTTACACTCATATTGTTGTTATTTATTTATTACTAAAGACTAATTTTTTATGGGTATATTTATGGATTTTACAATCTCGCTAAATTACGATTTTCAAGTTGACATATCTAACTAAATTGATGTTTTTGATAACCTTCCTATCTTATTTCCTACTATTATTACATTTTAAGAGATATAGTTCCTTGTACTGTTTTACTTTATATTGTTATTACCAAGATTGTAGTTATAATTAGCTTGTACGAGATTGCTTTTGACATTTTTTATTGGCTTGGTCCTGCGGGGGATGTGATGACTCGACCCTATTGACCTCGACTACTCGGTCGTTTGGTTATGCGTCCTCCCGTTTACACCTGCATAGATTGCTCTGCAGGTTTGATGGTTCTTTCCAGGACCAGCGCTTCTTTGTCTTGTAGACCTATTTAGGTCTTTCTCTTCTTCCTTTTCTTCTTCTTCTCTAGATCTATCTTCATCATCATGTCTAGATAGAGACAATCGATTCAGATCTCCTTTTCCTGCTTCCTTGCGCTGGTGTCGATGACACCATCAGCGTTCATCGACAAGAAGGGCCCGTTGGACTTTACTGTGATTTCCCTCCCTATACACATGTGAACTCAAATTCTGCTTAGTATCCCCCTAATAATTCGCCACAGACTTTCCCAAATGTAATCAACAATAAATTGACCTTAACTTTGGTTACTCGCCATAGCATTAACCCGGCTAACACCCAGCCCAACCCGGAAGTCCCTATCACGACGAAAGAGATCCTTAACGAGGCCGTTAGCGCCGCCCGTGCTACATTCAAAATATGGTCCTAGACTACCTTCGAAGAGCGCAAGTCGGCCTTATTAGCTTATGCTGATGCTATCGACGCGAATGCTAATAGATTTACCAAGACATTGACTATGGAGCAAGGGAAGCCCCTGTCCCAGGCCGCAACAGAAGTAGGCCTAGCCAGTACGTAGATCCGCGGCACCACAACCCTTGAAATTCCCCAGAAAATCCTGGAGGAGACTGAAGAACTAAGAGTAATCCAGCGACACACTCCCCTAGATATCGTGGGAGCTATCGTACCCTAGAATTACCCCATTCTCCTGGCTATCGCAAAGGTCGGAGCGGCTCTTTTCACTAGTAACGTTATCATAATTAAGCCGTCGCCCTTTACCCCGTACTCCAATCTTAAATTGGCGGAGCTCGCCATCCGTTTCTTTCCGCTAGGTATGGTATAGGCACTCAGCGGAGATAACTCGCTCGGTCCGATGATTATAGAGCACCCTTTTATTAATAAGGTTTCCTTCACGGGCTCTATACCCACGGGTAAGCGCGTGATGGCTAGCTATGCGAAGACTCTGAAGCGGGTCACTTTAGAGCTAGGTAGAAATGATCCGGCGATTGTCTGTGAGGACGTAGACATTAACACGATCATCCCTAAGGTGGGAATTCCTTCCTCTATCCCATAAAAGTAAGGAAAGGCTTATCTTCCGTCTCCTAACCTACTTCCTTAGATCGGTATTTTGTTATACCTCTCTAGCGCTCAGATTTGTATAATGATCAAACGTCTTTATGTCCACGAGAATATCTACGACGAATTTTTGGAGAAAATGATCGCGTTTGTCAAAACCTTCAAAGTCGGTGAAGGCACAGAAAATGATGTTTTTATTGGTCCGATTCAGAACAAGATGTAGTTCGATAAAGCCAGGAGCCTGTTTAAGATAATTAAGACCGAGAACTTAAACGTGGTGCTCGGTGGGTCTATAGAGGCCTTAGAGGGATACTTTATACATTCTATAATTATTAACAACCTACCCGAGTTATCTCGGGTCGTATAAGAGGAGGCGTTTACTCCTATACTTCCCGTACTGAAATAGTCTGACGAGGCAGATATCATCGAAAAGGCTAACGCACTCGAGACGGGACTAGGCTCTTCTATCTAGAGCAGGGACTTTAAGCGTGCTACTCGCATTGCGAATCAGATATAATCGGGAACTGTTTAGGTGAACTCGCATTTTGATGTCTCCCTAACTGCTCTATTCGGAGGTCATAAGCAGAGTGGTATCGGTGTGGAATTCGGCGTCAGTGGGCTTTTGGGCTATTATAACTCCCAGACGCTGTGGCTAAAAAAGAACTTCTAATTTAAGGAGATTTGAACTGTACACTTTTAGTAGTATACGCTATCAGTAGTACAGAGCTTTTATTTAAATAAAATGCCATAATTTACTAAACTTATTATCCCGTATGAATGCCTATGCTTAGGGCTTCCGTGCAAATAATCCTTGAAATCAAATTTGCAAGCGCCGCGAGGAATAATACTAGCATATAGTAGGCCTATCTACTGTTACATTATGCTATAGGTATGAAAGATCAGGAATCAAGAGAGCCAGAAATTGGTACCCCCGTATTGACTCTAGCTCTGCGTACTTCGCTTTTATAATAAGTAACGACTAAAGTGCCGAACCAAACTTTTAAAATATACCAAGAACAGAATTAGCCTTAGGTAATTATATAATCAGTCTTTATTACACCTTGCGCCCTATTTTGATACATCTTCCAAAGGTTTACAACCCGCACGGCGTGGCAAAATTTGGGCCATGATAAATTCACGACTAGTAGAACGTTTGTTTTTACTGTGACGAGTGAGAAATACGACTTTCCCTTGGTATATGTATATTACGCGCTCCGTAATGGGCTATTAGTCTACTTAATGCCTACTAGCTCTTTTTTTGCGAGGCCTTGTGTAATGGCTGTCATCAGGATGCCGGCGATATATTCCAAAAGTTGCTCATAGTAGAGCATATACCGATTTACGGTATCTAGCTGCCACTTACCACGCGAATCAGACCTAGGCTAGATTTAGTAGCGGCCTGCTCTGCTAATAGGAGATACGGATCTCGAAGTTTGTTAGCAGGGTTGTGTACGAATAACTGATTGGGCCGGTTGTCAATAAATGAATCCTGAATAGCATCTAGATTAATGGTAGGGTAAGAATTGAACAACAGTACACTGCAGTTATATTCTGCTTATCGAGTGAAGTACTCTAAAAGGGAACGAAAGGCATAAAGTGTGATGGCGATGTTTTCTAAAGATACTGTATTTCCATCGGGGCTTCAATGCACGAAGGCAGATGGAGTATCGGGAAGTGAGTGCCTTGCCTTTGCTAAATAGCCGGAGATTCTAAAATTCTCCGAGAGGCGTCAAAGACCCCGGGAGCATACAGCGACACCTAACTGTTTTGAGCTAGGTAAAGTGATCGTCCAGGGGCCAGAAAGACCAGCCAAGATACGGATATTCCCTGCATAGCAGCATGTATTCCAAGAGGATAAGTCGCTGGATATACATCAATGCGGATAGATAGGCCGTGAAAAGGCCAGCTAGCAAAAAATACCCCCCGTTGGGACTGATATCAAGTATGCCACTAAAATATACTAGGATACTGGATTATAGCCGCCCATTTGCGAAAGTCTGAGTGATGAAGTTCGACGCTGTAAACGAGACTGTACAGATGGCTAACGAGACCGAGTCCAGGCTCGCAGGTTACTTCTTTTCAAAGGACCTCCGCGCAATCTGGGATGTTGCGAGACGACTTGAAGTTAGGATGGTTGGCTTTAATACTGCTAATATCAGAGCGGCTGAAGCGCCATTTTGCGGTATCAAGGAGTCTAGAGTCGGCAAGGAACGAAGCAAATATGACTTGGCTGAGTTCCAAATCATCAAGAACCTCACACTTGGTGGAATGTAGGTAGCAGTTATATATAGATACTGCTGCATGTCCAGATAACCCTTTATGTGCCAGTATTTGTTTGAATCCCTAATTTTCCTGTTCATGCGGAGTGCGTGAGTGACTATATTGATCCTTAGCCGTGCCGACCGACCATCCGCCTCTGAGTCTTCGCTGGCAGGAGGACTTGACGTTCTAAAAATTTCTCCAATACTTAGTATTGATAGCCCATCGAAGAAGTTATCCGTCAAAAGGGGTGCATGTTGCAGCGTGATATTGCAGCAATTAAGACAAGGTCTGCCACGTGCCTGTTCACAACTACCTGCGCCAGGGTAGACAATGCGACGGTCTGGGAAATCTTCCTCTGCGACTTAAACTTCTGCTGTAGCTATACGGACTTCCTTGCACGGGGTGTCTGAGACATGGCTCACGCAGAAAGATTATCTATAGTAGCCCGAACGGACAATAAAGATGTGACTATTGGAATCATAGGACTTGCTCTATACGGAGTGTAGAAAATATGGTTTACAGTGCACAACGCCAGTCACCAGACTGAAGACACGATATGTAGCCATAAGCCTTGCTACTTTTATTTTAGATTCTAGTATTGCACATCTCACGATACAAAACTCCTTGGGTATCCGTGAATTACCCTCCTTCAGATCTTCCGCATATAATGTTGCATAGACCTCAGCATCACCCTCTCTTGGGCCCACTGCCAGCTACCCCGACCCTCCCCTGGGGGTCACTGAATCGGTCGAAGTTCATCCCTAACAACTAACTATCTAGTACACTGGAAGCTTATAAGCAGTCAGGTCGTAGGTGAAGCTATCCACGGAGTCCTGGTCGTAGACGCATTGGAAGGTTTTTCCGCTGTTCGTCCACAGGGGGCGGAAAGGCCATCTACACATCTCTGCGATATCACCCGATCCGGTGAGTGTCTCAGGGGCCTTGCCGCTCTCAACCCACTCGATCACTGTCTGGAGAGTAGTTTGGGGCCACACGGCCTTAGGCTGGTAGGCGTTTGCATCGCAGTGGCTACAACCGGGAGCCAGAAAGAGCCGATAGAAGTCATCCACGGCGGCAGCTCCCTCTCGGTAGGATTTTTTAGGGAACATGATGGATCGAACAGAGTCCCAGTAGCGGACAGAAGAAGCAGTGGGAATCGAGTAGTCCTGTTCACCGTGGACGTGGATAACCTTGCCGCCAGCGGCCTGGAACTCGGTAAGATCCGGGGAGGTGGTCTGGAGGATGTCGCCGTACTTTGCCTGGGAGAAGATCATCCACTCCTTGAGGGTGTCATAGGTAACGCCCTCGAGGCTGTCAATATTCTCAGCGTCCTTGATGTAGTCGATGAACTGAGCAATCCAGATACCACCAAGGCCGCTGATATCAAGCTCCCAGGTGCCAGTGGTGGAATCATATTCTGTTTGAAGGTCGGTGAAAGTCGAACCAGGCTGGTAACTAAAGTAGACACGATCACCGTTAGAGTCGTGAAGGCCATTCCAGTAAGTCTTGACAAGCTCGACGGCTTTAGCAGAAACCTTGCCGGTCTGCTTAGGGGTGGCAGAGCTGCCATAGGAAGCGGCGGCGGCGGCGCAAGAGTACGAGGCTCCCTCAATGGTACTCCAGTCAAGGTGAGCCAGGCACAGATCGGAACGCGCGACGACGCCATCAGTCTTTCCATCGAGAGGATCACAGCTAGCGATGGTAAGGTTCATAATCTTCTCGAGCTCACAAGGAGAAGGATAGTAATCGAGTTTTTTCTGGATGACATTGCCTGTCAGGTGGTTTGTTTGCTGCTGTGCCCAGCGGAAAGCAGGAGCCCCAACAACAACACCGTCAAACTGCTCAGGGAAACGCTGAACTTGACTCCACCCCTCGCGACCACCTTCGGAGCAACCTTGATAGTAGGAGTAGATCTTCTTGTTGGAAGCTACATTGTATATATTTCTGGTGAGCTGCTTGCCTAGAGTAGCAAGCTCATTGTGTGCCTGGTAGCCTATTATAGGTGTCAGTAGTGATTCGAGAGATTAAATTTGAACCGTCTCCAAGCTTACCCCACATGTAAGTTGCCTGCCAATTGATGGTTCCGTTAGCAAGGAGAGCAGCAGAGCTGAACTGTGTGTTGAAGCTTCCAAATCCTCCATCGGTTAGGCCACCAACACTAGTAGAGAGTTAGCTAAGAAGTCTGTTACATTAGGAACAAGAAATCGTTACCCATCGACGATAATAGCAGTGGGGATTGAAGAGCTTCCTGAGTTGATTGCCCAACCACCTCCACCGGTAGACACATATCTGTTTTTGAACTTTCCAGGGGCTGGCAACCAATACTCGACATGGACAAGATCTCCCTCCACGCCATCATGGGAGTAGGCAAAGGTCAGATTGCAATAATCGAAAGTCGACGTGGGGTAGAAAATGGAGCTAGCCGTGAAGTTGGTGACCAAGCTCGTCGACACTGAGGAAGCGTCCACTGTAATGCCATCAATTGTACCAATTGGTAGCGCCGCCTTGGCGTATGAATCTGTGCAGATTTCACTCAAAGACAAAGTTGCAGAGGCAACCACTGCGTTGGCTAATACGACCGCAGGAGCCAAAAGAGTAGAACGCATGTTGTTGCTAGACCAAGCGATAGCGGACCTCAGAAGAATCAATGGAGCTTGGAGCTGGGATAAGGAGTAAGGAGTGCGATTTTCTGCTTCTTTATAGCTCCTCGGCAAGCTACCCCTGGCTAGCCCCACCAAAACCTGGGGTTACTCTGGAGTTGTAAGGTTGGGGTTGGGGTTAAATGTTGTGCCGGTCCCACCACAATTGCTTGTCCGAAGGTGTGGGGAAGTCGGTCCAAAGGACTAATCTCCGATCTTTTCGGGGGTATATGCCTCATCCGACCATGATTCTTCTCTCTTCGCTATCTCGGTTATGCATTTTTTCATAATTTCCTTCTATACACCCTCATTAAGTGGGAATAAACCTTTACGGTTGGGTCATGTTTCCGAATTCCTGGGTGAAACTAACCTCAGTCACGCTGGGGCGGGTCGGGCACACTGGAACACATAGTAAATGCGATATTGTTATTCCACTATGATTTAACCACTACGTACTATCTAACCTTTCAATTTACATGGTACCATATTTCATTCTAGGTTCGAGTAATAAAATATTTAGCCTTTGAATCCTTTCTGGCACCATCTTAATGGTTTCCCATATCAATGCTGAAACCCAAGATAGTAGTATATATATCCGGGTTCTGACTTAAACCTACTTTCCTCTACTACTCTAGCAGACTGGCGATGGGAGAAAATCCGACGACAAGCGTCTCTAGGTTTACATCCTAAGAGTATTCATCATCACTTCACCTAGGAATGTACCACATCCATCGCCCAGCCGTAGGTTCCAAGGTTCCCAGGAGGAGTTATTTAGTAACGTGCAGAGGGTCAAGACTTAAGCTTAGGTTCTTATATCTCTTCCGAGTCCACAAGTCATTTAGTATTGATGATAGCCAAGCAGTTTCTAAAGAGCACGGCTTTTAGTGGAAGATCTCTATTCTTACTCTATTAAGCCTGGGCATTTCATGACAAAAGAACTCCTGATAGAGGGTAGATAGCCTGTTAATCATGCAAGGATAAGAAGCACGGGGTTAATCCATGATAAAAACGAGGTTGAAAGTTTCTAGTGGCTAGGGCGGTTAAAATTTGGTACTAGGTCCTGGAATCCACTTAATTCACGCGACTTACCATTTCTACTCTATATACTACACTACCTCTACACAACATTTAGCCGACGTCATCTCGCACGGGTTAGCATTCTGGCTCCGGTATCTGAAAAAAATCAAACGATGATACTCGGTTCAGACGCTCGATTTCAGGGATGTATACGTCCAGACAGCGTCGGTCGCGTGAGTGCTTCTATAAAAGAACTTAAGAAAGCAATAGATTAGTGGAGTTAACTTAAAGGGATCGACTAAAGTCTTTAAGTAGAATCGGCCTAAGTATGCGACAGATCGCGAATTGTTTAGCGCTTAACTCCGCCATCATTTGGAGCTGCCTTTCAGTAACTCCGTTAGGGAACATGGAGATAACGAAATGGACCAAAAATGAGCTTAATTAGTAGATAAAGACTCCTCATTCGCCGCACTAGTGGAGATCGTGCGAGAGATAATCCAGTATGACTGGTCGTCCGGACTTACATCAGTTAACTCCGTCTCAGACGTGCCAAGCTTACCATTATTAACCCCAGGTGGAATTATTAAGGGACAAGAATATCGAGGTTTCTAGCCCTCATTTTCAACATACAGGTTTCATTCATACATGTTTTTCATGACCCTTGAAGCTTCCTAAGGCATAAGTCTACCACAATTTTCACTGACCAGTACTACAATTTCCGGACAAATGGAATACGCACGGTAAGGTGCCCCGTGTTCACCTGTTACCACCGACTCACGTGTCCTAAGATATTATTCAATATCCAATTGCTGACCTGCGATGACAACATGACACAGGCTAGGGGATTCGGGCCTTAAGGTCTCAAAGGTGATACTGGGTACTATGGGATACGGTGCGCCAGAATGGCAGGGCTGGGTACTTAATGAAGAAGAATCTCTTCCACTTATTGAGCATGCCTATAAGAAAGGCATCAGAACCTGGGATACTGTAAGAAGAGAAATCCAGGAATAAACCCGCGAGTTCTAACCGATTTTTCCCAGGCCGATATGTACTCCCATGGTAAATCCGAAGAAATCGTGGGAAAGGCTCTGAAGAAATATAACATCCCCCGTTCCAGAGTGGTAATTTTGACTAAATGTTTCTTTGGCGTGGACGATCAGGGGAACTTCCCCCTCCACTCTCGACCGGGAGACAGAACGCCGGTGACTTCTTGAACCGCGTCGGTCTTTCTCGCAGACACATCTTAGAGGCCGTCGATGCCAGTGTTGAGCGACTGGGAACATATATTGATGTGCTTCAAATCCACCGGCTTGATCGTGAGACACCACGGGAGGAGATTATGAGGGCGCTGAATGACGTAGTTGAAAGCGGCAAGGTTCGATACATCGGCGCTAGTTCGGTATATTTCACCCTTAACAATCTTCATAGACAAGGACTAATACCTTTCTTTCTTCTAGATGGCCGCTTGGGAATTCCAAACACTACAAAATATTGCTAATCGCAATGGGTGGCACAAGTTTATCTCTATGCAGAACTACCACAATCTAATTGACCGTGAGGAGGAACGTGAAATGATCCCTTACTGCCTCGATAGCGGCGTATCTCTTATCCCTTGGTCTCCTGTCGCACGTGGAGCCCTCGCCAGACCTTGGGCCTCTCGCTCTACCTTGCGCGAAAACACTGATGTTGGGATGAGTATTATCGTTCGTGGCCGCGAGGCCGAGTCCGACAAAGCTATTATTGACCGCGTGGAAGAATTGGCTGCGAAGAAGGGAATCAGCATGGCACAAGTTGCAATCGCATGGTCATTGAGTCACCAAAGCGAGTACCCTATCGTCGGGTTGAACACCAAAGATCGCATTGATGAGGCTGTTGCGAGTGTCCAGATCAAGTTGACACCGGAAGAGATTCAGTACCTTGAAGAACCTTATGCGCCTAAGGCTATTCATCTAGGAGCACGATAAATTTGTGACGAACAAAGGCATGAGACCGCAATTCTTACTTACTTCTATGCCAAATAGCTTAATGGAAATTACCATATTTCATTCGAGGCTCCAAATCCAAGATAACTTCGAACACTAATTTACTGCAATTCTTACTTTGAGCATGGCACATGTACAGTTATTATGGGTTAGATCATCATTGGTAAGGAAAACTTCTCTATCTCGGAAAATAGGCAATAGAATATCTAGACGTGAGTATCTTAATACGGTTACTAATATCAGTGACCTTCGTAGTATTCTGTATAACTAACGGAAATGGAGAGCGATGGAAGCCCCATATAGCCGGGTGCCAGAAAAATATAACCATAAAAGAGGTACTTAACTGAGAGTATCCCGAAGTAGTCGTTATTCTTTAGATTTACTACCACATTAACATGGGAAATGTGAAGTGGCTCCACAATCGTCGGTTTATATCTATGCTTGATGGCTTTTCGCCCTCACGCTTACTTACATCCCACTTATATTTATTACTATTACGTATCTATTCCTGCTGCCTTGAACTAAAGAGTCTTAGAGTGGAGTTCGTACTTTGAAAACCTCGATTGTACGAGAGCAGAACGCTATTTAGGCTCTCTATTACCGCTATTACGGTCGCACTCGGTCAAATTGGGTGTTAATGGGTAGTGCTTAGCGTCAATTTAAATTTAGACTGGTCTGCTAGGCTATACATACACGCACTTGGTCTCGACATATCCCAAGCAATCGATTTCGCCAAGAGCTGGTTGTTTGTTTCACCCTTGCCCCTCTCTGTTCTTGACCCCGCTTCCGCTCGCTCTGACCAAACTCTGCCCTTCATTCCAATAGACCTACCTTACATATACTCTTCTTATACATCATACCATCTCTTAGTTCGGACCAAATATACTCAGTATTTCAACTATAGTAAGAATCCCGTACATGATCAACTCCTTATGGGATTCACTTGTTTCACATAAGATTAACCTATAACTAGACCTGATGGCCATCGATTTCCAGTCAGTCATCCCGATCCTCCGCATCTTTGATATCCCTAAGGCAGATGAATTCTACCTCAACTACCTCGGCTTCAAGGTTGACTGGGATCATCGATTCGATGAAAATGCACCGCTATATCGGCAGATTGCTAGGGGGAACCTAATCCTTCATCTAAGTGAGCATCACGGGGATGGCAGCCCGGGTGTTCAGGTCCGCATAATGATGACAGGAGTCGCGGAGTTTCATTGCGAGCTAACCGCCAAAAACTATCGATACATGAGGCCAGGTATTGAAGAGGGTCCGGCGGCGGGATCGCAAGAGATGAGCATTATCGATCCGTTTGGAAACCAGATCAGGTTCTGCCAGGTCGATGATCAGAAAGCTAAAACCTAGACACGAACACTAGGTGGAGCGGTGTCGGTGGGATTAGAAGGGATTTCTTATTATTTGATCCACATCCGCGTATCAATTAATCGTCTGTTCCATTGACCATATTGTGATACTTTTTCCTCCAAACATGTATAGGCCTAGCAAATCCTTCCTCGTCTCTCTCAAACTCAAGTATCCTCTCAAACCCCTCCGCTTTCAATTCATCAACAAACGGTGGTTTAATCTGGATGGCCTTATACGTCTCTCTCAATTCTTTATTTTTCTTCGAGGCCCTCGCATAATTGCTCATGGGCTGCGGCTCAACAACGAGATAACCATCGTCATTCAGTATACTTCGGATGTGCGCGAATAGCGTCAACATCCCGGCATCCCCGTTGTTCAGATGAATCCACTTGGTCACAGAGAGCAAGAGAACAACATCGAACTTACCTAGGGCGCTACCCTTATACGCGGATGTATCCACGAAGTCAAAGTGCTCGAATGTGCACGGTCCGTCCGGGTAAGCCGCCTTGGCCTGCTCGACCAGCCATGGGTCGATGTCGACGCCGACTGCAGCGGCCGCACCGCAGTGCGCTATCGCCTCATGGGTCAGTTTGCCTGCGTTGCAGCCGAGGTCTATGACTCGCGCATTGCGGAGGATCTCCGATGGAAGAATCGAAAGGCGTTCGTCTGGGACAGTGGTCGCCCTGAACTTGGCGTAATATTGGTGGTAGTTGCCATGGCGCGCCGCGAGGTGGGTGGCTTTGAAGCGCTCTGCTCTAGAGAGTTCTGTTGCAGGTGGATGGTCATGGCATGGTTCTTCCATGATTGGGACACAGGGGCATCAGAGAGGCACGTCGTGGGAAATTTATTGATTATGCCCCTATGAAGATTTGCAATAATGTGGCGCTAGGCTTAAGCACATTAGATTAGCCATATGTAGACACGTGATGCCAAAGTTTTCAGTGCAGGTTTGTAGAGTTTGCATATTATTAGTGCCTGAGGCAAACGCTTGCATGAGGCCGGAGAAAAGTCGCCGCCAGACGTCATCGCTAATCGCTACTACCGGGGCTGATTGATCCAAGACAAGAATGTACTACGGAATTAAGATTCAAGTTTTGTGATTGTTTGAATTTCAGTGTTGAGTAGTATATACCCTATAGAACTTATAACTGGTACTACCGTGCCACGTACGATGCCTGGATAGGTATCCACAATATGACGTCAGCGTTGCTTACCGTCTCTTTCCACGTCCTCACTGTTTGTGCAACTAACATCTATTACCGAGGCCGTTTAGAAAATGCCGTTCAGACAGGCGCTTCAAGGCATTTTCGATAAGGTGGACAAGGCTTGGGAGGATTTCAGCCATCCTGCCCCCCAGCCGGGACCATCGTACAACAGGCCTCCCCCACCACCTATTCCAGCCTCCACCAAACCACCAGCTTATCAGGAGCAGGGCTCGCAACCCCAGATTTACTGGCGGCCCAATCTACATCCTCAGGTACCGGTGTCCACCAACTTCTACCACGAGCAGGGCCAACATGGCTGGGGCAACGAGGAGTCGCAGAATTATGTCGACAGCCTGCAGAATTCTTTCCATTCACCCCATGGCGATGCGGTGATTGTGCGCGCCTTGATCAACCACGGGCACCCTGACCCTGCCCAGAAATTTACCAGCGCCAGACTATCGAGTCACCAAACCCTCAGCCGACCACGGGGCTGTCTGTCGGCCAGAATTATGGCACCGGTGGCACGAGGTATCTGGCCTGCGTTTTGGCTGCTGCCTAAAGACCCCTTCAAGTGGCCCGAGGACGGTGAAGTCGACATCATGGAAGCGTGGAATGGCGATGCTGTCAACCATACCTGTCTTCATTGGGGTCATTTTAACGGTCAGGACTGGGACAAGCACCGCGTTCTCGAAACCCCCATCCCCAATATTACCTCGCCGATGGGAGTTAGGTATGATTTCATCTGGGATGAGGACGAAACAACGGGCAGTGGGCGATTGGTGTGGCTGATTGATGGCAGGCCCGTCATGAGAGCCGAGAAGCCGCCTGGCACGAGGAAGATGAGTGAGTTTAGAATTCTCATCAATATCGCTGTTGGAGGAAATGTTTGCCAGGGAAATATGCCCAGCGATGGATGCTACGAGACAGTAGTTCGTGAATTAGCCATGTGGGATGCACCGCCCGGGGGGTGGAATGAGTTTGAGAGGGCTTGGAGCTATTCCAAAGATGGAAAGACCATGTAACAAAAGCAAGGAGATTCGTATTGCAAGGCGTTCTAGATCGAACGCAGAGATTTTATGACTACCCAGAATACCTTAGCTCAGAGAGTTAATTCATTGGGCACGGACGCACTATGTGGGATATTGTCATGCTACGATGAAACGGATAACTGTCGTAAAACCCAATATCTCTACGCATATATTATTCTTGTTACACACATTACCTACGGCTTCTCTTTAACGCCCAGATTATCCCATGACGTAAAGGAGGAGCCGTTGAATGATCTATTCTTTCAATTTCGGTTGTTAGATATATCGCACCTGTCTTGGGGAAATCAAAATGACTACGCAAAAGGTCTCCTGGAAAAGGACTACTTGGATTTCCAAAGTTGGTTACTTCAACGTGACCCTAAAGGCAAGAAGACCTAACACTCTTAAATTTCAAAATTTTTAATTCAAGTCCAACGTTCATTAACTATTAACTGGAACGAAATCAGATCCTTTCTTTATAGTAAACACCACACATCGCTATCAGTAGTGAGTGTTTCTCCGCAGCGCGAGTAGTGTTGGTCATCAATTTCAAGATTCAAGCCCTCATCCTTTGTGATCTAAAACGTTGCAGATACCCAGTCACCATTCTCCCTGTGGAAAATCTTCGATCCATCGATAGTATTGATATATTCAACACAGCCTCCAATAAAGCTCTTCTCCGTAGCAGCGATCTCGTCCATCACCAGCGTCATATTACGCCATATATCTAGGAATGTGAGAGGTAAACTGTCCGCTCGAGAATGGGATACCCTGCGAAGTACCACAGCTAATAAAAACACTAGCTAAAACACCACTGCTTAAGCAGAGCAGGGAGTCAAAGGTGCAAATAGTCGAAAGTCAGTCACCGACATCTTGGCAGTGGCGGTTATTAAAATGGTGGACCTATATACAACATAAATAATATATTCTCTGAAGGGTTCTCATGGAAGGCCCCAACCTAATAATTTCCACGAAAGCAAAAGTTGATATGAAGTCAAGTGTTCTAATGTCTTGTGCTTCGGGTCCCCGGAGAAGGATCTCCTAATTATAAGTGAACATACGAAGCTTTATATAATGATCTTAGTCAGGTGTTCAGATTGTTAGAATCTGATCATACTCTTTGACTACCTCTTCAAGCATATGAAGTCATGGTATACACTTTGATGATCTTCATTGCAGAGCCATCAGCTGGTGAAGAAAAGATATGCGGCCATAGTACGTTTTAAAGGGGTGAATGTAGCGGACGATTCCAGGATATTTCCGGACCAGTTGTCGTCCCAGTTTGAAATCATTATAACAGGTAGCTTGGAATGCGAACTGGGATAAGAGAACAGATAGATTTGGTGTTGGCCTATGCCCCTATTAGCTATCAGTTATAGGTCAAAACTCTCCATAACCTGTATAATCTGGTCGACGTATTGGATATCCTTACGACCCACCGCTGTGAAGGAAGGTTGCGACTTTTTCCTTTAAGATTAAGAGTTCCTAATAAACGGTGTTGTTATTTTTACTAAAAAAAATATATTATATATTTGTCAGTATAGGAACCCTTCGCTATGGTTTACTCTATAGAATGGAGTCCGCTAACCCCATGACATTCCGAAGCCCTCCTTAGCTATTTCCCCACTACAGTATATTGAATGTGGGGAACGTAACGGTATTTTTATATCTGTTTACATTGAAAACAAAACATGTAATGATTTATATATATGTTGAATAATAGCTTCTCAATAGGTTTAATTTCTTCTAATAATACATCGATAAGATGCCAACGAAGAATATACATATACAGTAAAACTCCGTAGGGACATCCGAACATGAAATAATGTTAGTATTTAGTACAATAAGTTCGAAGTACCTAGCTTACTATAATTCATTATCAGTACTATAATATAGAAGATAGGTATTAGATATCTTATATATTATACTCTATTATCGATATCCTGCAGCAGTAGGTAACGAGTGGTAGGCAAAAGTAGTACGGGGTTCGAAGACGATTTGTAGTCGCACACAAGAGCGCCATCTCCCCGAACACGGAGGATAGAGGTCTTCATGTAGAGAGGTCATTTCAGAAAATTGAAGTACTATCAGAAGTAGGCAGATCGACGATGATAATGCTATCTTCTTTCTCATAAACATCGGCTGCATCCATAGGGGGGTTTACGGGCATAGAACCACTGTTCTAGGTAAAACGTCGCAATTATGTGATATTAGGAAGAATATTCTGGTATAACGTTAAACCTTCGCCTTCGGCACCGTATCGCAGGGGAATCCGGCTATAAAGTGGCATATTCACATTGTCAATGGTGCCCAATTCTCCAGGCGCTAGAAATGGTATGGAACAAGACCTGTACCCTGGACTGCATTACTGTTACGCCCCTCGCCTATTACGAAAAACACCTATCTACAATCATTGATTGAACAGGCACTGACGTATCAGTGATGTCAAGGTCGTGTATCCTTGCGACCCCGGGAGCGAGTGCATAACGAGGAAGCTGGGTATGATACAGCGTGTTACTTTACGACAACAGGAATTGCATAGATACATGAAACACAAGTGAGAGTGGGTGACTCGGTATAATCCCTATTCGGCCGACAGATACAGCTTGATGTCTCGACAACTTGCCGTCCAAGGCGATCGAGAAATAACAGGTATCCGGTGTCCCGTCTCCCTTGAGCCAATCGCAGAAGATAAAACCCCTCGGTGAACGGTATTGACTGTGGTCTGTAGAGTAAAAAAGGCAGCTGTCTCTTACATCGAGAACGCCCGCTTTCCAGAGAATGTGTTTCAGTGAACCTGCGCTATAAAAGTCACTTTCTGAGGCTGCGCGGCGAAGTCATTGAGTTCTCTAGCCCCTAGGGTATCCGGTTTTAGAGCATATGGTGATAAATGTTAAAATCCTGTGCGGACTTGTTGAGGACCTCAGGGCGTTCACGGGATTTATCGGAGCGAGGTGTGATAATGCCCGGAAGGTGGTAGGTGTACCGCAATCCGGGACTGCGTGAAATCCAATTCCGAAGCAGGCGGAGTTTGGCGTCTCCACTTCATCGTAATCTCAAGGAAAGGGGAATCAGCATCAGTAGGTAGAGCTGGTTAAAGGTAGGTTCAATTCCAGTATCTAATGGAATTAGTTAGTACCCTTGGAAGATAATAACCAGCTGGATCTACCTTTGCCTTACGAACCTAACAGTACCAAAATGGCTCCTTCAAGAACAAAAGTGTTATCCCCTTCAGCCCTGGCGCATGTGTTCTTCGCACCACAATATTGAAGTCCATGGTGTCCTATTACATAGTCTTCCTTGGCGCCCATGCTGCTTATGAGAACGAGAACTCGGCATTTATTACCTACGACGAAGAGCACCATCGAATCCCTATTGCTGCCGTACCGGGGACTGGCGAGAACATCCGTACGTCGTCTGGACTGGAGCATATTGCGTTCACCTTTCCCACCCTCGGTGATCTGTTGGAATCATACAAAGAGCGGAAGGAATACGGCATCTACCTAATCTGGGGCGTTGATTACGGCCCAACCGTCAGTATCCACTACATGGATCCGGACGGCAACATCCTCGAGAGCCAAGTCGACTGCTTTGCGACATCGGAGGAGGCAAATGAATGGATGGAAGGAGAGGAATTTATGGAGAAAGAACCCTCTTGGCGTTGAGTTTGATCCGGAAGACCTTATTAAACGCCTGGAAAGTGGAGAAGATGAGAAGAAAATCATGAAGAGACCCAGAATTGGACCCCGAGATTTGGACTCGATCCCAGAGCCTCCAGCTCCTGTCACTACAGGTCCTTGGATGGATGCTGAGTGAATGCTAAGATTTATGATAGCACACTTGGTCGGGTCAAGTCTCTTGAAGATTACATGTATGCATTCCACATGACGTTATAAATGAATTAAAGTGAACAGAATATGTCATTGAAGCTGTTCTTGAGACAGGATCAAGTATCTGGGCGATAAGATCTAAAAAGTCGAGATGTCCAATTCTGTTTTACAAAGCTCCTGAACGATCATACATCTCTACTGGAGTATATCTAATAAATTCCAGATTGAATAGATTATTTTCTGAAGCTAAATGCTCTATCTAAAATCAGGGAAGTTGTAATATTTGGAATCCAACCGGAAAGGTTTCCGGCCACGTTGTGTGCAGGTGCGGCTTCTGTCAGCAACAAGACGTTTAGATTTTACATCCTTGGAGGGTAGGAGAAATCGAAAAGACAGCAAATGAGATTGACCCAACAACAATTAGTCATAATGCAGCTTCCAAGAAGATATAGCAGAGCTATCAGTCATCCGCATTACTCTCTTACAAAGTATGATGCTAAGAGTCATGATTAAAACTGACTAGCCAAAGATCTGCGAAGATACAGGTATTTGGGGCGGACGGTAAACGCCAGTTGCTCAAACCCCATAATTAGTCAGCTTATCGACAGCTTTCATAGCCGCCTTTGCCCTGATGCCTTCTTCTTTAGGCCAGGGCGACGCTATTACTGTAGTACCGATTTGACTATCCCCTTCCTTGTCTTTTCTCTTCTCTTCTATCTTCTGTAGGATATGTGAATTCTGCCGGACTTTTCTGCCTTGGAAAATTGGTTTTGAGCAATTGGCGCTTATCGTCCACCTCAGGTATTAAAGGTAATTCACAGACTCTCTGCCATCTTTCCTTCACCTACAGCTTAACATTACGTGGGAACGTGAATGGAGTATACGGTGGGCATCTTGCTTGAAAACTACTAGAATATCGTAAATACGGGGAGTCATGATGATGTAAAAGCCAACACAAGACTATACACGCGCTGAGGCTCCTAACTTCTCATTTGGGGCGGAGCCCTGGATATTAGCGCAATAGGCATGCGCTTCAACTGTGGAGTAGGATTCTATCGACGATATGTCTCCCATGGACAATAATTTAAGGAGATCTGCCACTAACTTAGAACTGACTATGTTTTTGGTGTAGCTAAATGAACTATAAGAGTACACACTACTCTTGAAAGGTTGCGTCCACCTAGCTATACTTCCACTATTTCCCCATATACTCAATACATGAACCCTAATCCCACCCTGCCTCGGTATAAATACTTCCATGTTATATTTACCAAAAGCAAGCATGGTACTAGAGTATGGATTACCGACGAGATTAGGGGATGAAGTACATTCTGCCATGACTCTCACCCTTCAACTCATATTGAAAATAATTACCCATAAGTACCTCGTAAGGAACTCATGTCCACCACACATTCCTATACGAGTACCATCCAGTTTCGATCTACTCATCATCGCGGATATCAATGACCGTCTGCTTCCATTTGCGAGCCGGGACATGACGGTTGAACAGAATGTCGATCTCACGGAAGGACCTGTGCTTCATCTCTGGAATCCAAAGCCAAGACATGGCGGTGCAGACCAAGGCGGTACCAGCCCAGACAAAGCCGGTCTTGCCGCCCAGGTTCCACTTATCAGAGTTGAGGCAGTAGCTGGAAAGGAAGATGCAAGGGATATTGACGAAGTAGTAGGCACCTCGTCCAATACCAGTTGTCAGCGGCCTGAGACGAACGGAAGATGTCTCGCCGATGATGACCCATGACGCAGGGGCGGGTCCCAAGCAGAACAGGACGGATACAATCAAGCCAAGTGATGCTACCGCATTGTTGACCGCATTTCCAGTGCCACATGAACCCGCAATACCGAGCGCGATCAAGAATATGGTGGCGATCAATTGACCATAGACATAAATGGTGCGTCGGCCGAGGTATGTGGTGAGGATCCAAGAGAGCATGACCATTATCCATTGGAGGGCAGAAGTGATGAGACCAAGTGCAAATGCGGTGTTTTCCGACATGCCAGCCTCTGATCTGGTGTTAGTCTACTATGAGGGTTGCAGGAAATGGATGGACTCACGTTTGAAAAAGTAAACCGCCTGGTTAGCGATCAGGTTACCCGTCAAATTCTGAGACGCGTACACACCGCACACAATCAAAGTGCGGTAGCGATCGGTACCCTTGAACAGTTCAGCGAGGGTGGGCTTCTTCTCAGTCTTCTCGAGTTCGATCGTGCGACGCATCATTGCGACTGCGTCAGCGGGATTATCATTTGCGCTCGCGCGCCCAAGGCGTTTGACAGCCTTCTCGGCCTCGGCCAGACGGCCCTTTCGCACCAGCCACCAGGGCGATTCAGGCGCAAAGAAGAGTAGAATAGCGAGGGGAGTAGGGAACATCCACTGGAGTGCAATGGGAACTCTGTGATGCCTGTTAGTACAGGGCTCCTCGATGGCATCTACGGGAGCGGACGAACCTGTAGGCTGACGAGTCATTCTTAGATTGGTAGTGGTAAGTAATACCGCCCACAATGATGGACCCAATCGCCCAGAACATCTGCAACATCTGCGTCGCCGGAGCTCTCAATCTCATTGGCACAATTTCGGCACAGTAGGCGGGTGCATTGGCGATAAAAATGCCCCACGGGATGCCTTCCAGGATCTGGGCCGCGAAAAACATGCCCTGGCTGTTGCCGAAATAGAAGATGAAGATGAAGGCGTTCAAGCACATGAGACCCCCAATAGTTGCCCATCGATATCCAATCCAACTGGTAATGGGACCTGCGAGGAAAACACCGATGAAGGCACCGAGAGGCCCGCTGCACTGGAATGCTGACTGCCAGGAAGCGACGATAATCCACTCTCCTGATTTCTCGCTGTATACACCAAAGTCGTGGGCGAATCGTGCCGTGGCGATAAACTGTCCCATCAAGAAAACACAGTATGACTCCATGATCTATCGCCACGTTAGAAAAATGATCTGCCTATCCTGTGGGCAAGAGCTTACAATGGTGCATGACATGACGAATGCCCACCAACTGGCAGCGGGATAGGCCTTGACAGCCTCGAGCACAGTCATTCTATGTTCGACCTCCTCAGCATCGATAGCGCCCGTTCGGTCGTAGTCGACTTTCTCGCCGGCATCATCGTGAACAGCTCCACCCAGGGAGGTGGGCTGCGCCTCGATCTCCGACGCAGAGGTCTGCTTCTCTGTGAGGTCGCTACTCATTTTGACGATTTCCGAGAGAAGCGGGTGGATGAAAGAGAAGCAGGCACAGATGGGGGGTTTCAGATCTTTATACCTACGACAAAACGCTCCTGATGGTGATCCCGATCGTAGCCCAATTGAGTGAAGCTTCCTCCAGACCTTGACGTCCCGGTCATTTTTCCGGGCACTACGGTAGCAGCGTCACTTGATTACGGGTGGCCCTTGTCGAACGAAGTAATCTGATAGGTTACTGGCCCAGACGAAATGAACTGGTCCCTTTGCGGGGTTGGACGGTATGGTGGTGTGGGTCTAGATGTGGCGTTCTATTCGCCGGAGAATTCCCTAATTTGGATCGCAAGGGAGAAGAGTTAGTGCGAGTCATGCCTGTGCTCCCTGTTACAGTGGTTTAACTCTGGTGAGCCTATCATAATGAGCGAGTCCATTTAACCGAGCAGCTGGGAGAGGATAAGCGCTAACAATTAGTTAGCGTTGTCCTTGGCTCAGAATATCGAGCACCACGGGCAAAAAATGTTCTGCAAACGTGACCTATTATTCAGAATGTCTTCGAACGCTGGCCTCCGAACATGATATTTGATCGTCCTATCTCTGTAGAATAATACTGGGCAGTTGGATGTGCATAATCCCAGGATGAATATTATTGATCTTCAAAGAACCCGACCAATCCCAGAATCGGACACGGCTCGGTGTCGTCCCGTTCTGTGCGAGCTTACTATGGGCTCGGTCAGCTTTACCCCGGACGGTTATTACCCCGCGCCATGACCCCAGACGGATCCTGAATCTCCTCCAATGGAGAAAAGGAGATATACCGAAATGGGATAGTGCAAAATCTGAAATTGCATAACAAGGAAATATCTTTTCGGTTTTTATAAAGAGATTCGTAGTCGGAAAGTATCGCAAGGATTTAAGTGCAAGATGGTATTGAAGGAAAGATCATTATTACGGCTGACTCCGACCGAGCATCATAAAGCATAACTATTGAGTATGAAATTTATTCAAATTAAGGGTGTGACACTATGAGAAAATGACTGAGAACATGACCTTGAGCGGGTTAGCGGCCGTGCATGCTTGTGATCAATTTTACCTAGAGCGCTATACTTGGTTACGAATTTTCAACACTACGCTAGGCGCAACATCAACCACCTTCACAAGGAAGCCGTATGTCGGTATACAGAAGATTACTACCTGCTCAGTCAGTGGTGAGTTTGATTCTTTTGGGCAGTAGAGTCTTGCCGTAAAGGCTGAATTTGATCGGCGACCTTATGACAGTAATCTGGCTGTTAACATAGATCTTAAGATTGTCAAAAGTGAGTATTCGAATAATTCAGATACCAGTAATGAAGAAACCAATAGCGAAGATGCACGTCAGAACACTCTGGGCCGCATCAGTCTAGCCCGCGTAGAAGCGTAACGAGGGGTCTTTTTGACGATCCCTTTCGGTTTAAGCCCCAGCGAAAGCTTCCAGAAGACGGGCAATGAGAGCAAGATAACGTTCAGGTGGAACACAACACTCGCTACTTGCGGCTGCAAGTATGTCTGCCAATGAAGAAAGGCCCACTCATGAGAGATAAACATACCTGCAATGGCGTAGTAAAAAGCCCACACCATCAATACGGTGCCCCGCAATTGACGTGTTCCAGATCTTCGACACGGGCATACATGTAAAGACGACAATGCACGTAGATAAGGTCTGGTTGAAAGTTACAAGGACAGGGTTCATGATAATGACGGCTACGTACTATTTGGTGAAACCTTCAGTCCCCAAGTATAATGCGAAAATAACAGCTGAAAGCTTAGAGCCGATCCTCCGTCGTGCGTTCTGCAGTGGCGAACCATTTGACGAGCCGAAATAAACTTGATCATTTCTATACTACCGCCGGTCTTCGAGGTAATGAGATCATGAAAGAATCTGACCCGATTGACTTGAAGGGCATTTCTCACGACCGATATCAGACTCCTGTCCTCAACGTCGTAAAGTTCACAAAGGATCGATCGAAGGTGAAATAAAAACGCTTCGCTATCTTAAACAGATTTCATTGAAGTTTTCACTGTATCTTTCATTGACATCGAGTAGTTACATCGAGTACTTCTCAGGCTCTTTCACCAATTAACTTCCTTGGTTTCTCACTTGAGAACCGGCCCACTAGGCCACCGGACCGTCAGGGCTGATCTTCTGGCGGCCAGTTGCCAGTGGCTGAAGGGAGTAGATGCCACAACCTTCTTTCGACTCTGGCCTCCCGTTTGCTTTATTCTGTGATCAGAATACAGACTGGGCTGTGAAGATCAGGTTTTCAACTTGTCATGAAGCAGTCGCGTCCTTATTGACTTGATACCCTTCAATCATCCTCATATCTGGTGAACAATTCTTTCGGCTGAAATTAAATTCCCATCTTAACAGTACAAGTGACGAACGACGGCTCTGCTCAAATCTTGGATCGTGCGTTCCCTGCGGAGCCGGGCTCCATGCTCCTGATCACAACAGCCAGTCATTTTTGCCGCCGCGCTGTACTATTTGCGGGGCTCGGGCGTTCAGCCTCAAGGTGTCTCAGAAATTCATCCTAACGTCACATACATAATGATTGCTAAGAAGTGCACTAGCCCTTGTATAGCCTGTTGGGCAGTAAGCGAGGGTTACTACTCTTGCTAAACATGTCTATTTGAAGGGACAGGTCCGTCCACTGCATTTCAGCCTCTGTTTCCAACGCTGCCTACCTTTCCCAACTTCGTCGCGTGCCAAAAATTGAATACCATCAACATGCGTGCCTCCTTTTTCCTCGCTGCAGCGCTTGCTGCTCTTGGTGTTCAAGCAGACGATTCCAGCAGCACCATCGTCGGCTACTTCTCTCCTCCCTGGGATGCAGGCCTTCTCCAGTACGGCGGTTGGACAAGCACCGCCGCCAGTCTCGTTGCTATCAACACCAAGGCTGCGACATACCATGTCGGCTGTCTGAAAGACGCCCCCAAGACGGATTGCGACTATCCCGAATCTTGGACGATCATCCAAGGCCCAGAGACAGTGAGCTTCACCGGGAAATATATCGCCACGACCTCGGACAAGACAACCAGTTACGATATTACTGTCACTCAGTCTTACGAGTGCTCTCTGAAATCCTCAACCGAGTCGGCCAGCTGCACTATGAGTGCAGGCATGAGCGGATCACTGGACGGAGGGAAGTATGAGTCTTCCACCTCCAGCAAGGCGACTTACACGACAGCGCCAATTTCCAATTCGTACTACCAGTTGACAGTAACTGGAGGCCTGAGCAAGCTTACGACTGCTCAGACAACCACGACAACTGGCGGTGCCGTCGCTGGACCCGCAGGTGCTATGATTACGGCTGCTCCTGTGGTTGCTGCTGCCATGGCTGCTCTGCTGTGAGGATTCCAGATGTTCATTGCGCATATTGGCGGGGATAGGGGCTTTCTCACATTCACCCTTGTCTTTGGGGGAGGGGCTTGAGCAGAGTTGGGGCCAAAACCTGCACCCGATATCTCACGCTAAACCGACGACGGTTAGTCCCGCTCGAGTCTCTCTCTGCGACTCGGAAAATTCGGCACAGAGGCTTTTCGACCCCAGATTTTGTTCTCGCTCGCGTTGTTGTTGATGCAGTATTAATTATTGATTCCCGATTCAGCACAGTTGAGACTACAATCAAGCAAGTTGTTTTGAATTTGTTAGTGTAGGCTGCATAAACCAGCAAAAACGACCGAGGTGCCTCTTAAAGTCGTGACTCACGCCTCTCAAATGATTGAACCCTTCGTAGCTCGGTTCGCTACCACTAGTGCTTAATATAGCTTCTCCGCTAGGGTACAGACTTTGCGCCTAATCAGCTGGTCTGACAGGAAAGCACAGTCTGCCCACTCATGCGTGGGCTGTTAAAGTCAGTTCCGGGGCCAAAGAGCAAGTCAAAGCTTAGCATATTCACTCAATTCTTTGTATCTCTTGCCCTGGTAAGATGCGCCGCAGTGTAACTATGATCGTAGCTTCAAATGGGATTATAGGCAATCGACTGAAATCCGTCGTATCGTTCCGTCCGTGTAGAAGCCTTGAGTTTGCTCCTGTTTACCATTTGGTCGTGTTGTACCTGACAAAAGATATCTAGTCTAGGGGAAAAAATAAGGATTATCAAATAATAATATAGTGTGATGATGCAAATCGAAATGACCCTGGTGCCCAGTCGGTATGTCCGAGTCTTCGAGGCAAGGGATTCTTGGTCATGTGATCTAGCATCCAGCAATGATTCTGCCGGTAAGTCGGCTACCGCCTAACAGATCAACGGATCATCATCATCAGCTTAAACGTCCAATGTTTACTCTACCAAGGAATGATACGGTACACGGACATATGCTGGCCGTTGGAATTTTGTGATCGGCCAGCTGCTTGAAAAGCTTGCAAGAGACAAGATCTCATCTGTGTGGCGGTATCAGAATAGTCCAAGCTCTAGTGTTCCAAGCAGTCTCCAGCCACCTGATAAAGCCTCATGTATATATATATATATATATTGGACCTGACTTCCAATGATGGATCGAGTCGACACCTACCCAGGTACGAGTAGGAGTCGGTTCGTAACCGGGCATCGCCACCATATAACCTTACGTTGTTCATATACTTTCCTCTCACATTGTGACATGTCTTATTGTCTTTGTAGCACACTCCCATCTATTCGACGATTCGCGATTTACAATTCGCGGACGTGCTTGTCTAGGTAATCATAGGTGTCTGACATAGTTAGTCAAACAAGAATGTTTGTGTAGAGAGATGAGATCAATCTATTCGCAGCTAGCCGGATCCAGCTACCGATAGTTCCATTACTACCTATCTGGGCAGGTTACAGAAGATATGCCTAAAACGTAGAAGACTAAGCAAGGGACTCGATTTTACATGAACTCGAGCAAATTTCCGGGGCTTCTCGAGGTAAGGAGAGCCGCGGGTGGCTTGCTCGGCTAGGCATTTAGAGAGACTGACGATACTATGAGATATTCGGTGAGAAGATGAAGGAAAGCTCCAGGCTAGGCGCAACAAAAACACCATCGGTGTTTCAATCTTGGTCAAATTAAACAGAGTTTAGGTATTAAGGGGAGCATTGTTGGAATAGTCAGGATAAACGGCCATTTGACCAATCCGGCGTTAGAGTGGACGTTGGGAGCAGAACATGGCTGGGTTGACTCCTCGGAACGTTCTGCTATACGCTGGTCGTAGCAATAATCTGTCAAGGGTACGAGCACTCATAACTTACTAGATCCAAGTTAAATTGCTCAGTAGTTCGAGCCGAATGAATCATCCACCATGTCATCCGATCCTGATAACTATCAACAGTTCGCAGTTATTCGCTTCCCCATATTAGGTGAGCTGGGGTGGTATGCTTATAATTGGTGGCGTTCTTGTCGACGGAGAATTACCACTTTGGGTCGTTGCCAGGCGTTCCAGAAGCGTTCCATTGGCCTACACGAGCCATGGCCGCGCGCCCATGGGCGTTTTTGGCTTGGTGTAACCTAGCCCCCTCATTTTGGCCTACTGGCATGATTCAGGACCTCCCAGCCTATCATAATTGAGCGAGACAATTCAGCCGAGAAACGCTATCTAGTTAGCGCTGTGCTTGGCTCCGGTTTCCCAGCACCACCCGCAAGTTTTTTCAGCCCCTGTGACCTATTGAGAAGAGAGTTTGCCTCCAGTGGCTTCGGGAGATGGAAGGGCTCGGTTCGATGGAAGGGCTCGGTTCGGTGACTGGCATTTTATAGGGGGCCGTTTATATGCCGGTTATTGTAATGCTCTCTATACCCACACAGTGCCAGGGTTGACAGAGCGTAGAAGCAAGATCAAGTATTGCATTTTTAGTTTATCCAGCTGGTCCAATCGAGAAGAGGGAATGGAACGAGGCTGACGGTCAGACAATCGGACAGTTAGACGGTTAGACAGCCAGACTCGGACACGGGCTCGGCATGATCTTATCCGCAAAAATCATAATAATCTACTTAAGGGGGTTCGGTTAGTTTTCTCCCGGGGACGGGCTCTACCCCGCGCGGAGTCTATCGTCTGACTGTCTGACCCCAGACCCGGACGCGTCCTTGATACCTCCTCCAATGGAGTAACGAGGTCCGTAATAAATACGGCGTAGTAATTTATGAAAGGGGCTCGTTACGCTTCGATATCCTTGAACTTTATTCTAGAAATGAAACAGCGGAGAAGAAAGGTAGTCACCCCAGAAAAACTTGGTTTTCGGTCAATTTTATTCTACTCCATATGCTAGACGAAGAATGTGTATACATTCTCGGCCCCCATAGAGTCTGATCTTTGTATTAGACGAGGCATTTATCATCGCTCTAAGAGAGCATCGGTCGGGAAAATTCTCCTTAGGCAAGTCCGTTCTGGACTATCTGAAGTTAGAAGCAGTGCGCCCATCTTCGCTTGCAACAATGTTGCAATTGATCGCAGCTCGCTGTGCTGGTGTTTACCTGTCGCAATGCACCTTGTAGATATTTATAGAAGCAGACTCGAACTGTCCATCATTTGGCAGTCGGGTGGTCTAGTGATTGGAGGAACTATACTGTAAGTAGGTCTATCATCGAATCGATATGTCCACTGCCCGGGGCTTAATTTACAATTCATCCATATCATTTTGCGAAAGGCCTTGAAAACATCAATCGTAAATGTGTGTGGGAGCACTAGAAGAACATGAAAGCCGAGGCCAGGATCGAGGCGACCAGCGCCAGAAGACTACTCGCACCAACTGCTTCTTTCGATGACAACCCACCACCAGCCCCAGAATGCTTTCCCAGTCCTAATGGTAGCCCCTGGTAACTGAATGTCAGGTTCTGAGGGATCGTCTTGTTATAGCACTCTCCGTTCGAGATGTCCAGATTGGTCAGGTCATCCGGGTTGAGGAAAAACATGTACTGAGACTGAGACAGATTCTTGAACCCAGAGGTATCGTAGGGGAACTTGTCGCCAGAATCGGTGGCAGACGTGTTCCGAAGGAAAATGCACTGCACTTGTCCCGGGAATTCCTTCGCCATTTCGGGGTAGTCACGCATCACATCGCTGTTACTAGTGTCTGCGATCAGGATGAACTTGCGCTCGGGGAATGTTTCGAAAATCTTTTGCAGCAGGAACTTGCGGATCGAGAGCGTGGCAGAAACATCGCTGAAGTTGAGGGGTCGGGTATCAAAAGAGCCGCCCGGGTAAGTGGTGTAGATAAATTGCATGTAGTTTCTGGTGATTTGCTCGGGGGTGGTAGTCTAAGGGAGATGAGACGTTAGTGGAGTTTTTTAAGGACGTTGAAAATGAGACTTGAACTAACCAAGTAATGGAAATGCAGGTTCGGAAGGCTAGTCGACCAGTTCCGGTAGATGTCTGGCATATTATCCCACGGCGTGAAAGGCTTGGCGAAAGAGTTGAGCAGACCTTCCTTCGGTTCATAAATCTTGGTGATGCGTAGGATATCGTCAATATCAGACACGACTGTCAATCCGGTTGGGGGCACCAGGTATGCGGTGGCATTTCCAATAGACGCGCCCTCGACGTAGGTGTTGAGTCTCTGGATCGCCGATGTTTGATTGCCCGCCTTGAGTCCGTTGCTGGCAATTGGGACAAAGGCATCGAAATCGCCCTCGGCCGTAGTATTGTAGGGTAGAGTCACATTTTGCCAGCCTCCAGTCGTGTTGGATGATCCACCTCCCCCAGGCTGTCCACTAGATCCCTGGGACGCAGCCGGCTCGAGGTGTATGGTATTGACCGCGACGTGGGGCTGCTGAACGACGAAGATTTCGGCCGTCAGGTTGCGTGCCTGGTCCTGCTCGGATTCAGGGAGGTCAGTGATTTTGGTATCGATGAGGAAGACATTGGCGAGCTTGTTCAGATCGGAGACCGAAGTATTGGGCTGTTTGTACACGTTGCCGTGGAAGCGAACTTTCCACCCGGAGCTGGTCCAGTTCGCATAGGGGTCAATGTTCAGCACATTGGTCGGGACTGCTGCCAAATCCGAGCTTTTCAATCCAAGGGAGCTGACCACCGCGTCTCCGGTCGGGAAACCCTGGAAGAAGTTGGGCACTCCCGAGGCGACCCACGAGGGAAGATCAGAGCCGAGGCCCGAGAGGACATTGCTGATATCGGATTCGACATCGCTGAGGATGTCTCGATGCACGACGGGGGAAGGGTTCTTCTGGATTGGGGACGGAGTAATAACGGGGTTTGGAGGATTGTCGTTGAATTGGTTAAAGGCCGTGGGCGCGGGGGAAGCGGAGACGAGCCAAGGGGCACATGACATAAGCAAGCTAAAGGGCTTCATTCTTCTCGGATTATTATTATTTTTGTTCCCCTTTCAATTCTTCGTCATCATGGTTATAGAGAAAGTCTGGGCAGGTACCAGCTTAAATAAGATGAATTCATCAACTTGGGCTGACAGGAGATGTCAACATGGAAAACATGAAAACATGAAAAAAACAGGGTCTACCAGGGTCTAACAGGGTCCAAAGGGGGTCCACCGACGTCACTGATGTTACAAAATATTCATAGAAGTCATAGAAAAGGGGTCCAGCTGTGGTTCAATGCAGCCTGGAGGCTTTTTAACTTCATTTGTTTACCTCTAGACTATGGAACCTAAAGCACTTGTGGTGTAAATTGTGGTAATTACTTTGCTCCTTGGGTCATCTCACCCGACCACGAGCTATACATCTAACTGGCTACTCGTGAAACAACCCCCTACCCCGTTCAGAAAAAATCCTAATGGAAAACTATGTGATCACAGCTCATATCAGTGCCAAGACGTCAGACCATAGCTTATCACGATGAGTGGAGTAGCTTATGACGATATCTGACAACTCATCCAGCCACAGACCAAATTGAGCAAAATGGGTGAACAAATATTTGCATATGCATCAAGATGGATAGGTAGGTAGTCACGAAGAATTAATAAATAAAAATCCTTTTATCAAATTGAAGAACCTCGGTCAATGTCTAATAGTTATATGCACATGGTATTGATGACGCATTGTAAGGGCATAAGTTATGCCATTTAGCTTCCATTTAAAGACCTCAAGAGCGTCTAATGTATTTTGCAAACATGATGGTTGCAAAGTAGGAATAAGAGCCTATCTTATGCTTGTATCAAAGTAAGTATTGTGCAAGATGGCCTGTTCTATACTGAAATCAGGTACCTGTGATATTCGGCACGAGCTTTTACATTATAAAAAAGATTCTCTTGGACTCAGTGACCGAAAAAAGCAAACCCCACAGGTATGTGAAAGCTATTTCTATTTGACTCCTTAATCGAACGGGAAAGCCGCAGTGCCAGTACTGTAGCCCTTGCAATGTGACTCGGCGCTGTTATCGTTCGACTTGCCCTTGGAAGAAATACCGACGTTGGTCTTTCCACCATCCTCTGTGGGTAACTGAATCTTCTTTTTACACTGCTCGCTAAACCAGATACCGGTCGCCACGAAAGACCACGAATCCGGGTTCTGCATACACAGCTCTGGCTTGCACAGACCATCTTCGGTCTTGGGATCCTGGGGTGTCTTTCCACACAGTGGCTTGTTGCTCGTCAGCGCACGCATCGCGGGACCGTTTCCACACCGTCTGTCAAAGGTGCCCATTGCAAGCAGACGGGCAGCGTCAAGACCATAAGCAATATCCTCGCCTCTGTTATCAAGTTAGTTAACCAATCCTTTGATTCAGGTAAGAGGCAGGCGAAACACATACGGATCCGGGCCGCCCATGGCGTAGGAGGTGTGAATAGACTCATGAACCAGTACACCAGCACGGGAGCGCTGGGCGTCTCGAAGGTCCAGCGAGCCGTTTTCGCATTGTTCAAGGCGGTTCTTTGTTGTGTCGACGTAGCGCTGTTGGGTGCGGTCGATGTTCTTGTCGAAGAAGTGGTCGCAGACATTGAGAGTGCCGTGAGTCTTATCCGCTTGCTTCATGAATGCAACAAACTTCGAACAGGACTTGGCAGAACCGGCGCAGGTCACAGTGAGTGTGTAATCCTTCGCTTGAACGGTTCCATCAAGCATCTCCGTGATGCGCGTCAATGTGTCATGGACAGTATCCTTGTATTTGGGCGCCTTCTGAGCTGCCTCGGCGAAGAAGATATCCTCATAGCCGTCCTTGCTCCAATCTGCCTTTGCAGCGTTGACCATTGCAATGGCATTTCGGAACTCAGTTTCAATTTCTCCTTTCTGTTCTGCAGTGCATGTCTCGCCAGCCTTAGTGGAGTAGTTGATCTTGACATTCTTATTGTCAGAGTCGTCATCAGTGTTGCTTGTGTCTGACGTCTTGGCGCAAGAGGTGTCAGCAGCTCGGTTTTCGATTCGGTTTATTGAGAAAGCACGAGAACCAATAGAGAGCAGGAACAGAGTCAAAAGCAGATGAAGAAAGCGCAGATTGGCCATGATGATCAAAGTGTAGATCCCATGTACTCGGAGAGTAGGAAAGTTAGAGTGGTTTGTTGTAGAGATAGATATTGTCCTGAAGACGCATTCTTATATGTGTTCTAAAGGCGAGGCCCCCTTTAGATCTGCGTCGTTTCAAATGTCGCATGGGGGCTGTAGGCACTGTTGCTTAGCATCTGGCAACTTTTGGGAGGAGGGGGCTGTTGATGGACCCTGGGGCCAAACAGCCCGCTTGGGGGGCGGTTACAAGCTCAAAAGCAAATCCTGCTAGGGACGAACAATTTCTACGTGAGCTAAATTAAGATATCTCCATCATTCGAATCTAAGTTTGGGCCCCATTCTCACTCGGGGTTTACCGACGATGGACTAATGGATCTCTCTTTCTTTTGAACGAGATCTCTGTGCCTGCCAACATGAAACTAGGGTCCCAATTACGAGCTACAAAATGCGAAGAGAAATATGGAACAAAATGAATCTGCATTCTATCTACATTCGTGCACGTGGAGTCTATGGTGTATGAAATATCTAACTGATGATCGTAAACTCCAGTGGATTGGATGCGGGTACCACAATGGGCGACCGATTAATCCAGTCATCGGCGTCACGACCACTCGGTAGCATTAGCACTGTCTGCGCATGATCGGCCTTGCTTCCCCAGTTCCACATCTTGATAATATCTCCATCCAGCTGGTAACGAACTTTGTCCCCAAGAGCCAGGTCTGAAGGGAGCCGTTCGTCAATTTCTAGTTCCTGACTCCATGACTCACCAGGAGCAAGGCTTATCCATCTACAGTCCTTGCCGACGTTCACAGCAGTCTCCCCATCGTATATTAAGTCCGTCATGGCACAACCGACTCTTCGATCCACGCAATACTCCCATTCTTTGTTCTCGCGTGACCGAAAGGCCCATTCGGATGGGATCATAAGATGGAAGGCATCAAATGTGATCGGCTCTGAGGCTGGCTCTGGGTCGGCGGCTGGGTCCATTGAGACAATCCCTTGATAGGTGACTGTTTGTATCAGCTGAAAGTGCTCATCTGCGATTCCCTTTCTTTCGGCACCAGTCAGAGCAACTGTAAATAACGGTGTTCCTGGACTATACAGTGATTCAGTTAGCCACTTCTTTGGTAAGCAATCAAATCTTCATAACGTACGCCGGCGCCTTGGACCATTTTGGCAGTGGTGTCTCGTACACGGGGGCCGGTGGCTCTTCAACCACCATGAACGACACATGAGGCGTCCCCGAAAGAACGGCTCGAGGTAGACCGCCACGAGATCTGCTCTCATTTTCCGCAATACCACCCCATGCCCACCAGTAAATCTCTCCACCGGGCCATAACAGCTCGTACTTCTCACCCGATACCATAGCATCGAGCCAACTGTCTGGAATACCCCCGAAAAACCATGTGCTCTCACCGGGGTTTAGCTCAAACAGACGATGAGGATTTCGTGCGACTTTGTTCTCCGTCGGGTCATGCGCTCGCCATGGCTCTGAAGGGAGCTTGACTCTCTCCAGTTGGCCCTCTGTATCGTAGCGAAGGAGGACTAAACCATCGGAGCCCCAAGCATCCACGGTGTCTGACCAGTAGAAGGAGCAGGGCTGGTCATTACCATCATTCCCTCGATGGATGCGGAAGACAAGTCCACTGTTTGAATTTCGTTTGGCGATCTTGGAGTCACTGAGTCCCTGCAGCTCTAAGGAAAGCGTGAGGCTTGGAGTATTAGGACTGTAGTGCATCAGTTGTATCCCTTCCGTTGCTCAGATTGGCAGAGTCCTTACGTTGCATCGGCAGATGAGTACTTCAAGAAGGAGTCGATCTGAATATCAGCCATGGAGGGGGATTTTCGACGTCGTTGTTTCAGTAAATAATCGAATGGATCAAATGAAAGTGCTGAGGAAAGACCAGGTATCCCAAGTTGCGTCGAACAGCTCTACGTTGGAAGGAAGTCTGATGACTAACGGTGATCTGCGCTGGAGGGGCATTGCAGCTGCGATAATAACCAGAAAGAAGCTAAACCGAATCAATTTGGCCCCAAACAATCGGTGAAACACGGGCGGGGTCGATACCAAGCCTCCCAAGAGAAGTAGCCAGCAGCTTGGCCAGAAGGCTTAGCCCCCGCAGGTAATGCTTGGGAAGCCTTGTCCTGAACTAAGCTTACCTTTGCATTGGGGTCTTTTTTCTTGAGCGAACCCTGTGGGGTCCAGCATAATTTTAAAATGACGGATATGAATCTATTTTCACAGAACTATATTTGGATATGACTAGAATGGACCATTAGACTTTCTCTGTGCCAGGGTGGTGCATCATTGTTATTCGTATAGTATGAATTCTATTTTATTTTATTTGGAGAATAATAGATTCAAATTGTCTGCTGCGGTAAATACTCATTTCTCTCCTCCCAGTCGAACGTGCCAAATCCCCTGTGGTAATATGTCCAGGGAGCTAAACTGAGCTCTACCTCTTTATCCCTGGCCAGGAGAGCCACAGTCTCATCTCGGACAACCAGGTTGAGCATTTCCATTTCTGCAATGAGCCAGTAGGTCAACTCTAGTCTCCGCAGTTCTGGCCACCCTTCCTTCAAGAGTGGTAATAATTTCCGGGTGAACTCGCGGTGATAAGGCAGACTACCTCGACATGTGTTCTTCCTCCACATAGCTTTCAAGCCAGATCGTATCGCCGTAGACACATCATCATATTGGATTCTCAGATGGCACGGGCGAACTGCTTGGATGAAGGTTGCCCACTCTTCATGTAGCTCTGGTCCAGGATAATACCACCCGGGGGGTAGGAGCCCATATGTCTGTAGCATTTCCATACTCACTTGACAAAGAGTCAAGCTTTCTAAACTGCTGCATCGACTTGCCAGTTGTTTATTCAATACACGTCGCATTGGTCCAGGGGGGACTTGCTTGGGGAGAGATTCTGCCGCCCAGTCTTCCTCGATCGGTTCTGCGTCGCTCTCATCCCACGCAGCAAGACCCCATTGGTAAAAACTCCGTATAGGAGGTTTCTGATAGTTCTGTCCCGATCGAGTGTGACCAAGCTCATGTAAGTTGCATATTGTGAGAGACTTTAGAGACATCTTTTCGGGGCCGTGTAGAATGGCAGATGCGAGACCGTAGTGCATTTGCCCACTCAGACGGATATGACAAGCGGCAGGGAATAGAGGAGGGATGGGTTTAGGAGGGTAGCAATGGAAATCGCCCCCGTCAATATCCACAGAGAGTACGCGATCCATTTTCGAAAATAGCTGTATGACACTATCCAGCTCCTGTTCCGGAGCAGGGTCTAAAGCATGGGTCCGTTGCAGGCACATAGTCCAGGTAAATGACCGGACCCACAAGGCATACTCAGGTTTGTAGTGTAGAACCGAACGTGTAAAAGCGTGCTGACGATCAAGGAGATTAGGCGGACATGGTGATAATGGCCCTTCGTCCTGTTCGGTGGCGCTGGAAGGAATCTCGTGTACGCTGAGGTCGATGCAACGGTACAGATAGGGGCCGAACACAGTACTGAATAATTTGGATGCGCGTATCACAAGGCTCAGATCGTGCGACGATAGCTTGTCGGCTATCAGGTTCCAACACTCGATGGGGAGCATAGAAGGATCCATGATGAGGCGGAGTGGTAGAGGGGCCGAGCTAAGAAAGAGGCGAAAAGTTATCAGTCGGGGTCTTAGATCTCTTAACTAATCATAGCTTCAGCCAGACGGAAGGTTCCTGGCCCCATGGCCCCAATCCGCAGTTCCGATCAGTTCGCTAAATTGAGCGCAGCATGTCGCCCCCACGCGGAAGACCTGCATTCACTCCATTGCTTGGTTCTAGACAAGCATTGTTCAAAAATGTAAATAGTTGAACAGCCCTTGTTCCATGGTTTTCTTTTCAATCCTCCAACCTTCGTGCAATAATATCCCCAATTCCTTCCTCAAATTCAATTATCCTCCGATCTCTCTATACTCTGACCAAAATGATATTCCGCCTCTTCTCCCTCCTCCTTATGGCCACCATGGCCGTCGCCGTCGTGTATCCCGGCGCCAAGAAGCCTTGTACAAACCCAATACCTCAAAGCAAGTGGAGCCAGGCAATCCAGCAAAGCATGAAAACATACCCGAAAGGAAACAACCCCAAAATCAACTTTAAGCCGCCCGCTTGGCAAGCAGATACGCTCAAGGGCATTACCTTCTACGCTACGGGAGGGTGCCACGGCTCCGGTGCCGACGCTGCCATATATGTTCCACGAAAGGACTTCACTGGAGATGGGTCCAAGCTGTGTTCCGGCTCCAAGGGTCAGGACAAAGGCGGCAAGGATGACCTGGAGGGCAATGGCGCCAGTTTCACGCTCGACGGCATGATTGCCTCAAACTGTCAGCTTCACTTCTTCAGCGGCCTTGGCTGCAACGACAAAGAATGGCTGGGCTTCATGTCTGCGGCCGATCAGAAGAGCGGATGCTCCACGGCTACCAACTCTCAGGGGAAAGCGATCACAGGCATGCGCTCTTTCAACTATGTTTGCGACAGCACGAGTAAAGATGATAGGAGCTAGATGGTGTTCTATGTGAGGGCTAGTAACTTGGCTTTTTGTACCAAATAGATTCAGTCCTTCGTTGTCAAATATCTCTCCCAAATGCAATGTTCTTATTGTCGTCATCAATTCTTTTTTCCAATGCTGTAGCTATACTCCAGCATTGGTACAAATTCGATCTGTATAGCCATTATATTTTAAAACACTTATTCTGCACACCTATTCCAATTCCTATGTACAGGTAACAGGGCGAACTGCTGGGGGGCCATAGCCGTGGGGATGGGGTGCCGTGGGGGGCCGAATCCACATTAGGCGCCCTTTTATCCCTTTAATTAAACCATTATTCTACATGGTTTTTCCACTCTCTTCTAAATATTGGGGCAAATTTATAGGAAATCCCAAGGAAGGCTTCCTATTTGCAAGGAATCACCTCGATAATACGACTGTACACAGGAGTGTTTTGCAATGGAGATCTAGTTTCATTTCGTTGTCAATGGGTCTTTTAATTCTAGGCGTAGATCGATTTTAGGGCCCTCAATGTATGAAAACGGAGAGGTAGCACGGTGAGGAGAATAATGTCCTTCTCAAATAGGCGTCTCTCCCTCACGACATGATTCTAGCTGCTTATTCGAACTTTCTGCACTAAGTAACCAGATTTTAAATTACAAGTAAATTCCCTCTGCACTTGTAATCGTTACTTGGACATGAAATACTGTGGTCTTGAGATTCGGAACAAAAAATACATTCGGTAACAAATACTATGGGTCTATGTATCGCATACTGGTGAATTAGACTCAAGCAGCCCAATACCACTCTACACAGGCAAGACAATAGGCTTTTGCTGAGGTCCCCAAAGCGGCCAGATCTCAGCTCGTGGAGTCACACGGCGGCGGAAATAGCCGTATTGGGCATACCAAGTGAACGACTCGGCGTTTTTAATTAGGTCCTTGCAATTGGCGCTGTTTGAAAGGCACTTTTTAGACATTTGGGAATTGATATAAAAGCCGGTGTTATCGTCAGGCGTAGGCTTTCCGTTGACGAGAGGGTTGGTGTTACCAATCCAATTCGCGTGGGTCAGCTCGTGGAATATAGTGCTTGCTAGAGAGATGTCAATATTACTATTATTGGTGGAATAAAGGGTATATCACCAAACGTACCATCAGTACCAAATCCATACCGCTCCAGGTTGCGTACAGTCTCCCAGTCAGACTCGCTAACATCCGCTGGGCCACCATTGTTTGAGTGTTTTTCGCTTGCTGCAGCCTTCTTCCACACATCAAACCGGGGTTGCTTCCAGAAGGGAGGGCAGAAGTTGATGAAGGATCCGGCGTCATTGGGCAAATCAACCTCAAATGCGATATCATTATCGCACTTGTACTGAGCGACTCCAGCATCATTGCAAGAAATGTACAGCTCTGTCTTTGGGCGACCGTTCTGGGATGGCATGGAGTTGATAAGGGTGTTCATGTTCTTCAGAACCTTTTCAACCCCTGCCCGGAAGTCTTTATCCCAACGTAGAGCAAAGAATTGTGTATATCTGGGACCTAAGGTTAGATGCCGCTCTCAACGCGCTCATGGCACAGGACTAAATGGAAGACATACCCAGGGTCGTCTATATCCACATCTAGTTGATCGACATAGTCGGGGTTTGCGCCGCTTTTCTCAATGGCTTCGAGTTTGGGTTTGGTTATTTCCCAGCGATCCCATGAGTCAGCCGCCATTTCCATGGCCCCCTCCCAGGCACGCTTTACTGCGTCCATACGGGTTTCCCCGTGATTGTCTGGATTTGGCAAGTCGCAGGTGACGTCCCAACCCGCAATTTCAACATTCATCACATAGGAAGAGGTTGAATCCGGGCTAGAGCCCCGTGGGCAGGCTGCCGCGTGGGCAAGTCCCAAGCAGAGAGAAATATGAAGTAGAAAAGCGGATAGATGCTTCATCATGGGAGAAATTGAAGTCAACAAGTGGAAGAAAGAATGTTTGGGGTGAGATCATACTCCTGGAGAGGAATTCACGGGACTTTTATTACTGGAGTGGAAGACAGTGTAATGGAAGACTTCTATTCCAAGCACTGTTCACCACCTTCACGAGTAAAACCAAGAGAGCTATCATCGGAGTAGTATTGTGGGCTGTTAGCCTTCTTCTGTGCTAGTTTTGGGGGCTGTTTGATATTCCGCAGGGTCAAGCTTCGATAGCTTGGGGCGGTCCCTGAGGGTCCCTGAGGCTTAGATGGGGCCATGATGCTTGGTTTTTGCTTGATTTAGGGGCGGAAGGATCTGGAGTTCAATATTACCAAGTTTCATGAACAACTGGAATCGTACATAGCGCTGACGCTAACTCCCATTTTAGCGAGACTTTGGTTTGGACCCTGATCCTCCTTATCCCCCCTGAATAGTTCCACAACTCAACCCCCATCTACCTCAACTGCCCCTGGCATATTTATGGCCCATTCCTATATTTGGATCTTCCTTCCGTCGGGGGCCATGGGCAAATGCAACAGGAGCGGATTCGCAGATCAGCAAACTTCGCTTGCCGATTCTATCATAATATAGGGCGAGATAAATAGCTCGATCCCACGACCATTTCAATTTTCATATCATAACATAAATCATTATTCTACTCGTGTCGCCGTCTGGAAACAAGAACCATGCGACTTTCTCATCTCAGTGCCGGCATCATTTTGGCAGCCACAGCAAGCGCCAGTGCCATCCCTCAAGCCCCCAACATCGCGAAGGCTTTGCTAAGTACGACTTCCATTTATTATCTTTATTTCCGTTGCATTGAATCTAATTGCACTTTCAGATGCCAAGAAGCAGTCATGCAAGGATCCCATGTACGCCAACCCTGCGGACTCTGACCCAAAGACGCAATGGACAACGTCAGGAGCCGACCAGCTGTGGGAAGCACTTGTCTACGAGTTCCAGCAAAATACCCACAAAAAGTACTCATCTCTATCACACTATGTGGCTGAGGCTTTAGGTGATACTGCTGCAAACTTTGACTGTGCTATTGGCGCTCTCGACTCCAATGACGGGAAAAACGACTGTCTCACTTACGAGGGAAAATGTGTATGTTCTCCATCCAATGCTTTGTGTATAGAATATGAGGGCCCATTGAGATATTGACAACTTATAGAACCAAGCTGTTGGCCCAGCCGGATATCTGATCCTCAATTCTCTTTCATCGGTTGCCAACGTAAGGATCTCCTTCTTGCTACTCTTCTACAATGTCCATCGCTGACCAGTCACAGTTCTATTCCCCATTCGCCGAGCAACTGAGCATTGCCGAGGGCAAAGATTTGACCTCTGTAGATGACATTGCTGAAATGTTCGTCAAGTATAACAAGCCAAAGATGTCGGCCGCCGAGATTATCGGCTTTGTTGCAGACTTTCTATCACTGGGTGCTGGTCAACTTATCAGCAAGGGTGTTGAATCAGCTGTTGGTCCTCTGACCAAGGCGACAGGTAAAGCTGGCTCGGCTCCGGACTATGTCTCCTCCCAGGTCGCCCAATACTACAAGAATCAGCTCAACAACTACAAACAAATGGGAAACCAGATGGCCTTCGAGGTCACGAACATTGCAGGCGAGTACATCAGCGCTGGCAAGAATCTTGTGTATGTTAACCAAAGGTGGCTCTGGAAGGATCATGAAGTTGACTTTTTGAACACAGGGAGGGAGCCACGAGTCTTATCACTGAAGCCGGCTCATTTATGAAACTTATGGACTCTATTTCGGACCAATGGGCGAAGAATATTAATGGTTATAGCACCAAGCTTTTCAATGGAGCCTTGTCCTCTGATGGTGCCACGGCTGATGGCATTTCCGATTTTGCTACGTTATCGAACATGTTGAAGGATGGCAGATTCAGCCGGGCCGTGAGGCCACAAAACATCATTGCCAATGCTCAAAAGGCCATGTATGCTCAGTTAATTCCGATTGCTCTTCACCAGAATGACGACTCGCGCCCAACACTCATGTAAGCACGTCGCAAGGACCACTGTCTTTTCGGTTGCTAACATCTCCAGTGTCCGTCCTTATGCTTGTGATGACAGCAGTCGAGCCAAGAAAGATGAGCTCTTCGGGGAGTTGTTCCACGTAAGTATCGACGTCTTGTTTGCCTCCCCGGTTTTTCTAATGGTTTCAATAGCCCTACGGCTCAGACAAGTGGAAGCAAAGTGCAGTGACAGTTAAGAAATACCCCAAGCTATGCTTTTTTTTTGTGGACGCCAACAAGAGTGGCGCAGGTGGTCGAGTATACCGCTTCGAGCAGCCCAAACAACAGCTGAGTGTCATCGACGGCATGACCAACAATGAAATGACTGGCGATCAGTCCGTCGTCGGCGGTCTTACCTTAGACGTCCTTGCTCAGAGGTAAGTTGCATCTATTGTCATAAAAGGAGATCTAGTCCCTGACTCTCTATTCAGCATCCACGAGGGCTTCCTGAAGAATGGAAACAAGAAGGATGCCTTCAAGATTGAGAACAATCTGAAGTCAAACGACCCAACTAGCCTTTTTGATAACGAACTTACTGCTCCTGGGCTTTATAATGCGTACTTCAATGAGTGCGGAAACTATGATCCTGACTCAGATCTTGATAAGAATACCGACATGGATGATCTTTCCGAAAATATCGACAAGGCACGGGATTGGAGCTTTGCCGACGCGAGCAAAGGCTACCCTTGTATTCCTGGCGTCAAGAGCCCTTACGACGGTGATAAATAAGCTCAAGGCTACAAAAACTTTGTGTTCACCTCATGTACTTCTTATATGCCATGCCTCTAAAGTGACCTTTGTCTCGATTCCAATGAGTATCTCTTTTCCTACGCAGGGTTGAATGTAGATTCTTGGGGCCAGTTGTATCTGTGGTCATTACTTGCTGTGGATCTTACATAAATCCGATGGACACTAGCCAGAGACAGAAAGAATGACAATTCTGTCTCTTTCCAAACGGGGCTTGAGTGATACAGATTTAAATACGACATTGTTTCACGGAACATAAAAAGATAATTCAATCGGGCTTCATCTCATTACTCCAATCTCATGTGTGTTCCACTAACACCTTCCAGCCGAAAAGAATCACCCATGTACTTCTTGCATCCTAGAACGTACATCCACTCATCGTCCCTACTTTACTAAGGAATAGGTCGTATATCCTATTCTATTTATCACGCAAAACCTTTCGACGCTGCCTCAGCATATACTTATACATCATCACCGAGCCTTTGATGCTTTTGTTAGATTCCTATTTCCTCCAATCACTGGGTTAATAGTGGGTGGCTTTCTTAACTTACCAGGAACATATAGCCCTAGGAAGAAATAGAACACGGCTAAGACTGCCAAGTTACCAGTGACCTTAGTAGCATTATACATTAACCACCATTCACTGCCAATACCAACTGGGTAGAGTATCACAAAGAGGGAGTATCTATACATATTGTAAAGGAGGTTAGCAGCTCCACGTCAGATAAGGGAGTATCCGACATGAAATGGCCGGTAGACCATTGGCACAGAATAAACCGGAGCTTACCTGAGCCATCTCAAAATTCCGGTGTTATTCAATCCGGCTAACATTGTTGCAAAGTATGAATACCGAATGACATCTGCAGTTGACCACGCGAGTAGCATAGCTGCATAAGCCCACGAGGGGGAAGTCGCTTCAGGGAACGCATAGTTCACAGCCCAGACCTGAGTTGAACGGGCGAAGACTTGAGTGAAGGTGGTAAAGACAGGTGAACGTGTGATTCCTGGGGCTTGGCGTTAATAAGGTGGATTTCAAAGTGGAAGGCATAAGACTTTACCACATGCTGCATGAATTATCTCCGCAACAGCCAAGGTTTGGGTAAAACGTGTCCAGGGTTCAAGAGATATGTATACAACTAAGGCGTCGGGCGATGATAGCAAGGTAGAAATCAAAGTAACAAAGATGCGGAGCCATAGTGAAGCACAAACGGTGTTATAGAACAGTAGATAGATACGGTTGATCGATAAGCCAGCGCGGGGCTCTGGCGGATGGCTGGTCGACATGTTTGGTTTCATATCTAAGGTTCACGATAAACTTAAAATGTCTCAGGGTGAGATGCGAATTTGATTTGGCGAAATTTTTAGCGTTCACAAGCATTCCAGTCACGGGACCCGGCATTAGCCTCGGTATCTTAAATGCGTTTAACTGCATTTGGCAAATTTGGAACTAACTACGATTGGTCCCCGTCAACGACTCCTGATTCAATCACCTTTTCTACCCATTGTCTGTAGAATTTATCAAGACCCTGTGTCTTGTGTAAAATTACTGTCCAATTCAGTTGGAATGGACTGATCCCGCGAATTCTTGTGTTCAGAAAAAGATACCTGGCATTTCTGTTATTTTCGCATCAGAAATGCATGACATCAGTCCATCTCGGGCATTTATCGATATATATTCCATTGCTTACGTACTCAAAAAGCAAAACCTTTCTAACAACCACAAATAGGAGCTCGACCAAAGTATGTTAGCATTTTATTGATTAGACGTCCGCACTGATCACCTACGACAACCAACCATCTCCCGCTCTAGGACTGTTTTAACCGTAGGTTGTACCCAGCGAATCAAACCAACAAGCAAAAGTGCAAGTCAGCTCCAAGTCTTTGGTACAGCCAACGATGGTGCGATCTGAAAATTAACAGCGAGGTGTAATATGATCTCTACATCGGACGAAGAGCTATTGTCACTATGAAACTTCTTTATCTTAGGCAAGAAAGAGAACGCCCTGGCCGCCGCGACCGAAAGACAACCGACTTTCTAGACGACGCGTCGGCCCGGAGGTAAGAGGCGGTAACATCTCTAGCTAACCCCGCAAACAAACCATGACACAAGGTACCCAATGGCTTCTCGAGAGCAAGAAATCGTGTTGCGACCGGATGATTTTTCGGCCGAGGTGATTGAGATGATTTGATCGTGTTGGATAAATATGAACAACTCAAGATTAAATTTGTGAGAAGTGTGCTCAGCGACTTGAAGCTTGGATGCTCAGCGCTCTTGGAAATTGTCTACAAATCTGTACCTTCAATATGAGAAGATTCCAGGGAGAAAATATCCATTCGAAGTTTGCTATCATCGCGATAAAGTGTAGATTGAATCCCATGCAATGATATATACCCAGTGGATCTTGAAGATGTAAAAAACTCGATCGCGATAGCCTAAGCCCTTCTTCGGGGGCTGTTGAACATTGGCCGTTTTGGCCCCCGGAGACATCTCCTCGACTAAATCCGAGCATAACTTGACTTTAAGTCCGCCGGCAAGGGAGAGCCTCCCTTTATTTCTAAAGATATATAGAACGCAGTATTCCCCGGGCGATGGCATGATATTTATTCTGAATAATCCGGTCATTGAAAGTTCTATAAGATCCAAGTGTTGGAGGTTCTCCGGACTACGCGCTTCTACCAAGTGTTAAGCTTGAACAGCGACAATCTGTCGAGAACTGAATACCGTAGGACCACTTTTCTATCAATGATAGCGACTGATGCTAAGTTATCTCCAGTGATACTTGCCAGGATGGCCCTAAATTTCGTCAAGTACCTCGCTCGGCAGAAAGGGAGCTCTTTAGAAGCCACAATCGCGCCAAAGCCCTCGGTTCTTCACCCAAGAGAAGTTCTGATTCGCGTCAAAGCTGTCGCTATCAACCCAGCCGATTATAAAATGATTGATCAAGGCCACCGAGTCACCGATTGGCCCCTAGTCCCCGGCCTAGATGGAGCGGGCGTTATTGAACAAGCGGGCGACGAGGTGGGGGATTTCATGATTGGAGATCGCGTCCTCGCTTTGTTCACCCCCGGTGATCGCTCTGGGTCATTCCAAGAGTACGCCGTGGTGGAGGAAAAAGATGTGGCTAGATATCCAGCCAATTGGTCGCCAGAAGAAGCATCTACTTTGGGGTTCGTGGCCACAATCCCATACATTGACTCTTTGTTCTTTCCTCCATGCCCTCTGACATTTCATTTACTGACTTTTGCCCTCAAGTGTCTGTTACCTCACGGGCATTATGGCCCTCGGCATCGGGTTAAAAACGCCACTCCCATTCCTCGAAGGTGGACCAATTTTAGGGCTGCAGCCTTCTTCGGTTTTGATTCTTGGTGGAAGCTCTGCGGTCGGCGCTGCCACAATTCAGCTTCTTCGCCTCGCAGTTCCCGAATGCAGAATCCTTGCGACCAGCTCGCCTCGACATCACGACCACATCAAGAATTACCTGGGGGCAGATGATGTGATCGACAGAAACTCATCTTCATTGCCTTTCGATGCAAAGCAGGCCACTCCGGGCTCTCAAGGTGTCGACGCAATCATTGACGTCGTTGGCGCTGGCCGCGAGCAAAGAGACATCTTTGAAGCACTCAACCCGAACGGTGCCAAGATATATGCACAGGTTTGGACAGGAGACGAGCAGATTGATGAGCCTGACAGCGTGAACTCAATCATGTTCCGAGGCCGCGACCTCCCCCAGCTGCCAGGGAATCAAAACATAGTTCATTCTCTGGCGCAATTATTGGAGGGTGATAAATACAGGCTTCCTTTGCCAGTTCACCATGTGGGTCATGGGTTAAGTGCTTTGGAAAAGGCCCTAGAATTGATGCGCTACGGCGTTAGTGGAGAGAAATTAGTCGTGTCCATCTAGCTTTGGGTCGCATATTCATCGCAATGATAGCATAGATACGATCAACTCTCAATTTTTTTAACAATCGCTGGAAATGTCAGCTATCAACAGTTTATCATGTTGTTGATCTTGAGCTCGTTGAGAAATAGGCTGGTGACCACTTGGCATCTCACGTAAGACACGTTTTCGATCTGCAGCTGAGCATGGACTCGTCAAACTCGTCGCCTCCAAGAAGTTTGTTTGTGGTGATTGAACGCTAAACCCCAAAGAGTAGGGTCGGCGCTTAGCCCCCAAATTTCCCCCCTAAAGATTGTTTAATCATTCCGTGAACCCTGGTGCAGTACCAAATTCTCGCGCGGAGAATAACAGTCAAAGGCCATATGAGTTTATTCAGATCCTCATTTTTAACCCTCAACCTCTTCGCTCTTCTTGATTATGTCCAGGCGAAGACGGATTTTCCAACTCCTCTGAGTGAGGCCCACCCAGAGCTGAAGGCAGACGATGGTGTCACTTTTGACCCGCTAGGCGTAGCTGCAATTCTTTACAATGAACGTGCCGACAGAAGCGCAGCGAGGCTATATACCCAGTATGATCGAAACCTCTTCATATGGCCACATATGACTATGATCGGGGGGACTCTGCCTCCAATGCAAATGCTTGTTGAGCGCTTGACAGCGCCTTTCAAGTGGATCCACCCCGCCATCAAGATGTGTGCTAAGGACACAACAATGCTCTCGATTCGATCAAACATCTCTGGCAACGTGTTCCGACAGCTACCTTATAATCTGAGCAATACGTGGCTCAGTGACATTGTTTCCTTTGAGCCATCAGAACATCCCGGTAACGACTTTGCGATCGTGTACGTGGACAGAGTTCAAGCCGAGGGCAGTGAAAGTGATAACCACGCGCAGAAAATTCGGATTCGTTCAGAGATTGGAAACCTTAGGTGGAAAGCTGGAAGATGGACGTTGAACTTGCTCTGCATCATCAATGGAGCGATGGTTTTGACAGGAATGGTGTTTGGCATTCTGCTGGCAGACATATGGGCCTTCACCCTCTTCCTCCTTTACAGTTGCCACTGGGGGGCCTCCGTGGCCATTTCCCTCACGAAAATGGTCACTGTTCATACGCCTTCTAAAATCGATCCAGAGGATAGCGATCGGTTCGCCGTTTATGAGCGCGAAGAAGGCGGAACCGTCATTTTCAAAGGTCCACAGAACACCCTGGAGACTTGGGCACGATCAACCTGGGAGTACAAGCCTGACTGGACCAAAGATAGCCTACACTGGCTGTGGGTTATCACCGGTTCACTTTGTGGCGTCGCATCCGTTGCATGTATGGTCAACATGCATGGCAACATGCAGCTCGGGTTCCTGGCCGTGTTGGTCTACGCCTCCGTGGCAGAGATTGGCTCGACGCGAATTGCACGGATCCTCCAAACCAAAGCCCAGGGCCCGATTTCCAAAGATGCTGTCCGTGGCAACTCGACTCGTTCACTGGCTATTATTCGAGCAACCCTCGCAGTCACCCCTCGTTGCCGGTTAACGGGTCTCGATTGGATCTCAATGGGGCTACTTCCGGATATGCTAGTGTTCCGGGAAATGCAATTGCTTTTAGCAGACATCAGCCAAATTCTTGGAGATTATAAAGAGATACCCAAGCCATTTCCAAAAGACAGCCGCAAGTTGGCCATCACAACCAAGTGCGAAATGTTTGTTCACAACATCAAGGCCAAGGATTCTGGTCGGGAAAACTTGGCCCTGAGAATAGGAAAAGAGATTTATAAGACTCTGAATTTTAGTGACGAAGATATTTCGGACCTCGACAAATGCCTCAAAAAATGAGAATGGTGACGACTTTTCAATTCTCGGGCTGTCTATTTTTTTTTTCAATGAGAGGACACTTGCATGAATGTCAACTATGAAAATTCTTCCATATTCTTGTTTGAAAGCCTGTGGCAGTCGGGAGAAGATGCTACAGACCAATGGAGGCGTGTCGGGAGATGTCACAGTCTATAAGACAGTTATATCCAATTGAAATTACGATATTTGGATTACTCGGTCAAGTAGTCTCGCAGAAATCAAGCTACAATCATGTAGTTCCTAATCATGCCTTAAGATTCAGGATGACATGTTACTGCCTGAACTTAAAGGCACCCAACGTAGCTGTAAGGCTCCAAGGCTCCCAGGCCGACAATCTCACCCGGGAATGTTTACACAGCCCACTTCGACTGCCACTGCCACCACCAGTCCCAAGTCCGCTTTAATTTTCAATCTTCACACTCAGCTGACACCTGCACCGAGTCCATAACAACCTGCGCTCGAGATATTTTAGGCATGGCATTTTCCCCCTGCGAAAATCCATGAAATCCCCTCTTCAGGAGGAAGAGGGCCCAACCCCTGCGAAGCTCTGCGCCTTGTACGATGTCGGTGGTGGGGTACGGCTGGCCGATTCGTTTGCCATTTACTCGGTCGTCGCGCTTCCCCCCGAGTGGACAACTATCGAGATCGACCCGATAATATGCTCTCAACTCGAGAAGGCTGCTTCGCTAGTTGCATCCAACATCCCTATAATTTCCAACCTACTCGATTCTCCGTTGCCTGACCTCGTTTCGTTGCCATGTCCTCCTCGAGGACTCGCTCAAGGGAGCAGTTGTACAAACCCTGTTGACCACCTTCCCTGGTTTTTGATACACGCATCAAGATATCCGAAGCACTGTGTGTTTGGTCGCAGCGATTTCTTGACATCGTTGCTCGTTGTTCTCCAGCGACCGTGGTGCATCCTCGAGCTGTGCTGCTGTGATACCCCGACGATAGCCGCACTTCACGAACTCGCGACTCTAGCCTTGAATCTTGATGCTTCGACCTATAGACCTGCTCTCAGACTCTTAGCCCACGAGTTATCACGCAGAATGGACGGCCTCCCGAAGCTCTCTGTGGCCAATCATTTTATAGGAGTGGCGCATAACTCTCCTCAAAACCTTGATTCCTTCAACATGTATAAGGAGCTTTCTAGAAGTTCTCTTCGATCACATAATTCCTTCTGGATAGGACTCATATCTACATGTGCAGTCTACCTTGGTCTGGCATTCTCTGATATGACGAAGATGCTGGGCGATCTGGTCAGCGACCCTCGAGCTACGAGCGCGGGAAATCCCTGCGCTCTCAATGCGAAACTCAGGGCTTTATCATCACATAGTGCCTCCATTCTCCCACCAGGCCAAGCGGGACCCCAAGTACATAATCTTGCAACGCGCAGAAGGCACAGCATTGATGTCATCTCGCATCCGGCAGAAGACTCGCAAATCTATGACACACCGGCCCTCACCAGCCACGCTGATCCTCATACTGAACGCGGCCATGTACTAGATATTCTGAAGCTTTACGATGGAATCCTCAAAGGCTTCAGAGAGGATATCTGATGGTTTCAGCCCTATCATGGCTAATCAAGACCTTGGCATGAACAGGCTTTAACGTTCTTGGGAATGCTTCCAGTAGCAACAATGTCAGGGGTGCCTGAGCTGGCTGTTGATCCATGATGACGTGAGTTTTTAACTGCAAGATTTATCGTTTTAGTATAGAGTGTGCATGAATGAATGAGCATATACGAGTCTGTCGTTCGTTCCATCTTTCTCAAGTCCCGAACAAACCGTACCCCGCATGCGAACCGGGGAGGAAGTCCGATGTACATTTCCCCGCATTTCTTGCCCCGCAATTCTGATACTGTTCCATTATTGATTTTCCTGGATAACCGAGTTCACGCAGTAGTAACAAGTTCGAATGGCTCATTTTAAGTTATCAATGGAATGAAAATCAAAGTTTCAGATTATAGACACCTTTTCGAGCAATGGAGAGGGCCGTTGGAGTTTGGTTGACAACCAGAATGTCTGTAGTCGATTTTGGTTTCCAATTATAGAGCCGAGGTCCGAGACGATATTTACGAAGGTCTTGGAAAGAGCTGGGACACTTGGAAGAAGGCTTCTTGAATCTATTACCCCGCTAAATAGGCTCGACCTATATCAGATACCAACCACCCATCGTGTACATCCGTCACGGAGCACTCGCCACCCAGTGTAGAAGCCATCCCATACACAAAATGATTTTCACGTCTCAGCAACCGAGCATCTCCAGTAAGTAGTGACAGACAGCTATCGCGGGCCTAGAGCCATGATGCTCACAAAATCTCTCTGCTTCAGTTCCAGAGGATCTGACGACTTGGGAATGGCTATTTGAATCATCAACTTCACCCTTAAGCCAGTATAAGACCTCCGATCTTGGGGGCTTCACAAATGCCGCTACAAAGGAACGGATTGGGTACGATCTGGCTAAGGAGTATGCGATAAAGATATCAACTGCCCTAGTTCATAAGTTTGGACTTTCGAAAGGCGATGTGGTGGCACTATTTAGTCCAAACACCGTTTGGTATCCTATCGCCATGTTTGCCACCAATCGTGTGGGTAAGAAGCCCCTTTTACCTATCTTGATTTGACAAATTAACTCCAACGAGATGATAACATCTTTCCGTAGGTGGTATAATCTCGGGTGCTTCGCCTGCCTACAATATTGAGGAAATGACCTTTGCGTTACGCACAGCACAAGCAAAAGTTCTCATGACCGCAGCGTCGTCTCTTCCAGTTGCCATTCCGGCTGCAAAGAATGCAGGGATCTCACAGGACCGAATTATACTTCTCGAAGGAAGGAAAGAAGGCTTCACTTCGATCCAAGATCTTGTCGTCTTTGGAGCAGGCTTCGGGCCTAATGGTCAGGTCCAGCCTTTCAAGATCCCTGCCGGGCAGACCAACAAGGATATCTGCGGCTTTCTAAGCTTTAGCAGCGGAACTACTGGACTTCCCAAAGCTGTAGGTTGTCTTTCTTAGTTCAATTGTCGGAGACGCTCATTTGACATCCCAATAGGTCATGATAGCGCATCATAACGTGATCGCGCAAAGCATGCAGGTGGAGCAGATAACCGCGAAAGAAAATAAAAAGGTCTTGGCAGTGCTGCCGTTATTTCACAGTAGGTCAATCCCATTCCTATGAAAAACCTGCTTCTAACAACAACATTGTGGTAATACAGTCACCGGCCTGGTCCACCAAATGCATCTTCCCGTCTTTCGAAACGCAGAGGTCTATATGCTTCCAGCGTTTACTATGAAAGCCATGCTCGACACAGTCGTTCAGTATCAGATTACAGAACTTTTGCTTGTGCCACCTATCTTGATCCGGCTTCTACGGGATCCAATTGTGAAAGATTACGACCTGTCCCACGTCCGCAAGTTTTCTTCCGGTGCAGCCCCACTCTCCTCGGAGGTAAATCAAGAGCTTAAGCGCCAGTTTCCAAATACGGGGTTCAAGCAAGGGTATGGGATGACCGAGTCATGCAGCTGCATCACGGCCCATCCGTTGGAGAAGTCTACCTACGAATATGCGCACTGCGGGGGTACTATTGTCGCGAATACCGAAGTCAAAATTATCAACCCCGACACAGGCGTCGCACTGGGATATGACGACCCTGGCGAAATCTTGGCAAGAGGGCCGCAAGTTGTCATGGGATACTTGAATAACGAAAAAGCTACAGCGGAGACCTTTGATGCTGAAGGGTGGCTTCATACTGGTGATGTCGGTTTCATTGATAAAGAAGGCTTCATAACAATTACCGACCGCATCAAGGAAATGATAAAGGTGAAAGGTATTGCAGTGGCCCCGGCCGAGCTTGAGGACCTGTTACTTGGGCATCCAATTGTGGAAGATGTGGCCGTCGGTCCTATTCCTGATGACTACACTGGCCAACGCCCGAAGGGGTATGTCGTACTGAAGCCTAGCGTCCGTCATGGTAAAGATCGGTCGGGTATATTGCGGTCACTCAATGAGCTTATTGACTATGTCCGTGACAAAAAGGTCCGCCATAAGTGGGTTACCGAGATTGAAATGCTCGAGGAAATTCCAAAGAGCGCAAGCGGGAAGATCCTCCGTCGTATGTTACGGAAACTGGAACAGGAGGATAGCCGAAAAGAGCGATACATCGTTACTCGGGGTGAGACAAGATCCAAGCTGTGAATCATGTGTGTGAGGTTTTTAGAGAACAGAGTAGGGTTTATCATGGGTTGATAATTTGGTAAAGAATTTGAATGCCAGGTTATGCAAGAAGGTTTTATACACAAGTCGATCATGCGACAATCTATCTCGAGACTCCAGCCGAAGCCAACGCCGATCATGCAAAGTTCATGCATCATAATCATGATGACTCAAACAAAAAAGGGGAAGTAATGCCACTTCAGTAAAAGCAAAGCGACCTAGACAAAAAGATACAAGAAAATTCGGAAGAGACCTGCCTCAACGCTTATGCGTTCTCGGCATGGTACATGTCCCGCTCCTTTCGTCCAGCTGGGTTCTCATCCGCATTCCACTCCAGGTGCTGCTGCGGGATCTCATACTTGCTGCTCTTCCAGGGAGCGACCTTGTTGACATACATGTAGTCGAGCTCCTCAAGAGTACGACCCTTGCCCTCAATGACGAAGAAGTAGATAACAAAGACAGCGACCAACAGGCAGCCTGCGAAGACGTAACCGTAGGCAAAGTCGATAGCACTGGTAATGAAAGTGGTGAAGAATGAGATGAGGAAGTTCCAGGCCCAGTTGGAAGCAGTGGCCAGGGCCATACCCTTGGCACGGTACTTGGAGGGGAACAGTTCGGCGACAATAGCCCAGATCATAGGGCCCCAGGTCATGGCGTAGGCAGCAATGAACAGACAGGTAACGACGATCATACCCTTGCCGACATTGGGGGTGTTCTCCGGGTTGTCAATGTCCAACATGAAGTGACCCAGAGAGGCGAAGATCATGAACATCACGAACATCCACACGGCACCAAAGATGAGAGACTTGCGACGTCCATAGTTCTCAACAATGTAAAGACCTCCAAAGGTAGTACCGAAGTTGACGGCACCCAGGATGACCTGGGTGATGAAGCTGTCCGAGATACCGGCACCCTGGAAGATAGTAGTACCCTAGAAAGACAAAAGAATGTTAGAAATTTGATTCGTCACAGCGATGTTTTCGAACTAGGGATAGGGATAACTCACGTAGTAGAAGAAGTAGTTGGCTCCTGTGAGCTGCTGCAGACTCTGGAGGGCCATGCCGAGCAGGATACGGTAGAGCATACGAGGGGCAGTGAGGAATTCATGCCACACCTGCTCCTGAGACTCGGCCTCGAATTGCTCACGGATTTCCTCCATCTCCTGGATAATCCGGACATGGTTCTCAGGAATACCGTACAGCTTAGCCAAGGTCTGACGGGCACTATCGACCTTGCCATGGCGGAACTCATAACGAGGGCTCTCGGGGAAGAAAGCCATTCCACCACCGAGGATCACAGCGAAGAGGAAAGTCAGACCCAAAGTGATACGCCACTGGGCAGTTCCATCGAGGGTGTGGGTACCCAGGTTGATGCAGTAGGCGAGGAAGATACCCAGAGTCACGAAAAGCTGGTAGCAGGAGATCATGGCACCACGAATATGACGCGGGGAGCTCTCACCCTGGTACATGGGGACCAAGAGGGAGCAACCACCGACACCAAGACCAGTCACCCAACGACCCACAACCATCTGCCACCAGTGTCCATCAGGGGAAGTGATCTGAACGATCAAACCAACGATCAGGATAGCACACCACACCGAGATCGACCACTTCCGGCCGATAAAGTCGGCTAGGGGAGCTCCAACCAAAGCACCAATCAAGGTACCGATGGAGAGCATAGCGACAATCAGACCCGAGCGAGTATCACTAAAAGCATACTCGCCATTGCTGTTCAGCTCGCCATAGCGTTGCAAGTAGTTGCTCATCTCCTGGAAGCCGGAGATCTGACCGGTATCGTAACCGAATAGTAGACCACCCATTGAGACAAAGAGAGCCATCACCAGGGACCGGAGGGTGACGCGTGGAATAGGAGTATCGACTCCGGCCGGACGCATGGGCTTCTGAATAGGACTATTTTGGAAGGATGTGTCTGTGCTGGAGTTCTGAGCTGGGGTAATAGACTCCCCATGATGGGCAGAAGATTCAAGACCCATGATTGATATTGGTGTTTTGGGGGATTGTTATACCCTCCGTTGTCACTCCGAAGGTAGATATGTTATATCGAGAGAATATCAGGCAATAAAGACTTTGATATATGGAGGTGTCCCTGATCTTCACACAAGAACAGAGTATCAAGAGAGGATGCCTGTGGGGAAGATGAAAAGAGGAGATGTCAGACTGGAGGAAAACCGGGCCCTTTTTGTAATCCTGCAGGGACAGGGACATACTCGTAAGGAAAGAAAAAAAAGAAGGAAACACGCCCCTCATCTCCCCAGCAAAACTTCACCCACAATTGTTCATTCGTCGAGGGGCCCCCAGTGGAGAGACCGTGTGGAGAGCCACGACGTGGACAACGACTCTTAGAGCCGAGTGCCGTGCAGAGCAGATGACGATGACCAACATGCGACCACAACCGGCCGAAGTTGGTTATTTGCAGGGACACAAGATATCCACCTGGTCAGGAGACTACCAGTCAGGGTTAGTTCCAGCAGGGTTCCGGATATGGTGAACCATTCAGAGGCCGTCGATGCCAACGGACGGCCGGGTTGGCCGGGACCACGATGGAGACAAAATATCGGCTCGGCTGGATGAAAATTCACCATTCAAGGCCCGGCAAGTGGCGAAAAAGGCAAAACTCGGGGCACCAGACAGCAGTCAAAGCCGTGCCGAAGTATGACGTTCGTGGCTCGGCATCGGCTTTGGCTGTGATCGGCTCCCGAGACGGCATTCATAGTGTGACTATTAGCATTGCCAAGTCGGCCCGAATTCGTAATCTGCTTCGTATTTGATTCTCATGTCTGGTAGTTGGTTGTTGAATATTTTTTTCAAGATACTCTGGTAAGATAGGAGTAAGCGAATCAACTCCCCAGCATTCGCCTTGCATTCCGGGGCATCCGCCCCCAGGCTGCTCCGGATTATTTCGCCCTGGAGACGATGCCAAACCCGATGAGTGTCTCGGTGAAGCATCGCTGGAGACACTGCCCCCCGGGGACTCTCCGTTGCCCGCATATCTCCAGTCTCCAGTTTTTTCGAGTTTACACGTGTCGTTTGAAAAGGGTCTTCTAGAAGTGGGAACTGTCGACCTGGATCAATGGGTAATATTGAACAGGAATTTGCTACGATGGCTTTTATTATGCAATACTTGATAGTATCTCAAGGTTGCCTCTATACACACTCTCCCACAATCTCAAGCCCATCATTCGAGCTTGGAAACGCCTTGAAAAGCCTGATCTTCCCTGGCCGCCCATCAGTGGCGGCGCCACACCCGCGGCAGGTGCCTGAATACGTCACTGCAGAGTTTGCACAACCACCTTTCTATGTGCAAATATGAAGATACACGGTTCACATAGGAATCATCTCGTCAATTCATTCACACTCGGATTTTTTCTATCCCATGCCCGGCTAAGTCTTTTATAAAACCCCTACTACTTTAGCGATTCCAAGTAAAAAAAGGGGAATATCTCCGAATCTTTTCCAATTCATTAGGTTTCGAATCCCTCAGGCTGAGTCAGCAGGAGTAGTTTTTAAGCGCTCGTTTTGAGGAAAAATAATACAAAGTTAAGACAGGGGAAAATCATTGGCTTTGTTCTTTGCCTGTGGGTCATTCAACTAATATGTTAATTCTTCATACGTAAGCTCTCCGGTCCCTCCGGTTCGTCGGATCTTCTCGCGGCTCCGCCAGTTCCTCGACATACTTTTTAGTAGGCGAGCGAGCTCTTTACAAACATCGGATGAAACATGCCGAGTTCCTTACGAGTGCAGTCAATCACCCAACCGCGGTAGGGAGGTCAGCCGGCTAATTGTCGGTCGGATTAAAATCTAACAGTGTAACAGGTCAAATGATCAAGGCTTGGTAGGTGTATAGCATGACATAGTCATGCGCTATTGGTTCAGTATTGCCTCCGCAAGAGAGAGCTTCCAACCGAGCCTCAGTGACCGAAAATGAAAGAACAATGTTGGGCCAATCCAAGTTTTTTTGAAGTAGGTCAATTTGATGGTCGATGCTTATTTAGTTTTGTTTCTTCACATGGAATAGTGCCGTGTTTTTTCGAGACTTACCTGCGTCAATAGTAGCATAAAATAGGCGAATAGCAACCCCTAGTATAGCCACATATAACACGTTAGGTTAACACCATCCTAATTCCAGCCCTTTTTCTCGTTCCGCCTCCTTAATACGCCATTTCGGAAGCCATGAGGCCCGATTCTTCACACAGCACGGACTGAATGCATCGGCCCTTGTCCGGTTGAGGCAAGCGCAGCCACTTCCCCCGCTCGCGACTGACGCTAAACCCTAGGAGCCCAAGTTGGGGAATCAAATTGCGGAGAGAACGTACATCTATGGAGTGGAGCTACGCGGAGTAGATACCACAGGCTCGACCATACTGAGATATCATGCTCGGTCGCTTCGTGTAATTTTTCCGAAGTGCAGCTCGTGTCTCCGCTTCTCCGGTGATCCTGCAGAATTTCCCCAGATTCGGTTCGTCATCTCGTTCTTTTGGGCGTGCTATCCCCAGTCTTCACCCATGTATTCATGAATCCATGATTAAACTCAATATACTATCAATCAGCCTAACCCTTAAACGTACAGTCTCCTCCGTCTTATTTCCCTCCGTAATTTATCTGCCACCATTCCCCTTCCATTTCTCCACTTCTAGTCCTCAAACAACACGGCCCGCCGTTTGAACTAGCTCCAGCGTCTAATCCGTCTTCAGAACACTTTCCCTGACCCTGTTCCATAACGGAACCTTCTCCGCATTCTCCCCTGAATAATCCCAATGCATTCTGTTGCAAGCCTGCACCAAATAATTATTTAAGCATCGTAGTCGCGTCGTAGCCTTAGATTCTCCACGATTGACACTTCCAACCCCCATCAATTCGTGCAAACATCGCATCCAATGTACTACTCCGCAGCGGCCTTGCTGCTTGCTGGGTTGGCCTCGGCCCAGGTGGCTGAATATGGCCAGTGTGGAGGTCAAGGCTGGACTGGCTCGACTACATGCGTATCCCCGTATACTTGCCAGTATCAGAATGATTGGTATAGTCAATGCTTACCAGGTACGTCATCCTCTTAGAACACATGAGAATTACTCCCTACTAACTCCTCTCAGCGACGGGCTCCAGTAGTACCACCTCGACCACGAGCAAGTCAACCACCACGTCAACCACGACCAAGACCACCACGTCAACCACGACCAAGACCAGCTCGTCAACCACGACCAAGTCGACCACCTCGACTACGTCCGCTCCGGTGTCCACTTCCACCGTGTTCCCCACGACCAATGGTCTCAACTTCACCATTGATGGAGAAACCAGCTACTATGCCGGCACCAACTCCTACTGGATCGGCTTCCTGACCAACGACGCCGACGTCGACCTGGTGATGCAGCACCTCTACGACTCTGGTCTCCGGATTCTCCGCGTCTGGGGCTTCAACGACGTCAACACGATCCCGTCATCCGGTACCGTCTGGTTCCAGCATCTCACAGACGGAACCGCCACGATCAACACCGGTGCCGACGGTCTGGAGCGTCTCGACTACGTAGTTACCTCGGCGGAGAACCACGGCATCAAGCTGATTATCAACTTTGTGAACAATTGGTCAGACTACGGTGGTATTGCGGCCTACGTTTCGGCCTTTGGCGGCAGTGCGACCACTTGGTACACCAACACTGCTGCGCAGGCCGCTTACCAGACTTACATCAAGGCTGTGGTGTCTCGGTATAGTTCCTCTCCTGCTATCTTCTCGTGGGAGTTGGCCAACGAGCCCCGCTGCAATGGCTGCGATACGTCGGTTCTGTACAACTGGATCAAGACGACCAGTGCGTATATCAAGTCTCTTGATTCGGAGCACATGGTGTGCATTGGTGATGGTAAGACAACCCCTCTATCAGTTTTATCGTGGAAGACAATCTCAGAACTCTACTAACCCATGTCTCTTTTTCTAGAGGGCTTCGGTCTGGACACCGACACGGACGGCAGCTACCCATTTACCTATGGCGAAGGTCTCAACTTCACCGAGAACCTCAGCATCGACACCATCGACTTTGGTACTCTCCACCTCTACCCGAACAGCTGTAAGTAGCTCATCCCCAACTATGCCTATCAAGTACCAAACCTCGCTCACACGTTCAACAGGGGGCGAAGTAGATACCTGGGGTCCTACCTGGATCAAGGCCCACGGTGATGCCTGTGTCGCTGCTGGCAAGCCCTGTATCCTGGAAGAGTATGGATACCCCTCAGATCACTGCACCGTTGAGGCTCCATGGCAGACGTCGGCGCTGGATACCAAGGGTATTGCTGGAGACATGTTCTGGCAGTGGGGTGATACTTTGAGCACTGGGCAGACCTCGGATGATGGTAACACTATCTTCTACGGGTCGAGTGACTTTACTTGCTTGGTTACGGATCATGTTGCTGCCTTTTAGGGAAGCTATCATGAATGCTGCAAGTGTTGAAGTGATGGGTCTGATGCTGGGCAATCATTCCCGAGTAGGAGGATAAGAAATATATACTTGCTTTGACCTACCTGTCTGTTGAATGCAATGCAGGTCTTGAGACTCTAGGAGTCAGCCATATATTCAGAAAATGTTATTCTTAAACTCTACTTTTCAGGGATATTTCATTTCTCCAAAAAAAAAAAAAAAAAAAAAAACGAAGGATGGCCGTACTTCCAAATTGACCATCTTCTTGTATGCGAATCACCCTCACGTGATAAACGGACTGAGCGCCAGCGCGTGAACAAGTCAACTCCCTTCTTCCTCCACGGGCGCGTCGTCTCCTCAACGGAGGCAACAATGCCCCGTCGACTGCGATCAAATCGCAATCTGGAGGATCCTCCCAATATCGAAGCAAAAGTTAACTATGACCACCAGGAAAGCGACCAACCACTTCGATTCCTCCCTCCGCGCTCTCCAACACCCACACCCACGCCCTCCCTTATCCTCCACACCCCATCTCGCCTACCAGGCATAACAAGCGCTGACATCCAAATCCTCCGCACAAAACAGCGTCGCTTACAGCGCTCAGCTACTCTGACACTACAAGCTACCCGCGAGTTAGGGCCCCGGGCAGTCCGAGGACTAGCATCGACACTGATCTTCGCACAGCATGAAGCCGGTACAGCAGTCTGCATTGACCCGCGCGGGTGGATGCTAACCTGTGCGCATTGCTTCGGCGAGACGATGCAAGAATGGCGCGCTCACCGTCGCAAGTGGCTTCTATGTTATACCGGACTCGCCGTGCAAGTGGAGTGTTTAGTGTGGGATGCGCGTCGCGATCTCGCCCTGGCGAAGGTGATCTGCATCGAAGTGCCAGAGGAGCTACGCAGTAGTCGCGGGCCAGTGTCCGCAACACCCGTCTTCGCATACATTCCCCTGTCCACGTCGCAGTCAACCACTGCACCGATTATCTGTATCGGACAACCTGGAGCTGATGACCTCGAATCCGCCGCGCCCCGCAAAACCGCATACGATTTGATCGAGATCTCCCAGGGGCGATTATGTGGGATGATACCCGACGTGGATCCACAGGATAACTCTGAGATTGGGAGTCTGAAACACGATGCGTGGACGTACTGGGGACACTCGGGGGCACCGCTGTTGCGGAGGGTAGACGGGAGTTTGCTAGGACTGCATTCCTCGTGGGATGACAGTACCGCGATGCGTCATGGTGTGCCACTAGTCGCCATCAAGGCGTTTCTCAATGAGCACCTTCCCCAAGCCGAAGATGACCTCCGCGCGTCTGCCGAATCGCCTTGTAATCTGGAGAATAAAGAACCCGAATTCATAGTGATAGATAGCTCTGATTGATTTCTTTCTTTTTGGTATTTCAAGATCAGTCGCTACTTCGAAACCAATATACATGAAGTCTTGTCCAGCAAAACAGTAGCTAGGATGCTATATACCACCAGGGAATTTCCCGATCAAAAAGCAAAAGCCAGGTCAAATCGTCTATCGTTTACGGTGTGTTGGAGGTGCGTGGGAAAGGGGTTGTAGATGGCTATCCGGGAATCACGTCGTGACAATGTCGCAAGGAAATGTAAAAGATCCGGGGAACCGCAGGGACGACAAGACCGCAAGGGAAAATGGATAGCCGCAGGGGATAGTCGAAGGCGAAAAAAACCGAAAGCCGCATGGGAAGGTGAATTGGCCGCTGTGGGTATTGGCAAAAACGGGGGAAAAAGAGCCAGGCAGACGGCAGACAACAACCGGGCAGGTTAGGTTAGTCGGTGGTTAGCGGACGAAAGGTGGCATTTTGGCGAAGGGCGACTGGATCGAAAAGAAAAGGGAGAGGGTATCGTCGTGGGCAGAAATCATGGGCTTTTGGACTTTCCAGGCAGTTCGGTTTTGGCAGAACCCTTGGTGGACTCGGGGTAGCCTGGAGAGAGGGATTCGTCGTCGTGATCCACGGCGTCGGTGGGAGGGCCGCGGTAGTTCTTGTAGCCCCAGACACCGTACCAGATGGCTGCGATGAGCACGAAACCGAAAAATACGACCGAAGCGTAATTCATACTTTCCTTGGTGACCACCTTGAGAGTGGGCATGCAGAACAGGGGAATGGCAAGGAGACTCCATCCTAGTGGGGAAGAGGGTGATTAGCGAAAGGGGAGGGGAGGGGAAGGTCGTGCATCAAATAATAAAACACTCACCAAGGGCGAAGACGTTGGCTACGAGTCCAACGATGCCAAAGTTGAAGTTGCCGTTCTTGATATCCTCGCGACGACGGAAGATCAAGGAGACAGCCACGGGGCAAGCGTAACTCATCGTCAAGAAGATGACACCCACACCAGAGAAGGCGTTGTAGGCCGCAGTAGAACCGAAGTAGATAGCACCCAGAGCAATCTCAATGACCATACCAAGGGCCATGGCATTCAAGGGAATGTTGAGCTTCTTGTCGACGGTGCGCCACCAGCCAGAACCAGGGATACCACCATCACGAGCAAAGGCCCAGGTGCAGCGAGAGGTGGCCGTAACACAGCCTACACCGCAGATAATACCAAGAACGAGCAGGGGGATGGTCAGACAGAAGGCACCGGCCGAGTTGCCAATGGCGTGCTTGAAGATGACGGGAGTGGGCTGAGAAGCGTTGATGAGCAGGCTCAACTCGGGCATGACGAAGCAGACGGGGATGAGGAAGAGAAGACCGGCGAAAAAGTTGATGACGATGGTACCGACCATGGCCTTGGGGACCATGACGGCGGGTTCGCGGACTTCCTCGCAGAGACTATCCCAGGGGTTAGTATTGAATTCATTTCTAATCTCAGGAAAGAATACTGACGAGATGATCATGCCAGTGGCCGAGGTAGCATAAGCAGCCTGCAACAAGCCGATGAAGAAAGACCAGCCGGCTGGCCAGCCAGCTTGAGGCTCAAAGTGACCAAAGACCCAGGAGGCATTGTTGCGACCTTCTTTCGCGATAGCCAACAGACAAACGACAATGCAAATCAAACCGGCGATGGTCCAGAAGATGGCAAAAGTCTGCGCGTAGAAAAAAGTTAGTGGCTTGCCTCGAAATGGAAAGGGATCACGTGTCAAGCGGGAACTATCGAATAGACAACTCTTTTTCTTCTCGTTGATTCACAACTCACCTCCAACCAGGGCAGCCACTTGTTACCAAAGGCCGAAATCGCATGAGTCAACAGGGTGATGGCCAGGAAAATCAAAAAGGTCTGATAAGCCTGGAAATCATCGGTGATGCCCACGCCGGGGGACTTTTCAAAGACATCGAGACAACCGACGAAGAGCAGCGTCGTACCAAAGTTCACGGCGAGAGTGATGGTGATATTTCCAGCGACATACGACCAGCCACAGATCCACGACGCGACGCGACGGCACCAGAGAGGCGAGAGGACGAACGTTTGGTAGTATCTGGACGGGATAATAGTTAGCATAGTTTCAATTGACTCCAGAGGCGACGGATCCATACACTCCACCGGCAGTTGGATAGACCGAAGTAATCTCGGCGAGAGAAATAGCGACACAGAGAATCAGGAAAGAGACGACCACCCAGCCCCAGATAATATTGGCCGGGCCACCAGCAACGAGCGGATAGTACAAGGTAGTCGAGAGACCGTAAGGCACGGAAGACAGAATAAAGCACATGAAAGTGACCTGCCAGATGGATCGATTGCGCGCCAATTCGGGCTTATATCCCATATCCTCGAGGGTTCGATCGGCACTGGTGGTGTCGGCGCCGGTCTCAGCGCGTGAGGCCGAGACCTTGGAGAAGCGGCGCGTAGTATCTTCCATTGTGACGAGAGAAAGGGTTTATAGTTGGGTGGAATGGGAGAGCATGCGCGGCAGTTTGGTTCCCGGAAGGTATAAGAGGGAATAGAAGTATAGAAGTATGATGAGGATGCTCGTGATAGGCGATTGCTTGAACCTATACAGAGCAAAGATCCTTTTCTTCTCGAGTATACCCAGTATACTCTTCTATCGTAAAGTCAAAGTAGGAGGATCAGAATTGAAGAGATCAAAAGAGTATGGAAACCTTCGGACGGAAAAAAGTGGGAAGATAGCCTCTTCTTAGCATAAAAAAAAGAAAAAAGAAAAAAAAAAAGAACGAGACAAAAAGGGCGAAAAAAAGGCGCGAGTGGGGAAAGACTTGGCGGCTGAAGGGGCGTGGGAGACGGGGAAAGATGAGACTCCGGACTAACCGTCCATAACGGGGCTAACACTGCCCTATTCCAGTTCATCTTGAACGGTGAAAACGTGGGAGAAGACTCCTCGTTTCCATCGTTTGGACGTGGCTTGGCGGGTTCTCGTCTCTTTTCGACTTTGTTCTGGGAGGCGGAGGCAATTGGAAGAGCCAATCAGGGCGAATAGTCGGATGAACCATGATGGAAGGGAGGAACACTGTCGGATGAAATATTCTTTGGAATAGTTGGTATTATTGGCTAATAGCCAGCGCAGTTTCAATGGTTCATTTCCGAGCAGAGATCGTGGCGGATACCATTTGCGCAACACGGAGGTTATTGATTGCGCAGCAGTCCAGTGCTACACTATCGCACTGCACTCTGTAGTACATACTCTATCTAGTTAGTGAATCACTCTTCGAGCGGACATGATAGTCGTCGTTCCTCCGTCCATTGGCCATACGGCAGATATCTCATGCATTGGGTTTAGTCCTGCCCATCCTTGCCCACGTTGAGTCCCTCGTTTTAGCGTGTTTAATTGTGATTCGCATCCCTAAACTCGGCCCAGTACCACCCTACACTCCTACAGTCCCCGGAAAGAATCCTGCGCCGCGCATACAATACTCACGATATCCTACATTATTATTTCTAACTGGCTGTGTTAACTGTTAACTCCAACGCTCAAGGTTATTCACGGCCTGCAAAAAAAAATGGTGGCGCAGAGATGATGATGTCAGGGGCGGAGGGAGGCGGACGCCTCCCATTTGGCGTACCGCGGGATGGCCACTTAACGGAGTCCATTCAGACACTAAGGGACTCCTCTTCCGAGTCTCCGACTGGATCGTCTTTCGAGATGGGGGAAATGGGACTCCGCTTACACTAACTGCTTACATCTTGGCCTGCGCGGTGGTGGATGCTGCCTAAGTATTGAAACCGGGAATGGACAGTTGACTAGGTATTGGCCGAGGCAGAAGAATAGTGTAGGAGACTCCCGAAGAATAGTTAGTTGAACTATCATGCGGATTATTAACTGTTGAATGGACATCTTCGTGGGACTTGGGAGTCTTTTCTAGGATCAATGAATTTGCGCTTTGGCCGATCCATCCACAGTCTACTCAACGGACTCGAAATGAACCCGTCCATCCCGCAATTTACTCTGAAACAGACCATCCCTCGGCTTCAATTTAAGTTTGAGATACAATTCCTCGCTTATGGCCGCACTCTACAATAAACTCCTCTCTCCTCCTCTTCTCCCCTCGACAGTGTCATCATCGTGCTTCGTGTCAAACGGGGCACAACAGTGGGGCCGCGTGGCTTGTTTCGCCGATGAAACTACGAAAGGAATAGGATAGGCGTGGGAAGAAAGGGGGCCGGAGTCCACAATCAAACCAAGTTCATCCACGGCAAGAATGAGTGACGCTGATCAGTGACGACGAGGGTAAGAAATAAACATGAGAACCTAGAAAATTCAAAGAACGCCCGCCGAAGCACTCTAATTCCCCCCTGCGAGGAACGACCGGGGTGCCGACCAGGATGGCCATCACGCAATAACAAAAAAAAAGTGCAGAGCCTCTACTTTGTTTCAAAGTCAATGGCCACCTTGAGCGCTTGGTGGTGTGCCGCTGCTTGGAACGTCTTGTACGCGGTGGCTCCCTCTGCGCTGGGAAAGTCTAAACACCCACCACGATGCATTAGCATGTCAGACTTGGACTGGAATGGGGAATGAGGCATATATGGAAATATACGAGAACACACGCGACAACTGCCCCCAACTAACAAAACAAGGAAGGAATCGCGAAACTAGAGAGAAGCCATAACGTACGATGGGTCACTAGCGAACCAATCTCCAGCATCCCCGACTCCACCAGTCGCAACAGTTGGGGTGTCGTCGTCGCATTGACCAGCGACATGTGGATACCTGGTTTATTCCAACGCGATCAGTAATTGGTCTTGTCCAACCAACTTTGAAAGCTCTCACGGGTGAACACGGGACTCGAGAGGGCGTACTGATATTTCGATCCCACAACTTCTCCAGATGCAAATCCACTGCTGTCCCGTGGACGCCCACATTCGCGATGCGCCCTCCCACGGCGACCAGCTCTTGACACAAGGCAAATGTGGCCGGAATCCCCACGGCTTCGATCACCGCGTCGAATCCCAATCCCTCGGTCAGTGCCAGGAGCTGTTCTCGCGTATCTGCGGCGGAAGAGTTCACAGTGGCATGCGCGCCCAGTTGTCGCGCCGTGGCCAGTCGTGCCTCGTCCAGATCCACCATCACCACCAGCGACGGTGAATACAGTCGTGCCGTGAGCAGCGCAGCCATGCCCACGGGACCTGCCCCGACAATCACCACCGAACTACCCGGCTGCACGTTCGCACTGAGGACACCACACTCCAGACCTGTTGGGAGGGCATCGGAGATACCCAGGGCAGCACGCGGATCGATCGAAGCCGTGAGTCGATGCAACGAGAGTGTCGCATGGGGTATCCGGACAAACTCAGCCTGGGTACCATCGATGGTATTCCCCAGCGTCCAGCCACCGGTGAGACAATGCGATGGCAAACCACGCTGACAGAAGCGACAAGCACCGCACGAGGTCATACAAGAGATTACCACGCGGTCGCCGACGTGTAATTCCTGGACGGCGGAGCCCACGGCATCGATTACCCCGACGCCTTCATGGCCCAGGACCAGTCCGGGTTGTGCGCTGGGGACATCGCCTTTGAGGATGTGCAGATCTGTACCACAAATGGAGGCATGTAAGAGACGGACGATCGCGTCTGTGGGAGTTTGGATGGTTGGTTTGGGGCGGTCGAGGACTTGGATTGTGCCTGGGCCGGTGTAGACGAGGGCTTTCATGGTGGTATAATGGGAGTGCTGATGATACTAATCAGTGCAGGTTAGTATGTATCGCCGTGTAGAAAGAATGCAAGAGAATATATAGAGAGTAAACTGTGGAAGTGTAAGCAAAGAGAATCATGCAACGTCGATGATTCATGAGTGCCCGAATATGTACCGCTGGCCCGAGATCAGGAGATCGGAGATAACAGCGACTTACATGAGCTATGCACACCCCTCATCGGGTTATGGGCCGATCATCGAAACCTGACTTGCCACATTCCAGCAAAGTCTAGACTGCAGATGATTGACTCTAGATCTTGCGGTCCGAAGCGTGCGGGGAAGACGTTGCGGATGTCGATGTGGGGGGAATTCTCCAGTCGACTTGGCGTGAACCGCATGGGGTAAGTGTGGGGGATAAATAAGTATATAAAGGTAATATCTTTGTAGAATTCTTGAATAGATAGAGTCATGTTGCTGTATGTCATGATGAGCTTGGATATGATTATGGAGGAACTCCCACTCCGCCGTGATATAGTCATTATGCAAGTACAAGGCTCTACTATGGAATCACATACCGAATCTGTACAAGGTGACGATAGAAAGCTCTGGTGAATCAGGAAAAGTACAGCCTAATCTACTAGAACTACTTGAGACACATATACCTTGGAACTCAAACTTACCTACTATCCCCAATCATCCCTCCGACGACTAATCAGGAAGTTCCTAGACCTCTTCTAGACCTCAGAATTGCCAGATTCACCACCTTCCAACGTCACCTTCAGACATAAATACCATCTTCTCTGCCACCACCAACACCCAACAACTTCCCTTCCTTTCCATCTCCCAACTCTCATTTTCCAGACCACACTCCTTCACTACACATCACTCTATCAGTCCACCTCACCTCACAAGACACATCTCATCCACTCCCATCATGACCCTGAGAAAGATGGTTCTCTCTCTGCTTTCCCACACCCATCTCCTCAAAGACAAGCATCAACCCTTCCAGCACAACTTCAGGGACTCGGTAGAAGACCTGAGAGCCTGGTCCCGGGAGATCGAGAAGCACGACGGACTCCACGCTCAATACACGTGGATCCGGGATCACAAAGACGAGCTGCAAGAGGGCAAGAAGCTCGTCCAGCGCGAGATGCATATTAGTGCCCAACTGCTACACCTCCAGACCATGGCTGACCAGGAGAGCTCCCCCAACCCCTCCCACCAAGAGCAAATCCTCCAGTACGAGGCCGAGCTCAAACAGACCAACAGGGAGTGTTTGAAGCATCAGGCACTACTTGCAGACTTGGAGAGCTACAAGCCTCCCGGTCGACTGGCGGGTGAGCACCTGATTCTCTACGGCCAACACGCAAATCCCGAAGCGTGGAAGGCCGAGCAAGAGAAGTGTCGACTTCGTGGGGGTTGCTGTGTGCGAGATTGTGGCTGTTGCGAGCGCAATCTGCGGACGGTTCGAGATCGTGCTGGAGGGTTGCGGTACCTCCATTGTTCTCGGGGTTGTGCCTGTTGTGAGCGGCATCAAGGAGAGAGTTGTGTTTCTTCAGCACTGGCCACAATTCAGGTCATTTGATTCTTCACCGGCCACTGAGTTCTGATGGGGACGTTCCTTTGGTTTGAGGGGGTTTTCATTTTCAGCAAGCGGGAAGGAGTTTGATTGGGAATGGTTTCAAAAGGAAGGGGTTTTGTTCTTGGACAGGCGTTAGTTGGGATTCCAGGTTGATTTTATCCGGGGGGTATGGGAGTATGGTTGTGCACATTATCTGATATTCTTTTGTGTTCTGTGTTCAAAGTGTTGTCTTGTTTGGATTTGCTGTCAAGTACATTGTCTCTGATTCTAGCCGAGGTAATCTCGTGGATTCGACTGGCTCAATAGAAGAACGTCGGCTACTATACAATTCCCCACTTCTAATTTAATTCCCTTCTTCCTCTTCGCGTGATTCCCTAAATCCATGGCAATCATCCCTCATCCAGTCTAGTTCCAGCCACCCCGATAAGTTTTTTGTCCGATAGCAAGCATTGCTGGATTAGGTTTGGTGTCAATATCAACTAAGTACTCTAATTGGTCTACCCACTACTCTCTATTCTCCATCGAGTTTAGTTCCAAACTTACACTTACCCTTTTCCCTTTCCCCTCGACTCGGTTGCTAATCCCTGTCCCTTTGTTACGCCCTGATAAGCCCAACCCAGGCATCCCTCCAGGAGGCGCCAAAGAGGCGAAAACGCCCCGACTCTAAATGTCTAGGCATCGTACGGTGCGACACCGGGCCGGTGCATGCGACGGCTGCATGCGGTGTTCGTGCCGTTGAGTTTAGTTGTCCCTGTCTGGCCGAGCTGCCCTGGACTTGGCCTAGTAAACTAGGTTTAGTACTAGGTTAGCTGACCCTGGCCCTGGCCCGTCTTGCCATTATTCCGGTCTACCGGCGAGCTGCCGGTGTGGCTGGCCGTATCTTGGGCTGTCCAGGGCGCTGGTCGGTACAAACTGTCTGGTCGCATGCGATAGAGATTAACTCTGTTCACCAACCAGAGAAGATGAGGAAATCAGGATGGAGATATGGATGGATGGGATTATCGTGGGTGTGATCCTGTGATCGGAACAGTGGTTTGAGTGTAACTCTTTACTAGGAGTATTCTAGTATAGGAGTGTTGTATATTGGATTGTATGCCAGAGACACGAGATATCTGTCCAGGCCAAACCCAATCCAGGATACTCTGAATATCCTAGGGCTGAATACAGACCAATCTGAGTCATTTCTCTTCCTAAAGAATCTCGTCCTTATCAGCCCCTGGTGACTACCCCAGACTCGTTCCGTGGATTTAGCGGGGTCTTGGCTTTTGACTCCACTCGGTTTCCTCTTCTTTTCCTTCTTTTCCTCTTCTTCTCTTATCTCACGGACCCTCATGGGGTCTCTCGTGGCGCCCAGTCACATTCTCCCATTTCATCCAAGCGAACATCCCGTCCTTTCATCAGCCGCCAGGCGCAAGATTTACGGTGAAAAGGGCAAATGGAAAAAAAAAGAAAAAGAAAATAAACGGCCTCGGGATGGAGGGGACCCTTGTCCTGACACTCTTACTCCCCTCGGTACCCCGGAATGGAGTTTACTTAAGAATGCCCGTATTCCCCGCCGATCTTTTGTGAGACATCGAGAGTGTTTGTCCATCCTTTCAATCTTTCTTTTCCACTTGTCACTTCACACCTTTGTCACGGTGTATACAGTGAACTCGTGTGAACATGGCGACTATTGAACAAGTCGCCCCACAGGCTGGGTATCCCGATGATCACCCCGCCATGACCGAGAAAGGTCGCGCCGTTCGGACTTTGGTCGAGGCCGAGTTGCTGGACGATCGCTATGAGACAACTCAACGTGGTTTGAAGAATCGTCATGTCCAACTGATGGCCCTGGGTGGTACCATCGGAACAGGTTAGTCAACACCAAAAGACTTGTACTTTATAATAAAATCAATACTAATCATGGCTTGCTAGGTCTCTTCGTTGGATCCGGTCAGTCTCTCGCTACCGGTGGTCCTGCTTCCCTCCTCATGGGCTACATCTTCATCTCCGCCATGGTCTACGGTCTGGTGACTGCCATCGCCGAGATTGGTGCTTACCTCCCCGTTCACGGTGGTACCATGAGTTACCACGGTTTCCGATATGTCTCGCGCAGCATGGGTTTCGCCATGGGTTATCTCTACTGGTACTCCCTTGGTATCCTCGTACCCTACGAGATCACGGCAGCCGGGTTGGTCATTGGATATTGGGATACCAATGGAACCGTCAATATTGCCGTGTGGATCACCATTATGATGCTCGTGATTATTGCCCTGAATTTCCTCCCTGTGCGCTTCTACGGTGAATCCGAGTTTTGGTTCTCGGGTATCAAGATTATCACCTTGGTCGGCCTGCTTATGGTCTCTTTCATTCTGTTCTGGGGCGGTGGTCCGAACCGTCAGCGACTGGGTTTCCACTATTGGAAGGATCCCGGTTCGTTTAATGAGTACCTGGTGACGGGCGATTCTGGTCGTTTTGTTGGATTGCTCAAGTGCACCGTCTCCAGTGCCATTGCCTTCATCTTCGCCCCCGAACTGATCATCATCAGTGGTGGAGAGATGGAGTCCCCCCGACGCAACGTTCCTCGCGCAGCCCGCCGCTACATCTACCGTCTGGTCTTCTTCTACATCCTGGGTGTCTTGGCCATCGGTGTGATCTGCCCATCCAATGCCTCGCAGCTCACTGCTGGTAACGGCACGGTCAAGTCCTCCCCCTTCGTGGTGGGCATCAAGAATGCCGGCATTCCCGTGCTCGACCACATCGTCAACGCCGCAGTCTTGACATCTGCCTGGTCCGCCGGAAACTCCTTCCTCTACATGTCCTCTCGCTCCCTATACTCCCTCGCCATGTCCGGCAACGCGCCCAGCATCTTCAAGGCCTGTAACCGCTGGGGTGTCCCCTACTACGCCGTCAGCGTCTCCGCCTGCTTCTCAGCACTGGCCTACCTCTCCGTCGGCAACTCCAGTTCCGTCGTCTTCAACTGGTTCGTCAACTTCACCAATACCTCCGGCTTCATATCCTGGATCTGCTGTTGTATCGTCTTCTTCCGCTTCCGCAAAGCCACCGCCGCCCAGGGAATCGAGCAACCCTACAAGTCCCGCCTACAACCCTACGGCGCCATCTTCGGTATGGCCGGTGCCACGCTGATGATGTTGATCAACGGGTTTACCGTCTTCTTCCCATCGGAGTGGTCAGTTAGCAACTTTTTCACTGCGTACATTGGTATCCCCGCGTTCTTGATCTTGTACTTTGGTCACCGGTTCCTGTACTGGAGTGATCCCTGGGCGTGGCGTCCGGAGGAGGTGGATATGCATACTGGATTGCAGGAGATTATTGATGCCGAGTTGCCGGAGAGGCCGCGGGGTGCTTGGTGGAAGTTTTGGTAATTTTGACAGAGAGTGAACTGTGAATTTTGGAGAATACTTGGTTGAGTGGGAGAGTTCTGGTGTTGATGTCTTCTGTATAGTTTGATACCACTTCGCCTTTAATTGAATGGAGAATTTATTACTTAGCACCCTCTTCTACAGTCAACCTTGAAGCTGATCGATAAGCACAACGGATGACCTTAATAAATGACAGAATCAAATCAGCCGCATGTGACTTCTTCCTCCAACTGCCGTGAAGATCCACAATCCGATCCGCCTTGTCCACTTCGTCATGTCCACTTCGTCTACGTTATCGAATCTCCGCACTCACCCGCACTCGCCCGCACTCGATAAGATCGGCAACTCATGACGACCGAAACAAGACGTGAAAGAATCATATAAGATCGCCTTTCTTCCCCTTCGGCATACGCCGTGAACCGTTTCTCATTGAATCTCCGTATATCGGCATCTTTGCAAGCTTCTCTCGGACTCGGAAATTTATAACTGCGACCGGGCCGCACTGAGTTCACCGATCTCCCACCAGCCAAACTTTAACCAAATTAGCAACTCGAACCCGAAGTCCGAGACATCATGGCCGTCTTGCCTCCGACCGTCCACCCGATTCAGCCTCCAAGCGGATCTCAGATCGATTTCGGAGCGCAGATCGAGGGAATCGACTTGGAGAACATTTCCGGTATGCATACCCATCCCCAATCCGACCTCAATATCCCTACTAACACCACCCCAGACGAACAATTCACAACGATCCGCAACGCACTATACAACCACCACGTGGTAGTTTTCAAAAACCAACAAAAAATCTCCCCAAAAGCCCAATATGAACTCACAAAGCGCTTCGACCCTGCAGCCGACAATTACGGCCACGGCAAGACCATCGACGCAAAACGCAGCATCCTCCACCCAGACCTGAAAACCGTTCCTCACCAACCACAAGTGCAAATCATCGGCAACGGATTCGTCGAGTCTTACGAGGGTCTGGAGAACTTCCAACTGCGACACCCGCACCACCGCACTTTCCATAAAGATCGTATCCCGGACGACAAGGACTATGATTATACGCGGTTTTATCGCTGGCATATCGATGCTGCCTTGTACGATTTGAATCCGCCGCAGGTGACTACCTTGCTGGCTGTGCGTGTACCGAAGGGTCGGCGGCAGACTCTCCTTTACGATGACGGGTCTGGCGAGACGATGGATGTACCACTGGGTACGACGGCGTTTGTGAGCGGCGAGAGGATGTATGAATTACTCTCGCCGGCTGAGCAGGAGTTTGTGCGGACGAGTAAGATTGAATACGCGGCTCATCCGTGCGTACCCCCGATCAAAACAAAAAGCAAAAAAACAAACTCATCTAGAAGAAACTATACTAACTACTTGCGCAGGTATATCTGGATGAGTCCCGCACACTCCCGCTCCACAGGACTCGGCCTACACTCCGAAGGCCTCGAACTCCCAGCAACCTCCCTCCCCCCCCATCGAAGCAAACAAAATCAAAACCTTCCCCATGCTCTGGAAAAACCCCGTCACTGGCAAACTATCCCTGCAAATCCACCCGTCAGCCATCCGAAAGATCCATCTCGCCGACGGCTCGGTGATAGATGATCTGGAACGAGTGCGGGAAATCGTGTACAAGCTACAGCGCCCCGGTATCAGCCCGCAGTATGTTTATGCGCATGATTGGGAAGAAGGAGATTTGGTGTTGTTTAATAATCGGGGTGTTTTGCATTCTGTTGTTGGGGCGTTTAAGCCGGAGGAGGTGCGGTTGTTTAGGCAGTGTAATCTGGCGGCTTCGGAGCCGCCGGTTGGTCCTTAGATTATGATTTGTATTAGATTTTAGAAGGGTGATTTGATTTGAGTATATCTCATTCTGTGGATATTTGGGCGTTAATGTGTTGCATTGGTGAGGAAGGATTGCAATGATATTATTACAATTTGATTAAATTGGTATACATTTAAAATGAGTATGTGCCAAACTCAACGAGAAATAGAAAATATGATACAGCCAATGATCAGATCATCGCACAATGTAAAACCCATTCACGGCCACCTGTCGTTCCCTCCATTCATCCGCCACAGACCGAACTCCAAGTCGATGCAACGGGACCTGCTCCACCCATTTCTGCCCCTTGGCTCGTATACTTTCAACACCCTGCCGTGTCTTGTCCACCCAGCCAGTATTCTGCTGATCCGACACATCCACGGTTGGTCCGTCTGCAGCCCAGGCGGGGTGGGAGAGGGTACTCTGCACGACTGATATATCATATGCATCGGCGAGTACAGCTGCCTCGGCGGCTGCTGCTTGGGCATCTGCAAGTTCTTGGCTGGTGGTACCGGTAGGAGGTGGGATGTCTACCCGGAGGAATCCCATGACGCGAATCTCCACTTTGGTTATTTGGAAAGGTACTTCATCCAGGAGACGTAGCTGGACGACGTGCTTGGCGACTTGGGACATGTTGACCCGTTCAGCTTGGAGGGGGTCGAGAGTGCGAATTGATAGGATTGATGGACACCAGGGACTCATCACCTTCTCCTTTCCAGTGCTAATGTCAAATCGAGCCCAGCCGAAGAAGTACCCTCGTAACTGCTCCGGAACCCAATCTGGGAATTTGGCGAGGGTTAACTTTGGGGTATCGCTAGGACTGCTCGGGGAAATTGAATGACCGAGTTGGCCCCGAGCTTGGAAGATCATCGGGAAAGGAGGTTGAGGGCCAATTTCAGCTGGTGATACCTCATGGGCCATCACCGCTGGACACCCATCTCCCTGCACCTTGCGAGGTTGTGCAGATGACCCACTGTAGATCCCCGCAACTCGATCTTGAATACCACTCGCGGAATACGCCTTTTGAGCCGCCGCTTGCGTCAACCACGACGGACGGTACGGATTCAACTTTGATGTCACCGATGTCACCGATGTCACCGCTGTCGTAGCGGGTGTCATTACAGTCTGCGCTGCCGTTTGAGCATATAAACTAACAACCATAGCTCCAACCTCTAAGGGCAGAGTGCTCAGGCTCGCACCGCGAATGGAATGCGGGTTTGTCGATGTTGAAATGACGCGAAACACGGGACTATTCCCAAGTACCTTCTTTTTTTGACCTTGACACAACACAAGCTGGAAGTAGCCATCACCAGCTTCGGCGGGAATGCGTACCACGACTGTCTCTCGTAGTCGATGAGCATCACGCTGTCTCGAAGGTGCCTTTTTGAAAAACTTTTTGATATCCCGCTGCCAGGCGCGTTCATCGTCTGGGTTCACTTGATCTGCACGGACGGGCATACCCGGGGTAACGTCGAGCCAGCTGTCATTGAGTCGAAACAAAGCTTTAGCACGCATACCGGTCTTGCCGGACCACCCTTTATTCTGCAGCCATACAGTGCGGTCCTGTGGCAGGGGAGTATCGGAGAAGATCGACACAGCTACCGAAGTGGCATTACCCCGATAAAAGACGAGGCCATGAGAGTGACGCAGAATAGTGAAATGCTTGTTAGATTCTGTGGGATGATTGATCAAGCCACCCAGGAAATGACGGGCTTCGCCATATGCCTTTTGCACAGGCGTGGGAGATGGACTTCGAGAAGGTGATGGCGATGGCGACGGCGGTGCTGATGAACTAAATGCGCCCGCCGTCCGTGGTCTCAAACATGTATCGGGTTGAGGTACTGGCAGTGTCGCTCCATATAAATCGTTGTAAGATGGAGGCCGTGATAATGGTGGCGGCGCTAAACATGGGGAGGTAGTGGCATGCGACAATCCTCCAGGGGCTTGGGCAAGGGCAGTTCCCCTGAGATTTGGATTGGAAACTGGTTTTCGCCTGATCTGGAATCCATCAGGCGGTGGTACCGGCCTCAAGTATGTAGAAGCCATTCTCTACATGGTATCCATCGCCAGTGTGATTGAGTAAGAGAATGAAACAAGTATAAAGCCCAATGGCGTAGTAAACTACAACTCGAGATCGTCATTGCGGATGTTCGGAAGCCGCGATTGGGCGGAAGTGCTGAGTCACGTTGATGCCTCAGGCATGATGTCCTCACTGAACTGACCAGTTCACTAAAGTATGTGAAATTGATTCTCGAACGTTGATAGTTGCAAATAAATGATGAACCCCTGCACTGCGCCGTGTGTATGCATGCCAGGCTAAAATAACTACAACAAAAGACCTCCCTCCTGTCTATGCATCCATGATACCACCAGTTCCCGTACTTGTCTAAACGAGGGTTCGCGCGGCGTTGAGACTATGTCATAGGCTTTTGCGCCGTGTTAAAACAGCTAGACAGGAAGTTAGTACTGTGAATTATCTATAATAGGAGACTCACTTACAGCTTTGTATAGGCGTGGATTTTATTCGATTGAAGCTCCGCTCGCAAGTGCGCTAACAAAACCTGCACCTCGACGGGTTTCCAGCCTCCGAATCTTGTGAAGAGCGCAAGGGAATAACTTTCCATGGCACCTTCGATCATTTGAGCTCGGAAATAGCGGCCGACTTCTTTCAATTTAGGGTCTTTGGGCCACGTGCCGAATGGGCAAACATGTTCGACCGTGTCGACGGTTTCAAAAGAAGCTTCTCGGAGGAGGCGGGGAAGCTGCGGGGCGATATCCCAAACTCGTCCCTGTATCTCGGTGATTCGATTGAACTCGCGCTGCAAGGGTTAGTTAAATATGGGCTTTCCATAGTGTTCGGAGTTGTTCTGGCACCGACCTCCCATTTGTACAAGTAGCTGTCTTCCGGACATGAGCCATCATCACAATATAGCTTTGCGCGAGATTCCGCGACTTCAATTCGTCCACCGGGCTTGAGGTACCTTGAAGCGATTCAAATATCAATCAGCATGTCACAATACGTGCATATGTTTGGACAGGCTGCTGTATCGCACGCACTGGTAGCATCGTTTCAAAAATGATGACCAATCCTCTATACTTCCAGCGAAACATCGCACATGGATAAAATCAAAAGACTCGGGTTGAAAACTCCATTCTCGTGTCACGTCGTCGATAATAAAAGAAAGGTTAGGCGGGATCCTGTGCTATGTTAGGACACAACACGTTCTATAACATCCTTGATGATGACGGTTACTGACCAACCCGGTTGTATTGGAGAGAGGTCCACTCCGGTCACCTCTGCCGATGGGAACTCGTCCGCGACTGATGCTGATTAGCTTCGAGACTATCTTTGACTGCAAGTTGGAGGAGACACACTGTCGACAGCCCAGATTCCCGTGCCCGTTCCAATGTCGAGTATGCGCTGTGGGTGCTCCAACTTGGTCTGACACAGATTGCCATCTAGACAGAGACGAAAGACATGGTGCATTACGTCCAATCTTTCTGAAAGACTTGGTCAGACATCGCAGTGATTGCAAAATGATCTCCATCATACCTTGCTCTCGTTCATCGTTTGGAAGAACCTGTGACGTGTGTGAGTGGCCGTGCATTCCACTTCAAGCTGAGTCTTTGCAAGGCATTGGCAGCTTGAAATAACATACATAAGTCCCAGATCCATAGGCGTGGTAGGTGCGGCCATTCTCGTAGACATAAGTATAGATGGACTCGCTCAACGAGGTCAGATCACTGCGAATGCTGTCGATGTCGCTTGGTGACTGTATCGAGAGCAAGAAATTAGAACAAGCCATCGACTGTCAAGATCGGGTGATCTCAAGATTAGACCATACACTGGCATCGGCATCCACCTCGATTTCCGTTGAACCCGTTGGTCGATCGAGGTCGGTCATAGTCCTAAATCAACTCCAGCCCTCGCACCGGGAACCCTGGGGGCCTGTGGATCGTGGTGATCGTCTGAAATCTCTTGCGCAAGTGAAAAAGAGTCAAGAAGAAAAGAAAAGAAAAGAAAAAGAAAAAAGGGACAGTGCCACGAGAAAAAAAAAGCCCCCGAGAAGAGGGCGTCTGCGCGCAACAAGCGCAACTGGCGAAGGACCCAAGCGGTCGGGACTGGAACATCACCAAACTTCAAACTCTCATTCTTTCAACTTCAAATCCCCCCCCAGTCTCCACTAGCACGAACCACTCTGTCGGGTCTTCTCCCGAACCCAGAATGACGAGGGTATTCCATGCAGCTCGCAGAAGATCACCGTCTCCAACTCCCCCTCTTGGGAACAACACGAGATGTTTACACCTCTCAATTTCCTTATTTCTTCTCTTCCTGATCTCCAGGGGTTAACAAAGAGTCTCCCAGGGCGCATGAATGATCGAGTTAATCGACCTGCAAACGGGCAAGAAAGTCGTTGAGAAAGTGCTCATAGGCTAACCCCCTTGCTCCTCCAGTTGTTTCTCCTCCTCCCATCGTGGTCAGATCTCGACATGTCATTGTTTCACAGGTGCCAACGAGACCTTCCAACCCCCGAGAAAATCGGCCAAGAAGCGGTCTGTTTTCCGTGAGGTAGAGAGACTGGGGACAATGCGCCCAACACCGAAAGTCTTTCTCTCTCTCTCTCTCTCTCTCTCTCTCTGTGCTTGCGTCCGCCACCGACCCAGAGTGTCGGTGCTTGGTGGGGGCTTCAGGATGACCCACGATGCACCACGAAAAGCAGCTGCCGCTCATGCAGAACAAGGTAACACTGGCACTCGGCCGGACAATACCCGGAATGTCTGTGAACGGCCCCTCGTCTGCATGATGTGTCAATTCGCAGCGTTTGCTGGGAAATACCTGCTTCCCTTGCTGTCCAACCCCTTCCCAATGGCAACCCCCCCCCCCCCCCCCCCGGGCCAGATAGATACCTTTGGGCTGAAATCAGGCATGAGGGTCAAGAGGATAAGCTCTCTGGTCATTCCCTCTACCTGACTCCGATGGATTTGTTCTCGTATCTGGAATATTCCCAACCACCGGGCTTGCCGACTCTCTCCTCCTCCTCCTCCTCTCATGCGCCCGCTCTTCGGGGGGTCTTCCATGCTAGATCAGCGTTAGACCCAACCCCTCCCGCCCGCCGCCTCGGTAACCAATATCGACCGAGGAGATGCTGTCGCAGTGGAGCATCCTCAAAATGGATTGCATTTGGGCGCACAGGGAGGGCCACGGGAGGCCTATCTGGTACAGTCGCTAGAATTCTTCGAATGATTCTAGCAAGGTCCAATTTTGAGGGTCCGGGTTCATGCGCTGCTCCAGTTTCCCGGGACTGGACAACCCCTCAAAGCAGGAATTCACACGATGGCCATGATCAACCAGGGTATTCTCTCCGTACCCAGGTCTACGGTTCCAATCTGCATCGTGTCAAGTTCTCCCGCGTCAATGGAACTCGGTTGGGGTTCTACATGCAAGCCTTCAGGAAAAGCAACTATACCAAGGCGGAGAGCCCGACCCGACAGACTGGATGGTTGAAGACAGACGTCAAGGGATTTCTGGCTTGCCACAACAATTATTTTCTATGCCCGCAGAAAGTCCCCGGCAACTTGTGCTATCAAAAGCCCTTGACTTCAACCGATTTTACCCCTTGTTCACCTGCCTGCTGAGCCAGAAGATCCTTGCACTGCTCGATCTCGTTGTATGAAAAACAGATTCCCATGAATTTGACCATGTCGGCGGCTATGATAGCTTAATCGTTAACGATCTGTATCAATCGCGCGATGGGCGGCTAGACTTACGCGTGATTCTCCCACCAGCTGTATCGTTCTCATCCCGCCCATTCAAGCGAGTGAATTTGAGAACCATTTCCACCCGCGGCCGTCGGGACGATTGATACATCTGCAAGCGTGCTTGCATATCCTCCGGTCGGGTACCAAGTGGAAGTAAAGTCGCGATCCCGACAGCGTCCTCAATGGCCATCGCTCCTCCCTGACCCATGTCTTTGAAAAAGATCAGTCATCGGCAAAAGTCCAACGTCAAACAGGGGGCTGTGCTTTTCTTACATGGCTGAAAAGGGTGTGCAGCATCGCCTAAAAGAGCCGCATGGCCTGAGATCCAGGTGGGCAGAGCCTCCATGTCAAAGAGTTCCCACACTTTTAAATTTGCATCTGCATGTTCCACCATCTTTTGCACGCCAGGATGGAACTTTGAGAAACCCTGGATAATGGTCTGCCTCTCACCAACTGTCTGCCAGACTAAGAATCGTGACAGTCAGCTCTCTACGAAGCTCACATCTATGGTGTCCTTCCGGTACACTCACTATCATTCTCATCATCGGTATTCACCTCACTAGAAGGCAAAAAGGCACATAGGTTGAAAACCTTGTTATCAGAGCAAGGGTACGCAACCAGGCGGCGATCTTCAGATGCCCACTCGATGAAAATGCCAGGGTCTTTCACAAATTCTAGCGCAGATTCCTCTTCCTTTAACCTATCGGTGGGTAGAATCCATCGGAAGCAGGACTTGCCCACCGGATGTGGACGAGGTGCATCAGGCGCGACTGTACCACGGACTTGAGACTGCAAAAGTTGTCAGTACATCGCCCGAGGCTATTCTCTCGATATCGGTACATACGTGTAGTCCATCGGCTCCGAGCAAAAGATCAGCTTCGAACGTGCGGCCATCATCCAGGGTCACCGACGGCCGGGAACCGCTAATGTTGATGGCGACGATTCTGCATCGAGTATGAAGAGTTGCAGTCTCGAGGGCGCGGTTCTTCAAATGGTTGTGAAGATCAACTCGGTGAACCAAATACCATTCCTGCAGCATGCTACAGCTTAGCATGATAGGAAACATTTTTCGAACGGTGAGTCCTTGTGTCACTTACTGCTTGCCAGGTACCACGAATCCCGGCGAAATCTTTCTTGTATTTCAGCTCACCCTCAGCACTGTAACGATGAATCTGGAGCATTCAGTTAGCGACGATGGAGCGATTGATGAAATGGGCCTGTATCACCTCATTGAGGAGGGTTCCTCCAAATTCCGTAGGATCAACGCCCATCCATTGCAACAGCGCCGTGCAATTCGGGGGTAAATGAATTGCAGCACCGGCCTCCTTGAGAAACCCGGACTTTTCTAGAATCTAGATCTTATTAGCTGGAAGTTTCCCATTCCTTGTTTCCATCAAACACTCACCACAACACGATGGCCCTGCTTGCCAAAGGCAATTGCCGCCGAGAGACCAGCAATCCCAGCTCCAACAATGAGCACATCCAGCGGTCGATCTGTTCCAGTCATCTCTCCAATTTTTCGATCTTCAATTATTCTTGATTTAGAATTAACAAGTTTCGCAGATCTAGGAGAATACATATACTATTCCAGATACTTCTCATGCTTGACACGATTGAAAACGGAAATCTCCGAATGTTATCTCCGACTTGGTGGATACTCTTAGTGAGCCAATTCGGCTTCTCATTTGCTATAGCTTCGGAGCGTGTCAATGATCTACATAGAAGCCGAATTTCTCGGCTCGCCTTGGGAATTATCATTATCCGCACATCTGTATCGGTGTTAGATTATGGTCCATGCTCTTCGGCGTTACTTCCGTCGGAGACTCGGAAGGGGGTCAGGGGGTCTCAAGGTGGAAACGATGTGGTTTGGCTATGTAGGTGCTCCTACTTTTATGGTGTTTGGAGTTTGGCTTTTGCGTCATGTAGAATGAGCATGGAATATCCCTTGAATCTGAGAATAATTCGCATTCAAAGATTAAGATAGAATTTTTTAAAATGCGCCTGTTACTCGCCATATTCTGCCGGCAGTGGTATGTATTCATTCACAGGACTTTCAGGACTGTTGAGACAAACCCTTCACCTTGTCAAATCACAGCCCATAAATATCGTCCCTTTCAAAGGGGTATCGTAGTATGGCTCAATCTCGACAAAACCATGTCGTCGATACAGTCGTTGTGCAGCCAGCATATCCGGTAGCGTATCTAGTCGAATACCCCGGTATCCCAGGGCCTTTGCTTCGGCGAGAATAGCCTCGACGAGTCTATCACCAAGCCTCAGCCCGCGAGTTTCTGGCTGCACATATAGGCGTTTCATTTCACACCAGTGCTCGTTATTGCGTCGCAACCCGACGCAGCCGACAACAGGTTCAGTTTGAGGAGTTATCAAGGGATCAGCTGAAGTCTGCTGCGATGATCCTGTGGACGTGTTGGAAATTTGTGCTCGTGCAATCAACAGCGCACCTCCTTGCGCGGTGACATATTTTCCGGGTAACGAGTTCAGCTCGTCTTCAAAAGATTGGAAGGTAAGGTCGATCCCTAGGGATGCCGCGTACCCAGAAAATAGTGAATGGATGGCAGCGACGTCGGCTGGGAATCGTGCTGGCTCAATGTGAACTGCCATAAAGACGAAGGCCAGAAGGTGACGGTTTAAGTGGTAGGAGATGTATCTGGAAATCAGTGAAGTTGGAATAGTGAATCTATGTAATTATCAAGAAAGATCAGTTAGCCTATCCGAGCGATGACTCACTGGCCCAAAGGTTGTTATCTGATTGCCTTCTATACGATCATTGATTGGTAAATTCAAGAGGTCTCACGTCCTAATACACAGGAAATTGCCAAGACTATTGTTGACAACATCATTATTTAAGAGATCATTGACAGTAAGTTAGCTGTCGCCCATTCTTTGGCTGTTGTGATGCTCATTCCACGCTGGCGATTCCACGTCTTATCCATATCCCACGCGACACCACGCCCCTGGCCAAAGACTGCTTGATATTTAAGTAATCCATTATCCGGGTCTTTGGCAAGAGCAGCCAGTGCATCCTCGACAGTGATAACGTTCCGCTTCACCGGCTTTTGAACCAGGGACTCTACAATGCGAGCCACATCTTCATAGCTGACAGTATCGCCTCCCACGAAGATCGGCCGATCGGCAAAGAGCGCGTCGCTCTCTTCACCCAACACGATTTCAGCCGTTATTCTCCCAATATCCTCCGGCGTGGTGACCGTGACTTGATTCTCCAAACTACCCAGTGCACAAACTATAGCATTCTCCAAGTCAACCACGCCAAACGATGGCTCGAATAAGAAGCTGGTAAACATGCCCGTGGAAATGATAGCCCAGCGGGTCTGCCTCTGCGACCGGAGGAGATCACGAACATCCAACTGCTCATCGAACAGATCTTGCGGCGATCCACGCCCAATAGCATCATAGTCCACGCCAAACTGCCAGGGGACAAAGCGCGACACGTTTGCAGCTAATACAGCCCGAGCGACTTTCAATTGAATGCCCTGGCCAGACACGAACCCGGTACAGCCGATAACCGTGCCATAATGCGCAAATACCGAAGCCAGGGATTCTCCAGAGTCTTCGACAATGTCACCCGGTACCAGGTCAAAACCTAGGCCACGTAAGGTTTCGATTTCTGTCTGTTTGGCGGGGTAAGACGAGTTGATGCTGGCGGGGCGCAGTAAGACGGCTACCGTTCCAGGAGTATGGCGGGGATGCGCAGCTAAACAGCGAAGCACTTGCAATCCCAGTTCACCTGCTCCAATGACAAGGATTCCTGGTAAGGAGGCCATGATATATTTGATGAGCTAGCTGTCAGATTATGAACAACCGATGGGTGGTTTTAAATTGATTCAGGACACTTAAAACGTGACATTTATCCCGTGCCAGGCTAGCCCCCAAGTTGCTGCTTGGTAATACATCAGGTCATTTCGAAAGCCAAGAAGGAGATAGGAATAAAGGAGATGGAGAAAATGGAATTCAATTCGTACGGTAAGCCTTACTAGTATACTAGGTGGCACTTCCAGTTCTTCATGCTGCAGGTATAGTTTCTTTCTAGGCAGAACGTTTCCTCTGGAATACTAGTAGTATTAGTCCCCCAGAATCGTCAAGAGTAAGGCCCTGGGGGCCTAATTGGAAGTGGTGGCGATCCAATCCCCAAGTAAGCTTTCAGCCAGTTATGGTTGTTAATTTGTTCAAGGTGCAGTCGCCAAGAGATTCATGTCAGCATTTCGCTTCGTATGGAAGCATCCCCCAGTTCTAGAGCTGCGACGTATCTTTTTAAGAGAACAATTCTCCCCGCATTGAATCTCACTATCTTTCTCACTATTCAAACAATATGGATCAACTAACTGAATTCCTCGCCAAAAGTCCTCATATCCGCTATGCAACTCCTGAATCACCCGACTTTGAGGAGCTACGATTAGGCTTCCTCATTAACGAAAGCAACATCCCCGCAATCGTCATCCGCCCGCGCTCAGCTGAAGAAGTAGCAGCGCTGATACCTGTATTGACCAAGAACAACTTACAGTTCGCCGTCAGAGTTGGCGGGCATGATATGTTTGGCCGATCTCAAGTTACAGGCAAGGTGACGATTGATCTGCGAGAAATCTCCCACGTCAATGTCGATGTCGAGTCCCAAACTGCACGATTGGGTGGCGGCGTCATCTGTATGGATATGCTGGAAGAGCTGCAGAAACACAATGTGACCACGCCGTTTGCTGTTACTCCATCCGTTGGTCAGGTTGGCTGGGCAAGCTTTGGTGGTTATGGCCTTCTCAGTACTACATACGGGCTTGGTGTAGATCAGATCGTGGCTGCCAAGGTCGTTGATGCAGAGGGGAAGATTCGCGACGCCGATGAAACCATGCTGACGGGTATTCGGGGAGGTGGGGGTTCATTGGGAGTGATTGTGGAAATGACCGTCAAGATCTACCCTCAGGACCAGGTATGGGATAGATTTCTTAGATTTGATCTCGATGTGTCTAACTGATGTCTTTGCAGGTATTGGCCGGTGTCATCTTTCTCAATTCGGAAGACTTGGCTGCTGTGGTCAAACAATTCAATGCCGCTTATAGCCAAGCAAAGCAGGAAGGTCTTCCTTCATCGCTTCATCTATACCAGGCTATTCTAAACGGGCCAGTCGGCAAAACTTTATCAATTTTCTTCATGTGGTCATCGTCAGACCTGGAAGAAGGCCAGCGGTGGCTGTCAAAAGTTTCATCATGGTCACCAGTTGCAGTGAGCACTGTTCAGCCAACCACACACAAAGATTTTGCTGCCTTTGCAAACTCGATCATCCCAACGCATACATATGGAACAATCTTCACGATCAACTTCTACGATCTGACCCCTGAAGTCTTGGATGTTATTGGAACACATGGACCAAGACAGCCCAATAATCCGGAACTGCTGTTTGGAGTCCATGAGCTTCGCCACGATGCCCCGAGAGAGCCGAATCTTGGAACGGTCTTTGATAATCGCTGCGCACACTATTTGATCGAGATCATCCCATTGGGTTCAACCCCGGAGATTCTCGCTGAGGGTATTGCGTGGGGTAAAGAGTTCATCAGCGCTCTGCGTAAAACCGATGATAAGAATATCATACCGTCGACGTATATCTCTTTGACCTCGCCCGAGGAGGTTGACATGAACAAGATTTATGGAAGCCGCTACGAGGTTCTGAAAGGGATCAAGGAACAATACGATCCCCAGAATGTTTTCAACAATACATTGGCGCGATTCTAAAGGAAATCTGTAAAGTGTGTAAAGGATTGGGGAATTTCCATATTGAAATATCAAGATAACGAGAATTAACATAGCTTTAACCACAATATTTCCACCAACCCCCAAGAAATTAAACTCAAGTTAAGCCACCAGATCAACGCCCGTAAAACGCAAGGAGCATATCCCATAGAACTATATACAAGCAATCGGCCGCTTACTGATGAGTAACCGTGAATTGGGTGTCGCTTTGGACTTGAACATCGGCAAGCAGCTTGCCATTTTGCTGGATTTCCAGAATCGCGGCATTGTTCACACCATACTCTCCACCAGCCGCCTTAGCCTGTGCACCGGTAAAGGTGACTTTGCCAAAGTTGGCAAAGGGAACCATAGACGAACCAGAGTTGAAATCCTCGACGATCCACTCGGCATTCTGTCCGCCAAGAGTGGCAGTTGAGGCAGGTGCAGAGAGAGACTTGGTCACGCTCTTTCCGGTCGACTTGTTCTCGATAATCGCGACGCCCTCGCTGGGGGAGGAAGACTGAACCGTAGCTACGATCACGTCGCCAGCCTTGAGGCTGAGGTCAAAATTTTCAGCCGCATTGGGGTACCACTCGTACCAGGCGTCATATGATTTTTGTCCATTGGAGATGTAGGCGTCAATGCCAGTCTGCAGAATGGCGTTGGTGTAGGTGTCACCGTCAATGCCAACCCAAGCAGAAGCAGCTTGGGTTTCGCCCGAGTTATCGGTGGCCTTAGGGTCAGGCACGGTGAATGTTGCCGAGACTTCTGTGTAGACACCACTGGCGGGTGGTTGCTCACGAACGATGCCAGCCCAGTTCTTGCTATACTGGACATTGGCGCCATTGCTCCCTTCCTTGAGAAGGACGGTGTTCTCCTCGCCAGAATTGTCAAACTTGTGAGCGGGAATGGACTGGCGAGTCAAGACACCACGAGCTTCAAGGCGTTCAGCCAGGCCAGGACGAGGCGCTGCCAGAGCGCCAGTTGCCAGGACGGCAGTTGTCATAGCTGTAGTGAACTTCATATTGAAAGAGGCTGTTTGAAGCACGATATAGACTCCCGAAGAAGAGGAGAACGAGGGACAGAAATGTGGCGTGAGATGCGTAGCCTTATTAGGACTCGAGATTTACCTATAGACTTATATACCTTCATTTTGCCAAATGATTGCCGATTGTCGCATGCAGATGTCAGCCGCATGGGGAAGTTGAACTCGTGTCGTCCGGGTCTCCATCATGGGGACTTGGATAGCGGGTCATGGATATTATACCCGCACGGGATGTTCGAGTCTGGGCAGCAGGTTCATTTGAGCTTCCAAGCAGAAATACAGGTAGAAGAACAAAAGGTCTGCTGTTTTAGTCTTGAGATCGTGTTGATCTTGTCCTATTCCGCGACCATTCCCAGTTGAGATGGTCCCATGGCGGGTCGGAGAAAGGGATTTCGCCATCTTGAGCAAACCAGACCACTCACATAGAAAGACTAAAGATACAGAAAGTGCTTACGCATTGTGTTTCTAGGCGCATTCCTCAGGAAACAGTAACATCTGACAGCGGGACTGCGACGGATGTGTGGAAGATCGACGTCAAATCCCGATCTTCGATGGCCACGAGATCCAGCGATTAGGGGGGGTGAAAACTACTGTCAAAAGTTCCATGGTATACAGGTCGTATCCTATTATATTCAAGGCCATCAATTTGTTTGTTTGGTTGGTTGCTGGGTTGTTTACTGTTGGCCACGAAGCCAACAAGCATAAACATTATCTACAGCCGAGTCAAGGGAAATGAGCAGGAACTACCAGAGGTCCATGTCGAACGAAGAGATCACCATTGGATAGAAAGCATGTAGAAACATGCCGCCGGACGAGAAAAAGAAAATCAAATCATGAGGAAGAAGTTGGTTACCAGTCGCTGAGGAATATGGCTAGCGCGCATTCCAACCAAAACAGGTCGTGCTGTACATTCCTCAACGACTCGATACCCGCGATGGTTGGCCCGCTGTGTGCTTCAGCTTACCGAAACCGTACAGAATTGTCGATCCCTTCTTTTCTTTTAAATTCGCCACCATCTCGATTTTCCGAGGCCAGCTCTGTGTATGTATGCGGATTCTTCTAAGTGCTTGAAGACGCCATCGTGGCTCGGCAAGTCAATCTTGCATTAGCGCTCGACAGGGAAGTGCGTCTCGATTGCTTTTCTAAGATGGTCTAGATCCGGATCTGCATTTGCTGATATGAATTTAGCTCGCATCGCATAAATATGGGAGACTAGCTAATTCATGCATCATGATAATTGCCCTGGGGCGCTTATATATTGAGTTCCGTCGCAAAAGATATCTATCCATACCTTCTTTAGTACGATATAACAATCCAAGACAATGGTGCTATAGCATCAACATGGTCAACGCAATTCAATCCAAATTCCAAAGGGTAGGTGCTGCCCGCAAGCTGCCTTGATCATCGCAATCCATGTCTCACTTGTTCCACCTACGATATCGCCATCGTAGGATGCCTTGCTCATCAGGATGTCCTAATTCAAAACTCTGCTCGATTGTAGACATAACTCCGTAGGAGTTAGAGACGGAATCAATTCCTCGACTTTTGGAGATGTATCAGGAAATCTCCATGTTCAAATGCTATGCAAAAACAGTACAACAATAGTATCAATAGTGCAACAGGGTATTCTATACGTCAAAAGCAATCACGGATTTTACATAGGCAGTCGTCGCATCTCATCCAGTGACCAGTACTTGCGCATGTTATCAGCTTTAAGCGTTTGAACCTCTTCATCCAAATGCTTCCACAGCACTCCTCCAAAGCCCTCCATCAGACGCTTAACCTCTTCACGGCGCATATCCTCCTCGCCAGAACGGCATTTCTCGAGATAAGACTCCAATTTCTCAAGACCAGCATGAATCTGCTTATGCTGCTTCAAAAGGTCAAGTTCTTTGCGAAACTCGGGCATTTTCTTCGCAAGAACAGGGAAGATGTGCTGCTCTTCGATTGAGTGGTGGAAATCGAGCTGGGAGCAAAACTGAAGACCCGTCATGATCATTTGACGCGCGGAAAGACCGCCCGGCCGCTTCGCAGTAGAATCGCAGGCGTCCCAGAGCTGATTCCATGCCATTCGAAAGTGATTGTGCTGTCTTACTGTCAATATTCAACCCCTTGCCTAGTGGGGCGGGATCAAATGCTTACGAAGCCCTCCATTTGGTCTGCCATGCGGTTATATGTTCGCAAATCGCCAGCAGACAACGGGGGCAAAGCCCCGTCTGCGCTCTCGGAGCCAGCTGCTTTGGTATTCTTGCCCATCGGAAAGGAAGGTCGAGTTGAGATAGAGAACAGACGTGAAGAAAAGGAAGCCCGAGAGAATGGTGGGGCAATAATTCTTTGCAGGGAGCGCATAGAACGGCAGTTGCGGGTAATCAACTACCGAGTAAGACGGGCAAGAAGCCAACGAAAAAGTGACGAACCGCGTGAAAGCAAAGAAGGTGCAGATAGATGTTTAGATCTGAACGAAAAATTTGGGGCAATGGGAGAGCAGAGATTTCTAATCCGGCACAATTAGCGCCCGCGAAGGCCGATGTGGCGATGACCCCGGACCCAGCTGCTGTGGGCCTATACAAAGTCAGACCGTGATGAACCTTAGCGGCAAGTCTTTCATGGAATCCATTGGTTGGGTCGAATCAGGCTCGATGTATAGATATTGCATTTGTACCAACTAGGTACTAAATAGATCCATATCGGACAATCAGGCACACTGCTTGGTGCGAGATACCTAGAGATCGGCTGAGCCACAAAATATATAATAGAGGACATCCTTCCAGATGGATCCATGCATATCTCTAGGTAGCCTGGGGACCAACGCTAGGTAGTCCATCCTATCCGCGTCATTCAGAAGCAACATTCGTTAAGATACTTAAATTAGAGAAGCCGAGGTTCAATTTGAAGCGATGTAGCAATTTGGAGTCGGACAAATGACCCCTAACCTAAGGTTACGAGGTAGATAGGGTGCCACTAGGGATAGAATTAAGAGACTCATAGAGACAAGAATGCATGCGATGAGAAAAATGAATCATATTCAAGTAGAGATAAGAATGTCCCAGATCTTCAATGGATGTATGCCACCGCGACAATTAAGTCATCGGACACAAATCTAGTACTCACTGGTTAAAGAGAAAGGATCCCGATCAATATAAGCACTTCTTCGGCACAACCACAGCCATGAAAAGGGCCAGATTGCAATTTGACATCCGTGCTAGATGATCTACAAGAAAAAGCACGGGAATATTCGCAATCATATCATATTCAAGCTAAAGTTAGTTTCTACGGTAGAATGTCCCAGATCTTCAATGGATGTATGCCACCGTGACAATTAAGTCATCGACACAAATCTAGTACTCACTGGTTAAAGAGAAACAACGTCCCGGTCAATATAAGCACTTCTTCGGCACAACCGCAGCCATGAGAGGGCTGGATCGCAATTTGACATCCGTGCTATAAGCAGAAAAAAAAAGAAAAGCAAGGGGAGAAGGTAAAAAAATAGAATGGCATTCAACTATGTTAGTCGTACAAAGTCAGAATGTTCCAGATCTTCAATGGACGTATGCCATCGTGACAGTTAAGTCATCGGACACAAATCTAGTACTTCACTGGTCAAAGAGAAAGAATCCCGATCAATATTAGCACTTCTTCGGCACAACCACAGCCATGGAAAGGCTGGATCGCAATTTGACATCCGTGCTGACTGGAGATAATGTTTGCTGAGGAGGTCCAAGGAGGTCAGTGGGAGTTAGCTGAAGGTAGAAGAAAAGTGGTAGATTATTATCAATACACATCGTGGCACCGGTGGCACAAGAGGATCGAGGGATATAATGTAACAGGAGGCCACCGGCGAAGGGGGAATCGAAGATTAGGCAATAAAAGGTCGTAACGCCGTCGAAAAAAGGGAAGTAAGAATATACATCGAATCAGAGCTCCTCGTGGGTAATCGCTGGGGGTCGGAAGTTGCCCGACCGGATCTCTTGCCAGGCCAGGTCAAAGCGAGCACCCAGCAACCAAGCAGCAACCATCTATAATCGAATTAGTCGGGGGCTTGGCAGTCGTAACCCGCAATTTCGTTGACTTACCATAACACCAGCCACGAGGAAGATGATCACACCCATGATAGCCATCAAGAAGTAGAGATCAGACTTGCTGTCTGCCTCCGCCTTGCGCTTCTCGAGCTGCTCTCGGCTTACTTCACCCTTGACACGACGCTGGGCATCCTCGGCCTTTTGAGTAGGGAAGATAGTCTCAATGAACTTCTCAATCTAGAATGGGGGTTAGCAGGATGAACAGAGCAGAAGCCAAAAAGAGAGATGAAGAAAAACATACCTTGCCACAGACAATGCTAATCTTCAGGAAGTTGGGGTCCTTGGGGGTGTTCTTCTTGTGGATGGCGCGGGTCAGGCGGCGGAAGGTCTCGCACAAAACGTTCAAGTTTTGAGTAGACTGGACCATGAGCTCGCAAGCATCACCCTTGGTGATCTTGATGTTCCGCTCGAACATGGCGTAGTTGCGGAAGCACAGCTCAAGGGTAGCAATGGCCATGGACTGGGGGATGGCGCAGAAGTTGAACACACTCTGCTCGCGGAGGCCAGCCAGGTAGAAGAGGCACTCCTCGGCATGCTCCAAAGCATTGAGAATCATCTCAGAGTTGCAGTTCAGAGCAGCCTCCTTGTACTCCGGCTTGAAGAGATCCTCAAAGTTGTCAACGTGCTTGGACCAGATCTCCTTGGGCCAGAATCGTCGCTCATCGTCAAAGTCCTCGCGGATGTCTCGGATGATGTTGGTCTTCTGTAGGAAGAGACCCATAGACTTCTGAAGCTCAGGGCGCTTCAGCAGAGCGGGGTTACCAAACTCGGCCTCAACAAACAGGCGAGTCAGGCCCTCGCCAACCAGACCGGCCACGTAGTAGCAGTAAAGATCGTACTCTTCAACGGTCTTCACGCTAGCATCCTCGGTGGCAGCCTTGACGCAGTAATCTGCCATACCGTTGCCCATTTTATCGGTGATATCCTTGACAATGGCCTGGTAGGCGGGCTTCATGTTCTTAAACTCGACAATGATACTCTGGAACTGAACCAGCAGCTCCCGATCCTTCTCCTCCGGACGGTTCCCAGTGAAGTTCCAGCCATCCTGGGTGAGGAAGTCCTTGAAATTCCTAAGGAGGGGCTCCTTGGTCTCGAGGGGAATGGAGGTATCATCCTCAATGGTATCCAGACCACGGAGGACAAGGTAGAAGACTGTGACAGGGAGGAGAAGCTCTGGGTGGAGCTCCTTGATGACGGCGCTGAAGCTGCGGCTGGTCTGGTCCAAGAACTTGTAGCAAATCCTCTGTGTCTCCGTATCGTCCTTCTCGTTACGCTCATGGGGCGGGTTGTGCCAGACTTTCCTATGAGAGAGGTCTGATTAGCAATGAGCCGAGACGGGGAGCTCCAACTGGGGGGAACACCAACCATTGAATGATCGACCTCAATTGGATCGGGTGGAAAGCGAAATAGATGGCATTGCCAATGAAACCCATTGTGGGTGAAGAAGGACACTAACAGGTCCTGTAAAAAAGGGGAGGGAAGAAAATGAAACCCAAGTGCGAGTCTCTGGTGAGAAAAAGAGGGGAGAGAAGAAAAGTCGTGGAGAGAAAAGAAGCGAAGGTGGGAAAAGGGGCGGAGTCGAAGCTCGCGGAGAAAAGAGATTGCGGTCATGTGACTGCCGGCCCCGTGCCCTCACGAGGCGTCATGCGTGAACTTTGGCGGGGCGCCGGCAGATCAGCTTGGACTGGTGGAAAAAAAAAAGTTACAGATTCTCTGATCTCCCTTGTCAACAACTCAATACTGTGGCTCTTGTGGACATACTGGTCCCAGCAGCTTCTACTCTTTGATCTGATACTTGCGCAGCGCGTTTAGCCCTGCTGCATCCCACGATGGTCGCTGACACCAGCTACTATGATGCCTTGGGCGTCCCGCCGACGGCTACCGAGCTGGAGATCAAGAAGGCCTACCGCAAGCTTGCTATCGTCACTCACCCTGGTATGATACGACAGAGACCTTTTACACTATTGGTCTTCTCACTAACATTGATCAGACAAGAACCCCGGCGATGAGACCGCTCATGAGCGATTCCAGGCGGTATGCGCAGGCTCCCGCACCGAATCATTTCCACGAAGACACTAACACGCGCGCTGACCCTAGATCGGTGAAGCCTACCAAGTTCTGAGCAACGAAGATCTGCGCAAGCGATATGACAAGTTTGGCAAGGAAGATGCAGTGCCCGGTGGCGGTTTCGGTTCGTCCAACATACGGTGATGACCCTGGGTGTAGACACTGTCATGGCTGACTGTTTTATTCTCATACAGAGGATCCTTCGGAGTTCTTCAGCATGATATTCGGTGGCGAAGCTTTTGTCGATCTCATCGGAGAGATCTCCCTCATGAAAGACCTGACCGCGACAATGGATATTACGATGCAAGAGATGGAGGAGGAAGAACTGGCCGAGTCTGCCGAACAGAAGCTCAACATTCACGATGAGGAGGTCAAGGCCGCTGGTGGTGAGCCTTCTGCCGCCTCCTCCTCCAAGGCTGCAGAGGCTGCCGCTGAGGCTTCGGGCCACGAGGCACACGCTCCGCCACCCGCCTACGGCGAGGCAACTGCTCAGAGCTCTGGAACGAGCACCCCCCGACGCTACTTGGGACAGCAGGCTCTGATGGACAAGTCGGAGGAGGAGGCTCGCATGGAGGCAGCTGGCCTGTCACAGGAGGAGAAGGAGCTTCGCAAGAAGGAGAAGAAGAAGGGTTTGTCCAAGGAGCAGCAGGAGCGTCTTGCTGCATTCGAGGAGGAGCGGAGAAAGGCTCGCGAGGAGCGTGTCAACACCTTGGCCAACAAGCTGATTGACCGTCTCAGCGTGTGGACCGAGACTGACAAGGGCAAGGACGTGACGCACGCCTTTGAGGAGAAGATCCGCCTTGAGGTTGAGAACTTGAAGATGGAGTCGTTTGGTCTGGAGATCCTGCATGCTGTTGGTGCTACGTATGTGCAAAAGGGCACCTCGTTCCTCAAGTCGCAAAAGTTCCTGGGTATCTCTGGTTTCTTCTCCCGGCTCAAGGATAAGGGTACGCTGGCCAAGGAGACCTGGACTACCATTTCCACTGCCATTGATGCGCAGATGACCATGGAGGAGATGGCCAAGCTGGAGGAGCGTGGTGGTGAGGACTGGACGGATGAGAAGAAGGCCGAGTACGAGAAGAAGGTCACCGGTAAGATTCTTGCAGCGGCCTGGCGCGGCAGCAAGTTCGAGATCCAGAGCGTTTTGCGCGAGGTCTGCGACCAGATCCTGGGCGACAAGCGGATTCGCCTGGAGAAGCGCGTGGAGCGTGCTCACGCTCTGGTGCTCGCTGGTAACATCTATGCTAAGGTATGGCTACTCATGAAAACGCCCCTTACCTCCTGCAATACATACTAACCACCTCCATTCCAGGCCGAGCGTGACCCCGAGGAAGAGGGTGACTACATGGCCTTTGAGCAGCTGATGGCGGAAGCGATGCAAAAGAAGGGCAAGGATGAGAAGAAAAAGAAGAAGTCCAAGCACGGCCACGAATCCCCGGAGACATCGCCCGTGGACAAGGCTACTGCTGCTTAGATTCCTAATTACTTCATGTCTTAGTCTTGCTTTTCCTAGCCCACCTGTTCTTTCATGTCTGAACATACACAGTGCTTGTTTTTCCTGATTGCACGTCGTTTGAACTCTCCTTTCCTTTCCGCGACGTCCTGGCCTTGATGCTGGATTCGATATTCTCATGCAGTTCGAGTCATAGATTGCCCTTTTACTATATTCCTGAGCTTACGAGAGCCCCTACAATCGATTGCAGAGATAGCCCTTCATTCTGATTTCTGAGATTCATAAAAGGTAGAGCTCGATAGGATGACTATACCTTGGAATTAATAACAGAACGACATTATCAACAGCATATTAATAATTAGGATATCCAAAGTCAAAACCCAAAGGGGGGATCTCTCCACCCAACCACAAGTAAACCATTACTACACCACGCAAGCCCGAAGTCCCGAGACAGCAAACATGCATGTGAATCATTTTTATCGTCGTCGATCGTCGGTCGTATTGTTGAAAATGATCTCATGGTTGTTTATCATACTTCTCGTGGTAGACAGCGCTATCAGCGCTCAACTCGGCGCTGGCAATACCCGAGGGCGAAGACGAACTATACGTTTGGCTAGTGGGTGGCTGGTTATGCAAAGCCTCAGCATCACGACTCGACAGCTCCGAAGCAGCAACGGGGGCTGGGGCCGTACCCATCGGCAGATCGTTGGTAGGGGGAGGGACCGTCGAGACTTGGGGTTGCTCTGGGTCAACTGCCCCCTTCTTCATGGACTGGTAGCCTGCCCAGTCTGAGAATAGGACGCCGCAGACGGCGAGGATGGCTAGGATGAAAAGGGCGAGGAAGATGAGCCTGGGAGTTGTGGATGGTGGTTAGTATGAGGGACGAGATAGTGGATATGAAGGTTGGGAGATCCTACCAGAGGAGAACAGAAAAGGCAATGACGGCATTCAGGTAGTCATTGTAGCTGGTAGCACCGCCGAGTTGGGCCTCGATATCTGCAAAGCTGGCCAGCCAGAAGACGGAGGTAATAAAGTAAACGACGATGAAGGAGACGCCGAGGACAGTGTTTAGCTTGCGAGTCACGGCACCCTTGCGACTATAGAACCAAGGTAGGACAAGGGCGGCAGCAGATACCAGGACTGTCCAGCAGGCAGTGAAGATGATGAAGATCAGAATACCCGGAGCGCTATAATGGACAGTCGTGTAGACATAACCCTCATAGGCATTCCATGTGTACGTCTCACGATCGCCAGTCCAGATGGAAGCGACATAGGCAGTCAGACCCAGCTCGACGATAGCAAAGGCCAGACATGTGCCCAACAGGACATAGAGAACTATATGGAGGGCCAGCATGACTGCAAGCAACCTGAAATTCGAGGGAATCAACACTGGGAAACAAAATAAGGGGAAAAGAGAAAACGTGAGAGAAGAAAATAAATCAAAACAGGAGCTTGACAGTGCATGTTACCAGTCAGGATCCCTTGCGCTCTTTATTCTCCTCCTCCACGTGCGGCTCCAGCGAGCTATCGAGTCACCAACGGAAGAGGATAGCCGCAGGAGGTCATTCTAGCGAATCGCAAGGTTGAATTCGGCCCGGAGTTCATCTTGAAGGTTCTCCAAATGCTCCAAAATCCTGCAAGTTCCCCAAACGACCTGATCCTTTGATCCATCGGCAGAACGAGACAAGCCTGCCATCAATCAGCCCTAAATGAAGCCCAAGCTAGCTTGCAAACCAGTCCGGTTCGGCGCGCGGCGCCACTTCAAACTCTCGTCTCCAAGGGGCTTGGCCATCGTAGGCCATAGCTGGGGGGCTGATACGGGCCTCGAAGGGACCACGTTGAGATGGCGTTCGCCCTACAACCGAATCGGTCGATGGTAAGCGAGCGCATTGTTTCGGGCCGGCTCCTTTCGGTCCCTGAAGAACATTATTGGATCGTGGAATTAGGGGTTTGACAGAGTTGGAGAGAGAGCTGAAGCTTTTAGCTGGCTGGTCCCTGAAGAACCGGAGCCGCTTTGGAGAATCCGGAAATTTTGTTGTGATCGTGGATGAATGGATCTGGTTGTGTTTGTGATGATGGAATAACCAGGAGGAGTGCAGACTTGCGCACGCAGGCACAACTTCATGGCCAGGAAGTCTGCAAGGTGGATTATGTCCTGCAGGACTATTTCTGAGTCTTTGACCCTAAAGAGATTCTGGGCATCATCGGGCGGGTGTGATGTGATGCATCTGGTGGAAAGCAGCAAGTCGGTTGGAAAACGGGCAGACCAACGGTCGGGGTCCATCACACCTCCTCGCATCTCAGTGGCGCTATTGACGCGCCGAGTGTTTATAATCCAAATCCAGACTGCACACCCTGATGGATGCTTGATTCTATTGAACATGAGTATAGTCAATCACATTGCTGAGGTATAACTACTGATGGAGTACTCCAGGTTGATGTCCACGGAAAACCATATTGTTTATCCGGTCAACAACCCCGAGTCTAGACAATAATAGCCTCACTCGAATGATCTCATATCCCTTGTTCCACTCAGGTGGAGAACTTGGAGACGATTCAAGATCGGCACAGCCATCTCTTGTTTGGGAGGGCGCAGCCTCAAAATCCCTAATGGAGTTCAATCAATCAGCAGTTACACTTCCAAAGAGTTTATTGCTGATCTACCTAGGCTCTACTACTGGCAATGCTTACTCTCTATCTACGGTCGGAAACGAAAAAAAAGTTGTGGATAGTTTCTCCGTTATCGCATCTTTTGAGCTCCTTGGAGTACTCACTCATTCACCAACGTTTAGCCGTGTCTTCCGGCGGAGTGCGGACGAGTATACTGATCTGGCTCGACATCTCTATCTAAACAGATCCCCAGCCTGATGATAATCAGTCAAGGAATTAAACTGGATATCTCCTGGCGTCCGATCGGAGTCCGGATATTGATCTTCTCCCGATAACCCGTGGCTTTCTGTGATCTTCTTTGGGCCATCTACTGCACCCGACCGTAGGCTCTTAGGCCAATTCCCATGTACACAACCTGTCGATATCCCATGAATTTCGGGATGATATCAGCTATGATGGTCTTATAGAGCCTTCAATACTAACCCGAGAACAATAATGATAACTCTAGGGCATCTCTCGGGCATCTCCCCGTGTGAGCCACGGATCCAGCCTCCGCCGTGGCACAAACAAGCCTCTTCCCCACAGTCAACCGATGTCACCCAAGACTTCTTGGCTTTGATAACAACCAGAATTCACTGTTACCGTCAATTTACACATTGGCCATCGATGCCCTGATCTTCCCCTCAGTGGGTCGATCCTCCCATCCTAAATCCTCGGTCGCGTGCTCAGTTTCCTCTTATCGCATGCTACGGCCAGGGTGGACCTTGTCGGTGCACCTTGATGCATGGTGATAATGCGGAGAAAGGGGAGACCAGAGGCTCCAGCCGTCCCGCTTAGGAATTATCCCAGTCGATCATCTCCTCGTTGTATTCTTTACAGTATATATGAGGCCCAACCAGTCGCCCTTCATTCCGCCTCTCACAGAGGCTCAACACGTTCAATTGCCCTGGCTCAAGATTGACCGACTCAATCAATCATCATGACCGTCTACCAATCTACTACACTTGCCCTGCTGGCTCTGGCCGGTAGTCATGGAGCCGCTATGGCAGTTTCGAACCCGTCTTCGACCTCGACCTCGGCAGCTGCACCGACGGGGACCTCCTATGCATCTGGATTCGATATGACGACTAGCTGGGGGAACTTGAGTCCATACTCCGATGCACCAGGCTTTGATGCTCCCAAGGGATACCCCATGGGCTGTGAATTGTCGCAGGTACATGTCCTCCATCGCCACGCACAGAGGTATCCCAGCTCCTGGCCTACCGATGGCGGTGGTATGGAAACTTTCGCTCAGAAGGTAGCCAATTACTCCAAAAAGGCAGTTGGCAAAGTCGGCTCGGGGCCACTGGCATTCTTGAATGATTGGGAATACATGTTGGGCGAGAATCTATTGTTGGCTACTGGTGCGGCAACGGAAGCAACAGCGGGTGCCCTCTTTTGGAGCATGTATGGTCGTCTGTTGTATCATGCTGGGCCAGGGAAGGCGATATATGACTCGTCAATGAATGTGTACCCCAATGGCACTGCCCGCCCAAAGCCCACCTTCCGCACAACATCCTATCCTCGTATCCTTGAGAGCGCTCGCTGGTGGTTGAGTGAGTATTGGCCTCACTCTGTGTCTGTCCAAGATACATTATCTAACCTATGTCTCTAGGTGGATTCTTCGGAAACACCGGTGCCAACAGCTCATATGCAGAATACGATTTGACTATTATCCCGGAAGAGGAAAACTTTAACAACACTCTATCGTCGACCTCGGCATGCACCAATGGATCTGACGTTGGGTGAGTGTCACATATCAGTCATCTTATATGATAGGAATTTGCTAACCTCCATTTACAGAGACTACGCTCTCGCAGATTACCTCCCATCACTAACGACCACCGCTCACGGTCGCTTCTCCAAGTATCTACCTCATGATTTCAACCTAACTTCCATGGATGTCTACGCCATGTTCAGCATGTGCCCCTACGAGTATGCAACACTAGGCCGCTCATCCTTCTGCTCCCTCTTCACCGAACAAGAATGGAAGGACTTTGAATACGCCATTGACTTGAGTTTTTACGCCGACTTCGGCTACGGCGCGCCCAGTGGTCGCGCTCAAGGGATCGGTTATGTCCAAGAGCTAGCCGCCCGTCTACAATCACGCTTAATCACGAGTAGCGATAGCAGCATCAATTATACCTACGACGACAACACCCGGGATTTCCCTCTCGGCCAACCATTCTATATGGACATGTCGCACGATAACGTCATCATCGCCGTATTAGCTGCGTTGGGCCTGGACTACTTCAAGGCAGGTCCCCATGGGTTACCGACGACTGTCCCGCATTCTCCTCCACACCACTTCAACGCGAAAGAAGTCTGTCCATTCGGCGCACGCTTGTTTACCGAAGTCTGGACTTGTCCGAAGGATGTCTCATTTGACTACCTTCAAGAGCAAATGTACAAGAACCCGGATCTGTCATCCAAGTCCGGTACAACCGATTATATCCGATTCGTGCTGAATAATGCCCCCGTCTCGGCTAAGGGGTTGTGCAACGATGCTGTGAATGGGTTCTGTCGGATGGAGGAGTTTTTGAAAAAGGTGCCCGGACTGGACAAGGAGGCGATGTATCAGGAGGCCTGCTTTGGCGATTATAACATTACAACACAGGTTGCCAATGGTCAGCCGATCCAGTAATTGGATGATGCAAGGGATTTGAATATATGCCACATGTGGTTGTACCTTTTCCGGTTCCGAGAGTTACTCATTGAAAACATACTCGATCAGTAGAAAATGGCTATGTGAACTCGGGTATTGTGTAAGTTTATCCGTCGGCTATGAAGTTAAGAATAGGCAATATATTTGATCAATGATGTAGTACAGTGGGATTAACTATAATGGCTTGCCCATAATTCAATGTAGCGTGATGACCCTGAGCAGATTGCTCCCAAATGCGAACAAGTGAATTTCAAGAATCCGTCCGACGTAAAACCGACCGGTTGAGATGCCGAGGAGATACTGAGCTGATTCCTGATAGGTGAAGGTTGAGATCCAAATCTCCCAGCAGACTCTTCAAAACATGTCGCACTCCCGCCTCACCTTGCAGAGCCAGTCCATAAACATATGGGCGACCAATCAAGACCATCTTGGCACCAAGTGCCAACGCCTTGACGATATCAGCGCCGCAGCGCACACCGGAATCAAAAATGATTTCCAGCTTATCTCCCACGGCATCAGCAATCTCGGGCAGAACGTCCAACGACGCAATACCTCCGTCTTGTTGCCGTCCGCCATGATTGGAGACGACAATGCCCTGGACACCATATTCCACAGCCTTCTCCGCATCCGCAACCGTCTGTATCCCCTTCAACACAATCGGACCATCCCAATGGTCCTGGAGGAATTTGATATCTTCCCAACCGTGACTTATACCAGGGAAAATAGTGTGTGCCCATTCTGCAGCCGCAGTCCCTATGTCTTCCTCGATAGCTTTTCCATGCTTTTCCTGGAACTTGCGGCGGTACACAGGGTCGGAAAATCCCATTTCAACGCCAATATTGTCCGGCCGAAGGAAAGGGCTATATCCATTATCCAAGTCACTGGGTCGCCAACCAAGGATATACGTATCCAAAGTGACCACCAAAACCTTGTATCCAGCTGACTTGGCCCGCGACAACAGGCTTACTGTGATATCATTGTTCTCATTCAGAGGCCAGTAGAGCTGAAACCAACGACAGCCATTCCCATTCGCTTCAGCCACATCCTCAATACTGGAAGCGGACGCCGTGCTCAGTATGTAGGTAACATGTTCCTGTTGAGCAGCCTTGGCCGTAGCAGTCTCCCCATCCAGGTGGAAGATGCGTTGCACTCCCACCGGGGCAAGAGCGATTGGATAATCGTACGTCTCGCCAAAGAGCGAAGTTTTAAGGTCGGGAAGGCCGCTTTCGACTAAGCGTGACGGGACAATGCCCCATTTCTTGAATGCTTTCTTGTTGTTGTCGTCGGTGTCCCGGATCCCAGCAGATCCCCAGACGTACCCGTAGGCTTCGGCGGATAGCTTATCTTTCGCCAGTTTCTCCCATTCGAGACAGTTGAACGTTAAAGATGGCTTCTGCCCTTTGAGGCCGGCCTGGTACACTTCATTTTCATATGTGTATGGGGTAGGGCTGGCGACGGAGTTGGAATCTGATTTGCTGTGGTATTGAGATGACATGATGATTGCTGAAGTAAAGTGCTAGCGGTGAAGAATTGGTCGAAGGTAACCTGGCTAAGGTGGCAAAATAAAGCTAGGATAGATATGATGAAATTAATGAATCGGAAGGAGAGATAGAGCTGCTTTTATAAGGTCCAGGTTCCGATGCTCTACCACATAGGATCTTAAACGACGCGATGGCGGGCTTCATTAAACCGAAGCTGCCGAACTAAGCTCCCAGGTATGTCCCCCTCAGTAAGCTGCTCGATAACATTGAACGAAGCAAAACAGGGTAAGTGGGTAGGTTGATATTCTCTGACCGATACATACTCGGCCGATATCACTTACTTCGTCACGAATTAACCCGGGCGCCAAGTGGAATCCAAGCTAAAGCTCAAGGTCACAGTGATCCGCTTCGGGGAGCCACAGTCGTACTCCGACTTCTACAACACTTGGCTCACTGACATATTTGAGTCTCGGTGCAGTTCAAATTTAGAGAAATGGTCTAAGCCGTTAGGATTCGGTGTCCCGGTTTTCCGAGGGGCTCTCTGAACGTTTTCAAATCTTCCTTGGTAGCACAAAGAAGACAGATAGTCCATATTATGAGAAGGTCAAATATCTGTTATGGATTCAGAAGACCATCCAGCTCTACGTCATCGTTATATGAACCAGAGTTGCCCACTTAACCATTCAAGGTTGGCGTTATACTATAACCAAACGTGTCGTAAACCCCCGGACCTTGGTGCTGGAGCTGTCAGTGGATGGATATGAAGCGTAATGACAAGGCCTCCACATATTTTCCAGCTATGGATGATCGTATTGACCTCGAAATACGGGCCCAAAAGCTTGGCCCACAGCTTGCACGGAATCTAGAGTTTAAACCCGCGGCCCGCCGAGCAAACATGCCCGGCCCGGGGCCAACCATTTGGCCCGTGGAATTCTAAGTCCATAGTAGAAGCTACGTGATATGACACATAAATAAATAAACAGTAAAGATTGAACAATGTCATTTTTTCCGACCGGGCTAGTAATTTGAGGGCTTCGGCATGAAGTCTGTGGGAACGGATAGTCCCCGCTTTTCATTCTATGCTTCTCAACATTCACGTATTCTCTGAACGCCGATTGCGCCCGCTTCCTGGTGCAAATGCTCCTAGAGTGGAACTGTCTACAGCCCATTTTGAAAAGTGAGTAAAATGGCGCGACCATTCGCGTCTGCTTTGATTCATGCAATTCGGCATTTTGTCTCTGATGTGGGTAAAACTTCTATGAAAGTGCTGTTAGCCTTACCAGCAGAGGTGACCTGGAGAGTCAAGGGAAGCTTACTGCAGAGATAATTCACATTTAGATGTCACATTGAGGGTGGAACAGCTGGGACAACGCATGAAAAACACTATTTTGGCCCAACATCATCGTGTTTCCCATCACTGTTCTTTTCATCTTGTTGATGAGTGGCATCTGCCTTGACTTCACCAAGGTCCTTTTCAATTTTCGAATCACCCCCCACAGTTGTCCCTTTGGACCTCCTTTCTGAACTCTTCTTTGGTTGCCGCCCGCGTTCAGGTCCTCGTGAGGTTCGAATATATTCTTCCACGTCCCACGCTGCATCATCCTCCGCGGTGTGGTATCGATGTCTCTCATGCCCGATAGCACGACTACGCAATCCCGATGGTGGCGAGGAAGGACGAGAGGCATGGAGGGAAGCACCACGCCGAGGGGATGCAGGCCCAGAAGAAGCTGACTCGGAGGGGGAAGCTGGAGAGAAATAACGAACACCCCGACGAGTAGTACGCCAACCAGCAGCATGGTTGTGAGTGCCAGGTGGATTCGCAAAATACGGATGTATCGAGCGAGCCCTTGGGTGAGTATAGTAGGAGTTTTGAACATATGGATTGCCTCCATGTGTAGGGTACTCGTATGGATAATAGGAAGATGAATAGGTATCTCCGTTGCAGTCCACGCAACCCGTGCAACGGAAGTGCGTTGCACCCAGGCGAGAAGACACATGATATGGCAGATGCCGCTCAATTTGGGGTAGCCTAACCCTCGAGACTTCAGCCTCTGTATCCCGGCTCATACCTCTCAGCAGTTGCTCCATGGCCAGATGTTTTAGCCAAACCAAGATGGGGATGTCGAATAAGATCAGTTGCGAGCGCAACCTTTCTTCTGGCCTGAAGTCAAAGTGGGAGGGATACACTTCATTAAACTCGGTAATTCGAGAGTAGAGGCTCATTCGCGTATCACTGTCGTCTCTGGGGTTGGGATCATGATCAATAACGGACCGCGACTCGGCGATTAAACACTGGAGATATCCTCCAGCATCCTTCATGACATCCCGGCTGAGGTGTGACATGTTTCGTATAACCTCGAGCTTCCCACTCATCGTAGAGCAGTTATTCAGAAGCACCTGAAGGAGGATTATCTGCAGTTTGTAGTCTTCTTGTTGCCTCGCCACTGCAATTAGGATCCTTAAACTGGTCTCCAGAGAGGAAGTAGTCGTGGTTGCTGCTGGTGCTGACCCTTCACCGAAACTTGCAGGCCTCACACCACCACTAAAGAAGGATGATTGAATGCCACTAATGTCATCCTGGGACCAAGTAAGCGAGTAGAATATTTCACTGCTTGATGCGTTGAGTCTCTTGCTCTCCTCCATGCCTTTGGCTTCCTCCAAATATAGCCAATGCAGGTATGGCCTACTAGTAAGTAGCTTCGGATATGTAGAGGCGATTAACACGGCAGTAGAACGGACTTTCTCGAAAAAGTAGCGCTGAGTTGCTTTCACCGATTCGTCGACATTGGGAGAGTTCAAAAACTCCGCGATTAGAGTCGCATTTGCAAGTTCTGTCAAAATCTGCCGGTCTTCATCGAAAAGTATCTCATCCCGTAAGAATAATCCTTTGGCCTCTGCCACATCCTTCAGGTGAAAGAACTTCTCAAAAAGCTTGTCAGGCAGAAAGTGACATGTAGAGTCTCCTATCAGTGGCAAGACAACACGCAGCAGGCGGTGCGATTCCCACATATATCCTTCCTGTACCAACAAGGAATACCAGTCACCTAGGCGTGGGAATGGCCTTTCAAGGCCAGTAGTATCATAAGGATTCATTCGTATTCCTCCAGATATTGCAGGGGGCGTCTCCCCTGGGCTTAATTTAGTTGGGCTATCAAAGTAACCAGCCTTGCGGAATTTGAATTTGCCAGACGAGAAGTCCCATCGCAGCAGAGACCAATATGCGCTACTCCCTAGGAAACTCGAATGTATAGCTGCATAACTGATTATGCGCAAGCATGTCTCGACTAGATGAATCTGAGAAGGTGATGAGTTAAGACCTGAAGCAGACGCGGGAAACATACATGCTGCCCTATTGACGTTTTGAAAAAAGATGGATCCTCATCGGACTCGCGCTCGAGAGCCTCGAGAGTCTGTTTTGTCATTTGTAATGCTGGTATCAAAGCACCCTTGGTATAAATCTCCGCAAAGGACTTGAGAAGTCCTAAAAGTCGTAACTCAAGCTCGGAAAATGTCGAGGCCATGTCACGCAAGCGGGCAGTTAAGAATGCATGCGCATCTCCGAAACTGCCTTGCTCTAGGAGCAGATCAGCGTATTCTGCTGTGACCGGGAAAAAGTCCACATGGCGGGCTAGTCGCTCGTGAAACAAGGAGATGGCTTCATTAAAGTGCCCCAACTGATTCAGTCGGGATAGCTGCTCGATGTCGGCATTGATATCTAGTCCGGTTTCCAAGTCGAGATGCACGGTAAAATCATTGTAACCAGTGCCTAAAACATCTACCTCGTCAAAGTAAGGAATCTTCTCTGTCTGAACGGCGATGTCTTTGCTGGCATGGATCGATATATTCGGGCCAGTTCTTGAGGGCCTTCTCGTCTGGTGAACCCTCGGCTTTGATGGGAAAACGTTGCGCGAACGATCCACATCAGGTACATGAGCCCAGTCGTCTTGCGATTCGTCCTCCCAGGAAGACTTATCACTGTCATCTGTTGCATCCACTGTGTGGGCAGGGTCAATCGAAACCGTGAAACCCATCGCTGTTGTGGAGGAAAGTTGTGTTGCTCAGTTGAGGGGCGAGATTGAGGGGGAATACCCTATTGTAGGTATCCACCAACCAGGCTGTGTTGGGCTGTGCAGTACAGCAGTAATCATGGCGATTCGTCACTGGACTAATATGCCCAATTGCATGAGCGGGCGCTAACGGAGGCATTTAGTAGTTTACTAGTAAGCAACCTGATTGGAACACAGGAAAATTGAGCGAAGGACTTGGCTAGCTGCTAACTGCGACCGGGATATTAAAAGAGCCCCCCGTAAGACACCAGTAGTACGAAATGCTCAACATTCCCCCACCCCGCTCGTTCAACCTCACCTACGGAGAACTTACATGACGATGGTTTACGAAAGTTCCTTGTCGCCCGCGACGCGATTCAAGGGTAAATATGTGGACTTTTGCGAGACACAGTCCAGTGCCAGTCTTTGTGAACTCAAAATGCAGAAGATGCGCGTCGACTGTTGTTTCTTGCTGTCCAAAACACGCTGGGGGCACCTTCATGAGAAAGATGCCGGGGTCATGTACTTGGATCTCACTTTTCACCAGCCTGCGAAATGCAAGCTTTCGCACGCAACCGTTACCTTGGATTTCCACGAGGTTGAGAGTTCCGAAACTTCAAATTCTGGGCTTTCTCATGAACCTTCCGACCTTGAAGTGACCGAGTTTTTCGGCCCCCAAATATTGACAGCAGAGAAAAGGGAACGTTTAGTGTCTACGACCTTGGAGGCCAATCCCACTGTTGGCATCGGGGGTGCTACGTTTCAAGGAATGAGGTTTGCGCGATCATCTGTCGTCAGTTATGCATCACGCTGGCAGTTTGAAGGCTCGCGATTTGCACCAGATCCACCTCCTATTGGTAGCAATTCTCGAAACAGCCGATATCGCCGAGTTGTCTGGCATTTACAAGAAAATGAACTTGAGAAGCAAGCTGTACAACAAAATACCGTTCATTCGGCTGTCGCATTCACTCATCAATCGAAGCCATTCTATCTTGATGTCAAGATTGAGGCCAAGTTACATCGGTGGCATGACAGACTAAAGCAAAAGCTTGTCTGCCCGCCACGAAATCGAAAATCGTTTGCGAGGGCCACAATCCAACCATCTATGAAAAAGGCAATTGATGCCGATTTTGCCAAGTTGGCGATGGATCTTAACAAGTCTATGACTGATGCTAATCTACATCCTGTAAATGGTGCGCTCTTCAAGTTCTAACTGAAGCATTCGTGAACTAATCCGGAGATTTGACAGATAATGATCATGGAAAGGCCTCCATAGGTGATACCGAGATATTCGACCAACTCGACCCTATGCCTTGTCTTTCCGACGACTTCCTAGCCCTCGTGGGGCGACATAATGGCCAATCTCCACCGAATTTCTTGTCGGCCGGACAATCCAACTCAACCATTTCAATTCCTAGAGGGCATTCGGAATCTGTCCGGTCAGTGTCGAGTAATTCCAGCGCGACGGCCACACAATCCCACTCAAGCATTTCAATTGCTCCAGGGCACTTGGAATCTGTGCGTTCAGAGTCAAGTAATTCCAGTTCGACTCTAGTAGGAGAAGATGACACGAAGGATGTCGAGAGCGAGGCTTCCCCGTCTATGGGTGTACAGATAGAGCCTATCGAGTCTCCTCGGGAGCAACCCGCGGAACCAGCAATGACTAGAGAGGATAATATCGACGGCATAGAGGAATCGCTTTCAATTCTGTGGCAGGCTTTGAAATTCCTAGCACTCTGGACCGCAGCCTTGATTGCAGTATTGATCGCTGGACTTCAATCCATACAAACGGTCCTCGCCCAGGAAAAGGAAATTGGGAAGAACACATTCCAGTCCAGCGAGAGAGCAAGAAATTCAGAAGATCATGAGTTATGAGCTAGGGTTCCCAGCTATTCCTTTCACAATCTTGAGAAGTTTGCCGAGCATGTTGTTGTTACAATTATTGCTATATAAGCCGGAATATAAGTTGAAATACGCAAGTGTATGATTGATCCGCTTAGAACGAGTTCATTTACTCGTTGAATAAGTCAATGAACGGCTAAATGGTAGTCCGATGGAACACAGGTCTCATCAGAAATTAAGACGCCAGTAGTCAAACCCCCAAGTACTGACACACACAATATAAAGATAACTAGAATGATCGGAGACATGTGGCTGGATTTGTGTCCCACACAATTTTAGGGCAGACTACCGCTAAACCAAAAATACTTCATGAGAAACATTCTTAGTCTATACGGTTGTTTGTCTTTGACAATTTGATACACTCTCTCATTACAGTGAAGTTCGATTCCGGGCCGAGCTCCATCCATGGTCCATCCATTCCAGGATGGCCTCCATCATCTGATTAGTCATAAAATCAAACAAGGTTGGCAAACCCGGCAAACATGTCAAACTTGGCAAACTCGTTGTTTACGCCTTTTGCTTATGAGGGGTAGCTCACCGCTTCCGGAGGCCCTGATTTCTGCCGCTTTACCCCAGCGCTGGAGCGAACATCCACTAAATGACTAGTTGACTGAGCTAACTATGTAACTATCTAGGAACTTTGAGTTGGTCACCGAAGGGTAACTTTTGTATTCATGCCGTTATTTCTGGGATACGGATCCCCCACAGCCGGACTCAAACTCCATGTATTAAGGTGGTTGTTCAATATATCTCCAGGGAGCGAGCTCAAACCTAAGGTCATTATATATATATATCCATCGACCTAATCGCAGCACCTAGGTACCTAATTCGGAGTACCTACCTCAGATAACCGCCCACAACCTTAGAAGCAATTCTAGACCCCTAACACTAATATATATGGTACATGTGTGATGGTGTCATCGACACCTACGCAAGGAAGCAAGGAAGAAGGATCTGAGTCAAATTGGTAGGTCTATCTAGACATGAAGACGAAGATGATCTAGAGAAGAAGGAAAAGAACAAGGGAAAGACCTAAATAGGTCTACAAGACAAAGAACAAAGGGCTAGTCCTGGAATCAACCACTACACCTACAGAGTAATCTATGTAGGTGTAAATAGGAGGACGTAGCACCAAACGACCGAGTAGTCGAGGTCAATGGGGTCGAGTCATCAATGTGTTTGATTGAGCTCAGGGTGTGATAAACTTAGACCTACACGATCCCTAGGCAGCTGAGATTTTCTCCGTTTGACAGCCAGATGTCAGCGGCTCAGCTCAAGGTGAACGTGGTCCGGCCGCAGTCAATAATCAATTCGAGGAGAAACCCTCTATCTGATTGCGGAGTCGCCATTCCACGACGAGGTCCTGGAGGCTTGAACTATTATGGCCAGTTTCGTGGCCATTTGCGCCTTGGCCACGTCCCCACACCGACAGCGTGGCACAGGATGAAGAAAATGGCTTGAACTATGCATCGCCAGGCAATATTAGGTGTTTACTTTTTTTTGCTGTTTTATTTTTTCTCTCGTTTCATCCCCCCGCTCCTCAGAGAATCACAAGGCATTTCTAATGGTAAGTAGTGTTGCTGTTGCAGCTATATCACTCTGCACTACAAATGCCTTTCGAAGATCACCATGTAACTGCTGCATGCATTGGGAATTTACCTCGAAAGGAGTAGGCATATTTCCCTCATTCCAGGCACAAGATCTGCCAATAAATGTTGCAACAAACTGCAAGCTTTACCCACAACGATGTGGTGATCTGCGGTTTTATGTTACACAACTCTCTGGGTGGCTGGAGGAGCTTTAGCCTCGTTAAACCAATCCCCAATCTAGTAAACATGCAAGGGACCCGATTGCACAGAAAAAATATTTTTCTGAACAAGGAGCTAGGACCTTGTTCCTATATGCAATTAGTCAATAGATCCAATAACTAACTAGCATCGATCGGCTCTTCGCATTCATACTTGCGATCTATAAAGAGCTTCGAATTACCCACTGCTACTACTACTGGCAAGCAAGAGACTTGAGGAGCTATACTCGTCAAACAAAATGTCTATCAAGACAGTCTTCTTCTCATTGCTGGCGTTGTCGGGAGCCGTTTCGGTGCCACAGACGGACTACGATGTCATTGTCGTTGGTGGAGGCCCCGCGGGTCTCAGCGCTCTGAGTGGTGTTTCTCGTGTCCGACGCAATGCTCTGTTATTTGACAACCAGCAGTATCGAAATGCGCCCACACGAGAGATGCACGATGTCATTGGAAATGATGGTGGGTACTTACCGATGTATTAAGTGATCGTTTTGAGTTTGCCTAACGTGATCTAGGCACTCCGCCTGCAACTTTCCGAGGTCTAGCTCGGGAACAGATCTCAAAATACGACACTGCTCATTTCAAGAATGAGACGGTAGAGTCTATCGTCCCTCTTGACGGTGATTTCTCCGTTTTCAACGTCACTGACGCGACCGGAGCGAGCTATACCGCACGCAAGATCGTACTCGGTACCGGTTTGCGGGACTTGCTTCCCTCGACGCCCGGCCTCCAGGAAGCATTTGGCAAGGGAATTTTCTGGTGTCCTTGGTGCGATGGCTATGGTGAGTTGCACACGAAATGCGGTACATACTGGATCCTGAATCTGACCTAACCTTATTCAGAGCACCGTGACCAGCCCTTCGGCATTGTCGCCGATGTCGCGAGCGTGCTTGGTGCCGTTTTAGAGGTTCACACCCTGAACAGCGATATCATTGCATTCACCAACGGTACACGGACACCGGACGGCGAGGCTCGTGCCGCGGCAAAGTATCCCGACTGGGATAAGCAGCTGGAGGCTTGGAACGTCACCATCGACAACCGTATTATCCAGTCATTCGAGCGTCTTCAAGACGGCGGCACCCACCGTGACCATGATGAAGACAAGCAGTACGACAAGTTCCGCGTGCACTTCACCGAGGGCGAGCCAGTGGAGCGCAATGCTTTCCTTGTTGACTACCCCACCGACCAGACCTCGACTCTCCCAGCTCAGATGGGCCTTGAACTGGAAAACAGCAAGATCAAGGTCACAAGTGCTATGCGAACCAATGAAACTGGTGTCTTTGCCATTGGAGATGCTAATAGCGATGGGTCGACCAACGTCCCTCATGCTATGTTCAGCGGCAAACGTGCTGCCGTTTACATTCACGGTGAGTCTTGCCCTGCTCATGAGTCGTAGCTGACATGCTAATGGGAGCTTTACTACAGTTGAAATGTCTCGCGAAGAGTCCAAGTCGAAGATCTCCAAGCGCGAGGGAATGATCTCCCGTCGCGAACTCGAAGAGGAGGCCAACAACGCTATTGGTGACAACCTCCAGCGAGAATGGAAGCGCGCCCAGGGTCTGGAGTGAGGCGACAACCCCGGCTATAGCTGAGCGCTGCGTGTAGTACTTTTGCAGCTCTGTGAACGTTACAGTTCTTGCAAGGGATATGACTGATGCTTTACAAGATTTCAGGAACGTGGAATGAAATTGGCTTGTGCTTCCTGCTAGAACTGGTCATAGGAATTAATATCACCCTCTCATAAAATGCCTGAATTTTTCCATTTACCATTATACATTCTTGATTTCCTGACATGCTCATGAGCTATATGCTGGCGCCTCCAAGGCGCTTATTAACTCAGAGGAAAGGACAGCCATACTTCCGTCATACTCTCTAGGAGTAATGTGGCAAGGACAGTAGCCTTTCGATGGTTAGGCAATTCATTCGATCAGTCCCTAGGGTTGTATATTACAGTCTTGAGATGTGAGCATCTTCTCCCACAGAAAGAGTCGAAACTAAGCTCCCAAGTCTTATCCAAATCATCAGCTTAGACGCCAACGTATAAAAGCACACGTATAGACTACCCAGCCTTGGAATAAGCCGCTTGGCCGGAGTATCTCTTGTCTACGAATACATGATGAACATGGCACTGACATTCCTCCAGAGCTACGGTAAGTTGAATTCCGTTTCAATTCATACGTGCCGAACTAATGTGAAGTTGTTGAGAGATGTGGTGGAACCTAAATCACTCGTGAAGTCTAGCCTGTGCTTGACACTCAGGATAATGGATCAAAAAAAGTCCCCACAAAAGACGCTGATTACTTCCTTACAGGACAATTTCTTCCTGTCTTCTTCTCACAGCGATTCTTGCGAGTGGATCTGCGGACATTCTCATCCCGGATTTCAAAATTTGCGGTGAACATCCGTCAGCCAACCGGAAATCATATTTCATGATGACTTGAGACAGAATGACTTTCAGCTCAGCGGCAGCGAAAAATCGCCCGGGACAAGCGTGCTTTCCAAAGCCAAAACCCATATGCTGGGGCGAGGGCGAAACAAATTGAGCTATGCTTTCCTTGTCCATAGACCCTTCGCGCAGCTTCAGGAATCGGTAGGGATCAAATGTTTCGGGATCTGGGTAAATGCTGGGATCCCACATCTTACTGCACGAGACAAGTATAATGTCGCCTTTCGGAATAACCGTTCCATCGGATAGTTTGACATCGCATTCTGCTTTACGAGCCATCTTTGCTATTTTGATAGTTAGTATAGCGATCGCCGGGGAGTGAACAAGCACCAACCAATAGCCATGGGCTTGACCCTTTGGGATTCTTTGATGACGCTGTCCATCAACTTGAGCTTGTACATGGTACTCTTGTTCCAGCCACCATCTCCGAGCACACTGATGATCTCCTTTCGAAGCTCGTCAACAAGTTCTTCGCGACCACAAAGATCGAGGATCGTTTGGGTGAGTAAATCGGTAGTTGTGTGAATAGCCGCTGTAGAGAGAGCTAGCTGCATAGCGGCCTGATCAAAAGACTGATTTGGGCAGTTTTCTTCAAGCCACTGAATTGCGTCGTGGTATGTCTCCTCGGGTTTCCCTTCCGCAATAGCTATCTTTCGAGCTCTCCGTCGCTCCTGAACCACTGGCAGGATAATTTGCTTGGCCTCTGCGAGCTCCTCTTGGATAGTGTGACATTTCGGTAGAAAGCGTGCGACAATGGGTCGCAAAAACTCCGGCCAAAGTCTCAGCTGTGCAGCGGCAATCAAGGAGTCTATTGTGTAATTGACCGTGATTCGGAGCCAGTCGGGATTGCGGCAAATCTTCTCACCTAGAAATACACGGGACGATAGCTGGGCTATAAGGCCAAGAGCTCTGGGCCTGAGGTGAATGTCATGCCAGTCTTAAGGCCAAAAAAATCAGCAAGCCGCAGAATTCAACGGTCGGACCGACAATGCTCACCCGGGTTATCTGTCCATTGGTCCTTCAGCACCATATTCGCTTCGCTAGACATAGGCTCTGTGATATTGACTGCGTGAATTAGTCAATTGAAAAACAGTACCAGAAAGCGAAGTACCATACCTAAATTTTGAGTGAGCTTGGTGCGAACGGTATCTTGAATCACATCCGATGTGACAGTGACTTTGACGGCGTCAAAACCTGGAATATTGACATGGTGCTCAGTCACTAAAGCCCCGCTCAGCGTCAACGACCGATGACTGCGAATGTCCTCTGCATAATCAGCCGAAAGGATGGTCCTTATGCCGTTCTCAGTGACCACTCTGAAGGCTCCAGCCTACCAAACAGATCAGAACTTGAAATTAGAAACTTGAAACCACAGGGATTACCTTTGCAAGACCACTCATTATCAGATTGTGCGCATCTTTCAGATAGCGCTGGCGAGCCTTTGCTATTCCAAATTCAAAAGGACGCTTGCTGTTCACCAAAGGCAGCTGGGACCTCTTGCCGGAACTCAGAAAGAAAAATAGCCCGGACAGAATGACCACAGCGAGGAAGCCTTTGGTCTCAAAATTGGCCCAAAGTGGGGGTTGATCGAGTGCCATTTTGGAGTATTCGAGTGATGATGTGAAGTCGTTCTTCAGTGAGAAACTAGAATTATAAGGACCGAGGTGAAGCGAAGGCCAATGAAACGCACGCAGCCACCGAGAAGTCTTGTCAGGGTATCGGGGGAAAACATTGACTGGCAATGCTTCGCGATTCAAATCAAGCTCTCAATGGTGACTCGGAGTTGCCCCGTTTATTCAGTTCCTATCATGCATGACCAAATATGAAAGATATGAAACTATTGATTGTGTTGGTAGAATTGCATAGTCGTACCAAAAGACGCAATACATGTAATAAGATTCCACCGCCAATCAAGTCAGAGGCCCCATAGGAACTCGGCAGGCTAGGGTTCAAAAAAGGAAAAAAAAGGACAAGAAAAAACGAAAAAGATGTGTTTTTTTTTCGACACTCTATATACAGTAATTAGTGGATAAGCGGGCCGCAAGTTACACCGCATTTTCCGAGGTCAGATAGCGATTGTACGCCTCGTATGTTGATGCAACGCGTTTTATCAGTTTTATCACTAGTAGTGTCGATCTGACTGAAGGTACTCATGAAAGTGGGTAGAATGGCGATATTTAAGAAATGTCATATACGTGTGGCTGGCTGATACTGTTACCCTCTTAGGGCATGATGGGCCTCTCAGATTCAAGGATATAGGATCCCAGCAGTGTTACTGTAGGTTGCGTCGATCAATCTGGATCTTCATTCCAAAATTATGATATCAACCGTTAAGGATTGTTCTTATTCACGAAGTTCAGCATTTCCTAACTTTCCGCTCAGCCAATATGATTTTAGAGCAAGCAGAACCATGTCCCCAAAGTATCCCAAAATGGGTTTGGTGCAAGGGGTAAATTCCCCTCCATACAGCAAGCGTGCTAAATCGCACCCAAAGAGCGAAATTAGAATGGAAACCACCCCGGAATAAATTGTGCAGTTGAGGGCTGGTATGCGTAGAAACAGAAGGCCTTGCTTAGATTTCACCGCAAGGGGTGTGAGCCCAGATGAGGCGCAGCCCACAGAGACCTTCAAAGTTTGCTCAGTTGGTCAAAGAATATCAAGAACTTCGTGGAGCTTCTGCTTGGAATGGCTGTTCTACTTTACGTACAAAGTCAATGGGGAATGAACGGGCAGACACACCGTTGCCTTTGAAATAACATACCTGCTTTCTTACTCTGTAGAATGGGCTTATAGTTAGGGACCAGTTGACTTGGCCATAATCCCCGCAAGATTAACTTGATATACTGATTTGATACGCTATTTGTGTATTTTGTATGCGCTATGAAGCTGCGAGAAGGGTTGGCATTTTGCTGCAGCTAGTTTAACAAGGTTTGAAGTTTTACAACACATAAGGAGCCCACGTGTCTAAAACATCTCTTATCTCAAAAACAAATATCATCGACTAGACCAACAGTCCGATAATGTTGAATAGGAGTTTATGCGTCGCAGCAAGTCCAGCACACCTGTTATGCCATTAGAATACAAAACATCCCACAAATGTATCTTAGATAGTGGCATGCTACGTACCTGACCAGATTCCTCAGAACCAATCTGAGTCGATACCCAACCAGCTTGGCAGGTCACCGGGCTGTCTCTGCATAAACGCAAGCAGAGAGGTTCCTCTCCGCTGTCCTGGGGGAGGGCATGAACGCTTGAAACAGCCAAGGCCATAGTAGCGAGGACGAGAGAAAAGAAATGCATTTTAGCTGAAGAGAAACTGAAAACTTTGTGACGTTTGGAAAACTAAGAGAGATTGTTGACAGGGAACATTGAGTGCCTCGCTAGACGGTATTTATACCGAGCGTATGTAAATATTCTAATATGTTCGCAACGCCAGTCATGAGAGTTCGGACGTCATAGTCTACACTATAGCTTGGGAAAGTTTGAGTATGGGTTTCGAATAGCGGGGGCTAATTGGCGTGCTGTCTTATGTTCATGCAAGGCGAGCAGCGTTAATGTAGGTTACACAGAGCTACAGATTGGATAATTAGGGAGCCAATCTAAGCTCCGTGTGTCGACATTAATACGGTGCCTGACATTGCGAAAGGGGTCGGGCAAGCCGTGACAAGTTCCATATGCACTCGAGGTAGAAATAAGGACGCGCTCGTGGTCAATATCACAGAAGCATGCATCTGCTCCTTGCGGAACGGATCGGAGGGCTCCGCAGAGCAGTACAGTACAGTATGTTTACGGTACAATAGTACGACAATACTGTATGTACACCATTGAAGATTGACATTGCATGAAAAAGCGGGTCCACGCTAACCATTCGCTGGTGGAGGCGCAAGTGGGGCCAAGCAAGGGTCCTGCAGAGTATGCATCGCGCACGCTCGAGGTATGTCTGTTGTGTAACTTTCTACCTAGACGCATGTTGAAGCTAGTCGTTACATGCCAGATCTTAGTTCAAAAGAAAAGCCGCAGTGGGTCAAGATCGACACCCGAGATATACTTCACTGCACTTCAGCTTAGCCACTGTTCTGTATAATTATGCACATTTCGTTCGAGATGTTTCCTCACTCGATATCCCAAACAGCATAACAGATTACAGCGCTCACCGCCACTTCCGAAAAGTACCCAGCATTATGGGGGTCAATAAATTGGCCCCGGCCGATAGAGACTCTGCACTGTACTGGACACGCTATAGAATCCTGCAGGTACTAGCGTCTCCCTCCCTGTAGCCACTGAGCCCCAAGAGGAATTACTGTTCATAGAATGGGTGATTGTGAAATTTCCACTTCTTCACAGTCAGTTAGGACCGGCGAAAAATTTGCTTGCCTAGGCAGATCCGGTTCTTTTATCGAAGAAAATCCGGAGCATACACACCTCCCAGGAGCAAGAGCAGATTCGAAGGTAACGGCCAAGAATGACTCAAGTTAAAGAACGGGCAATTCACCATGGACCAAAAGTCCTTGTTACTGGAGCAAACGGCTATATTGCTTCACACATTATCAATGTTCTGCTAGAGCTTGGCTATACTGTCAGAGGGACTGTGCGCGCTGAGATGACATGGCTAGACGACTATTTTTTGAAACAATGGGGACCAAATCGTTTCGAGTCCGTGTTGGTGCCCGACTTCCAGCAGCCTCACGCATTCGATGAATGTGTACAAGGCGTCTCAGGAATTATCCATGTGGTATGTCTCCCTCTTCTAATTCGGCAATGTAGTATTGAGTTATGAAAATAGGCTCAAGCTTTACCCTCCAGTCCCCTAGTGGAGGACGTGGATGAGGCAGTCGCATATACAGTTAATGGAAGCGTAAACCTCCTGCAGGCAGCGTCTTTACAGACCTCAGTGAAGCGAGTCGTATTCACCTCGTCTATCGTGGCTGCAGGCTACCCCAAAGGTCCTGGGTTCAAGCTAGATAAGGGTAAGAAGCACCTAGTCAGAGCTATTGCTGGACGAGTGAGATTTGAATAATTGGAGATAAGAGCCTAACGTTTCAGTACAGATTCCTGGGATGATTGTGTGAGCGGAGGGGCAAGTCTCCTCGCTCAGCGGTCTGCTTATCGAGAGTGCAAGGCCCAAGGAGAGTTCCAGGCATGGAAATGGGTTGAGAAGAACCGGCCGGGGTTTGAATTCAACACTGTTCTTCCATGGTTCACTGTAAGTATCAGGAACCAAATTAAAATCGTCTTCATTGATACTCATCAAACCGGGTTGATAGCTCGGCAAGGTGCTTCACCCTGAAATTGGTGGCTCGACAATGGGATATGTCACCAGGCTGCTCCAGGGCAATACCCAGCCTTTCAAGTTCCTTCCCCTTCGTGAGTGGAATCATTTTTGATAAATGGAAACTTTGCTGATGAATATTTTCAGCATGGTTCGTGGATGTAGTGGACACTGCCCGTCTCCACGCAATTGCATTATTCTGTCCGAATGTGAAATCGGAACGACTCTTTGCTGCAGCCACCCCTTTTGTTTGGAAAGAGATCATCGACATTCTGAGACAGATTCAACCTAACAACACCACTATCCCAAACCCACCCTCCGAGGAGGATCCGACAGTCGGAGAAGTTAAACCAGCCATTAGGGCTGCCAAACTCCTCTATGAGTATTTTGGGCAAAGTAGCTGGACGTCCATAGAAAAGAGCCTCGAAGGCGGCATTGAGGAGAATCCTTGAGACCAGATTTCCATTTCAGAGATCGATTTCTTGATGATGGCTAGCGTGTTGAAATCTTAGCAAAATGTGATGCGCAGTAAGTGACTGAAGAAGGTTATGGTCTTGGGGATACAACAGGAAATGGTTTGGAATATCATCCGTGTTCTTAGTCCTTAAATGTGTAGCTTTGTATTTCTGAGTAATCATGACGGTCACTATTTCCTGGGGAAATCAACTAGCACGTCTGAAGAAAATTATAAGTTTTTTTTCAGTAGAGACATTATTCATTAAAGCCGAGAATTAATATAGAAAGAAATGAACTATAATTGAACATGACTGCGGAGAAACTCATACCCATCCAGCACTGCCTGGCATGCCTCTCTGTCTTCTTCATATCTTGGATAGATGTCAAACAGGTGCAACCCATTTTCCACAACACGAAGTTCAGCCTCGATGCCCTGACTTTGCATTTCATCGCGCGTCCTTTGTGCTTGTTCTAATGGAATCAGGTCATCAAGTGAGCCGTGAATGAGAAACGTGGGTGATTTATAGTAGCCACGACGAATCTGAGCAAGTGGGCTGATGCTGTGAACTTCTTCAATGGTCGGGTCAGGAAGTGCTTCCTCGGCACCGCTGGGTTTGCAAGACTCCAAGTGATGTTTTCCACGCAGAAGAACAGGAACTGTCTGCCCTGTCCAATTCATATGCAGAGCGATCCGACTTCGTGCATCGCTGGGAGACATCCATCCCCCCTGGGCATTTTTGGTGGCAGGAGGGTTGTACGCGGTGATCGGTATTTCAGACATGCCATCACACGTATCGTAGACCGTACCCACAGAAGAAGAATCCTCTCCATACGGATAGTTAGGCTTGGACCAGAACGGATCTTCATAATCACTTGGACAGTAGAAGGCAAGAACAGCCTCCGGGGGTGGGATGGCAGCTTGTGGTGCTGTCCACGCAAGAGTCATGGCTAAATGCCCTCCTGTGGACCATCCGACAGCAACAACTTGATCTCCATCTGGATGGACATCCGAACGGTCAAGTGCCAGACTTGGAAGCGTATAGCGTGCCCAGCGTAAACCCTCTCGTACGTCGTGCATTGGTCCTTCGAGAAGAGTGACCTCCGGGCAGAGTCGGTAGTCGATGCTAACAGGCAAGAATCCAGCTTCCAGTAGCAGCTTAATTTGCTTGGGGCGAACATCTCGACGGGAAAGCATGACATGTCCTCCCCCATGAATCATGAGCGCTGTTGGTCACGTAAGAAGAAGGTTCGTCGCACAGAAGGATGGCGAGTGGTAGCTTTCCTACATACCAATCGGACGAGTACTTCCGGGGGGCTGGATACTCTTGGGGTAAAAGATGTCGGCGCAAAGCTGTACTCCACTCTCCTCGCCAAAAACAACTGTCTCCCTCTCCGGTAGAAGGGCAGTACTCTCTACACCCTTGTTCAGAGACAGCGCAGGAGTCGGTGAGGCAGTAATAAGGCGCAATGTGTTGGATTCCTGTGAGGAGTTGTATGACCAGTCCACCCATTGGAACCCCGACTGAGATAGAGTGTCTTTCCAGAAATTCTCTGTGGCAAGTGCATGTTTTCTGCCGTCATTAAAAAGCCACCAGCCCTCGAGAAGACCAAAGACAAGATCGAACCAGAAGATATTACGGGTGAGCTCAATGAGACAAAGCACTCCATCTGGTCTCAATAACTTCCTGATGTTGGTGCATGATTCAACCAGATTGCGAGTGGCGTGGACACAGTTGCTGGAGATTATGATATCATACTGTCCAAGCATTTCTGCTCCGGGTGTCTGCTCCACGTTGAGGGTCTGGTACTTCATGAAGTTGAAATGCTTGAACTTCTTGCGAGCGAGTGCCAGAAGGGATGAAGATAGGTCAGTGAATGTGTATTCGAAGCGGAGCCCAGGAACAGCGGTCAGTTGGTCCAAGAGTGCCTTTGTTGTCCCCCCAGTTCCCGCGCCAATTTCGAGAATTTTGACTTGGTGGAGGGTATCAACGCGGCCGAGAAGGCCTGTGAGATACTGGGCCAGGTGGCGGGTCGCAGCGTTAAACATCGGTGCATTCGTGTATACATCCTCCATGAGCTGGCGGGCTTCAGCATTTTGGAAAAGAAGGGAAATGGGGTCTGCTGCCCCAGTCAAACATTCGGCCAACCGTGACCCAGTGCTTTTGAGAAGGCAATGCTCCGACCTGTGCTGAGGGTAAAGTCGCACGATATCTTCATGCAATTGTGACGAAACGACTTGAGAAACAGGTGTATCTGTTCGCAAAAAGCCAGCCTCTGTGTCTCGAATCAACTTTGATGATTCTAGTATGGCGTATAGTTGCCTCAAAACTTGCTGATGCTGCGGCAGAACTGCAAGATGAGGCAGGCTCTGACCAGACTGAAGGTCGTTCAAAGCGACACCGAGAGATTGGAAAGCCTCAACCACATAGGCAGTGACAAGCTCCATCTGCTTGGGATAAACAGAGCCATAGAATCCATCCCATTTAGTCGCCTTGCTGTGGGCCATGGTTGTTTGAATCTCGCTGAAAACAAGAGGCGCAGTGCTAATCAGACCGTGCGAACTCTCCATGGAAACGGGGGTTGGAATGGTGGAGTCATCATAGCCAGAAGAGGAGCGATCAGAGGCTTCACTTTGCGAGGTTGGGTGGTAAGCACCTGCAGAATCTGAGGTAGATCCCGCAGGGAAGACCGTGTCTACCAGCGACTGGACATTGGGAATTTCTGCCAATTCAGATGAGGTCATTGAGACGTTGAATCTCTTGGTAATTTCTGCAAGCACCTCGGTCCTCATCAACGAGTCAACACCGATCTCTTCTAGATTAGAAGATGGTGGGAGATCTTCGGCAGGCATCCCCAAGAGGTCACAAAGCATTGTTTGAATGTCCACAAAGTAATCGTGTCTGGAGAGCACTTCCAAGGGGGCAGAAGGAGCAGGTTCGTTTGCGCTCTGAAGAATCTCATGGTCAGTTTCCTTGCAGAGCGTACTTGACTTTAGATCTCTTCTTTGATCAACTGGTTGGCTATTCAGTCCTTTCAGAGCTCTGGTCAGAGAAGCAATTGAAAGACTCTTGAACCCAACCGCCAGTATAGCCACTGCAAGTTTGCCTGTTGTGCGATCAATCACAAAGACATCGGAAGTGATCTTGTTCTTGGAGGAGCGTTCAACGTTGGAATATATAGTCCAAGGATTTGATGATGCTACATCACGACTGACAAATGGCTCGGCGATAAGGAATTCGCCAATTTCAGTGCAAACAAAAACCTCCCCTTCTCGAACATCCGACAGGCAATTGACATGAAGACCTGCAACTTGAATGAAGTTGTCCATGAGGATAGGATCGCACCTGCTGTGGGATGTAGGTGATGAGGCTAGGTTAACAACACCTGCAGCCTCGTTCTCAGTCGCGTAGACGCTCTCAACACCTCGGTAGAACTCCGCATAGTTGACAACCCTGCGGAAAGCCTGATAGACAGCAAGGCCCTTCAGACCACTGGACATATGGGAATTCTCGATGGACTGCACCCGATCTGTATCAATTAAGCGATTCATGGAATTGAGACGCGCAAACAGAGGATCAGGGCGATCGAAAGGATGCAGGCTAATTTTTCCAGCAGCATGCGTTAGGACTGTCCCTTTGTCATTGCGAGTGAACAGCGAAAATGAGTATGGTACACGATCAGACGATTTCTGGGATAGCTTCAACAGGACATTACCCGAAGGGCTCAATACCAAAGGTGCTGAAATCTCAAGGTCCTGTACATGCGGCATCTGAGGCGATGACGTGCTTCCGGGCGAAGCGAGATGCACAGCTCGCACTACCATCTCGATGTAAAGAGATGCAGGACAGAGATTCTGGTCCACAACTGCATGGCCGCTCGTACACATCTGGTACAGAGCATCCTTTGTGTTGATGGCACATAAACTCTCTGTAGCAGTCTTGCTCACGAGCTGTATGAAGGGGGGCGGGCTATCCTGAGTGGGGCCGGCAACCGATTTCTCACCCTGCACCGGAGAGAAGGCATAAGGGTTGAAATCAATCCAGTGGCGATTTTGGGAAAACTGGTACGGCGGCAGATTGACCCACTTGAAACTCTTGCCTTGAACAGTGTGGAATGGCCAGAATTGTACGGGTACCCCATTGTTCCACAGGTTGCAAGTAGCCTGGGAAAGGTTTCTCTGAGCCAGCGGACCCTCTAAGTCAATGGACTGATAGACATGGGCATGGGCAGTAGATGCACTAGCTTCGACAACACGTCGGATCATGGGAATAATGGGTGACGTGGATCCCGCCTCCAGCCAGACCGCGGGGCCTTGAACCTTTAATACTGCTCGCTCAACCGCTGCCTGGAAGTGTACCTGGTGTCGGCTGTGAGCCACAATGGCATCCGGGGTCACAGGTGACCAATCCCCACTGGCTGAGCATGGCTCCAGGGGTATTAAAGACGGGTGGAACCGGATATCATGAGCCACCTTTGTCAAACCTGGCACGATACTGTCTACCAGTCGGGAATGGAAGGCGTGTGTGTTCTTGAGACGCCTGGTGCGAATGGGATAGGTGGCACGTTGTGCCACCAGTTCCTCGAAAGCACGGATAGACTCCTCATCGGACGCAAGAATAATGTTGCGAGGGCCATTCACACAGGCAATATCGACAGTGATGTCCTGTCCATTGGATAGCAACGTTTGAACTTCGGCATTCGTTGCCTCGACTGAAAGCATTACGCCACGCGCAGGTCCCCATTCATCGCGGATGAGTCTCGCACGCTCGGAGACGAGAAGGATTGCGTCGTGTAGCTCGAGACCTCCACTAACACAGAGACCAGTCAATTGGCCAAAGCTGTGTCCGATAATCCTGTCTACCTTCAGACCAGAATCGAGCCATGACTTTGCAGAACTGTACTGAATGGCGAAAAGAATGCAATGCAAAGTAACAATGTCGTCAATTGGAGAGGGGTCGAAAATCCGTGGGAATAGACCGGGGAGGTCGAGAGCTTGGCAGGCCCTTTCGCATTCCATCTAGATGGGAAAGAACGATGAGTCGGTCTGACGCGAGGTATTGAAATGGGAACAGGAAGTTCACTTACCAAATGGTATTGAAGTAGCTCACATCGGTTGAAGAGCTCCTCGGAAATATGGGCCGCGTCTCCATTCTGACCTCCAAAACACAAGATGACAGGTAAACGCGAAGAATTTTGTCTCTTTGTGACCCTGGACTCCTGGGATAAGGATCCAAGCTTCGCAAGAAGTGCCGTAACATCGCTGGATGGGACCGTAAATGCGTTGGTGTACTCGAGATCCCTACTTTGCTTGATGGCCAAGTTATACGCCAAGTCAACGCAGTCATGCTTTTGTCCATGCCGCAAATACGAGATTAACGTCTCGCAATACGATCGTAGTGAATCCGCAGAGTTTGCAGCCAGAATCACTGGGACTTCTGAGGGATGCAGAGAGGTTTGGTGTGGTGAGCTGAAAGATTCTGCACGCTGCTCAATCACAATGGCGGCGTTGCTGCCTGCCGCGCCATAGTTGGTCACCATGGCCACGGCTTTCGATGAAACTGCAGATGGCCATTCAGTGAGCTGTCTGGGAATATCGATGAGTTCATTCCCAAATGGTGGAATACTCGGATTGAGCTGGGAGAAATTCGCCTGCTTTGGGATTTGACCATTCTGCATCATCATAATTGTCTTCAGAAGACCCGCTACTCCAGAAGCGGTCTCAGTGTGTCCGATGTTGTCTTTGATGGAACCGATGTAGAGCTTTTGCGTCCGAGCCGGTAAGCTGAAAGTCCTTCTCAAACTATCGAATTCGATTGGGTCGCCGACTTGCGTTCCTACGGTTGCTTCGGGTTAGTGGACTGGTTGCTGAGAGAGGTGGTGTAAACAAACCGGTTCCATGCGCCTCAACGTATGTAACATTTTCTGGACAGACGCCTGCGGCTGCCATCGCCTTTTGATACAACGAAATCTGAGACTCTGAGTGTGGCACGGTGATGGGAGAACAATTTGCCCCCTGATTTACCGCTGACCCACTGATGACGGCGAGAATGGGATCTCCATTGCGGAGTGCGTCGGCCAACGGACGCAAAACAACAAGACCTGCCCCCTCACCTCTGCAGTATCCATCGGCATCCCGATCAAATGCCTTTGAGCTCCCGGTGGGGGAGAGGAATGAAGCTGCCGCTAGATTCTGCGTGACTCTGGGGCTAGTCATGACGTTCACTCCTCCTGCCACAGCGATCGAACAGTCCTTTGTTTCTAGAGCCTGTGCGAAATTGATCAGTTTCCCTCTTATTCGTGCTTGAACAGCCACATTTAACACTTGTATTTGGTGCAATAGAAGAATAGCTTACTTTGCAGGCCATATGAATGGAAACCGCAGCAGAGGAGCACGCAGTGTCCACGACGATTGAGGGTCCGCTCCACCCAAAGAAGTGACTTATACGACCCGTATTAAATGCCTGAAGGGTTCCAGTTGCTGAAAAAGCGTTGGCGTTGACCGAGCCTACATTCTCCGTGTAGTCGTCGGATCCGACGCCCACATAGCAGCCAATGTCAGTTGGCAGGTCGGCCTTTTTCAAGCCACAGTATCCCGCAGATTCCATGGCTTCGTAGGCAACTTGAAGTAGAAGTCGCTGCTGGGGATCCATGGCCTCCGCCTCACGAGCTGAAATACCAAAGAAACGGTGGTCGAAGACATCGGGATTGGCCAAGTAATTCCCGAAAAATGGTCCTTTGGGCTCTCGGAGAAGTTCCTCCATTTTGAAGCGACTGTTTGGGAGTGGACCAACGGCACATCTTCCTAGTTGTAGCATCTCCCATAAACACGCCGGAGAATCTGCTTGTGCGAATCGACACCCCATGCCAGTGATGGCTATGGGAACTGCCGTAAGGGCATTTTTCTGCTCATGTTTGCTGTTCTCAGATGTCCGGTGACCCGAATTGGGCTTATTTGAGTTGCCGCAGTATTTTCCAGGGTTCGGACTTGATGAACGGGCCGGCTCGACAAGACGGGGTTTGAACAGACGTGGCACAAACTGATCTGTCCCAATAGCGATTACTTCAGGCTGTTCACCCATTTCTTGTGCCTTTTCCAATGCCGAAGATACTGTAAGAGACCACAGAGATGGCTTTACAAGAATGGATTCCAAAGCAATCTCGTGTATACTCGCGAGGTCCTGGATAACATTGCCGTCCACGTTGGATCTGAGGGGTAGATAGCAGCGGATCATGGTATCAGGCAATCGAAACCGAGCATCGACCTCGCATAGTCTCTTGAGGTATGTGACAGAAGTGGTGTGGGCAGTATGGTGGAATCTTCCTCCCAAGTGAATCGTCTTTGCTGACAAGTCCTGGCTTTTCAATTGTTCCATCACGTCAGGGAGCTCAGCATCTGCTACAGAGATTGTAGCGGAGTTCGTATCCGTATAACATGAGATATAGCCCTAAGGTGTGTCTGTCAGCTTTCTGGACAACGCTGATCCACAAGAACATTGAAGAATGTCGTCCCTACCGTGTCTGATCCGAGCAAGATTTGCTTCAGCTTCTCATTCTCCGCTTCGCCTTTCCATCTCACCGCGACAGATTGGGTGTGGCCGTGTTCCAGAGCATCTAGGTCAACTGCCGCTCCGATACACACAGCCAAGCGTACCATAACCGATGCAATCGCTGGGAAGTCATCGGTACCGTGTGAGAAGGAAACCGCAGCCGCAGCTAAGAACCCGACGCAAAAGCCCTGACTGTCAATGATCCGATGATTATCTAGACCCTTTCGGTCTGTCCAATACTCTATCATTTGTCTGAGGACTGTAACAGGCGTCAAGATTACATTTAATGCGACATTGGGGCTGGTCACACGTTCACCCTGTCCAAGTCGACCAAGGACTTCCAGTTGCTCAGCCCCTGGCACTTGCGATAAAGCAGGCCAGGTGTCTGTGAGGACCAACCATAATGATGGAAGCTCCTCCAGAACTGCCTCTAGAAACTTGAGGGAAGGCGTGTTCTGAAGAGTTGTGTGAATAAAAGATAAGCTTTCGGCGATCGCAGAGCTTTGAGGTCCAAACAGTACGCAAACGGGCCGAGCCGCGCGGGTTGTCGAGGATGCCATTGAGGCGTGACCGAGAGAGAAAACACGATGAATAGAGCAATAACGTTGGAAAGATCAATTGGAAGAGTGATCAGGAGAGGAGAGATACCGCTCTTGGTCAATGTCAGTGAATCTGAAATACTTATGTACCAAAATATATCGTGTTTATCGACACGATGATGATAACAAAGAAGTAAATCCCAAAGAGGCATAGAGTAGACCCATTCACTAGTAGTCTTGATGCAGGTTCTGGACGGTCTACGGAGTAAAGACTAGCGTAATATTGCATCAACACCTTACTCTTGTACACACCGATCATCCACTCGAATCAACACTCGATCACCATGTAGTATCTAGCATTTCATATGCAGGATCCCTGCAATGGCGATTCACTGGGGGCGTGGGATCCACTCTGGCGTGAAGTGTTGCCCTCCATTCTCCTATGTATGTCGTGGCTGGCTGACGCACAGTGGGTCCCTGGACGAAAAGCAGCTTCAAACTGCACATGCATTGGAGATCAAGTTTCGCCTCGTCCGTCGTCCCTGGAGGCAGCTGTACAGCAATCGAGCTGAACTTGTGAATTATTGTCCCGAATCGGCTAGCCGTCGATCCTTGCCCAACTTCCATACCTTTTTTTTTCTTCTTCTTCAGAGGTAGTATTGATATTATTCTATTATTATTTCCATAAATACATGTCTCTACTCGACGATATTTTGGTTTCTTTTTTCGTATTTCTTTCTGTTCCAACATTTTTGTTTGGTATTGTACTGTGACCTGTGTCAAATTCTCGTCGCATGTTTGTACCCACACGGGTGTGGGTGGTCGTGTCGCCTTGCTTGCATTCATGTCATCATCCCTTACAGTGGCCAGAGAACAGAAAGGGTAAGTGATGAAGGTACTTGATTGAAACCCATTGCTACAGTTGAAGCAGACTCGGCAGCTGATCACGACTACTGTAACTGGGTCTAGGGGTAGACATTACCACGTCTCACGGAAGAGCATATCTAGGTTCATACCAATATGGCATTCCGCTTCCCCGGAAAAACAAATAGATAACTGTAGTTCTGAATAGTCTGTCCACGTAAGGTCCGATCTGCATTGGCCAATTCTCGGCGCTTCATCGACGATGATCTTTTTCGACGTGCAAGGTCTGTCGCGACAAAAGACTAGTTAAGTTTAGACTTGACATCCATTCGGTCTGGTCGGATTTGCGGGCGATTAAATCGCCCAACTCTGCCATCACCCATTCCCTCACACTGTACAATAGAGATCTCACGAGCTGCATTGCGAATCTCAGTCAGTCGCATAGTCTGTGGCGCGCCATGAGTCTTTCTAAGTGCGACCGGGCCGTCGGCGTCGAGTCGGACGGTTCCTTGCGAAACCAAAGACAGTCCGATGCCGAAGCCAAAAGCCCAACCGAGGGTCTCTGCACCCCTACGCCCCAAGACGAGCAGAGGCCGGTCTTAGCTGCTTCCAAAGAGGACCGATTTACAGCCACGGAGGAGATTGAGCTACCAGGATGGGCGAGCAGAAAGATTTGTACTCCTGATCATACTACGCTGGAGTCTCGCCGGCGTGGGGTTTTGTTCGAAGATCTATCTGTTCACGGGTTGGGTTCCGCGGTCCGAGTTCAACCAACAGTTCTCTCAACCCTTTGCTACCCATTCATTCAGTTATTCAATGTTTTGAGAGGAAAGGGTGATGATTCGGTGCAGCAAACCATCCTTTATGGGTTCAATGGCGTGCTATTCCCAGGAGAGATGCTTTTGGTACTAGGTCGGCCAGGGAGCGGGTGTTCCACGTTTCTAAAAGCGCTTTGCGGGCGCTATGATGGCCTGAGCCTAGATGAGCTCAGCAAGATTCAGTACAAGGGAATATCACTCAAGAAAGTTGTGGCCGAGTTTAGGGGTGAAGTGGTCTACAACGCAGAGGCGGACAATCACTTCCCCCATTTGACTGTTGGTGAAACTCTTTCCTTTGCGGCGCATGCGCGTACTCCTCGGAATCAAGTGGGTGCAGCCAGTCGAAGAGATTATGCCCAGTCAGCTGTTAATGTCACCATGAATCTCTTTGGTCTTTCACACCTATACGATTCAAAGGTGGGGGATGACTATGTTCGGGGCGTTAGTGGAGGGGAGAGGAAAAGAGTTAGGTGCGTTACGAACCGTCACAACGTAATTTCTGCAAGATGCAGATAGCTAACATTGTTAATCAATAGCATTGCAGAGATGGTGCTTTCTCGGGCCTGCTTTGGTGCATGGGACAATAGCACGCGAGGCCTCGATGCTGTTACGGCGTTGGAGTTTGTCCGCGCGCTTCGTCAGGCAGCCGATCTTACAGGATCCTGCCATGCCGTCGCCGCCTATCAGGCTTCTGAGCCTATTTACAATACCTTTGACCACGTCATTGTTCTTTACGAAGGGCGTGAAGTTTTCTTTGGCCCTTCTCAGCGTGCCGTGGAATATTTTGAAGAGATGGGATGGGAACGACCTGCTCGACAGACAAGTGCTGATTTCCTTGCTGCTGTGACTGATCCTGGGGAGCGGCAGTCTCATGTTGGAATGGAAGATAGAGTTCCTCGTCACGCTGCAGAGTTTGAGGCTTATTGGAAGCAAAGTCCAGATCATGCAGCACTCCAGGCCTTGGTTCAACGATACGCTCGGGAACACCCTCTTGATAGCACAGAAGAAGCTAGATTTGCTGGCCTGAAGCACGAGGAACAAGCTGAGCATGCGCGGCCATCGTCGCCCTACCTTCTCTCTCTAGGCTTGCAGATACGTTTGTGCTTAACCAGAGCCTTCCAGCGAACGCGCAACGACATCGCATCCATAATTGCGACAGCCATCGTCCAAATTGTGGTAGCCGTCATTATTGGGTCCCTCTTTTACGCTATTCCCGATAACTCGGAGGGAATGGGTCAGAGAGCCACCGTGCTATTCTTGGCCGTTCTAACTAATGCGCTAATTGCCATGCTTGAAATCAACGTCCTGTTCAGCCAGAGACCAATTGTTGAGAAGCAAACGGCTTTTGCATTTGTACATCCCTTCACTGAAGCACTCGCTGGAATTATTCTAGATCTTCCGATCAAGCTATTTCGCTGTTTGCTGGCCGGTGTCATACTCTACTTCATGTCTGGCCTCCGCAGAGAGGCGTCGCATTTCTTCATTTACATCCTGTTCCAGCTAACCGCGGTCGTGACAATGTCGGGAATGTTTCGCACTTTGGCCAGCATGACCCGCGCCGTCGGTGAAGCCATGGCTCTGGCAGGTATTATGATCATGTGCATTGCAGTTTACACAGGCTTCACCTTGCCTCAGTTTGACATGCATCCGTGGTTCGCCTGGATCCGATGGGTCAATCCCATATTTTACGCATATGAAGGTATCGTGGCAAACGAGTTTCACGACCGCTTGTTTGAATGCAACGACTTTATACCAAACTATCTACCGTCGGTGCGATTTAATTCTTTCACATGCTCCTCCATTGGTTCGATTGCAGGAGAGCTTCTCGTTTCAGGGGACAGGTACATTTGGGAAGGCTACGAATACTCATACAAACATATCTGGCGAAACTTTGCGATCATGATAGCTTTTACGGTGTTCTTCCACGTTGTCCATCTTGTGCTCACAGAATATGCCCCAAAAAGCCAGTCTGCTGCTGAAGTATTGGTATTTCGTCAAGGAAACGTCCCCAAAGTCTCGCATCGCGATCTGGAGCTTGGGGAGCAGCAATTTTCCGGAAAGGAAGGCAGAAATCTCCACTCAAAGATAGACCCCTTCCCAAAACAGAAGGATATTCTCAGCTGGAGGGGGCTAAACTACGAAATTCCTGTTAAGGGTGGACATAAGAGACTGCTTGAGGATGTGAATGGCTGGGTGAAGCCAGGTACACTCACTGCTTTGATGGTAAGCCATTCCTCGTGTCCCCAGCTCCTGGTTAGTACTAATATAAAACTATATAGGGTGTATCCGGGGCAGGTAAAACGACTCTGCTGGACGTCCTCGCTCAACGTGCATCTGTGGGAGTTATTACTGGAGAAGTCCTCGTCAATGGCAATGCACTTGACCCTAGCTTTTGCCGGAAAACCGCCTATGTTCCCCAGCAGGACCTCCATCTAGAAACCGCAACAGTTCGCGAAGCTCTTCAATTTAGTGCGGCACTGAGACGACCACGCTCTGTGCCAACTGAAGAGAAGAATGCATTTGTTGAGGATGTTATCCAGATGCTCGGCATGGAAGAATTCGCCGAGGCCGTCATTGGCCACCCAGGTGCCGGTCTAAACGGAGAGCAGAGAAAGCTTTTGAGTATTGGTGTTGAACTTGCTGCGAAGCCCCAATTACTAATTTTTCTTGATGAGCCCACCAGTGGCTTGGACGCTCACAGCTCATGGGCAATCTGTGCCTTTATGAAAAAACTGGCGGATCACGGACAGGCTGTTCTTGCCACAATCCACCAGCCCAGTGCAAACTTGTTTGAGCAATTTGACCGCTTACTGCTTCTTGGAAAAGGTGGCCGGACGCTGTATTTTGGAGACGTAGGGCATCGAGCCCGGACTCTTCTCGACTATGTCGAAAAGAATGGAGGGCGTCGCTGCGGGTTGGCTGAAAACGTAAGTGAATTGATATCTACTCGTTCTTACAATAGCTACTAATAACTCATGGTTCTCAGCCAGCCGAGTATATTATTGAGGTGATTGGGGCTGACGCCCATGGCCAAACTCAAACCATAGATTGGGTGAATGTGTGGAATCAGAGCCCAGAACACCAGCAAGTTGTCAAAGAATTAGATTATTTGGCTTCATTGGCCTCTGGTACATCAACCACTGCCAACCTTGCCCACGAAAGGGACGAATTTGCAATGCCCATTTGGAACCAGTGCCGTCGTGTCATCAAGCGTGACTTCCAGCAGTATTACCGCCAACCCGATTACATCATGTCCAAATTCGCCCTGGGAATTGTTTGTGGCCTTTTCATAGGTTTCTCTTTCTGGAAGTCAGATAATTCTCGCCAGGGGTTTCAAAACACTTTGTTCAGCCTCTTTCTCCTATGCACTATTTTCTCTACAATGGTAAACCAGTGAGTCTCAACCCTTATGCCCTTTGATTACTTTCAAAATGGCTAAAACTAGTAATAGGATAATGCCAAAATTTGTCACCCAGAGATCACTATATGAGTTACGCGAGAGGCCGTCCAAGGCTTACTCTTGGAAAGTATTCCTTCTCTCTCAATTCCTGGTCGAGTTGCCATGGCAAATTCTGCTTGGTATTTGCACATGGGCATCTTTCTATTTTTCTGTTTACGGCGGCAACCAATCACCCCAGCGCCAAGGGCTTGTTCTCTTATTTGTCGTTGAATTCTTCATATTTGCATCCAGTTTCGCTCAGTTCGTCGTTGCCTCTTTACCCAGCGCTGCTCTCGGAAGCATGTTGGCCGTCTTCATGTTTTTGCTGTCCCTCTTATTCAATGGCATCATGCAGCCACCCAGTGCCCTCCCTCACTTTTGGAGATTCATGAACCACGTATCTCCACTGACGTACTATGTGAGCGGGATCAGTGCGACCGCATTGCATGACCGCCCTATCCAATGTTCAGATCGCGAGTTGAGCCTATTTGACCCACCTGTAGGGCAAACTTGCGGTCACTATTTGGCACAATTCCTAGTCACAGCCGACGGTCAACTTTACAATCCAGATTCTTCTCAAGATTGTCAGTACTGCGCCTACCGATCGGCAGATCAGTATCTTGCTATCAGAGACATTGCTTGGGATGATCGGTGGAGAAACTTTGGGATCTTTTGGGTCTATATTGTATTCAACGTCATTGGTGCGATTGTACTATACTATGTGTTCCGAGTCTTGCCGCATTCGAGAAAGACTCGGGTGCACATTGGTCGTAGTTGATCCCCAAAGTCTACCCTTTGGCTTTGAGCTTCATCGTTGATGTTGCCTTTCGGCCTTGTCCATCTTTTGAACCATGCTATCTTTCCGCTTTTACCTATCATAATCAATTGCCTATTCCTTTGTCTTGCATGAGCTCACAAAGCAACATTGTTTGATATTCACTATACTATGTTAGATACACTCGAGTGGAAGATCATCGTGTGCGATAGTAGGGCACCAGTACTCGTGAAGTATATCAGCCACCCATGAGGTCACTCTCCACCGTTTTGCCTTTTACACTACTAATGCCGGTCGTGCATATATTCACTACCGTTATATATCACTGGGGTATTTCTGCTACTGACTGTGCTAAACAAAGGTAACTGGGACTTAGAAGTACCATGGATGATTCTGCAATATTCTAAAAGTCACAGATTGAAGCGAAGAGGTTCGACGGAAAGATTTTAAACGACGGAGTGTACCAGGATATGACATCGCCTCCGGGTGGTGGAAGCCATGGTGAATATCAAGATCTCGATGACCAGCATGAGTAGTTTCATCAAATTTCGCAATGGAACTTTTCATGCAGTCATCGCTATTTGCTGTGATTGCGACACAGCCATGGAGAAGACGATAAGCACCCAGATCGAGCCGAGCTTCCAGGCTAGGCAGGAGGGGCAAAGCCTGCAGATGCCGAGGATGCTCACGTCGACTGGTAATATACCTTTGAATGATATTGAGCAACAATAGTTCCATGAATAAGCTAAATCGAGAGCTAAAACGCGGGTCATGAGCGGTGTAGTCTTGAAAGGTTGGACGGAAGGTATCAGGCCACCGATCATCTTCGGTTTGGACGAGTAGTACAAGACCAAGTTGGAGAGAGCAATGAACCAAATAATACCAGATTAATCTTCAATTAGGCTTGAAAGCAATGCAGTGGGTGTATCTATAATTCAGAAGCTTTGTAGTGTTATTCTTGTTGGCTACTATGGGGATGAAAGCAAGAGTCCTGATTATGCCAAGGATGGTAGTTTCATTAGACTGCAGTACCTACAAGAAAAGCGTTCCCAACTTTACGGCATACCTATATACCCTCATTCCGTTATGGATCCTTAGCTAAATATATTGTGATGAACAAAATCACTAACATATTTCCTCGGTTGGTGTTAGGAAAATTTCTCGAAAGTCCAACGCATGTCCAAGTCGACTTTCGAGAGGCTAAGCCTACCCTTGTACGGCTTTAGCTACTTTATTCTCGAGAAGTTGACCGCTAGGTCAAGAGTAAGGTTTTCGAGGCTCATCTATAGTCAGCATTAATGGACTAAGCTTGCGCCACGATCTAGGTGCCCTCTTGGAACTTCATACTTTGCATGACGCCAGCCTAGTCCCCGATGCCAACCCTATTATTACTATTCATGGGAAGTCGTGAGAGAGGTGAGGCGATGAAGCCGAGAGAATTTCCACAGAGATGAAGCAAATAAAGAAGACCGATGACTTCAACTAGTGGTATGTGTTTCCTTCTCAAACCGAATGACAGGACAAGTTTTAGCGCGGGAATCCTCGAAATTACCAGCTGTTACGTGGATAGCTCTCATAGCCCAGTCACCTCATACTCTACAAATCTACGACTAAAAATATCACTGTAGCCAGTTTTTTGTCCACCTCCAGACGCTGGTCGCTGCTTGTAAAGGTTAGACAATATCGTAAGGTTGTCTTGAATTTACATCATTTTAGAGTTTGGAGAGGTAAAGAAGAACAAGAAAACATCTTGACTTTACTCACGAAGAAAGACCATGGGCAATCCTTCACCGGAATATCTTCAATATGTAAAGGATGCTGATTGGCAGATTGAGTTTTTTATCTCGTTCCTTGATTCCAGATTTATGCCGCTAGTCTCACTAGTGGCAAAGGTGAAAAAAAATATTTTTTAAGTTCAGTACTGGGCAGCGGGTACGGCTGAGCTACCCTCGCATCGTGCATAATGCAGGGCTTTATCTATGCTGTGCGAGGTTAGGTGGGTCACTGGTAAAGTAATCAATAATCGGCCTAGTCTATGTTTTATTTTGTTTTTGTTTTTCTATGTGATGTACGAGGTGGCTGGAAACAATATTTCCAGATAGAGGCTAGTCTGGCCGTGGACTACGCAAGACCAAGAAAAGGGCGGGCAAACCGACCACACCGTTTATTTTGCAAGTTCGCTCTTTCCGGTCGTGATAGAGCTCACCCTGAAGGCTCTCGCTACTCGAATTGTGCAATGATGTCGCTGCTGCAAGATCACGTGAGTCCCTAGATCGAGTCATGGACGGCGGACCGCTAAGTCAAGTTTAGGTTTTGATAATCACAGGCAGCACGTCTGGAATTGGCCTCGCCACGGCAAGAGCAGCTCTGAGCGAAGGGGCCAAGATTCTAGGCGTCGATGTCTCCTCCGGACCAGAGTCGCTGCCGGAGGGCCCGAATTTCAAGTTTCTGCAGAGAGATCTCACAGATGCGGACACACACAAGGACATAGTTGACACATGCATTCGGGAATTCGGTGGACGAATTGATGGGCTGTTGAACATTGCGGGAATCATGGACCGCAACGGCAGTGTCGACAGCCTAACGGATGAAATGTGGGATAAGTGCATTGCCGTCAATCTTACCGCGCCGGTGAAGCTGATGCGCGCCGTTATTCCAACAATGCGAGCACAAAAGAGCGGTAGCATCGCGAATGTTGGTAGCAAAGCCGCGACGAGTGGTGCTGCATCGGGTGTCGCGTACACGGCAAGTAAGTTATCCGTCATATTCAAGCATGTACATGAGATTTACCAGAGATTTGTTCAGGTAAGCATGGATTGATAGGGGCGACAAAGAATGTTGCATGGAGATACAAGCAGGAAGGGATTCGGTGCAACGCAGTTTGCCCGGGTGGTATGAAACACCCTTGGTTTACAAATACGCTTGATAGAGACTTGTCGTTGACTTGTATTCCTCCAGGTGTTCCAACTGGTATCGTCCAGGCGTCCAATCCGGAACTTTGGGATAAGGCCGCACTTGAGACGATGTCTCCCATACATCAGGCACATGCCTCTGACAGGCCAAAAGGACTCGGTGTTGAACCAGACGATATTGTTCAATGTCTTCTGTTCCTGATGTCTACTCACAGTAGAATGATCAACGGGGCTGTAATTCCAGTCGATAACGCCTGGTCCGTGATTTAAGATGGCAGATATCTATTCATGGAAATACTCTAGGTAGCAATGATATTGTGTGTGGACACTAGTTACGTCATGTAATGTTGATTGAGCGAGCCCCCCGAAAAACTATATTGCCTCCACATCGTAAATAAAGAAAGCAAGAGTATATATGATCGCCAGATACATTTCAGTGGCCGAGACAGTTTTCAATGACGAAACCGAGTACCCAGAAAACGGTAGCAAGGAAGAAAGCAGATTTTGAATAAGCCTCCACCTTTGAAGACTTTCCAACTCGGGAAGCCTGCAGCAGAATTGAGAAGCCCACAAAATGTCCAGCAACTGATACAATGAAGAATGGCAAACCAAGCCCAGTCAAAGCCCCCGCGGTCGCAAGAAAAACAGTGGAGGCAATGAGGAGAGAATATGCTACGAGATGAATACTATCTCGGAACCGCACAGCCATGCTTCTGACACCAGCTTTCGTGTCATCCTCAGTATCTTGTCTCGAGTAAATCACATCGATCATGATAATCACCGTCGCGATAAACATATACATGCACAGAGTGGGCTTGAGCCGAGCAAGGGGCTTCAATTCAAAACTGTGCATAGCCATAGGAATCGCCCAGCCGATATTGGCGAGAGTAAGTTGGGGGTAATCAGTATATCGCTTGCCGAAGGGATAAATCAAGGCAGAGACGGTGATTATCGAGGCGTCAAAAATACATGCTCGTGGTAGAAAGAACACCATATACCATCCACAGGCGAAGATAACAAGTGCCAACAAAGCAGCGTCAGCTTTTGAAACAGCTCCACGAGGAATTGGTCGAGATCTTGTTCGTGAAACCTGGCGGTCCAGGTCTGCATCGACGAGGTCGTTCCAAACGCACCCGCCACAGCGCAGGCAGAAGGACCAAGCTGCAAGAAGCATGGTGCGCTGTGCAATGGCATTCAGCGGGATTTGAGTTGACGAAATCGATGAAGCAAACGCAACACCGACAATATAGGGGGATGTATTCAGATAGAACCCTAGGGGTCGGTGCACTCGCATTAACTCGCCATATGCCGCGAGTGTCTGGCGAGAAGATGACTGTGATTTGCCATTTTGATATGAATTCTGTGAATTCTTTGTGCGATTCATGTTGAGAAGAGATAAGGGAAGCAAGAGCAAATGAGTTCAGCTGAGAAAGTCGAAGAAGGATGGTGTTTCCAGACGGAATGACAGAGCCACTGGGCTCTGATGCGTACTATTATCAATACTGTTTGTTGTTCACCGATAGTTTTTTCACGCCAAGATTTTACATCCAGCATTCCAGCGCCTTCCATGATACGAAACAATGCATACAGGTGTACTGCACCTTCTCAATAGCCTAGAGCATCTATGCCTTACGTTGATAAATTCGCTGCATCCCTTGCCCAGAATCCTGTGCCCACTGATCTGCCCTCATCCTTGCCCTTTTGGAGTTACTTACGCAGAAAACATTAATAGGACAACGCAGGTACGCGGCAGAGCTATTATGTTCCTGCAATACTACCCCATTCATGTGGTGCACGAAGAATATATTTCGAGGACAAAAATACGAAGACTCCGGTGTAGACTATGATTTACCTAGAAAAAAGCAGAAAATGACGTGTAAAGGGGAAAAAAAGAAAGACAGCAATACAGAGAGCCCAGATCATAGCCCACAGTCGCTGAGTGGGCTTGCGCACATGAGACCCTCGTGATAAAAGTTTGCTCCGTTCTGGGATCGGCAAAAAGTCTACCGTACCACCTCCAGTCAGTGCATTGGATGCCTGGGACTCAGCGAGCCTATCAAGACGTGGAAAAATATACCGGCCAATCCAAGCTTTGAGCCAGTTGTCGCGAGTGTGGAATCGAGCACCAAACTTTGCCCGAGAACATGTGTTTTTCACACGACCAAATCGTAGCCTCTGATACTCCTGTAGCATTTTCTCAATGGCATGATTTGAGGGATTCTGCCCCTCGCAATTTTTGATGACATGATTGAGTAGCGAAGACAACACAGCAACATCCTCAATAGCCGTGTTTGCCCCTTGGCCAATGTTGGGTGCCATCTGCAGCAATATTATCAGTAAGAATAACCTCGAATCTTTGACATGGGTCCATAGAAGCTCACCTTATGTGTACTGTCCCCCAGTAGCACTATCCGGTTAAAGTGCCAAGTCTCGAACATACCCTCCTCCAGTGCCGTCATTGACGCTACCTGTCTGGCTTTCCAAAGGTCACCAACAGTGATGTCTCCTAGAAGTTTGACGTCGCTCAATTTGGCACAGAGGGAAGCCGCATCCTTTGGAGAGAAACGAGGAGCATTCGGATACGCATAGACACGATCAAGCTTCTGGATGATGAACCAGAATACGCGGTCTCCTTTTCCATGGAAGGTGATAACGCAGAACTTGTCACCGTAGCGGTTGATATGCTCGCCACTTCGAAGACCAGGTATCGGCAGCGATATCCCAAACACGCATGCGTATTCTATAGTAAGACCTAATATGGACGTTGCGGCCATAATGTGAGCTTCATTGATCACGTATGATCCTTTGCAAGAAAATCTGAAATTAGGCACTTACGGGTTTTCTCCTTGGGAGTAATAAGTCCGGGACTCATAGTGTCTGCCAGCCTCCACATCTCGGAGCGTATACGGCTGTGAACACCATCAGCGCCCACAATGAGGCTTCCATGATATTTCTGTCCACCGTCTGTCACCACGGTAGCCTCTTCACTAGATAGTTGCACCTCTAGTACTTTCTTATTGGTGATAATCTTCGATTTGTCGGGATAGTGCTCATAGAGTATTTCGAGGACCTTCTTCCGGTCTAGAGAAACGATGGGGTAGTTTAATCTAACATTGTTAGCTATGCGAGTACCATTGTAGAATTTAAGTTCCGTGTGAAACTTACCTCTCCTGAATTCCTCTTGGAAGTAGGCTGCTAAATGAGAAACCATCAGGATAGGATATATGCATCCGGTTTACCGGGGCAGTGAGGGCCTCTAGGCTCTCATAGAGACCAAGCTGTTGAAGAACATGTGCTCCATTAGGCCAAACTCCAATGAAAGCGCCTTCTTGTGGTGCAATCTCAGTCCGCTTTTCCAGAACGATGTGGTCTATGCCGGCTCGAGACAAACAGTGAGCCAATGTCAAGCCTGCGATAGACCCTCCAACAATAATGACTTTGGGTTTCGGATTCCCCATGGCTGACATTAATCCCTACTTCCAGGGTGAAGAGGATCCTGGCTATAGCAAACCCGAACTTTGGATGATGCGGAGAGGTGAGAATGACGCAGGAAGATGGCCCGGTAGATCGGCCATTTCAGTACGGACCGGCTGTGTTTCTAGGACCTCTACTGCAGGGTGCTTTTTTTTCGGTTTCTTTACAGTACTGACCTTGAAATCGTTTGTGGGTATTTTAATGTCTCCTTGCAGCGACACGCATTAAATTCAGCTGTTGAGATCTACCATTATTAGTGGCTGGTTTTTCAGCCGAGACCTTTCACCAGCTGAACACTAGCAAAAGTCTCGTACATATTTGTCGGCGATTACACTAGAACTGCATATTTTCTGGGCACTAGTTTCAATTAATTATTGAACCACTGCGATACCAGGTCACCATGATCGCTAGCTCGGGTAGCTACTGGAATACCACCCATCTAACAAATGAGGCTTAGTTAACTAACCTAACTACATGGCCACCAGACATTTTCCTCAACTCCGTATCAAGCAAGTGTAAACAGATTATGTTGCCATGTGGAGCTCAATTCGACCAACGAGAATTGGATCCTCACCTTGTGATATTGAGCCTCATCAAATGTTTGGTCACTTCGACTTCCTGGCTTTCTGTGTATCCCTGACTGATTCCTGGCGCCGGATGAAGTAATAACAGAAAGGGTATGTGAAATCGAGAATCAAGGTCAAGCCAATATAAAACTTGCACATCGGACTTTCGAACCAGGGTCCTTCGTCCCTCCCAAGGAAAAAGTAAATACTCAATTTAATAAACCCTCCAAAAGTCGCGATGGCTCTTAGGAGCCTATTTGTGCGTGGATTAGCAACGGAAATATTTGGAATACAAAGGAATCCCCTTACCATGTTAGAAGAGAGGCACCGCGAGTACTGTTCCGGGACAGAATCTGGCATATTGGCCCCAGACTGGCGAGGGTCTGGCACAGGACCCCGCCGTAGAAGAATCCCAACTCAGGCCCAACCTCCGCTGCGAATGCCAACTGGCCAAAAGCGAACCCGAGAATCACAGCACCGTAGACCAACCAGATGTAACGTTGCACCAATGGCATGTTGGTCCATTCGTTGGGCGCATACCTGATGATGAAAATGATGACAATGCAATGGACAAGAAACCACACGCGAACTCCCCCTTGCCAGTGCGCACTCGCGGAGGGGTAGACAAAGGCGTAAACATATTCCCACGCAATGTCGCAACAAATTGGAAAAATCCCAGTACTTGGAAGTTTGTGACGCCATGATTTATATAGCATGCTAAAATAGTTCAGCGTCCAGCAGATTCCTGCTAGGATGCGGAGAAATTCCGCAACGGATGCAAACACATCCCGATGCTGTAGAATAATCGAAGCAATGAATCCGTTCTCCATGGTTGATCGGAGAGAGATAGAAGAAGAGCGTAGTATTGACGATGATCTAAAGGGAGGACTCGGTCCTGAGAGAAGAGAATCGATGGCATTTTGATCGCAATTCCAAACGATCTACGGATTGATCAGCTGTCTGAGCGTAGCACCTGCATGGCCCGTGGAAATTACACAACACAGATCTGTAAGTAAGGAGTGATGCGTATGCTGCAGCTTCATTTATCAATTTTACTACAAATGCGTGGTGGGGCGGATCGGTACGAACCGTGCGGTGTGCATTAGCGGCATTGATAGTGCACAATGCATTGTAGCAGTGGAGAACAGGGCTTGTATGGATAGACATTGCAGGGATTGCCATTCCGACCAGCACTCGAGAATCGTCACCGCCGTTTTGAATTTTTTTTTTTTACTTTTTTTACTTTTTTTGCTTTTTCTTTTACATCGCTTTTCATGAGACGGGTTTCGGCCGGAAGATCTGATTGACAAATGACTCGTATTCGCAAGGTTTACGGAGTACGTTAGTGGGTCGGATTTTACGCTGTATAAACTATCCGAGTCTGCTCAGGCCTTGGGCCGCCTAGATCGTATCTATCATGTCCAGTTGGGCTTGAACGCGCTTCCATGCGTTCGTGCGCAGTACACCTGTCAACCACCAGTTTCCAGCCGAGTCCTTTCCTTTCACCGATAGCACATTCCGGAACGAGTTGGCTGAGTGCTGAACCCCGTTGACGTATGTAGGCTTACCAGGGGCCCGCAATCGATCAATATCTGCGCTCGGTGATTTCCGCACCACAGCAGAGGAGAAATCCATATCATAGAGGCGGGCTTTATTCCAATTGGAGCATGACAGGAGCAACATTCGAGGGTCACCGACCAACGCTAGATACCCCGTTGTCTCCATTGTCTCCATCTGCAATGCAGTCATTGCCTCAACCTGCTCCGTCGTCCGCTGTTGTACCAACGACTCTCTGATTCGTAGAGCAATCTGGCCAAGTGACTCTTCAGAGATCTGCCTTCCGGAGAGAAAGGTAGGCGACATACACAAGGCATTGCCCATATACATATCCTCTGATGTTTCAAATGCATCATGGGTTGATGTCCGCAAATTCAACGCATTGTTGACCAGAATTACTTGATCAGGCCGAAGGGCCAATGCGCTATGAACTGTACTTACCCACCATGCCAGCAGGACATCACTTTCGCTGACGAAAGGTGCCGACTCTTTATCAGTGGGTGATATGGCCGAGATTTGGTCCATCGCTCTGGAGCGAAGGTGCTTCAACGATGCAGCGGGTAAACAAATTGTGCGCCGTTCCTCTTGTCGGTACCATAGTCTTTCCAGAATATTCATCCCAATGAACCAGAAAAAGTCCTTTCGAGCAAATACACGGTCATAATAATGGTACTTGTTTGCTGGTGTTCGTTGTCCGAGGAGAGACAGCGGATCTGATCGGAAGTCTTCCAGCTTTGGGACAGCGGTTGGGTCGCCTCTGAGCATTGCTGTCCACGCATCAAGAAATATCTTCAAACCCATCACGTCGGCCAGTGTATGGATCCACGTCACAGTAATAATTGTAGAATCGTTGAAGCTGACCGTGTGGATGGAAAACTGAGGTCTATCGGAGTGAATCCAGTCGTCTAAGCTTGTCGGGCTATCCACGCCGCAGACGAGAGGGGTAAATTCATCGGGGGAGCCATAAACCATAGGCTTGTCGCTTGCTTGAGGGAGCTTCTTGCCAAGTGGGTGGTCACCAATGTTCATCGAATGTTCGACGTTGGTGAAGTGATAAGCTGGTCTCGATGAGTCGAAGGACTGTGGAATATGGTATTCGAGCTTTCCATTCTGAGGGGGGGATATGAAATCAGTACGAATACGGTTCAACCCGACAAAGGCAAAAAGGAGATCACATACGTGCTCGCGCAGCCGAGCCCCAACCTGTTTCCAATTATCCAACTTGAACAGCTCATCCAAAGCGGCTCGAATCTTGGATATATCCAAGCAATCATCGAACTTCAGGGAGATGTCTATAACAGTGCCTCGCATACACAGGGCTGTATCCCAAAAGCGAAGTGGGATGATATCATCCGTGGGAACCGTCTTCGGTCCGCGTCCGCGTGACTGCGGGTTATAGAATAGTCGCATCATATTGGAGTGAGAGATTTTTGCTGCGGAAGTTTAGCACAGAGGAGGCAATCTCAGCTATGGAGAAGCTTTGAACTATGTACCTAGCTTCGTTTTAACTAATCCCTACCGCTTGCTACTTGCCATGAATTCAATAAAATACGGGTATCACATACAGTATCTCCCAAGCTGAAAATGTTTCTGTATCACATTGATCACCAATGGACCCACGCCAGACAAGGATTCCCGCCCTTACCTTGGCTTACCACATTCAGGATGCGTTATCGGGCGACTATTAGCGCCTATTGAAATTTAATCCTGCAACTTTGTGGTTTGTTTTATCTGGATACATAGATTACCCTGCAGTCTACTGCACAACTTCAACACGAGGTAAGTATTGCATAAACAGCCGGTCAAATTGAAATATGTCTTTGATATGCACACCTTGTTGGTTGGAAATAGCTCTACTCCCATAACTCCGTCAGCGGATCATATAAATGTCATAGGATCCACCCTTCCATCTCCCGTTCCCATCTACCTGGACATTATTGTTTCTCCCTTTTTCTTTCACTCATCATGCATCCAGATTCCCAGCTAGAGACTGCCATCCAGAAGGGGTTTGACCCGAAGAGCCTCTACAGTGCAGAGCTGACGAATGTCAATGAGCCTGTCCGAACCATTCTTGAACAGTATAGCAAAATCCCCGCTGCTCAAATTTTGCAACATGTCAAGGACCTTGTCAGTAATTGTTCTCCCGTGGAGGTTCGAGCGACAGCAGGAATTGACAATTAACAGAAAGACCGCGCGTTCGCAGTTGTGAGTGATGTCTCCAGCTCACTAATATTAGAATACAGTGAAAATAGGACCTTTAACATGGTACATTTTCACCACTTAGTTCCCTTATGCCTGTATCGGACAGGCGTCATTCCTTGAGCTGAGTATCGCCTCGTCTCCATGCTATCCCGAGATGCTGGAGCGTGTCAATAATGGCGAGAAGCTCCTCGACTTGGGCTGTGCTTTTGGACAAGAGCTCCGCCAGCTGGTGAGTTATGATGGCCACTCTCTAATAGCCTCTCCATATATGGGCTATCCGAGCTAATTGTAACATCTCGCAAACTCCTAGATTTACGATGGTGCCCCATCTGAGAACCTATATGGCTCGGATCTGCGTCGCGAATTCCTCGACCTCGGCTATGACCTCTTCCTCGACCGTTCGATCAGCAAATCTCACTTCATCAGCGCTGATGTTCTCGATGACAACTCAGATCTTGTCACAGAACTGAAGGACCAACTCGGAATTGTATATATATCGCTGTTCCTTCATGTCTTCGACTTTGATAAGCAGGTAACAGTGGCAAAGCGAGTTCTAGACCTATTGGAAGCCAAACCTGGGTCTCTTATCGTCTGCCGAGTTGTCATGTGCCGAGACCAAGAGACACTAAACGCTACAAGCGCCCGTCTCCCATACTATTACCACGACCTGGCTAGCTGGGAAAGGCTTTGGGAGAGAGTGCAAAAGGAAACGAGCATCAAGTTGAATGTTCAAAGCTGGGAACAAGAGGACGCTCTGGCTAAAAAGCACCCCCTTCCTGGCATTTATGTGCTCGGTTCTTCAATTCGTCGGGAGTAAATGATGTAACCCGAGGCATTTCTTGCAAGACCACTGGGGAATTACTGGCAGGTAGTCTTTCTCGTGCTCATGCTGTGTTTTCCTCTCGAACATGATTTTCCAGGCAGTACTTTTGGCATTTTGATGTGAAATAAAAATTTACCCTGGCAGAAGGCCGACGTGTCACGCTCTTTGTTTAGGGTTAGCTGGATGCAGCCGGTATGGCATTACTTTTATCTTTCCATATTTTAGACTTAAAATGAACATAAAGTGTGGCATCATGGGGCCACTTCTAATCAGCCTCTTGCGGCAGAGACTATACAAGGAACGTAGTCGCCACTGCTTAATTCTGTTTTATCTTCGAAGAGATAGATGGGGTATGCGTTCTGCTACAGTCTTGTAGGTTCTGGACAGTTAAATCAAACAAAAATGAACTGACAACGAGCGTGATCTTCATTCCATCTCTCCTGACATCCAATGCACCATCAGATAGACGCAGACTTTCCTTATGATATGGCCATTTATTCGAACATAACTTTCAGCTTGCTTGCTAGGGACTTCCTCGCTGAATTAGACCCTTCATCGACATGATCCAAGTAGAACCGTCGACACTTCTCAAGTTCGATCTTGCTCGCATCTACCCAAAGTGGACCACGATACCAAATCTGAGCGCCAGTCCAGATCACAAAAACAGCAATAACGCTGACATAATTAGCAAAGAAATCCCGCACACTAGTCGTGTCATGGAAAGGCCGAATGCTCAGGTAAAGCTCCAGTCCAATAAGTACAACGCACCAACTCAATACTCAGTAGGTCGCCCAAGGATACGCCATCGTTTTCCAAGGAAGGTGAGCCTCGTCCCGACCATAAATCTTCCAGCTATACCGGAACCGAAGGTGATTAAGAGAGATCATTGCCCATGCGAAGAGCGTGAGAAGAGAAACAAGGTTAAATAACCATTGAAAAACCTCGGCTCCGGTATTTGATACGTTGATGTAGGCGAGTGAGCCTCCAATGCCAATAGTCGCAATATATCCAGCCCATGGTCGGCCCATACTATCCGCTTTGCCAAATATCTAGAAGTCATTTCAATGAGATATCAGTCCATCGAGAATCGGGATAAGCACTGCGTTAACATACCTTATGGTTCATATTGATATGTGCCAACCCCATAAGCATACGAGAGCCGCCATAGCCAGATATACTTCCAACAGAAATGACCGAAATGAAGATAACAGCATTCGTCATATGAGCAATCACCGGAATACTGGCAATTTTGAATGCAATCACAAAATGGGAAGCATTACTGCCAGAGGCCCCGAACAAATTATGATCATCTGGGTCGACTGTTAGTGTAATCATTAAACTTCCCAAAATGTAGAAGACTTCACAGCTCTCGGGACCGATCGTCGAGGATTAGCCACCTCGCTAGCTACAAGTGCGGCATTTTCTGAACCAGCCATGGCGAAGACACATGTTGAAACAACAGTTATAAATCCCTTGAAGCCGTTGTGGAACGGTTGGGCATTCCAGTATCGGAATCCAATAGATCCACCAACGGGAGCTCCACCAGCGGTAACAACTGGTTTATGCTACGCACTTAGGAGCCACATTATATGTCATGATTCAATGAGTAATTCAATACAGGGTTTCAATACTAGTGTACTATGATCTTGCTATGCAAAAAATTACATGACTTGCCTAAAGTAGCTGTCACATCAATCATTTTGTAGCTCGCAGGTGTTCGGGCTGCCGGTCTTTGATCCACGCACCTGATTGGCGGCCCGGTCTCTGAAATTAGCTCCTCTCCCAAAATCAAACTTGGCGTTTCAGACCCACACTTCCCGTGTGCACGGCTTAGCAATCGACTGGTATTTGTTTCATGTTGTCCTCTTTCTAACGGTAGCGGACAGTTAGTATGCATGATCGTGTAGCCCGTTGAATGATTATCATCACATGAACTACCCCCACAACTATCTTTCCGATTCGTTTGGGCAAGTGAAAATGAACCGACACCGGGTGACTCTACAGCATTGCTAAAGCTAACAATGGACGCGATGCAGCGCGAAACTTTGTTGTTATTGTAGATGCAGCGGCTTCCTTTACGCGACTTGAACTACTACCCGAGTGTCATTACTATCATCTCTTGTCACTCTATAATTTGATGACCTTACTTGTAATGGATATGTTTGTAGTCTAAGTGGCCGGCTTCGACCACAAGGCCACATCCCTTATATCGTTACGCAATGTTCTTGTTTACTGACTAGCCAAGTACCAAACTAAGTACTATCAAGAGGCAATCTTATTGAATATGAATGCTAGAGAGTGTGAGCCACGGTGTATAATACCTCATCATGAACACCCCTGTTAAAATTGTGAACTCTTTGACATCGCTCTGGAAAATCTATTTTCTGGGTCAAAAATCGAAGATCACAGGGGAAAGATCTATATATTTAAGCTAAAGATGAGACATCTACACAGCTTTAGCAGCACTTTCCACTTGCAGCCTTTTCATTGGACGAGCATCCATTGAGGACTTGTGGCGCCTGTGAAGTATCCAGGCGGCAGAAGCAGGATGAATTGACTGGAACATCTGCCACAGCCAGGGCCAACTTTAGAGGCTGCTCGATGACAGCCGCTTCTTCGGGCCGACCGAGCCGAACGAGACACTCATGGTATCCTTGTAGTGACCAGACGTTGTTAGGGTGTCGACGCGGGCGAATGATAGAATGGTCAAGACCGAGGTCAGCTCGATATGTCTGAGCCGCTTCTTCCAGATGGCCCTGTTCCATAAGTAGGGCGGCATACGCGTGGCGGACAGGTTGCATCCATGACCAAGGCTCGCTGTATGGTAACTTGTCTTCAAGCTCGATCGCCTCTCGGAGAGACGAGAATGCCTTGTCGTAGTTGGCGCAGCGGTATTCGATTTCACCTTTCAGCATAGCCGAGGCCACCTTGAGGACGTCAATCATCTTGCCGTTGTAGGCGCGACGAGTCTCGGGGACTCGAGCCCACGCTGCATTAAACAACCCCTGTTCCTCTCGGGCTGTACCCACGTCTCCTGTAGCGGCAAAAGCAATGCCACGAGCATAGTGTGTGACGGCGGTGGTACCAGCGAATAGAGCTAGATCATGGGGAAGCTCCATGCATTTGAGCTCTTCCCACAAGCCGAAGCGCACCATCACGTGTAAACGAATAGACATGAATTGTTCCAACCAATCAGCCATAGGCGGGGATTGGATACGAAGAACTTCATCGGGGACTGTTAATTCCATGCGAGTGACGGCTTCCAGGGCAGTCTTCTTTTTACCAGCAAACATGGCAGCGTAGACCAAGGAGTGATAGTCGTGTAGCCGGTAGAAAGTATAGAAATTCTTGGCACCTGACTTCCGAAAATATTTATCATCTGCAAGGGTTGACTTGTAGTTTGACGAAATTGAGCGGCGCCAGTCGCCAATCAAAATGTCCAAGTGTGTTGGCATGTGGTGAATATGACCAGCGTCAGGAACGAGATCACGTAGATGATCGGCAGCGTTGATACCCAGCTCCGGTGTAGGTGACATTTCTATGAAATGGATGTATAAGTGAAGTAAACCAGGGTTGAGATGAGCTCCATCAGACTCCTGCGCAAGCGCCCGTTCCAACACGGCTTTCACCTCCAAGGTTGGGGCTTTCGGGTTGGGTTTGCCAGTGAAGAGATCCCACAAGGCCCATGGGGTCATATTCATCAACGCATCGGCGTAGAGAGTGGAAACGTCTATATCTTCCTTGAAAGCCTCGTACACTGGCCTCATCGCCTCGGCATAGCCCTTATTGAGGGCCGGGTAGTCCTTAGCAGGCTCATTGGTCGGGAAACGGAATTGAATGGCGCCAATCAGAGCCTGTTCCAGTGGAGTTGCATTCACGGCATGCTTCTTCGCAGATCGAGCTGCGTCGTGGCCTCGCCGCACGGATGTGTGCAGGTCGCCCAGATCAAACTTCTCCCACGGCTTGTTGTAATTCGGGCCAACCGAGTAGGCGAGACCCCAATACGCCATCGCACATGCAGGGTCATGCGCGATGGCTTGTTCGAAGCAATAGGAGCCTTCGACATGATTGAATGAGTACACCCATATCAGACCCCGATTGAACCAGGTCTGGGCATCGGCGCTGGTAGTGGTGATGGTGTGGCCGAACGAGCCAAGGTCATAGTATTCGTCGCTGACCGGGATGGGGGAGATGATTCCTTGAGTCATGGTTGCAATGAGCCTGAAAATTGAGGTTGCAGGTGAATCCAAGAGTCAAGGCTCATCGAGCCAAGCTTATATAGCTCGAGTCTGATCGGACACGCCATTTGAGTTCCCAAAGTGGGCAAGTCGGCGAAGTGGAAAGAAGTGGAGACGGCACTCGGAAAAACGGTCGGCCCACGGATGTCTTCGCGATCAAACGCCGAAGAAGCCGAACATCGTTTCTCCTTTGCCAGATCTTACGATGCCACCTGCTACGAGTAAGCCTGTAAAGCTGGCATGCCTGGCTTGGTATGTGCCTGACCATTTGGTGAGTGACGAGATGCAAGGGGCTCTTGACTGACAGAACCCATAGCCGTGCCGCGAAAATCCGCTGTGATGGGCAGATGCCTTGTGCCAGTGTAAGCATTGCCATCAAAGATAGACCAAGAGGACCATTTCTGGCATAGTAACCACCCGAAGTGCTCCGTCCACCATGAAGAATGCAGATATCAACCAAGTCGACGAGGTGGTGCTCGACGAGGCCCTGTAGCCGCCGCGGAGCTGGCTAAGAAAAGAGCTCGCCGGATGGCTGAAAAGTCTTTGAGCAATACCCAGAATCTAGATCCTGATATGCGTTGTGGAAGCTACGGCCATGGTATCAGCACCAGTGAGCCTGTTCTCCTACCACATGCTTTACTTTCCCCAACGGAATCGACCCCACAGCGATCTAGTACGTCTCTTGAGCATCGCAGCACAGAACTTTCTTCTCCTTTGGGCGTGATTGGAGATGTGGAGGATGTGTTGAGCACATTAGAGGATCCCAAGTGGAGTATCAGAGCCTATCGATGTGATCAAGATCTGTATGTCCTGCCTTCTCGGAGAAACATGTTAGATTGAAGGGCTAATCCATCCCTTCGTGGTCCCTTCGAATCCCAGTATCAACGCATACTACATATTCATTCACCCTTATCTCCCCTTTCTACCCCCTCCAGCGACAGCTCAGTATGAGGATAAATGCGTTACCATCGGCACGGGTTCGTTCCTCGCAAATCCATCAGCGATGCCCTACTGGCCAACCTCACCACTGGGTCTTGTTCTTGCGGGGATACTAGCTCTCCTGCCTCCTCCTGGAGAGCTCCATCCACCACAGCACGAGTCAATCGTGATTCGACGTTCTTATGCAGACCTATTTGCACGGTCAGCGTTGGAGACCCTGGAGGATTCTCTCGAATCATTCCCCCAGGAGGATCTGGCCAAGGGTCCAAGAAGCACATTGCATCCTGCCATTCCCAAAAAGCTAGAACCAGTCCTCGCACTAGGCCTTCTTAGTTTGTTTGAATGCTGCCAACACGGGAATATTTCAAAAATGCGAATCCGTGCAAACCAGGCTCTTACAATCGCGATGGACTTATTGTTGTACGAAGAAAATTCTCAGACGGGGTGTTTGGATGCGCAGCGCCGGTGCTGGTGGTCGACGGTATGCACCATGCCCGGTTTTAGTAACCATGTTCTCCTGTCGAGCTGGTCTCACTAACAAAAGTAGATGTTTCTCATTTACCAGTCATCCATAATGAATTCCTCGGTCGGTCTCCAATAATAATTGCCAGTGATAACAGCAAAGTCCCTAACAATATCACTAGCCCCCGATCATTACCATCAACGATCCTCGAATTACAACTATATTTCCGGAGTTCCGGGGATGCCGTGAGGTGAGGAAGATATTCGCTTCATGAACGCCCACCGAGTGCTCGTAAGCTAATCTTCGTCTTCGCGATCCCGTAGCCGTGGCCACTTCTAGTTCATGCGCAGGAAGCCCTTCTGCGCAGCTGTGAGATTGGACGTCACCTCACCAGGGAGGGACGTGGTGCAACTCTATCCCACTCCATCAGGGATAATGTCAAGAGCCTGGATTCCTTCATCCTCGAGCTTGCGGCCGAAGTAGACCGGTTCCGCTGCGTGACTAATTATCAAGGTGCCGAAGCCGATGCCTCACGCAATCTTTGGGCCATATCAAATGCCATTGTGCACACAGCCAGGCTCACTCTTCACCGAGTTCGTGCCTTTTCAGATCGCCCTATTTTTATTCACGATTACTATGACTATCTTGCAATAGCTTCCAAGCAGTCCTCTGGGGATGCACAAAATTTCCATCTCTCCCCTGGACGGATCGCTGAAATCAACACTCTATTCCCTTTCACCGACCAGGAGTCTGTCAAAATATGCTTTCATTCCTGCCTCGTTGTTTCGCGAGTCTTTCGCCGTCTTCCATCCCCAAACCCAATGTATTCCGACACCATTGAAGCGGAGGATACTGTGCCTTGGGCGTCAAGACGATCTCTAGGATCCCCGCGCTCTATACCATACATGGCTTGCGCTGAGCTGCAGAGTTTCTGCATAATGGCGATGATTTTGTGGAAAGTGCGAACAGCGGTCTGCTCGGGCAACCTGGCCAGCTACGTGTATCTGCTTGACCGCCCAAGTTGTTCGACTCAGGTGCAAGACGCGGAGCGGCTGATTGAGGAGCTGCAATCTGGGATGGAGGCTTTGGCGCGATCTATTCAGGCGGACACGGTGTTTGGGGGGCTGTCCGGGATGGCTAAAGAGGTAGAAAGGACTTATAAGAGCACTATGATGGATTGAACAGTGTCCTTGAGCTTATGGTACATATGCCAGTGCAAAAAGTATGTTGAAAACCTATATTTCTCGACTTCCAACCTATTTCGCTGGTAGGTAGGTCAACAGTTACTCCATGTCAAGGGAATTATAGACCTTGCATGTATTGCGTTTCAATCTCTTATCGATAATCTATTCGTATCCATGTTGTCACCATAAAGCTCTCTTATTGCACGTCCGGGGTTTGAATTGCGGTGACCCGGGATTTGATAAAAAGTATCCTAGCATAACCCCACTTCGGCCATTGACCTCGGCCCATTTTAGAAAGTTCCGATCCTGGGAATATGCGTGCATGAAGACGAGGCTAATTCCAGACATACGCCAATGCTCTCCGACTAAGAGAGTGACAATGGCACTAGCCATAATAAATGGCAAAAAAATACAGGGGCAAAAACATACAACAGCCAGGATTCGCATGTGGTCACCCACCATACTACTAACTGGCCGGCGTGTGGCTTAAGTACGGCTGAGCGGACGGGAAGCCCTGTTCTCCACACCCTATGGTCGTATGTGCTAGAATGTGGCAAATAATGGCTTATGATTAAAAAAATCCAGTTATCAGCAAGTGACAGGCCGTCTTATGGATCACAGTATCTTGTCACTCTTTTCGGTATTCGAAAACCGGTATTTGAAACCGGCTGACATATCGGGATCCGCCTTTTGTTGTTTCCGGGATCCCCATTGGGTGATCAAAGAGGCTGTTAATAAACATCAAGCGCGCTCCGAGCAGCCGTCCAAACCATCACTCTTTCTCTCTTTGATTTGAAGTTTAAGTTTTCATTCATCCATTTGTACGAAATAATAGATATAAATGTTGAAAGGAAACAATGTCGCTTGTGGCAGATTCAGTCAAGCCAACCCCGGCAGCCAGCGGCTACTACAACCTGGGCGCCTATAGCCGTAAGGTCAGCACCAAGAGTGAAGCTGCACAGGCCTGGTTTGACCGTGGTCTGGTCTGGTGCTATTCATTTAACCACGAGGAGGCCTATAAATGCTTCGAGCAAGCGGTGGTCCAGGATCGAAGCTGTACTATGGCATACTGGGGCCTTGCCTATGCGGCAGGGCCCAACGACAAATAAGCCTTGGAGTTTTTTTGATGCCGCCGACCTGAAGCGGAGCATTAAGATATGTCATGCCGCTATTTTGCTACATCCTTCGGGTCATTGGAACTGAGTCTGTGGCCCCAGTGGAACGTGCTCTCATCGAGGCCATGCATGCTCGTTTCCCTGTTGACCACCCTGCCGAGGATTATGATCGGATCAATCACGCATACGACCAAGCTATGGCCAACGTGTATGCCCAGTTTCCGGGTGATCTAGACGTGGTCGTTCTCTATGTTGATGCCAAAATGCATATTTCTCAACGCAAGATGTTCCATGCCCTGACATGGTTTCCTATCGAGACGTCACCCGTTTTCGATATCCAGCGCCTCTTCGCCAAGGGCCTTCAACATCCCTACGTAGAGAAACATCCTGGTCTGTTGCATTTCTGCGTTCACGTCTGGGAAATGTCTGCTACGCCGGTAGTGGCATTACCTTCCGCAGATTACCTCGGCGGTCTCGTTCCAGACGCAGGTCACTTGCACCACATGCCTAGCCATATCGATGTTCTGGTAGGCGACTACCGTCGATCTGTGGCCTCTATTACTGCCGCTGTTCAGGCAGACGAAAGGTATCTTGCCCGTAACGGCGCAAAGAACATGCATAGCTTCTACCGGATGCACAATTATCATTCCCTCATCTACGCAGCTATGCTTGCTGGACAGTCCAACGTCGCCCTCGAGAATCTTGACTCCATGGAATCTTCCTTGACTGAGGATGTACTCCGTATTGAATCCCCTCCCCTAGCCGATTGTCTCGAATTTTTCGAATCGGTCCGAGTCCATATTTATATCCAATTTGGCCAATGGAAGGAAACTCAAAGCACTCCAGATTCCACACGACAAGGATCTGTACTGTGTCACCACCGCAATGACCTATTACGGCAAGAATATTGCCCACGCAGCAACAGGCAATGTCACTGAGGCTGACAAGTATCGCAAAATCTGCCTTTTGGCATGCATAAATCTGGTAGATGTGATGAGCCCGTTGCGGGCTAACGGTAGATCTACATACGAAGACCCTTTGCTTTTTATATTGATCCTCAACGATCGCATTGAACGTCCTCCTTCAGATGAAAACGCAAAGAGAATCCCAATATTCGTACTTTCCTTCTTGTTAATTGAATTTCCCCATCATTCTTTTGCTATTTAGAAATAACAATTTAGAATTATCTTCTGATAAGAGACTGAATACCGTACGTACCTAGTCAAATTGCTTACCTCTAATATTGGCGGTCGCATGCGAATGCCTTCCTTCTCACCTCATAATCTTCACTGGTCACCATCACGTTGGGACACATTGATTTGTTTACATAACATCGCTCTGTCTGCCATTTTTATGTAGACCATGCCATAAATCCCCGACAACCTGTACGCACAGGACTCTAAATCAGGTCAATGGATATTGATTGATTGATTGATCCTATACGATTATGGAATGATCCAAGTACCGAGTTTTGCCACGATCAGCCAGGATTAATGGGAGGAGATGACAGCAGAACGTAATCAGCATATTGCATTCATGAACATGCGGACGGATCCCTCCAAAGATGGCTGGTGTTGGGAACCTATTTACTGGGATGCCGATACAAGAAATATCGTGGCGGTTCAGGAAGATGGGAAGGACCTGGCTGTACCGGAAATTGAAATGACGTGCCGTTTCGCAAGTTGAAAGCTACAGCCCAAGAACGGCATGTGTGTTAGAATTTTCCATATAAAACTTTATATCCAACATCTTGCTTCCCTGGTAGATGCGTTATTAATACGGCCATCTAGAAAGACATTGAGAGATAGGCATACAGCATGTGTATATCGAGATCTTGAGGTCAAAAGGGTCACTCCGACAGCTTGTTATATTATCTAAGGCTGGCATTGACCAGCAGCGCAAAGGAACAAGTGTTAAGCCATATTTGACGAATACGCCCCACTACTCTATGCCAGAGTGTCCGCGACCCATCCGTGCTCCCAATTGTAGAGGTTGTATGGAGTCACACCAGTCAAGACAGGGTACCTCTTCTCGTCGTCGGACGTGGTACAGTTACCCGAACCCCCAATGCAAGAGGCGACAAACTCAGCTGTATACTGTCCTTCAAGGTAGGCGCCCTGTAAGTACCCAAAGAACTCCTGGCTCGTAGCTTCGCCGGCGAAGAACAGATTGCCAACGTTGGTACGCAAGTTCTGATGCGACTGCAGGCTTGTTGCCGGTGGCCAGTTAGAGTATGAGCCGTATGCCCTGTTCGGTCAGTATTGGCAACTCCTTTCATTTCTTTCAGTACGGGGTCTTACCAAGGAGTCTGGGACCAGCGCTTATACCACAGATGGGTGGGATCAGGGACCTGTGGACCGTACATTGTGCGCAGAACTTCCATGACCTCTGCCTGGGTCTGCTCGTTGGTTTGCGCCTCGACCCGGTAGGACTGGTCGTTGACGACGGTGGCAATAAGAAGTCCCGATCCCTCGAGGGCACCAGGGATATCAAGCGGCTGGAACTCGGGGTAGTAGCCCCTTGTCTCAGGATCAGCATAGATGAGGTACTGCTTGTTGTCCCAGAAAGGTGTATCGAACTGCATGAAGATCTTGGTGTAAGTCCCCAGCTCGAAGCTGCTGATGGCGGCTTGCTTCCAGGCTGGGAGTGGGGGCACAAACTCGACGGCCTTCTTTTGGAGGACGCCGAGAGAGAATGTCATGATGGCATAGTCAGCGTGGACGCAGGTGCCTTGGTTTGTGTGCACTGTGACTGAGTCATCATCGTACTCGATGCGCGTCACTTCGGTGCTAAGACGCAGCCGAGGATCACTATCAGGAAGGAATGTCTTGGCCTCCTCGCGAATAATTGTAGCGAAGCCACGCTGGTCGTAAACGAACAGGTTGTCCGGGGAGTAGTAGTTGAAGGTGGCGTTTTCGGCGACAGAGGTGAAGATCTCGGAGCTCTCTTCGGGGTGGTAGATGAACTCGCCATCAAACAACCACCACTCCGCAGTCTGCCGGTACGAGTCGTTCTTGAGCGGATCCCATCCCTCCAGCCGGAATCCAGCTCGGAAAGTGCGGTCTTGCAGGTCGTTGTAGAGCAAAGAGCCCGCGTCGACAACAACCTTTTCCAGGGCCTCGCCGAATTCGTCAATCGCATATTTGAAGTCAGTCGAACCATGTTGGTCAAACATGGCCAGGCTGTCCTGGTCGGTGACCCTATACTTCTTAGTATTGTCGTCATAAAGCTCGGGCTGCTACTCACAATGTGGTGATGTTATATTTCTTGGCCTAGGATGGTTAGCATCAAAGTAGTCGTGAACAATGTGTAAGTTTTTACACTTACAAGAACAGAAATGGGATTTTCTGGGCCATCGCCAGTCACGGTCCCTTGCACCTTCCGGCGGAAATTAGTCTGTAGGTTCTCAATTGGCCGCTGGATGAGTTACCCAGTTTGCTCCTGCTTCAACCTTATATGGAACCCCATCGGGCCCTTGGCCGAACTTGACATCATGCATACGACCGCCAATTCGATCCTGATATTCGATGAGAACGAAGTCATCGACTCCATTGTTCGACAGTTCTTGGGCCGCCCGAATACCAGCCACACCTGCGCCCCTGAAGAGAGTCAGTATTAAGATCCAAAACGTGACCGAAGATGCTTACAAGACAGCAACCTTGGTTTGTTCACACTCCTGAGCCTGTACAGCCAGGGCACCCAATAAAGAGGCCAACAGAACCTTGGTTGTGCTCATTTTGATCTCGACCTAAGCCTCTGTGGTTATCAGATAGAGGAGGATAGAAATGCCCCTGGGGCTTCAAGTAACTAGTAGTTATATAGCTTTTTCTCTAACTCATCGATGCGTATGGGTTACACTACATTTCATTCAGCTAGCAGCCCGCAGATCTCTTCCCTCGCACAACCAACCACGGCTGAGGATCGGCGCCAAATGATCCCAACGACTAACGAAATTATTAAACCGTGTGAAACGATGTTCAAGCCATATCACAATTTGGGGGCTGGCATATTTTCCTACTCGGGAATGGTAATACGGTTAACATTTCAATAGTTCGGATCACCTTATGTGGGTTTCATGCAGGTGCATTCGACAAGCTCGGTAGCAGCCATGAATGATCAGCGGTGCAGAGCCAAGGCGACAAGGACATCAGTAGCTGTAATTTATGCAGGGAAACTAAATAGAGAACGAAGATAATCAGATGGTGTTCGCCGTGATTCCAGGTTTAGTCAACATCGCTCCCCGCGCGACCGAAGAAGCTGTTGTCGTGATGTTAAAATTCTGTCGAATAGGTATGTGAGCTACACCCCTATTCGAAGTGCGCCACATCTATTAATCATGCTCCTGTTCCAAAAGGAAAGGCGGAGAATCGATATTCCAACTTAATAAGCAATACCAAGCATCTCCCTCGAGATCGCAAGGACTGGAGTAAGGAATCAAGACAGGATTCCTTACGTGGTGTAATTTTAAATAAAAACATGTGTGATTTACCCCTTAAACTATTCGGACGAGTGAAACCTGTTTATAGCGAATTATTGATTTCACCTACTCAATTCGTCTCATCCAATTATCCGTGCCTTCCAGCACTCCGTCCTACCTTCGGTGCTCCCACACCGCTAGCGATTTATCAACACATTGGCCCTGAATCAAAGTAAAAACATACCCACTCCCTTGCGCTGCCCTCGCTGCCTCGACAGGCCGCCTTGTGCTTAGGTACGTCTATAGCATTTGAGTGCTGTTATCACTCCTCGTGTCATAATGTTGTGTTTTATTTGATAAAATGTCAACTTGAAATCATCGACATCATGACTCCTTTCCACTTACGCGCCTTAAACCCATTTCGTTCCGGTAAAGTTTACGACTTTTACATCTCTACCCACATATATATAACCTATTCCTTATTCTGAGTCCCTCCATTCACCAGGCATATTGATTTTACCTTCATACTCTACCCTATAGAGCCTTTCTCGCTTTGTAACTTGTACTATGAGAACAGTCGCTATACTTTTTCTTCGTATCCTTTCCTTACGTATTATGTATGGTCACATCTCTCTCCCTAACTTGGGAATATTAATAGAATCTTGAATTCTTTTACTCCCAAAACCTTGTATTAAATTGATGTCCAAAGCGCCAATGATGCTCTCGGCGTATCTATTTCCTCTATCCACGCCATCTTGCATTGAACCTCCTTTATATTGTGCGCCAACGCTCACTCTTCATTGACACAGTCTTTATTCAATTGCTCGTCTTTATGCGATCTCAGGTTATCTCGCCGGCTATTCTTCACTTGAGGGACTTCATAGATGGGGCGGTGCCCGATCCGTGTCGACCGGGGGCGGGTCGTCATGTTGTGCATAGATAGGGTGGATGCAATGAACCCCTGGGAGAACGATGCTCAGCTCTTCACTATCACATACTGCGATGCCTTATCCACAACCATCGCGTTAATTATTCCATACTTCGATCACACCTTGTAGGAAAGAGCACTTGTTGACTGAGGCGAAGTATCAAATTGGGCGAGAGTAATTCAAACAACTAGACTCCATGCTTGTTTGGATCTACAATCAGGAAGGATGCGCATATTCCTGTGGCATTGCTTAGGCGAAGCTTCCTGGAATAGACTTGAAAAACTAAATAAACGAAACGAACTAAAGAAGCCCGGTGATGAGCCAGGACCCTAGGTGAAGAAGGCCATTCTTCCATGTAACCTCGACAAAGTTCCAGCAAATCTCTGCACGCCAGGTGTAGGCCAGATCGATCCACGGGACGGAATAATCAAGGCTTTACTTCGGAGTGTATTGTACGGCCAGATGGTCGTTCTCTTCCTCATCAAAAACATCCACATCAGTGCTAGCGAACTTGCGGGCAGGCACCCGCTTAGCGAAGAGAGTGTCCAGTTCATCAAAGGTTCTTCCTTTTGTTTCTGGGAGGCGGAAATAAGCCCACACAAAAACGATGAAGGCGCATCCACCCCAAATAAAACTATTGAAGAAGTCAGCTAGGATCAAGCCGGCTGACGGAATAGACATACCCTGTATAGCCCTTGAGATTCCACGCGGTGGGGTTCATGAAGTAGTTTTCCAGAGTACCACAAATAACGCCGAGGATGTTGGAAACATTGCGAGCAAGACAAACAGTCTTTTGCCTAAGACGAGTTGAGCCGATCTCGGCAGGTAGCGCCCAGCCTACAAAGAGAATTCCGATTAGCTCACGTCTCCCGCGAAGCCTAGAAAAGACCTACCAAGTTGACCAGCAGAGAGTTGGAAAGTGAATGTCCAAACCAAAGTCAAAATAGCCTGAGTCCACGCTACAGCTGGTTTATCGGTCCACACATTGAGGATACCAATAAGGCAAAGCTCAATTGTCATCGCAGCCATGCCCACAATGTAGACGGTCCGGCGTCCGAAATACCTATCCATCGTGTTAATAAGGATTGTATAGCGCTTGCCATATGTAACAACTCACGGCATCAACAAGAACCAATTGGCAAAGCAAGCAAACAAGGCTAGACCATTGGCTCCCACACCCAAGGAGTACGCAGCCTCGGTATCTAGGCCGACCTGTTGGAAGAAGTATGTACTGGCATAAGCAAAGCAAAGACCACAGACAAGCTGGCCACCAAAGACGACCATTGCAATCTCAGTACGGCGGCGTTCGACTCCTCTGAAACAATCCCTGTAGCTGGTACCAACAGAGAGTTTCTTTTCGAGGTTGTCGGTGAACACAATCTGAGCCAAACTCCTCTTGCTGTCCATGGAAGCGCTCTGCAGTCGTCGAAGAGCTCTTTCGGCATCCCCGAGTTTCCCCTTTCGAACCAAGTGATACGGGGACTCGGGAGCAAACCAAATGAGAGGGATCAGGAATGAGGGCCAGAACCACTGAATGGCAAAAGGGATCCGATAACCCCATTGATCCTGTCGAGAAACGAGTCCTCGGAGCACACCACCTGAAATGAATTGCCCAATGATGAAACACATGTTTGTCCAAGACGTGAAGTATACACGGAGTTGGAGTGGAAGAACTTCCGAGGCGTATGCGGGTGCAGTGGTCGCAAACTTGAAGACGAGTTAGCATTGAGCCTTAGCGTGGTAGAGGGTGAGCTTACAATGCCCCATTCAAAACCAAGTAATATCTCACCAACCAAGAGAACTTCCTTGTTCGGAGCGAAGAAGACGATGAACAAGAAGCAACTCATAACACAGAGCGTGGAGAACACAACTTTCTTCGGCCCAAAGGCAGCAACAAGCCAACCATTGATCAACGTGCCGAAAATAGAACCCACGCCTGGTTGTGGTTAATTTAGCATACTGAGTTAAGAGGGGAAGGGCGGAGCCTTACCTGATCCTTGGCCCAAACCTGACTGCCACGAGGCAGGGATGGAGTATCCTGTGGGGGTTTGCGGGGTGACGGGGACGGGATCGCCATATCTTCTTTGAAAAGAAGCTTTTAGATTGTCAGATAAGAGGCTTCCATCACTTCAGAACAGGCACCTTACGATACGCATAAAAGTTTCCCAGGAGATTGGTATCAAACCCCTCCATAATGACACACATCGAGATGACCAAGCTCCAGAAGATGGCTTTCTTGTAGTGTCGAATTGCCTGCATCACCGGCATAGTTTTCTCCTCCTGGTCATAGTCACGGGCGACAGCATTCAGGGCAGTTCGCGTCCACATTTCGTCGCTGCCAATCTTGTGGAGTGTGCCACCCTCTTCACAGACTGACTCGACATTGATGGCTTCGGGTTTCTCCATGATTGTGGAAAGAGAATGAAGCAAGCAACTTCAATATTGAAATGTGATTGATAGGATAAAGGGTCAGAGCAGGAATAGGAATCGCCGATGGGGTGGAGCACCTTGATATTCTTGTCGGTTGAGGGGTGGGTGCTTGCCATTTATATATATTTTTTTTCCAATGCATCTAGAGGCAAAGCCCTGGGCGAAGTTATATTGGTTGACTGCAGCTGGGAACTTCGGGACCGGCGAGAGGAGCACAGTCTCCCTAGAACGTCGGGTTAGACATACTAAGGGAGGTAGCAGATTGCCTGGTCCAGAAGATTGCGCAAAGTAGGTCGATGGAAGGTTTAGCAGACGTGCCCGATTCAATTCCGGTCTGACTTTCATTCCAACCCCGCTTTCTGTAAATGGCGCCGAATTCAAGTGCTGAAACTCTTTTTGCCCCCAATCCAAAACTCTGCCCCGATCCCCACGGGGTTGTGGGCCAACCTTGAAGGCGAGGAACCGACATCGAGGTGGCTGAACGTACGTATGCTTGGCTTTTGTGATGGGGAAAACCTAAGCCTAGTCTCCTCTTCAGCTGTTCAAATGGTTGAACGCCACCGGATGTGCTCTGGCAGCTGGATATTGAATTCGCCGAGAATTCTCCAGGCGAAACAAGGTTGAAGACTGCTTAAGGTTGTCCAAATGGTTGCTTGTATGCAATATCCCCACGGGGCTCTCGCGCGGCAAACCTTGAGGCATATTCCGTTGACATGGCTACGAAAATTTGTCTCTAAACTAGCTTTCTTTGGTTTAACGCCTTGTGGGAAAGGGTGGATTGAGTTTTGAAGGCGGTAGAGACGCTAGCTCATACGAATCGGGGAAGAACAGAGGCAAAATATGCGAGGCGCGCGAGGTGCGCTAGGTGATTGTCTGGGAGAGGAAGAAATCCAGAGAAATTCAAAGATTTTTAGATCAACAGGGATGAAGGATCTCGAGGAGCTGGCGGGCACAGTCCTTTTGGAAGCAAACAGGACAAATGAGACTGGACATACAAGACAGTCGCATGACCAGACATTTTATCACAACTATCTACACGAAGTCTCCCTATCATCATTCCTCCTATACGAACGTACTGATAGGTCGAGCTTGAAAATAGTCTAATTCGTGATCTTCGTATTTTTGGCGCTTAACGGAGGTTCTTCGGTTTTACTGCCCGTCGCAAGGATAAGTCAAGTTTATGGAGGCGAGTTTCCCAAAAGTTTCTCCAGACAAAACCACCCGCGGAAAGGCAATCAGGCGGCTTTCGCCTCGTCCTATTGGCTGTCAATACGGCATGCGGACACAAGCGGCTTTCATTCTGTATCATTGGCTGAGAAGACTCAATACCGGGACAGGCGGCTTTCACCTTCTCCTATTGGATAAACGTATTGAATGCCCGGGAGGGGTCCACTTGGAAATCTGCATGATTCGTGACTCGTGAGAAACAGGGGGCGCGACAAAGACAACAACGGAAACTTCGCCTAAACTTTCAGAAAGCCTCAGGAACCCGTGGAAAGAAACAATGATCGAAACTACCCTAGTGCGCCAATTGGAATTCGCAATCAATCTGTCACTGGCGATCGTCATGATGACTTCGATGGACGTGGCGCCGACTACAGATCTAAACACACTTTTCGAGGCGGAGGTTTCGCCGTTTCGGCTTTGAAGCGGTTTTATTGGATAAGCGGAAAACTCCCAAATGGCTGGACCTTTTGGCCAGCAAGCCCGATACCTGATACAGTACTTACTACTTAAAACTTTTGTGGGGTAGCTTCCACCTGGCAAATAAGTACATTGAATCCTACCAGTGAACGTCGTCCACGCGACCAGCTGTCGGTGTGAATGATCCAACACCTTGTGCATGTATAGGTTCAAGGCGTCGGACAACATTTAAATCTCAGGTGTTGCCCATGCTTAGGCTACGGTGTTCCAGTTCAGAAAAGCCTTTATCATCCTTCTGGCACATAGAACGCTGAAAGTCATCCTAATAGGTGAGGTGCTCTACAAGAAATGTTTGATATTTACTGACAATCTTGGACTCTAGATAGAATGTTATTCAGGACTCAAGTGTCTCCAGACCCAACTGGTAAGGTTCCCAGTCCTGTTCACATTACCCATCTTCCACTTTGCCTGAGATTCTTCTAACGGGCAGTTGCCACCGCAGTGGTCGTTGAGGATAACACCTCCTTTGCCTTACACGGCAACAACGTGTCATACTTGTTCCATTCGGATGAGAACACTGGCGACCTTATATCCGACCACTTTGGCGGAAGCGTCACTGGGCCTATACCCAGAGATCCAACTCCAATTGTCAATGGCTGGACAGGGATGTCGGGTCGCGTGCGCCGCGAGTTCCCCGACCAAGGAAGAGGGGACTTTCGCAACCCTGCGATTCGGATCCGCCAGTCTGGAGCTCACACCGTGTCAGCACTAGAGTACAAGTCCTATACGGTAGTGAAAGGTAAACCCGCATTGCCAGGGTTGCCAGCAACTTTTGGCGACGACCATGATGTTACGACCATTGTGATCCATCTCTACGATAAATACAGCCATATAGCTGCGGATTTGATGTATTCAATCTTCCCTCGGTATGACGCTATTGTGCGCAGCGTTACTGTCACAAACAAGGGCAAGGGCGATATCATACTCGAGGATTTGGCGAGTCTGAGCGTTGACCTCCCCTTTGAAGATCTTGATATGATCTACCTCCGCGGTGAATGGGCAAGAGAAACGCATAGGCAAAGGCGAAAGATTGACTATGGGCTACAAGGGTAGGTGATCTACCGCAGCCTGAGTACCCTTTATTAACATCAAACAGATTTAGAAGCAATACGGGCTTTTCATCCCACTCCCACAATCCTTTCCTCGCGCTCGCTCATCCCTCCACTACCGAGTCCCAGGGTGAGGCATGGGGTTTCTCCCTTGTCTACACTGGTTCCTTTGCGGTCAACGTTGAGAAGTGTTCCCAGGGCATGACGCGTGTCCTAATGGGCTTCAATCCCGATCTGCTTTCTTGGTCGCTGGGTCCTAACGAGGCCCTAACGTCTCCAGAGTGTGTTTCAGTATACTCCAAGGACGGGCTCGGGGGTGTTTCACGCTCCCTGCACGGTCTCTACCGCAACCACCTTGTCAAGAGCAAGTTCGCGACGGAGAATCGACCTGTGCTTCTCAACAGTTGGGAAGCTCTTTATTTCAACATCAACAGCAGCAATGTCTACCGTATCGCACAGGAATCGGCTGCTTTAGGTGTAAAGCTGTTCGTCCTAGACGACGGGTGGTTCGGAAAGGACTACCCGCGTATCTCGGATACAGCAGGTCTTGGTGATTGGGTTGCGAATCCTGCACGATTCCCTGACGGCCTGGCCCCTCTCGTGAAAGATATCACATCTTTGAAATCGGCAGTTTTGACGTCTGCCAAATCGTGTCCTAATCTACGGTTCGGCATCTGGATCGAACCGGAAATGGTCAACGCCAACTCAACCCTCTACCAAGAGCACCCTGAATGGGCCCTCTCCGCAGATCAATATCCGCGCACTGAACAGCGGAACCAGCTCATCCTCAACCTCGCGCTACCCGAAGTTCAGGATTTCATCATCAAATCCGTCTCGGAGATCCTCAGCAGTGCAGACATTACATACGTGAAGTGGGATCATAACAGATGTATGCACGAGACACCATCTCCCACCACTCACCATGCATACATGCTAGGCGTGTATCGAGTCTTCGAGGCCTTGACAACGCGCTTCCCTGATGTCCTTTGGGAAGGATGTGCCTCCGGTGGCGGGCGATTCGATCCTGGTGTCATGCAATACTTTCCGCAGATCTGGACTTCAGATAACACCGATGCGGTAGATCGCATCTTCATCCAATTTGGCACCTCACTTGCATATCCAGCAAGCTCCATGTGCGGCCACATCTCTGCTGTCCCAAATCATCAAACAGGGCGTACTGTCCCAATGGCCTTCCGCGCCCACGTTGCAATGATGTGCGGTTCCTTTGGCTTGGAACTTGACCCGACTGAGTTACAACCAGAAGAAAGAGCCATGATACCTGATATGATTGCGCTGTCAGAAAAGATCAGTCCTATTGTGCTCACGGGAGATATGTGGCGACTCAGTCTACCAGAGGAGTCGAATTGGCCAGCGGTGCTGTACATCTCGAAGAACGGCTCGCAGGCAGTCTTGTTCCTCTACCAACTTGGCTCGAAGGTGAACCACGCCCTGTCACGGGTCAAGTTGCAGGGCCTAAATCCTCGAGATAAGTACCTTGTTGATGGGGAGGGGCCGTACTCGGGCTCGATGTTGATGAGTATGGGACTGCAATATTGTTTTGACACGGATTATGCAAGCAAGGTCGTGTTTCTGGAGAAGGAGGCATCTCAGTAAATGACGAAATTTCGTTTGTGAAGTCGGCAGTGATGCCGCATTATTGTCCCCTACAATTGTGGCAGATTGCTCATAATTTGCGTTTGGGCCTTCTACATAGAACTGAAATTCAATCTCGGGGTTTGTTCAACTTCACATACGGCTCTGTGAATCGGATATGTTAGTTGTATTCTACCATAAGTCGAGAGCCAATGCGGTCTATGCCTTACCCCCGCTTCACCTCATAAAGAAGAGTACCAAAACAAATATTTGGACATTATATACAGGAAACCCACTTAAGCGGTCTCCGTTTCATCCATGGCTGGTCTATAGAAGCATTATGTTCTTTTTGTTAGACAAAAAAAGAAGAATAAAAGAACATTTAAGGCAGAGTGTATCCTCCGTCAATAACAATGTTCGAACCAGTCATGTAACAGCAAGCGTCACTGGCAAGGAAAACATAGGCCTGTCATTGAATGAGTATATGGTCATCAAGGCAGAGAATTGTTCTGAGCAGCTTACAGACTTGAGTTCAGCGGGATCGCAGATGCGGCCTCCGGGAATCATCGACATCCACTTCGCCATGAGCTCGGCGGGCTGCTGGGTGAGCACTGTTCAAGACAGAGTCAGCATGTTACATATTAAAGAGGCATCAAAGAAGAACAAACGTACTTTTAGTCAACATGAAGCCAGGTGAGATGCAGTTCACTCGAGCAAAATCGGTCCACTCGACTGCCAAGCTTTTGGCCAGATGGACGGCGGCAGCCTTTGACGCGTTATACGCGGCCTGGGTCTGAGGAATGTTGACCAAAATGGCACTGACCGAAGCAGTGATAATCAGGTTTCCTTTGCCCTGCTTCTTGAAAATTTTGCCAGCTGCTTGAGCTGTCCACATCACACCATCATAATTGACCCGGTTGTCTCGGGCCCAGCTCTCCTCGTCATACTCCAGGTTGGGACGGTTGGTGCAGGTACCGGCATTGGCAATGACAACGTCCAGCTTGCCAAAATCTTCGGCAACCTTGTTGATCGTAGCGGCAATCTCACTCCTGACCGCCACATCAGACTGATATGCCTGAATACGACGGCCCGTCTCCTTTGCAATCTGAGCAGCCAACTCGGGCGCATCCAGGGTGCTTGTGTAGATGAGGGCGACGTCTGCGCCGGCCTCGGCCATACCGCGGACCACTTCAAGACCGATACCCCGGGCACCACCGGTCACTGCAACAACTTTTCCAGCTAAGGAAAACTGTTCCAGTACAGGCGCGTGTACATTAGGGGGCTGGTAGAGAGGCATTGTGTAGATTTCGCTGGTCGAAAGACACTTAATCAAGAAAAGAGGATGTTTGTAGCTCTGGAGTTCAGTTGACGGTGGTGCTGGATATATACCGGTGGGTGGGTGGGAGGTTTTTGAATTGAATACCATTCCACCAGCTCATATGACTCCCGTGGACGTCGACAACAGACTTGAGCAAAAGCAGAGGGACATATTCTTTTACCCGACAGGGTAATAGAGACGACTCTTGATGGATGAACACTGCTGGGTCAACTTGTAGGGGAGACTGGCCATGGAGGAGTTGTGGCCAATGAGGAAGCCGTCGGCAGAATTCCCCGTTTAGGCAAAAGTCACGAGGCCCACTCCTCGAAACTCCGCGGTTGCACTTTCCCCACAGTTTGGACCCCAACAACTGCCATCCTTGTCGGTCAAACAGTCTTTCCCCGCATTGGATGACTTCGGGGAACGATCTGTGTCCCTCTTTGCAGACAATTATTTGCATCCCGCACCATATTCGGAAATAATGACACCCATGCCCGACACCCGAAGCGGTGCATCGACCCGGTCGAAGAGAAGAGGACACAAGGTCGATCGGTCGCGGAAAGGCTGGTGAGTGGTTGCATGCGAGACTCCTGACGTACGCTCACTAACGCACCCCTCTAGCCCGGAATGCCGCGAGCGCAAGATCAAATGTGATGAGACTCGGCCCGAGTGCGCACAGTGCTTGAAAAGTGGGCGTGTTTGCAGGATCATCGACGGCCTGTTTCGGCATCACTCCTTCTCTTTCCCGCCCGTTTCATCATCCGAAGCCGAAGGGTCCTCAAAAGGACATCCTCTCGGGCCGTCGGGCCCTCCAGATCCCTCGGGATCGCCGACCCAGCCAAGTAAGTCAAGTCATGTCTGGTTGCTTTTACCTAGCCACGAGTTGGAATCTCTACTGACGGCACAAGACGAGCTTGCCGGTGACGTCAATGCAGCTATTGATAGCCCTGAATCTCCCAACACCTCGATGGCCTCGTCGCCTCAGTTGAGACAGTCAATCCCCGTGGCTGGCCTCTTAGCTCAATCTTCGCCCTCTAATATCTTCCATGGAGCTGCCGTGACACCATCTGCGGGGTCGTTGCCCTCGGTAGATGTGCACGTTAGTCCAATCGTGGCTCAAAATCATCCAACGGTGACGAGTCACGCACCATCTCACACATCTATCCCGGCAAGTCTATCAGAGGAGAATGATCGCGACTGCGCCGAGGTCGGCTTCTTCCTTCGCCACTTTGCAGAAGGCATAGGGCAATGGATCGATATCTTCTCCAGCCAACGATCGTATTTCAGTCAATATGTCGTCCAGCTTGCGAGTCAAAGTCCACTGGTTCGATACTCTGCTTGTGCAATCGCTGCCAAGCAATTAGGCCAGATGAAAGACTATACCTGGATGACCAGCATCACCCCTCGATCGAGCATCGTGGCTTCTGCTCTACTTGAACCCGGCCTTGACTTTCTATGGTACGGTGCAAAGTATTATGAAAAGGCAATTTTGCTCATGGCCAGGCAAATATCTTCACATCCCAGCCCCATGACTCATCTCTCTCCTGGCGAGATTTATCAATCTACGGGCAGCGACCACTACCAACTTCTTGACCATGGCACGTCTCCTGCCTTTCGGATTATCTCGGCTTCTATTCTCTGCGCATATGAAGATCTAAGCGCCACCATGAGAGCATGGAGTGGCCACTTGGATGGCATCAACAAACTGCTTCGACCTCAAATCGATCTCCAATTCAGCCCGGATAACTTACACGCGACGTCCCTATCGACAAAAGGAGTGGAGACTTCATTCTGGTTCTTTGCTTGGAATGATATGTTGAATAGCTGTGAGTCCTGTGTTCAATTTTCTAGTTACTTAAGCTTGAATAGGCAGAATTGCTGACAGTGCGATACATACAGTGGTTCTCCATCAACCATGTCGACTAGATCCAGAGGAAGTCTCACTCTGGCAAAAGATGGGGCTTCCTCTTGACGGCACTGGCCATTTGACTCTCACATACATCGAGGAGCCATACCAAGAGACAGTCTTTTTTAAAGCTCTCATTAGACTATTATGCAAACTAGTCACCCATGATTGCGGCGCCTCCTCCCAATGGGCCTATCTAGAAATGGAGCTCACGCAATGGTACCGCGCATTACCGAGCGAATTTTTGTCCCCAATCACTCAAACTCTGCACCCATCACAACAAGGTATCCAGGAACCCCCAATTGCCGAAACATGGTTTGGGTCGGAAACCTGCGCGGTGTCGATGGCCTTCTACCATATGGCAAGAATTCTGTTGCTGGTGAACCAGCCCCAGGAAATATTCCTTTCCATACAACCGAGCAAGCCGCACGACTTGCTCAGCATTTACAATGCATTACAGCGGGAGCTCCACCAGCATGCGATGGATATTATTGCCATAGTTCATGGGATGCCCAACGCTGTAGTGAGAAAACATATGATCCAGCCATTGTATTTCGCTGGACGATGTTTATCGAGCTCTGATGATAGGCGACTTGTGGTTCGACTGCTGAAGCAGATTGAGGAGAATCTTGGTTTGTTCACAGAATATCGCATTAAAGACCTGTGCGAGGAATGGGGTGTATCGTTTGATTCCTGGAAGAACTGTTGAATGTAGCCACCCAGCCTCAAATTACGATGTAAGATATACCCTAGCATGAAAAAGGAGCATTCATTTCGAACTTAGATCTGTTGATTTCTATTGATTTTCATAATTCATCTCTCTAACTAAAACACCATATAAACCTTTTAATAATCAACACCAGAAATCATAACCTTGAACACGTCATGACGTCCCGCCTTGACAAGCTCGAACGCCTCCTCGGACTGCTCAAACTTATAGCGGTTGGTGATCAATCGCTTAACATCGATCAGACCCTTGGAAATCAGGTCAATGGCAGCAGGATAGCAGCCAGTCAGATAGCGAATGGATCCCTTAATAATCAAGCCACGAGTGCAGACAGCAGTAATGGGGAAAGTGATATTCTCCTTACCCATACCGGCCTGCACAAAAGTAGCTCCACGGCGGGCTGCAAAGATACCCAGTTGAACGCAGGGCTCTGCGCCAGAGCACTCGAGAACAACATCAGCACCTTCACCGAGACCGAGCTGCTCCTTCATCATGGTGGCAACCTTCTCAGCGTGCTCCATGGGGTCGGCACCGGGCTCAGTACGGGGAGGAGTGAAGACATGGTCGGTTCCGTATGACTTGGCAACGTCGAGTCTTGACTGCACAACATCGACACCGATAACAGTCTTCGCACCGGCGGCCTTGGCAACAGCCTGGCACAGGACACCGATGGGGCCACAGCCGAGAACAAGCACAGTCTGGTGGGCGCGCAGATCAGCGGTCTTTACAATGGCGCAAGCGACAGAGACAGGCTCAACCATGGCAGCCTCCTCGAGCGTCATGGAGTCGGGCACCTTGTAGCAGAAGTCGGCAGCGTTGACGTAGTACTTGGCCAAAGTGCCGTCCCAAGGCGGGGTGGCAGCGAAGATCATGTCACCACAGAGGTGGTACGAGCCCCCGCGACAGTAATCGCATCGTCTGCAGGGAACACCGGGCTCCATGGCGACGCGGTCACCGGGCTTAAGGTTGGTCACCTTGTCACCGGTCTCGACGACGACGCCGGAGGATTCATGGCCCAGGACCATAGGGCCGGTGACTACGAAGTCACCAATACGGCCACGCTGCCAGTAGTGGACCTGGAGGAAGGATTAGAGGACACTTCGTACTCTTGATGATTTTGCGAATATGACTTACATCGCTACCGCAGATACCAGTCTGCGCAACGTGGACAATGACATCGTAAGGGTCCTTGAGGACGGGCTTGGGACGGTCCTCAATGACAACGTCCTTGACAGCACGCAAAACGAATGAGGGGTTCTGTACCAAGTTAGAACATGAAGATTCACATCCTTTCGCAGAGAGAAGAATCGTACCTCCATGATGTAATTGTGAGAAAGTGAATGTGACTTGATGTTTCTTGTTCATGATAGCACGTCCTGCCCTCCATTTATACCCATCCATCCTCAGGTCAGTGGATATACATCCCACTTCTGCGTTTGCCTCTTTACTCTTAATCTGCCCTTCTAGGAGTAACAAGAGATTCCCGGAATAATGCGCCCAAAATGGCAAAGCGGGCCCGAGAATCATCCTCATTGAGAAATTTTGGCGGCTTCAACTTTGCGGTCGGCAGTCTTTTTTGTTTCGGGTAAAGCGTGTTGGCACTCGTTTTACGGGGAAGATTCGAGATTCATTACCCCGCCAAATCACGATCTACTTAAGTCGCTTCGGTGTGAATTATCTCTGTTCAACCAAAATCACACTTTACTTCCTTTGTCTTTGTTGTTGAGTTCTACAAGAAAACCACCGTGGCCACCTCGCCCCTTCCCCAGAACTCCAATTGCACTCCCAATTCAACATGCCGATCCCCATCCCATCAGCCGACCGATTGGTCGATCTGTTCAGCCTAAAGAATAAGGTTGCCGTCATTAACGGTGCCTCTGGAGCCCAAGGAATCGGCTTCGAGGCAGCCTGTGGCTGCGCCGAAATGGGCGCTTAAGTGATCATCACCTACTTCAACCGAGAGGAACAAGCCAAGGAGAACGCCGCTAGTCTTAGTGAAGAGTTCAACGTCAAAGCAGCCGCCTACCACTGTGATGTCACGTAAAAGGAGATGTCGCGGGGATGTTGCCTTGAAACCTTTAACTTTCGGGGAGTTGGCAATGCGGGGAAGCCGGGGTGGTGTGCAGCCAGGCCGGCTGAATTCCGTGAGAATTCAGGGAGCGGGTCGCTTAATCTGCCATTTCAGGTATGATTACCGGCTGTCTGACTCCAGCCCACAGCCACGGATGTATCAGTTTGACTCGGCATGGCCCCTGAGCTGGATATCCACCCTTCCGAAGTATGGACGGCCCCGGATCAGAATCAAGGGATATGACATTAACCTCTCAATTTCCCCAGATCGTATCTCCAGATTTTATGAAATATTCTTTTTTTTTAAATTCTAAATATTAGTTGGAGGCAATTCCAAGATGTTTGCTTTGCAGCCATGCAGCTCAAAATGTTCGGTAAAGGCCGAACCCTTCGATGGGCTATCACCTTTATCTGTGAGATTGCATTCATATTTTTCGGCAAGTCACAAAAACCACCATTAACTGGCAACAATCCGCACTGACCTCAATTTTAGGATATGGTCAAGATGTCATGTGTGGTTTGGTTACGAACGTGGATCTACTACGAGTTTTGAAGAATCCGAGCGACAGTGCCTTGGGTATCATGCTGAGCATTTATAACCTTGGATGCTTCACTGGCTGCTTCATTAACTGGGTGATTGGTGACGGAATTGGCAGACGCAAGGCCATATATTTCGCTATGGGCTGGATTATTGTTTGTGATGTCTTACCACCCGAGATGACCTGATATACTGATGCATTTGGATAGATTGGTGCAACGCTCCAGGCATCCGCTTTCAGTCTTGCGCGTATAATGGTAGGAAGATTTGTTACCGGCATCGGTACGGATATCAAGACTTCTACGGTGCCTGTGTATCAGAGTGAGCTGTGCGAAGCATCCAAGCGTGAACGGCTTGTTGCTCCGAGGTCCTCTTTGTCGGACTTGGTCTAGTGTTCTGTGAATTAATCACCCAAACTGACGTTTCTCTCGCTAACCCGCTACTCCCAGCTGCCTTCCTGGATTATGGTATGGTTCATGTTGATGGACCGCTGGGATGGAGATTGCCAATCGCTTTTCAGCTTGTGTTCGCATTCGTGAGTCCAAAGAGCTTGATAAGTTTATCCGTCGAGATAGTGTGACTGATCGGGCTCGTTATTAGGTTGTTTGCTTCATGACTCTAGGAGTACCCGAATCCCCCCGTTATCTCTACCGGAAAGATAGAGGCGAAGAGGCAATCCAAGTGCTCTGCGACGTCTACGACAAAGATCCAAACCGTGAAACCATCATGAGAGAGCAGGCCGATATTACTGAAGCACTACAGACGGAACGCAGTGCAGAAAGATTCCAATGGCGCAATATCCTCAAAAAGGATGAAAAGTCCAAACGGGAAAACGTGTGCTCCTGGCTTATTGAATGCAATTCATGAACCAGATGGGTGGTATTAACCTGGTAGTGTTCGTGGCCTGCCGGTCCATTCTTAATTACTTCTTCTGACTGCTTTAGGTACTACATGCCCACTGTGCTCCGGAGAGACGCTGGTCTCTCACACTAGATGGCGGTTCTTCTTGGCGCAGTGTAAGTCAAGATTCATTTTCTATAAGCAGCGTTGTATTTCAAAACAACTAATAGTTAAATAAAAGAATAGCTTCAATCTCATGTTCCTCATCGGCTCCATCTTTCCTACCACTATGGCTGATCGGATTGGACGTCGCAAGCCAATGATGCTCGGCTCGCTTGGGTGTGGCCTCGCCATGATGTGCGTCAGTATCTTGTTGAGTTTCAAAGACACTTCAGTCTCTCACCAGATGTCGATTGGGGCCGTTGCCTGCTTCTTTCTGGTAAGTGAAGCATTTTTCAGCTTGGTTTATGGAAACTAATTGGAAACTAGTTCATGCTCTTCTATGGCGCGGCCGTTGTGTGCGTGCCGTGGGCCTACGGTCCAGAAATTCTCCCTCTTCACGCACGAAGCAAATGAAGTACTGTCGCAGTTTCCTCCAATTGGATTTGGGTAAGCCAAGTGGTGGATTGTAAAAATTTCGAGTGATGCTAATCCGTCCCAGAACTTCTTCATCGTCATGCTCACGCCGATTCTCATTAGCAATATCCAGTGGAAGGCCTATCTCATCTTCATGTGCCTTACTTTGCTTTCGTCCCACTGGTCTACTTCAGCTACCCTGAAACGGCGAACCTAACTCTTGAAGAGGTTGACTTGCTTTACGCCGAGCACGGAACACCTGCCCGGAAGGTTGCTGAAAGATTCCAGAAGCAGATCAAGGAGCATGGACGGGGTATTATGTATGACATTCGCACGCCGGCAATCAAGACTGATGCAAGTCATGTTGAAGAAGTAAAATAGGCTGTGGTAGCTGATTGGCGCCATCCCATCCCATTGGATCATCAATGGATTGGGCGTTTAAAGAGGAAATTAGCCCTCGGCCGGCAGAAAAGTTGTCCAGTACCATTCATATTGGAGCATTTATTGATGTGGTCCTTTCCTTGGGAAGTAGCAATCTATTATATGCTATGACATCTATTATAGCCGGAGTGACTTCGAGTTGATTCTTGGATGCCACCGTGGTGAGCTGACAGAAAAATAGTTGACTTGCTACGTGTCAATCATTCAAGTGGTATGACATGTTCCGCATTGGCAATTCCAATCGATGGTTACATTAGCCGATGCTTTCTCAAATTGACTGGTTTCAAAGGGCTAGTTATTTCGCGTCATGTGAAGCCATTTACTACAGGGTTCAGCTGGATGAATCGACGTGGCTCAATGAATGATGATTCTCACCTCATCTCACTCAGAATCCCATAACCTCTACTAGGCACACTCATGTCTCGTCATGGCTCGTATACCACCTGGTTGTGCAACGCTTAGATAGTAGTTACTAATAACGAATCCGCAATTCAGTACTCTGGCTGCTAACCTTCAGTAGTCGTATTTCTAACATTGGCACAAGAGCATTCAGGTGTAGGTCAATGTGAAGGGCCTACTCGAAATAGCAAGCTAATACCCCATTTTGGATTGTATGACAGCTGAAGTGATGCCAATGGCTAGGAGGGACATGATTTGTCGGTCTGCTGTACCACAAATGGATACGAACTTGGCACTCACAAATCTAGGCCATGGAATAGTACGCTAATGCACGCCACGATATATCGGGAGATGTACCCGATATTCTAGAAATATCTCAGCATTACAATAAATGAAGTATTGCAAGTGCCTATGCCCAAACATAGTGTAAGCTGGGAAGCGACTTTCACATGGACGATAATAGTGATTTATTGCAGGGATTGTCCCATCAGAATATACCATTAAGCGTCATAAACCATGAGCAAGAAACTTGTTACAACTCATGTACACTAGAAGCGAGTGAAAAGTTCCGGCGGAAAACAAGGTTCACGCTAACAATGTACGCTAGCAAGTACTTATAAGCTACAACTTATGCTTACCTTAGTTCCAGGTTTCTGAGTCCTTACTTGCTAAGTCTTGGCAATCTCATGATTCCATAGTATCAGCCGAGCCGAGAGCGAGGCGTCTTACTTTATGTCAACGTGTCCAGTCAACTTTTATTTCTATATCAGCTCTAGAGATCCATCCATTAATATTCCGAGAAGTAAGTAGTGGCATACTGCAGCGCTCGGCTGCAATTGCCATTACTATTAACTTACTGTGGCTTTGAGGCAGCCCGTCATCCTAGAAAAAGTGGCTGATGTAGCCATGCTGCCTGCTGATCTTGGCTCAACCCGAGCTGAAAGAAAACAAAAAACACTTGCAAGGTATAGCAAGAATATAGCATGGACGATAAGATGCACCTTAAGATATAAAAGGAGTGATCAAGTCTTGCTTTTCAGTCACTCATCATCAAGTCTTTCTAGGATTTCTTGAACGCAACCAACTATTCAAATCTAGTCTTCACTGGTGAAAGAAATATTACAATGTCTGAAATGGGACTTGAAGCATCTTCTACTCGTTTCCAGAATGGAGACACCTACTCGCTGCACGTGCCGGGAGGTGGTGCTCTCAGTGTTGTCCCGGGCAGATATCTTCCAGAGGAGGTTCATATTCGACCCTGGGAGCAAGCCCGGAACCAACTCTGGCGAGCAGAAGCAAACAATGATGGTTTCGGGTTCCGCAACGCGAGTACCGGAAAGCTTCTCGGGGTGAACAAGAATGGAGACATCGCATGTGTTGCAAGTGACTTGGATGACTGGGAAAGATTCAAGTTTGAGAGCGGTGACTCGGGCACCATATTCTATGTCATCTTCAAGGGATACCAACAGTACCTTCATCAGCCGGCCCAGTGGGACTCTCTTCAAGTGACCGAGCATCGATCTAGCGCAATTCAGCTACAAGTTGAGCAGGAATAGGGTTAGTTATCAATCGCTTCATTAATATGGATGGCGCTAATTTGGAATTCTTAGCAGCGCTATTTTAGTCAGACTAAGTTCAGATACACGGTAATAGTTTATTCCCTTCTGGACATGGGATAAATCTAGCTTTGGAGGTTTTCAATAAATACAAGTGATGCTAGCTTGCTGATTCATAATGCATATTTTGCATGTCGTACGTTTCCAACGATCTTCAATTATTGTCCGAGTGATGGAAGAGGCGTATTTGCGCCAAGTGGTTTACACATGAATAGGCAGTTGGTATTTCAATGTAACACAATTCCTTGCCCTCAGCATAATGCATTTCAAGTTTTCGGGATTAAATACTTTGTATATGGGGGAAACAGCAGAGCAATACTGATTGCCTGCATGGCTCTCAAATTCCTTGTTGGTAACATCCTAACTTTATTAGAATCTCTAAAACCCCTATGCCAAAATAATAAACCCAGGGAAGAAGCGTAACTCTGATGATATATTTCTTGCCTAAATATTAAACTTGAGAGTTAAAAATATTAGTTATAGGTGACGCATATGATGCTCGAGACTGCTGAATTGATCATATCTTCTTGCTTGAAACCCGTGGATTCATAATGAGAAAGGACAGCGGGCTTATATACCTGACGGGATAAGAAGAAACTGCGATTAAGTAAAAATAAAGGAAATTAATAAATATCGGGGATTAATAGAAAAACCCCCCCTCTGCATCAGGCAAACCCCCCCCCCCCGGGCTTAAGATGCCTGAATTTTCGGGCTTTCAGGCACTAAGGCAATCATTTTAGATTCCATAATATTTTTCCATAGTTCCCCTTTCACCGCCCTCACCGCTTTCTACCACCCCCTCACCATCTTCTTCACCGCCCTCACCGCCCTCATCGCCTACCTCCAAGATCCACCACTATCACTAAGTCAACACTACCACTACCACCACCAATCTTTCACTTTCTTTAACCCCCCTTACACCACCATGTTTCTTTCCCTCTCATAAATACTAAGGGTAATCCTAAGGGTAACTATAGTAACCGTACAAACCATGGTGGGCGTAGGGGTGATAGTAGATGATAAGCAGAAAGGATAGCAGAATTTAGGCGGAGAGGGAGTACTGGCAGAACTTGTGGCAGAAAAGAAGTTGATAGCCTTGATGCCTTGAGAACCCGAAAATTCAGGCATTTTCAAGCCGGGGGGGGGGTTTTTCTATTAATCCCCTAAATATTATATCAGTGTCAAGAGGTAAAAAGTAATCCTTTCGCCTTACTTTTTGATGTAAGGTTCGTACACGTCGACGAAGGTAAATAGGGTCACGTGACTGCATGACTGGTTGTAACTGCACCTGATACCAGCGTGATGGAAAGCCATAGGGGTGAAATGCGATCTGTGGAAGGTTCGTCTCGGATTTGCGGGCATTATACATGCTATAATATTTGCAAACAAGGTTGTGATTGCTGATATACAAGCCGGCAGAGTGGAAAGCTGCCGCTCCATAGTCTGGCCCCATGGAATGTTAATCTCCTAGGATCTCTCAATGATTTATGATTATTAACAGAACGCAATTTTTCGGTAATGGCTTTCACAAGTAGGTCACAGAATTCTCTCTGGTCTCATCGACAAGGCTCCACGCATCGGCTCTATCAGGCTTTCTTCATTCCGCTTTGTTGTCCTTACTCTCGCAGGCATGCATTCACGTTAAACATGGTTTCCAAGAATGTCTCATCTTGCGCTGGCTCTGCTACACTTCCCTTTCAATATGTACCCGTTGAGGAAGTCGAGAGAATCGAAAAGTACCAGCTCGGTGGATATCACCCTATAATGATAGGTGATAGTCTTCAGTCCCGGTATCAAGTAGCCCATAAATTAGGCTATGGAACATATTCAACCACATGGCTCTGCCAAGACTCTCAGTCTGCTGAATTTGTGGCAATCAAGGTTGGGACTGCCGAGTCAAGCGCTCGAGAGGTGCATGTCCTCGATTATCTTAGCAAATGTACCCCACTCGACCATCCGGGAAGGGCAATGATACCTTCCGTTCAAGACAACTTTGTCCTACACGGCCCCAACGGTAACCATCCTTGCTATGTGACAGCCATAGCAAGGTGTAGTATCTCCAGTGCAAAGGACGGATTGTAATGACGCATATTTCAAGCCCAAACAGCTCGCTTACTTATTTCACAACTTGTACTGGCTATCGATTATATCCACAGCCAAGGAGTTGTTCACGGAGGTCAATCCTTCATGTTTTACGATAGATAGCAATCCGTTAATATGCTGTCGACACATCAGATCTTCACATTGGCAATGTCTTTCTACGTCTCCCGGCCGATTTCAACCAACTGTCCATCGAGCAGCTATACGAACAATTTGGTTCACCTGCATTTGAACCAGTTGTTCGTCTTGATGGCCAATTACTCCCGTCTGGCATTCCATCTAAAGTCGTCCCTCCGATCTGGCTTGGAAAAGCTTCGGAGCTATTCACGACTTCGGAATCTAGAGCCTTACTTGGTGATTTGGGGGAGGCCGTCCAGCCCTCGGCAGAGTATCGATATAGCTCGCACGCCCCTCTATCCTTCCTGCCGCCTGAAGCCCGTTTTGAGCCAGAATTGGGCCTTTCCTTCCCTGCTGACATCTGGACTCTTGCGTGTTGTATATGGATAAAACTGGGCCAGCGTCCATTATTTGAGGATACACTTGCCACGCCGGATGACATCACAGCGGAACAGGTTGACACTCTAGGGGAATTACCTCGACAGTGGCAGCAGAAATGGGAGGCGAGGCATGAGTATTACGATGAAAGCGGACTACCAAATCAGGGTCGACAAGTGAGCTCCTGGGGTGAGCGCTTGGAAAATCATATTCAACTGCAACGACTGAAGGCTCTGGTACCCGTATTTGATTCAGAGGAGAAAGCGGCTGCTATGAATATGTTGCGATTGATGTTGTGTTTTGAGCCAAAGAAGCGGTGGACCGCACATGACATCCTGAAATGCGAGTGGATGGAAAAATGGGCATTGCCAGACTATGAGGAATCTCGCCTCAATGATCGAGGAGGCTACGCAGATAGCTTGTAATGCGCTTCATTGGTTTTAATGGGTCCGCCGTGGCTAGTATCCAATATTCCAAGTCTGTTCCACACAGAGGTATATGACCCAACGATGTACCGGCGTGTAAGTCTGTCTTTAATCCCCGGTGTGATCAGGTAATAAAATCCTTGAAGTGGTAAATGCTCAGCTCTTCAGCAAAATTAAGAGCAAGTCAATACCCAATTTTAGATTTTATGCCAACTGAAGTGATGCAGGTAGTGGCTAGAATCCACATAATTTGATCGTCTATCTGCTGCGCCACAAATGAATAGCGATGTATAATTCGATACACAAATGACTATTTACAGTGGCTTATCCAGGTATGGATGATAAGTAAATGCTATTCACTCATCATTATAAGGGCTTTTCGTCTTGATTGTCCCTTCGCTTAGTGCTTTTGCTTCTTCGCGTCGAAGGCCTAGTAACCTCCCCAGATCCGGTCCAAGCACCCCATCTACTCTTCCGTTCCATTTTTCTCACTAAGAATATCCCGGGCCTCAACGGATCGTCTCGAGTAATTCTTGTATTATCGGTATAGCCAAGACTCCTCCTGTATAGGGTCGGTAAATCTTGTGTCTCAGGACTGCGAATCTCGATCAATTGAGGGCGAGGGGGAGTCGGCGGCGGTGAAGGATATTTTTTCGGTTTCGTTGGTGGTGGTTGACCCTGATCCGACTGAGTATCTGGGGAGGGTTTGTCGCTAGAGTGGGCGGAATGTTTGGATGATAGAGGATCAGTTGTCAGAGGAATTTCAGTCGGGCCGCCCGGCGACTTAGGTTGGGATTTCTCTTCATCGGGAGAAGGGTTTGCCTCTGCGCTCTCTTGCTCGTTGATATCTTTAGGTGATTTCGTGTTCGAAGGTATCTCTGTCTCCGAAAGCGGCACTGCTTTCGAGGGTGTCCCTTTTTTGGAAGGTGTCTCTTTTTTTGAAGCTTGCTCCCTCTTCAAAGATGGCTCTATCTTCGAGGGTGGCTCTGTCTTTGAAGGTGCATTATTGTTGTTGGGTGCAGCGGCGCCCGTGGGGAGCTGTGACTTCTTCTTAGTTGTGGCCTCTTTAACATTCTTGGCAGACGGCTGATTTCCCGCATCAACTATGTTCACAGTCTTGACATCTGGCTTCGTCGGCACTGATCTTAGAGTAGTCTCTGTCACGGGTTGATTGGGCTTTGTAAAAAGTTTGTTCGACGCCAGATTCTCATTCGAAATGGAGGTGTTCTGAGCCTCCAAGACTTCCAGATCTGGAGGAGGATAGCTCCCTGTGGATGATCGCTCACTGTGATAGGATTTAGGAGAAGTTCGTTTTGTTCTAGTTTCTCCATAGGATGACCGAGAGGACGATGATCCGCAACAACAGCAACAATAGAAAAGAATCAGAATGAGAAAAAGGCCCAGAATAGAGCCAGCAATGGCGCCCTTTTCCGATCCTGTGAGTCCTCCCTGCGAGCTAGGTGAAGTCGACGATGTGCTAGTCGGAGTTGACGCAATATCGACTACAACGATCGTTGTAGTAGGGTAAGCCAATGTCTGAGTGACATAGTTTGCTGTAGTCCGAGCTTGATCACTGCTAAAAGGAAAAATTGTCACAAATGTTGAAGTCGACTCGGTTATCGTCAAGGTGAGTTCTTGCACCACAGGTGCCATTCATTCCCCACTGGCCTCGACATGCCGTCAAGGCACTTCTGACCAGGCTGCATACTATATATTCTCAAATCCAATGCAATTAGGACACAAACGAGAGGGGCTGAAAAAAAAGCGAGAGGGGTCAGTCTTCATCGGTTCAATTGCCCTTGGTTCTTACGCGCCATTGCATTGACCAGCACGTTCGTGACATGCAAGTACGGCAGGGGTCCGTATATTGGACCATAGAACTTGTTTTAACATCCAGATGTGGGGACACTGACGCTTGTAGTTCTGCAAGACTAATGCACGCTGCATCCTGGGAACAACCAATTGGCAATTCGATTGGCCCAAGCCACCGTAGCGCTCGGGGGATGGCTGCGGAATGCCCGAAATCGCCGGCCCCATTGATAGTGATATTTGGCCTCATGACAGAAAAGCCCCCTCCCAACCCCGCATGACTTAGGCAGCTTACGCACTTTGTCATTGTGAAAATGCCTTCGTCGTAGCCAGAGGCTTCTGTCTACCCCCAAGACGGAGTCCTGGGAAATTATTTTATCCACCACAGACCAAAACCTCAGCGATCATCAGCACGCCTGGAAGATGGCAGGAACAAAAAAGTCATACCTTTTGATGCCCAATTTTGACTGTCCTTCCAATGGTCCGGTCGCATTGGGACAGATAATCACCTCGCCGTTTGACCCTGAGAGCGCAATCAACACGGTATCAAGATTGCCACCAGCTGAGATATTCCATTCCTCTAAAACCGCCTTCCAGACCTTGATCGAGAAAGAGTCAAGCAGGAACTACGGAGTGTGGTCGCGATTCTTAGGACTGTCCATTCTTGGAGGCGAAGCTGGCTTCCTATCCTCTCGATCCAACAGCTCCTACATGTACATCTCGCGACTAAATACAGATTACTTCAATCCTACGATTGAGTATATCGAAAAAAGCCTTCGTCACCCGCAGACGCTGAAAGCTCTGTCGCAACAGAACTTTGAGAAAAATATCTACATGATCACGGGCATCAAAATCGCAATTGGGGCAAATATGCAGTCTTTATCGACCAAGAAGCAAGGGATGAATCTGGATATAGGGGTTGATTTGACGACTTTAGGAGTACCGCTACAAGCCGGGCCAAAATTAGAGCCCTCTTCCGCACAGCGTGAAGGTACTGCATTCTCGAACTCAACTGATTTCGTGTTTGCATATCGCCTGAGGGAAATATACTACAGTCAAAAACGTGGACTTATCAAGACAGCGAACTATACCAAAGGCGCCGCGTATGGACTGGAGAATGATCTATCTACACTCAAAGATGGCGAACATGGGGCGGAATTTGAAGACGATGTTGAAATTGACGGGATTGCTGACACGGATTTAGGTAATAATGACCTGCGAGAGTTTGGGCGTCCTTTGACAGCAGTAGACGAAGAAGATGGGGTTGAGTGCGAGTGTTACAGTCTACCTGCTGTGAGCTCGAAGTAACCGAGTCTCTCTGTATTTACGATGCTCTATACTTTATTCAAGCTATTGTTCGTCATTGTCTATCCATCAGCGTTAGACTTGTTGTGAAGGTATTTTCCAGACAGACGTCTACATGGCGTTTCAGGAGTGATGAGCAGCGTCATCAGGGTAAACAAACAATATCGAGAATTGATCTTGCTCGGTCTTGGGCTGTACGATATCTGCAGCATCTACCAAGGCAGTTTGGAGAATTGAGGAACCACAAAGAGTAGTATGAGTATCAGTTTAATAGGGGCTGAGCCTCGGACGGGTAATAACTAACTAGTTAGTTAAGAAGTCCACTGTGAGTAAGCGAACGTGCTAACTGACTGGACAGTGGAGGTCTGCGACCCAATGACTAGGCCGCTTAGGTAGATTTAGCACCCCGCACTTCACGCGTCGTCACTGGCAATATTCCCCTTCATTTACCACTTCGACGAATATGTCTTCATGAGCCGAATCTAGACCAGGTTTTGAACAAAGCACCACGACGACTTGATGATCAGATCGACCTTGATGAAGACCTCTCGCGCCCAGACTGATGGAAGAGCAAGATGATTATGTGCACCTCGCCCGGGTTGCTGAAGAATTTTGGGCTCGGAAGAACTACAAGAGCGCACTTGCCTGCTACACGATTGCACGTTTGGCCTTCGTGAAAATCTATCCCGAAAGACCAGCAGATACCGATCTCTTGGGCCTCAAAGATGGAGCGGCGCGATGTTTCGAGCATCTAAGCGATCTCAGCGATCCCACCGATTTCAGCAAGTTCAGCAATCTCAAGGAATGCATTAAGCTGGATTTTGAAGTTCTGAGCGAGAAAGAGAAGTTCCTTGATTCTACCGACGAGGAGCTTCTTATTTTACGAGAGACACTTGCCGATAATAATACGAAGCTAGGCAATCACGAGGCGGCATTATCATTACTGCGTACTAACTTGAAGATACTCGAATGTCGGGAATATGGCTTAGAACACGAATGGACCTTGCAGACCAGCTATAGGGTTGGAGTCGAATTGTCGTCATTGGGTGAACACCAACAGGCATTAATTTTGCTGGAGAACACTTTGTTTGTGATGACTACAAATGATTTTCCGCAAGAACAGCAAGAGATGGTGAGGGAGGCTATTTACGGGGCTCAAGAGTCCACCACGAAAGCCGTGGCGAACGAAGCGAGGAAGGATGCGATCCCTTCCAATCAATACTCAAGCACGACTGATTTGAAGCCACGCACACCTTCAGAGCACCAGAAAGTGATTTTGGACGCGCTCCAGCCTACCTCAGCGACCTCTGATGAGACCGCTATGACTCCTTTACTGTCGGAGAAGAAGGAGAGCTCTCAAAGGCTAGTGAATGACGAGCCACAATCTATACTTCCAGGTTGGGGGCCCTTTCGTTGCAACATTCTAGGGACGCTTTTTAATATTCTTTGAACAGTTGACCTTGCGAGCTTAGTGGGGAAGCTACAAACGCTAGCAGAAGAAGGGGCAACTAATCCCTCACGGACCCCAGGTGAGTAGTCCACATATATTGGATAATGATTTGCTAATCCACGGTTCAGTTGACCAGCTACTAAAGCCTGCACAAGAAATCTTCGGGCATGGGAGGGGTTTAAAAATTACCAGCTTCGCTGCAGATAAGATCAAACCTTCAACAGATGGGACACGATCCCGTGCCAGTTCATGTAGTCCATCAATTCACTCTTTCATCCAACTAGAGAAAGGGGCCATTTGTCACAACGAGTATGGCAATGAGCAGTATGTTTCCTTATCTGAACAGTGTACGATCCGATGGAAGCTGACTCTTGAAATAGGGATGCATCGTCCGAGAAGTGGTTAAGAGAGGTTGAAAGCGTTGTTCATTCTTGGATGCCGCTCTCGAAAGTCAATGACAAGATTCGGATCGCTATATTGGATACTGGAGTTGATCTCGGTCACCCCTACTTCGACGAGAAAATACGAACTGGCAGCACTCAATCTCGACGTGAATCTATCAACGAATGCAAAAGCTTCCTACCGGGGAAAAAAGGAGACGAGGATGCACATGGACATGGCACTCATGCTGCATCGCTTCTTCTACGCCTCGCGCCAAATGCGAAGGTATACGTAGCCCGGGTGGTTGACGATGACGGCGAGATCAGTAATCCTGATGCAGTAGCAGAGGTACGTCCGCTTCTCTCCATTTGCCAAATTCGAAAGACTTATTCAAGAGGCCATCAACTATGCTAGTGATCCGGAACATTGGGGTGTTCACATTATCAGTATGTCTTTGGGTTGGAAGAATATACCCGAGTCCGTGGAACGCGCTATCAAAACGGCCACAATGACTCGAGAGGTCTTCATTTTCGCAGCTGCTTCCAACAATGGCCCAACCGATGACTATTCGGTGACGTATCCAGCAAGAGCGATGATGGTATTTCCCGTTTTCGCTGCCTCCTCTCAGGGAGAGCTTCAGAGATTCAACCCAAGCCATGAACACAAGAAAGGGCTTAGTACCCTTGGCGTGAACGTCACTGGGCCTTGGACTCGACATGGCACTGAAGAGAAATCTCCGACCCGTTGTCGATCGGGAACTTCTATTGCCACGCCTATCATGGCAGCATCGGCAGCATTGGCACTTCAGTACATTTATCAGAAACCGCCGCTAAAAATTGAGGGCTTGTACCGACTCGAGGGAATAGATGGCATGGTTGAGTTGTTGTCGTTGATGAGGCCCATTCATTTGAAAGAAACACCGTATTTTGTCCAGCCGGGAGTGTGGCTACGTAACAAGGACTATGCACGAAAGAAAGTGATGGAAACGATCCAGCACATTTGGTACGGGCACATTCAATGACATTCTGCATTATGTATAGAATTTTTTTGTTAGGCCTTGCTTTGGCTTCAAATATTCTCGGCCAAATCCACCGCTAGCTTAATATCCTACTGTCAAGTACGGTAGTCACCATTAATAGTCACATACTATACTCGTGGCTGAAATCGTGGAACCAGTAGATAGCATCCTCACCGCTATATCCAGAAGCACCCTTCTCGCCACCACTAAAGGTCGACCTCGATGTCCAAGTCACCCCGTCTATATCACCCTCACCCTGCTGACTCGGGCGACACCCACCCGAGAATCGATTGAGCAGAAGCCACACGCCGGCCAGTTGGTACGATGGTGGGTGACCACATACGAATCCGGGCTGTTGTATGCTTTTGTTTTGGTACTTTTTTTCATTTTCTTTTATAAGAGATAAGGATTTGAATAAAGAAAGCCAAGTCGACTCTACGGATAAATCAAATAAATAATAGCCCGGGGCGAGTCGCATTCGACAATTCTATCTACTTCTACAGAATAGCTATAGTACTACTACTACATTATCTCCACATGATGTACTCGGCATACGATCATAAAAGGAGCTGTTTTGCCAGCTAAGCAAAGCCACACGGCAGTCAGTGAGATGTGATAATAATCACATGCAGACCCTGACAATCGTGGGCTCCTGCTTAGTTCTTGGCCTCCTGGCGTTGCATGTAGCGGCGCCACTAGTCAATAAAGTCAGTATTTGAAGTAATAATGCCCGGTAATTTTCGCGAGAACTTACCGCAGGATTGAAAAAATAGACAGGGATACCCAAGAGGAAGACTCCTCCAGCAACGGCAGTCAGAATTCCCATAGCGACAGGGTAGCTGTATCTGGCAACCATTGGGCTCAAGCCATAACTGATACCGAACGCGATGATGTTCTTTGTACCGACAACTGCCACGAGGGCAGGGCCGGGATTCTTCTCCCACGCCTCGGCAGCGAAAGAAGTTGACAGAATAAGCACCGAGACGAATGCCACCTGCAAGACAGTCCATCCCATGTACGGGCCACCCCAGGTGGCATTGCCATTAGCGGTGAAACCGTACAGAAGAAGCGAAGCAACCGTCAGAATGCCAGGGAAGACCAGGAGAATCAAGCGATGCTCGGGTGTGTGGACACCACCAGCGCGCTTGGCCAGGCGCAGAATGAACCAATCGCCAAACACACCAGCGTAGAGCATGCCTCCGAAGCCACCGAACACACCTCCCAAGTTGATCAAGCCAACATTCTTGGCAGCCCAGCCATAGTTCTCCTGCAGCACGGTGTCATAAGTCAAGGACATGCCGACAGTGCAACCCAGAACCACAGCGGACAACAAGGTCGAGTACAGAATTCCGGGGGAGCTGAAGGCTTCGAACATGTGGAACCAGGCCATCAGGATGGTCTTCACTGGACGCTTCGATTGCTTCGTCCACGGGGCAAGCATCTCCTTGTATGACTTCTTGGGCCGTGCCTCGTCGGGAATTTCCTGCTCCTCGGCCTCCAGCGCGAGCATATACTCCTGAGCCTGCTGACCTTCCAGGATTTGGGTAACACCAAACTGGTCGGTGACAACAACTCGCCCGTTGACGAGCTGGGCGCGACGCTCGTAGCGAGTCTCGAAACCGCTGAAGATCACAATGATAAGCCCGACACCAACGGCGATAACATAGACCCAGTAGAACCAGCGCCAGCCCAGAGCTGCGGCTTCGTAGGAAGACGCAATGTTCAGGCAACTGGTGACCACATTCTGAGTTGCCCAGTAGACACCAAACACAAGACCACGCTGGTGGACAAAGGTCACTTCGGAAAGCATCAAAGGAAGAAGCTAGACAAGACTGTTAGTTTGTATGCATGTTGCAGATGATATGTGAGATCCACTAACCGACTCGGTAGCACCCGTTGCCAAACCTTGGAGGCATCGCAGACCAAGATGTTGCTCAAATGTCTGTGACACAGCACATCCAATAGTCGCAACAAAAAGAACCATGATTGATCCAATGGCAGTAGGTCGACGACCGTACACCAAGCCCAAGGGAAGAATAAGATAGTTTCCTGGCCGTATTAGCCATACCATGTCACCGTTTCAGGAAATAATACTTATATATACTCACCAACACCAACAAATAACGAGGGGAACGTTCCCAGCCAAACAACTTGCGTCGAGCTGTAACCCTGAGGCATATACAGACCAAAGAAGATGCTCAAAATGGATCCCAGACCTCCAACGATGGAGAGAGACATGATAGAGAACCAGCAGCAGCTGAAAATCACACCAGTCTTCTCCCACACGGTGAAATTGAGAGGATCATTGGGATCGGCACTAGGAACGGGCAACCGCTGAATCTCCCCAGCCGCATCGACGAGGAGCTCGCCAGTCTTGACAGTCTGCGGCTCCACATCCTCCACGAATTCGATCTTGACTTTCTGGTCGAGAGTAGTAGCCATGATGATATTCCACTGAGGGCCAGAGACGGGGGGTGAATGTCTGGACGCGCAGCGGCTCCGAAGAAAAAAAAGAAGAAGAAACGACGAGATAATGGCGAAGCTGTGCCTTTTTCTGTGCCAGGCTGCCAGCTAATGTCATCGGCCCCTCCACACTGATACCGCCATCACGCGCGGGGGAAAGTCTAGTTCGGTCGGTGCATGGACATAGGTTGGGGAACGTGCTGGAGATTGTGACTGGGGAGAAATTGGCAAGCGATCCCTGGGGTGGATTCTCCCCCGTTCATGCCGAGTTGTCAAAAGTCAAAGTTGGGGCAAACTCCCATTCCCCGTGGGGGTGGATCGCCCACATGCCGACAAATTGTTGGTCGCTGATTGGCCTGTCGGTCGGCAGTTGTTAATTAACAAGTTGATCCGTTCTGTCTGGACGGAAACTCAAGTATTCATAGATATACGGTGTAATGCACAATTTGGTCGATCTATATGGTACACGGTTTATTCATTCGGCATCTAATATCGTATAGTATCATCATCGTAGGTTGCCCAGATCCTCAATAAGAGAACACAGGTTTTGAATCATCGGTGGAAGTATATCATCCGGCAAGGGAAGTGGGCAATTCCCTTCAAACACCTGTCGCGCCACCGCCATGACTGCTCGAGGCTTGCTCAATTCACAGAAAACCTTGACGTCTCCTTCGGTGCCCCCACGGGACTGCGGCATCATCAATCCGGGCCGGCCAACGCCGTGGCCCAAGAAGGACTTGGTCACTTGGTCCTCGGGTCCATCCAGGGCAACTTGTGGCGTCAAATCGGCTTCACTCATGGGGGTGGTCACCTCGAGTCGCTTAGTCTCGCCACATTGAATCAATCCGTAAACCCACAGAACTAGCGCGGCATGATAGATAGCCAAGGAGTCGAAGCCGCGGAACTGATAGGCGGCCACATTCCGGGCCGCTCGAAGCATTTGGCCGGCGTGCCAGATGGCGGACCGTGCTTCTTTCGTCCGGCTCCAGTCCCGAAGTCCAGGATAAGCGCGGCGCGCATCTATCTCGCCCATCTTTCCGACGAAGCGCTGGATTGCATCAATGTCAATGTGGAGGTACATCATCACGAACTCGCTCAACAATGTCGTGACCGGTGGTACGCTTGGGGAGTCTTCCTGCACGGCTCGAATAGTTGTATATCTAGAGATGCAGGTGTTAGATTATTTTATTAGTAGATGTAAGAGGGCACAACACATACAAATCTTCTTGTCGACTTTGTAACCACAACCGAGTTGTCGCACGCGGTCCAGATCGAGAAGTCTGAGATAGAAGCATTTGTTGACGGAACTCCCACACTTGTAGAGCGAGACCTTGCAGAAGAGCAGATCTCGCAATTTCCAGATCTAATTCGGGGGGTAGTTGACTCATCAATGACGGGTCTGACAATAGATCACGTAAATTCAGTTCGGAGCAACCCGTCAACCGGTACTTGGCTGTCCAAGTATCCCGCCAGGCCTCGGCGGTAGGAGCAAGCCATAGATCTCTGGCCGATGGGAATGGGAGCGTTAGCTCTGTGTAGGAAATTATGGCGGGTCGATTCATGGCCGTGGCCGCTTCCACATCGTGACCGAACAAATGATACACAAGTCTAATTCGGTCAGTTCTTGAAGCAAGACCAAGGGAAATTTTTTTATATACCTCTTGAGTGATTCCTGTCGTACCCAAGCATACCATGCTCGTTGTAATGATTCATCGTCGTTGCCGAATGTATATGGGGTAATGAGCGTGTATGTTGACCTGTCAAAAGCCGCACCACGACGCACCGCCTGGTATGGTCAGCATGAAATTCGGTAGAATTTCAGGTGTCAAACCCACCGTACAAAGTGGTTGCAAATAGCTTTCAGCAATTTGCATCTTCCGAGTATAGCCACAGAAAATTCCAATATCGAGCCATATCATTGAAGCTTGCAAGTATTGAAGATCGCGGAGTACACTGTTGTCTTCCTCAACCTAGATAGACAGGCGGTTAGCCAATCGTACAGCGGCCTTGAATGGTTAATTTGGAACGACTTACTAGTTGTGCGAGGCCCACTCGAGTAATTTCCTGCAAAATGATACCAGTCTTGTTAATAGAGGGCATTCCACAGCACACACATCCCGCCGCAACCAAAGCCGTGAGCAGTTCTGGACGCAACTGTTGGTATACTGGATCATGGAAAGTGTAGGGGTGGATCCAGGCGTCCGTCTCAGTTCGCTTCCCAATGCCGATCTTAATCAGTGTGTCAAGATAGTCTGCAGATGGGAACGTCGTCACCGAGAGTCGAGAGCCTCCGGTGCGTAAGACCAGCTTCAAGATATCATCACGGGCTTGATATGAGAGCTTCCCGGGAATTTTTATTGCGTCCAAGCGATTTTTATGTGAGGATGGAATACTGTCACTGTCGCGTAAGGGAATGCGTCTCTCTTCGCTGAAGCCGTGTTGATTTTTCTCAGGCACCCAAAGCCTAGAAGAGTTAGAATAAATTTGGTCTAGATAGCAAATTCTCCCACTGAACTCACCACAAAGAACGTCCAAATGCTGCGGCACGCCGACTCGCGGATTCCTGGTCGTCTAGCGGGGATTGTTGAGGGTCCTCGAATCCAGTGAAAGCCATTGGAACATCGAGTACCTTATCCAAGTCCGGGATAAAATCTGTGCCAAAGATGTCGGTATCTGAAAAGGTGAAATCGGTGTCCTGCATGAAATCAAACACTCGTGGCTGTTGTGTATCGTGGACTACATCATCGTCGGCCTCGAGACCTGGGAGCATCACTTGTTCGAAGAATGCGGGAAATCCGTTGAGGGGTGAATACGCCTGCACATTTCTGTGGGGGATAAATGCCTCTAAAGCCATCTCGCCCGCTGAAGCGACGTTCGGATCGTAGATTTCAAGCGCATTCCCCGAGAATGACTCTGATGGTGGCGGCACGCTGAATTCTGATGGCCCAGATTCGGGGGTCGCTGTCAGAGTGGACATGTCTGGCGGCGGGCCTCCTACTTGCGGAGAGTATGGTGGGAGGGAAATTGGATAGGAAAGACGCTCGCTTGAGCGACGCCCGCCTTTGGATCTGGGGACGCATTGTATTTGCTTTGAATTACATCGCTACAAGCTTGTCAGAGCGGGGGGGGTTACTCTTTGAAATTCAGCTGAAGGGCGTACTTTGCAGGGTCTTTCGTTATCGCAGCTTAATTTTGCGGTCGCGCAAGCTTCACAAGCTTCGATTGCGCGCTCCTTGGTCCTTCTCGTTGAAGTTTTGCCGTCTGCTTCATCTTTTTCGTGGACTGCCTGGTGTCGCTGCAAGACATCTCTGGTTATTGTTAGCTGACAGCCCTACGACGTAGATAGCTGGTCAGAGTGACATACCGGCGATTGAAACCGCGTTGACACGTCGGACATTGGTAGACGCGCTCGTTGCGATCTGATCAATTCTGCACTCTCAGCCTTCTAGGAGATCCCGTATATATTCTGATCGGACTGACTGACGTGAATCTAGATGACGCGCCAAATGGTCTGGACGTTCATACGCCTTATCGCAATGGGGACAGTGGTGATTGACGGCCCTACGCGGGGAACGTCGAGTGTTCTCCGGACTTTCGGGCATGATGGGACGGGGAAGTGGGGAAGACAAAAGTGGACGAGGCATTGATTTATGTGCGGAGGGCCGAAGGCGGCCGATCGGGAAGACGAAGAAATTTGCGGGCCACGACTTGCCGATGGCTGAACTGGTCAAAGTGTCGCGCAGAGCTAAAATTAAAGACTGACCAGTGACAACTAACAGCCTCGGGCCATTCAGCGTCTTGCTATTAAGCAGACTTTTGAACGAGGCGTCGGCAAATTCGGGGCAAATGTGGGTCAACCTGTTTTTCTCCAGTTTGCGGGGGCCAGCCTGGTATAGGAGGTCTACATACTGGGAGACTTTATTCTCTTAGGAAACGCCTATTACCGCTTACTCTTGCTTTCTGTACTAGTCAGTGCTGTCCAATCAATTCATCTCCATTACCGGAGTTTACCCGAAAGTACATTTACAATTAACTCTGGAGAGGGGATCATAGAGAGGATAGAAAACAGCTATTAAATGAAGGAAAACTACACATCCTTGGAATAAGTACAACCTATCCTCTGATTTTACATTTCATTTCTTTCATGATATACGACAAAAGATCATATCAAGTACACAGCTTCAAACCTTGCTAGTAGAAGTAGCTAATCAAGCTCAAGCTGATGCAGGGATCTCCTCGTTGCTCCACGCCTTGGCCCCCCGATACATACAATTGAACTTCATAAACTCATCCGGTCTCCTATTAAAGGGTCAGTAATCAAGTCTCTACCTCCACGATACAAGGTCTTTTCTTACAAAGTAACCGTTTTCTTTGCAGCAGCTGGCTTCGCCGCCTCTCTACTATATGCTTGGATGAGGCTGACTCGGGCGTAGCGAGCTTGGAAAATATTCTATATTCCCAAAAGATTAGCAGACTTTCCAGAACTATATCAAGGCAATAGAGTGAAGGACTTACCTCTAGAATCTCCGAGAGAGCATCCGCCGAAGGCGTCTCGCTAATACTCTCGAAAAAGGCTCCCAAAGCCTCTGCATCTTCGATTGCTTGACTAGCTCCCTGGCCTTGTGTGGGAAGCATGGCGTGAGCTGCATCGCCAATGAGAATGACTCGGCCACGATGCCAGCCCTCCAGTGAGTCCTTTAACATTGTCAGTAAATCACGTCGTTATTGGTCCAAAAAAATGCAACACTTACCAAGTCACGCAATTGCCACAATCCGAGATCGGCAGAGTGCCTGCTAGCTATTAGCGACCGAAATGAGAACGACGGAAAGAGGCATTTCGTACTTGAATACACTCGTTACCCACGTTGGGAACTCTGAGAAGGTCTCAAGCATCTTTTCCAGGCTTCCTTCGGAAACCCAGGATTGCTTTGCACCAGGATCCTCATTCATTTGCTCTGTCGCACTGATTAGTGACAGGACTCCTGTACTGACTGGGTTTCTGACTTACCGTCTGGCACCAACGCAGTAATACCATAAACCTCACCTTGCCTGCCAGGACCCATAACTAGACGACAGTTATGGGCGACCATCATAGAGGTGAAGGGCTCACGAGGGTTGATTTTAGAGCAGAATTCAGGTTCCTCCTTCTCCAAAGTCTCCGAGGGAATCTGACGAGTTGTTAGTATAACCACAACTGAGCTCTGGCTGTTTCAAGACATACCATAAGACGATAGGCTAGATTTTTGCGGTAAGTAAATGAGTTTTAACCGTTTCGAAAAATTGGATACATCGGGAACTCACCAGAATGCCCCGTGGGCAATGGAGATGGCTCATCCTGTAGGACATGTTTCCGAATTACGCTGTGACTGTATACCGCGGTGATTAGCGTATAAGGGATCTTAAACAATAAAAAGTTTTGCCATATTAACTCACATTCCATCGGCAGCAACGATCAAATCTGCCGTGATTACCTCTCCTCCTTCAAGAGTGACCGTGCCATCCAGCGGACTGCAGTCCACCACGCGCGAAGCGACTCGGACTGTCACCGGATCGCCAGCGCGATCGGGAGAAACTGCAGCTTGCTTGAACTGATCATGGAGATCCCTCCGATGGAAACACAGACGGTCGGCACCGAATTCTGTCTTGGTTAATAGAGGCACGGTGTTGACCAAAACTCCGTCGGTGTTGTAAACACGGAAACCTTCATCAACGATTGCTCTGGCCTCAGCCAGTTCCTTCTTAAGTCCCCAAGTAGACTCGACAATTCTAGAGGCATTTGGTTGCAGTGAGATCAAAGCACCGATTTCCTTGTTCAGTCTGGACTGCTCAAGAACGGTGATTTGTCGGTTTGGTCCACGCAGAGCAATTGCTGCGGTAAAGCCAGCAATTCCGCCACCCACGATGACAATGCGAAAAGGAGGCATATTGATCTACCCAAGTTTGATGATATCTCTGTTTGTTGACAAATCCAGCCAATGTCTCTCTATTTGACGCTATCCCCGCCTTTTGAGAAGCACTGACTTCGACAAAACTCCCGTGGGCCACTCGTCCACTTCCTCCGAGGTTGTCGCTCCCCCACCTCCACTTCCCCCACCTTCCGAAGACTGGGGCCAGGAGATCCTCAACGAGAGATCGCGGCCAATGAAGATAATCATGACTGGTCTTATGATTAGCTAGTTTGAAACAAGTGTGGGCATTCGCCTCGGAGCTTGCCTAACTTGTTTTCATCCGAGAGAGCCGCGACGACTATTATAAACGTCTGGAGAAATCTCCATAAGAAACACGATAATCAAGAGGCATTCGAGACGAAAACACATCACACATAATTATTATATCAAAAATGTCGGCTACTACTACCGTCACCGAGACCGTTCAGGCCAACCCCAACTTGCACGGCTTTGGCCGCATGCGCCTGGATGGTACCGACCACCAGTTTGGCGATTTCCGCGACGAGCTGGCGCGCAACGGCTTCGCAGTCGTCAAGGGCGCTATCCCTCGCGAGAAGGCTCTGAAGTACGCTGATGAGATGTACACCTGGCTCGAGAACTTGTAAGTTGGAAATATTTCAGTCTTTGAGGATACAATGACTAAACTCCCTTCAGCAAGCTTGGATTCGATCGCAACGACCTTTCCACCGTGCACAAGGATAAGCTGCCCGTGATCAACGAGAAGGGCATGTGCTTGCACTACGGCCTTCCCCACGAGAACTTTGTCTGGGGTGTTCGCAGTGAGCCCGGCGTTGTCGGCGCCTTTGAGAAGATCTACGATGACGAGGATCTGATCGTCTCCTTCGACGCTATCAACTTCCAGTTCCCCAAGTACGTCCACCTATATAACGATCAATCACTCGTCCATACTAATTCAAGAAACCAAAACAGCCGTACCGATATCGCCCCCAACAAGCCCTGGCCGCACCAGGACCAGAACCCCGAGAAGCACGGCTTCCGCTGCATGCAGGGTCTCGTCAACCTGCTCCCCAACGGCCCCGAGGACGGCGGCCTCATCGTCTGCAAGGGCGGACACCTCGTCTCCGAAGAATTCCACCGCGACATGGCCGACGAAGAGCGCATTCCCGCCTGGACCCCGGAGTGGTACGGCTTCACTGACCGTGGCATGAAGTGGCTGGAAGACCGCGGCTGCAAGTGGGAGAAGGTCTGCGCCGAGCCTGGCGATCTCCTGCTCTGGGACTCTCGCACTCCCCACTACAACCTCAGCCCGAAGAACAGCCAGCCCCGCTTCGCCATCTACACATGCTTCATGCCCGTCGCTGATGCGACGCAAGACGACCTGATCCGGAAGAAGGATGCGTTCGACCGCCGTGTGGGTACCACTCACTGGCCCAACGCGATGCACACTGGCTCCAATGTTGCCCAGCGGGATGGCAAGGAGGACCCTCACAACCGTGACAGGCCGCTTAACGACCCTGAGTTCAGCGAGCGGGCTTTCAAGTTGACTGGTATTCCTTATATCAAGGCCCAGGCTTGAAGTTTTTTGGCAGAGTGTTGTTGAAACATAAGAACTGGACGGGAATGTACGCTCTAGTTGAGCGGACGTCAGGATCAGAATGTATAAATGAATTATTTGCTTATTTTTAAATGTTATTTGAATTAAAGGGCAATTCTTGGGTAGCAAGGCCAAACTTGATCTACGTAACAGTGTAGAATCTTGAATAGTAGATATACGTAGCCACGTAGCCACTCAACTTTGAAGTATGCTATCTTAATTCTCTGACATCGGCATCTTGTCTGTGCTATGCAGCTTCTCAGTATACGGCGTGAGGATCTTCCTAGGGCATTTGGACTTGCGGAAGAGTCCCTAAATAAAGATCAATGCTCTTTCCTTTGTCCCGGGGCTTAGATGTTAACGAATACCTTGCAACTCAAAGTTCAGAGCAAGTGCTTCCTTGCGTGACTCTATTGTAGGGAAAATCCCAGGTAATCTCGGATGGTTTTTGTGATAAGACCGGTGATTGATTTCGCAAACAGGCTCTTCCTCCGGTTTCTTGGATTTATGCGCTTCGCAGAAAGGCCTAGCACAAAGGATGCATGTATCTGTCGCCTTGGATTGTGGTTGACTCGGCAGGTTCTGATGGATTCTCCCGAGTTTTCTTCTGGCCATTTGTTCGCAGACGAAACAAACGTCGACCGTCGCAACGATATCGGCTTCAGAGGCCATTTTTTAAAACGGTAATAATAGAGTCCCAAAGTCTTCTGGTATTCACCGATTACTAAAGAATAGATAACAGATGAAACTTAAGCAGATTGGAAAGAACTATATTCGTGGTCCAGAAGATGAGGGGTATATGTAAACGCTTCGGCTTGGTGGGCTGCGTAGACATGACTCGGTCTACCGAATCATTTTATTTCCTCAAGTCCGAGTGAAAACGCAGCTTTGTGTGCATGACTAGGGTACAGAAACTATTGGGAGCATTACCATGATTGCTTGACGCACTGGTGAGTTGGCTTACAAGGGTTGACCCGCGCCATAAATATATCTTCCGTAAATAGGCTAGAACATAGTCACGGGCTGATACTGTCAGGTTCTATGGCGCATTTCTTCCATCAAGCTAGACCCTACCTAGAAGATAGTTTATTTATGCAATTTTGATCACGGGTGCCTCCAATTCTCCATTCCAGCTCAACAAAATGGCTTTCGAGTCTCGAGCGCATAAATGGTTCTTCACATGTGAAGCGGGTCCCACATGTTCCAACGGACCAACCACAATCGTCATAAATGTTGCCAGCGTCAGCGACGATCACCGGCTTGACGATGAACCGAAGACTCACGTCGATCACCCCGCGTGGTCTGGTCTTTCTCCCGAGCTTCGACTCCCTCAAGTAGGTCGTACGACATCGGTGGGCGAGATTCCGACCGAAATGCCGACTATGTAGACTTTATGCGATACCTTATACCGTCCTATATCTGGGGTAAGCCTATCGCTATTCACGCATAATTAGACTCTTGAAGAAACATAACTCTATAAAGCATGGCGAAACCTCGGCTATGATCTAGTTCGATGCTCACGCCACTGTTTTTGGACTGAGAGATTCCGCTGTGATGACAGAGGTGGTGTAAACTGCACCAGGTTTGCTTATTCAACTGGCTTTATAGCCAATCACTTAATCTTAGATTATCATAAAATGATGGTAGAGAGTAGGTGGTGGTACACGGTAGGGCTGCCCCGCGCCCCATTGCTGATATTCCTCGGTCCGCTCTGCCGTTATAGATGGGTGTCTGTCTCATGCAAGCACTTCACGGAGAACACTTCGGATCGCAAAAGGTCATCATCAACTAGTTACTTGGATGGCCATGGAAGCAAATCGTTTCAACCGTTTTAATGCATACCGTGTATATAAATCTGCTGGGCACCATCCCACTAAAAATCAAATATCAAAGTACCATAACAGCTGAGGATTGGAGATTCATACTCATTTAACATTCCAGTCTATATCATGGCTTGGGACACCATGACTGCCATTCTCGATGGCAATATTATGCACACAGCACCACAAGCCTCACCAGAAAAATTGATGGTTTATTCTCTGATTGGGCTCGGCGGCTATCTAGCCCTGGCTTCGACTCTGAGATTCCAAAGACGTCGTGTTCTTCACCAAAAATATGCCTACAACACTCGCGAATCAATGGGCAAGATGACCGACCAAGACGCTTTCACAATCCAAAAGACAATCTTGCAAATGGAGTTCCCCTTTATCGTTCTCAAGTCCCTCCAGTTTGCTCTCTTCCGGGTATGTACTAGCCAAAGGCCCAAATACTTCCCAGCTACTAACTTGTCCAAACTTAGACATACGGCATTCCCACTATTTCAACTCTGTTACTGAAGACATCACAATTCTCCGATCCCGCAACATCATTCAAGCGATACGCAGATACAGGCGCCCTGATCGGCGAATTCATGGCCTTCGACCCAAACTCAGAACGAGCCCAAACAGCAATAGCCCGAACTAAATTCCTCCACCAAGGCTATCGAGCCAGCGGAAAGATCCTCGAAGACGACATGCTCTACACACTCAGCCTCTTCGCACTCGAGCCAATTCGATTCGTGAAAATGTACGAATGGCGCGAGATGACCGAGATGGAGCGCTGTGCTGTCGGGACATACTGGAAGAGTCTCGGCGATGCGCTGGGTATCAGTTACGAGACGCTTCCATCTGGTAAGACCGGATTCCGGGATGGAATCCACTGGTTGGAAGAGGTTAGAGATTGGAGTCTGGGGTATGAAGTGAAGCATATGAAGCCCCATCCCCGGAACAAGGAGATTGCGGATCGAACTATCGACGTACTGGTATACAATCTGCCAAGGTTCATGAAACCGTTGGGTCTTTACTTTGTGTCTTTCTTGATGGATGAGAGGCTCCGAAGCGCAATGATGTAAGTCACATCCAACCGACCGAGAGAGTATCTACTAACAAGAAATGTCCTGCCAGGATCGACCCCCCGCCTGCATTTTTCAGCGCCATTTTCTCTGCGGCTTTCCAACTGCGCAAGCTTTACTTACGCTACTTGGCTCTTCCCCGCCCGAACTTCATGCGACTGGACGTATTCACGGAGAATCCCAACAAGTACGGACGAAATTATGTCCTGATCTACGAAGGTGCGCCTTTCTATGTGCAGCCCACTATCTGGAATCGATGGGGACCGGTGGCTTGGTTTAAATGGGCACTGGGGCAGCCGCTCCCTGGTGATGATGGCGACAAGTACTATCCCCAAGGATACTACACTCCTGATCTTGGACCGAAGTATTTCGAGGGCAAGGGCCGGAAGGAACTCGAGGTTATCAAGGAAGGCATCAAGCAGCAGCGTATGGGCCAGTGTCCGTTTCCATGATTGAATAGTTGTGTTCACAAGGTAAAGATGACGATGGAATGCTAGTATGATTCAATGACTTAGTGACATTTTGAGTTTCTAAATTTCTCCCTACTCAAGTAGTATAAACAGAGCAACAGAAGAAGTCCCTGAAAGATAGTTCGTCAAAAACCACGAAAGTCAACCAGATGCCATTGGGTTGATATTGATAGCATCGCAGGGTGTGTAGTAAAGCATCATAAGTGTTTGGAATACATGAACAGACAAGGCTGGCAGATCTGGGTATATATCAGAGATTGTAAAAGAGCAGTGTAGCTCTGCGCGTCGAGATTGTTGTGAAAAACAGATATCTAGCACCCCATTCCATGAAACGATAGTTGTGAGCGCCTAAGAAAGAGAACCACCAAAGGAGGAGATATCTGATACAGACGGAGAGATAGGGTAACAAGTGAAAATTCGAACAAATACACGAGAACAAGGCTGTTGTATCAGGCTGAAAAAACCGGGTCAGGTAAAAAAGAGAGATAGCAAGGGGTATTTTGCAAAGAGATACAAAAGAATGGAACATATTAGAACACTAGTCAGTCCCACCGGGGGACGAGGGTAAGGGGAGTGCTGCTGGGTCGAAGAATGAGTCGTCAAATGTTGAGGTATTGGGGTGGAAAATGGACGCATATTCGGAGGAAGGACTGAGTAAACCTCGCCCGCTCTCGCCAACATCACCTAGCTCTTCGGGAGACAAGACTCGCCCACCCAGCTCGACATCCTGGACACGGACATTATATTCAAGAGCTTTTCGGCCTTCTTTGATCAGCTCTTCTGTCCAGTCGAGGCACCGTTTCAAGCTCTGGTTCAGTTTCTGGCTGTCAACCAAGAGCTCCTGGTGCCGGGCGAGATCAAGCATGAACTTCTTCTCGTCATGAGCGCGGTGCTTAGCATCGTGCTCTGCGAGGGAATCAGGGCTTAGGACACCTTCGTCGTCAACTGAGTCCTCATCACTGGAATCGTATAATTCATCTTGGGATCGATTTGACGAAAACTCGCTATTCTCTTCATCTAGTTCACTAGTCGTAGATAGTGCGGCACCGGAGAACGAACGTGTCGAAGGGGCCATAGAGAGACGCCCGGAGCGGCTGAGTCGGCGATATCTCCGTAATTCTGCGTTTTGTTTTCGCATCTCTCGTTCCAATGTCCGATTGATGGCCAAAAGCGAAGAATTGCTAATTTCCAAATCCATAATTTTCCGTTCTGTCCGCGCATTCAGTGCCATATCGCTAGGACCGTCAGACTTTCCGGGGCTCAGGGGCATGGTGATTTGGGGCCCGGTCGAAACGGAAGAGCCATTGCTGAAGACTCGTGGACGTAGTGTTGGGATTTGATCGGACATGACCGGTGTGATTCCATCGGCACCCAACGTATTAGAAATAATGACTGGGCTCGCTCGAAGACCTTCGGGAGGAGTGAGAATCTGACTGTTCGAGTCCACGCTCGATGATTTTCTATGTTGTCGGAGTGAAGGAGGTTGCGGTCTTTCGGAGACGACGCTCGGGGACGAGCTATAACGTTGCATTATGCTCTCCACCAGTGCCATATCAGGGTTTGTACCATGTAGAGAAGTTGTATCGTCGGAAGGAGTAGAGGTGGCATCGGAAATTCGAGGGGATTTGAGACGAGGAGAAGGAGAAGCAGCGGGTCTGGATGGTGCAGCAGGGCGAGGGAGACCGCCAGAGCGGCGCTTGACACTGGAGATTGTCGAGTGAAAGTCTTCTGTTGAAGCTTGCCGTTCTTGGTCCCCGTTGGCGTAGACGAAGCTCGAAGCCGGGGACATCTTGGCCTGCTTCTGGCGAGGCGGTGCTTCTACCTCCGAGGAGGTGGTTGAGCGGGCATCGGAGGCGTGGAAGAACATTGGGGAGTTGGATGCGAGATCGGTAAAGGAATTAGGGCGTGACACTTGCTGGCCTTCTGCCGTCAATGTCTTTGCTCTCAGACTCCTTGGCTGCTCGAGCTTCACCCCGCGAGCTGGACTCCGCTCCGTCCTCCGCACGCCATTGACACCCAGGCCGACCGTGGCTTGAGAGTAGGGAGCCGGTGGAGAGTGGGCAGAGGTGGTATTCGTCGGGGAGGGGAAAGCAGCATCGCGGCGGGTGGTGCGTGAACCCGATCGAGGGGTGACGTTTGCGCTCAGAAAGGACGGAGGGACCGAGGAGATATCGTCCTTGGTGGGGGTGGAATAGGGGTGGTCGGGATGTGCGAGACGACGAGCTACAGGATGACCGGGGCTCGGACTGGCTAGTTTCGGGGTCAGAGGAGACTTGCTGGTGCGGTGAAAGGCTGCCGAGAGGGTGGGCGTGAATGGTTTGGCGAGATGGCCATTGTTTTGTTTATCGGAGGTCATAGTTGCGGAGCGGGAATCCAAGCTGGCATCGCGATACAGCGCAGGCTGCAGGGCATGATGGCACAGGTGGCCACACTCAACAGCTGACTCTCAATCTATTCAGATAGAGAAGAACGCATGCGTGGCCTGATGAACGGGGTAAAGAAAGTGAAGGTGGGAGGATGGCGAGGGGACTCGAAAACATTCAGGCTCGATTAGGTTTAGGGCGATGTTCACCGCAAGAGGCATTCCCGGGGTTATGTTTTTGCGAAGTATATTGATTCCAAGGGGGGGGGGTTTAGCAGCTATTGAAGGGATGCAGCTGGATTATTGGGAGTCTACTATGATTGATCATGTGTTTGTGATTATGACCCTAATTGTTCTATGAGAATATGACGCGAGGCTGATGCAGGACCCTGGCATGGAGCGAAGCCATGGGACAAGGGGGGTTGTTCCCGATGCTCCACTCGATAAGAATCCAATTGGTTGGCCGATCACAGCTGAAAAGCACGGGACGTGCGGGAGAGACTTGGTCAATGTATTTCTATTGTTCCTTCGATCATTTATATACAGGATTGACCGAAGGGATGGAGGGATGCGTTTAGAGCTAGTGGCGTGCGATGGGGTTCATGAGAGTCCGCCTAGCTGGCACTGCAAGCTCTCTCTCCCTCTAGAGACCAAGTGGAGTTTCAATTAAAGAAAAGTCGTTTCTGCCGTGGGTCAAAGTCTGCAGATGACTGCTGAGCTGGTGTTTTGCGCTTCTTGTTGGAAGGTATCGAGGAGACTTCGTGGAAAGTATCTTGGGCGACTTCACGAATGGTTTGCTTGGAAAGACAAAAATCCACATGATCGTTGAAGACTCGATCATCGGCGACTTGCGGTCGTCCACAGATGGGACACTCCCACTGCTCAGCTTGGAGGTCAACCGATTCCACTGGAAAATTCTCGTTGGTCTCGGTACTGCCAGTACCTGGAGGGTCTGGAGTCATAGAAAGGCCAGCTGCCTCTTGACTTAATTGCTCCAAGTCATTCATCTCATCTTGCTTTTCTTGGCGAGCAGCGTTCTCGAAGGCCTCTTCAGCTCCAATATCGTGCTCTGCATTAGCGTCGGACAATTGTGCACTTGGGTCGGGAGTCTGAACTGGGATAGACTTTGTCTGCACCGGCACCCCAAAGAAGTTGATCCCGACTTTCTTAGTGCTGACCAAGTTTGATACTCGCAACCCCAAGAGTCGCAGCTTCATGCCCGGGATTTCCTTCTCCAATTTGGCCAGCATGGGCAAGGCGAAGGCATAAAGGTCATTTGCTCGGTACACAGCCCGTGGCGGCGCCGTTTGTCGAGTGAGAACTTCAAATGTGTGAAGTTTCACTTTCAAGCAAAGTGTGCGACCTTTGAATTGCGTTCGAGCTAGATCTTGAGCTAGCTCGTCTGCTGCCCAGCGCAGCTTCTTTCGGAGCTCTTCCTTGTCGTCGATGGCATGAAATGTAGTCTCCGTACTTACACTCTTTCGTTCGTGGGTCTCAACGGGCTCAATCTTCGTCCGTCCGAGACCGAGGTAGCACTGAGCTAGAAATTGGAATGCTTTTTCGCCAAATAGTTTGGTCAATAAAGCACGCTGTGGATAGATGTCTCCACACGTTTTGATGCCAATCGAATCCAGCTCTCGTTCGAATACTCGACCGACTCCATTAACCTTGCGAACTGGTAGCTCTCGCATAAACTCCATGATCGCAGCCCGTTCATTGGGCACTCGGAATTGTCCGTTCGGCTTGTTTTTGTTGGAGCATATCTTTGCTATTTTGGCGTTGGCGGCAATTCCAGCAGACACTGAAACCTTTGTATTCTCCAGAATCTCCGCGCGCATACGTTGTACGGCTTCCTCCGGGTCGAGTTCATTTTCTGAACAAAACGCGGTAATATTTAGATAGGCCTCGTCAATGCTGGCACTCTCAAACAAAGGGTCGTACTGTGCCATAATTTCGCGAATCTCCTTCGCCTTGGCCGTGTATTTTTCGTAGTTTTGTGGGAGGAGGACCAGCTCCGGACAAAGCTTCTTCGCCACGAAGGAGGCCATGCCACTGCGTACTCCAAATTTTCTCGCCTCGTAGTTGCAGGTAGTGAGCACACCTTTTCCAACAGCCATGGGAACCGTCTTTAGCTCTGGACGGTCGAGTTCCTCGACGGCCGCGAAGAAAGCATCGCAATCCACATGGATGATATATTGGGATAGATCACGAGTCAATTCAAGCTCGGCAAGATACTCATCTGCTTTGCGGAGGTCATGACTCAAGTCCAGCTTTTCCAACCGAGCTTTTTCTTTGAGGATACGCTGAATCTTGACTGTAAGATTGCGGTCGCGTTCTTGTTCATGATCAAAGAATTTCGATCCTTTGGAGGCATTGTAGATAATTTCTGATACCTGAAACCCTACATAAGCTTTGATATTCTACCACCTTTGGCCGTCGTTTCGCAAAACGCACCTTTTGCTGATCAACTGCGTCCTGGCCCGCTTTGGTTAAAGAGGGTCCCAGCAACTGATACTTTAGCGTTTCAAAGTCTTCTTCGCCCTTCGGCGGCTCTGACTTCTCATCTGCGGCCCCATCCTGAGAGACCATTATCCCAGATGTGCCATCAGATAGCACAGTGAGAAAATCGAATTAATCAAGTCAGTTGAGTTTGACCAGAGTGATTCGACGCAGGCAGCACCCGCCAAAAGAGAGTGACGCCTAGTCACGTGCCCACGCGTTACCGCTTCACGTGTGCGGGCGGCCTCCGCTTGTCCCTCAGCAACGATTCTCCATGTGGATCTTGGACTCGGCTGGGGATTTTCTGAGCGGTGAGTTATCGTGGAGTTTGGCAGAGGTGGAAGCTGAGGGATACAGACGTTGCTGACCTTGACTCGCAGGGAAGCGGTTATGGCTGCGTCCCGGGAAGCAGTATCTCTTTGGGCGCATCCTGGTGGATGACGGTATGTACAACGTTATCTCTGAAAGCTGAAGAGAGGTGATCATCAACTAATCACGCGATACCTTCTAGTTCGTCATGCCATTCCGAATAAGTCGATCTCTCGAAAACATATGCTTATCGAAGTGTCCAGTGTTGAACCCCGCGATGGAGTATGGCTGCTACAATGACAATGCCCGGGCGAGATGCTGACTGGGATAATAGACCCGGACACACTCGAGGACGAAGATCTCAATAACAGATCTCGATTCCAGTCGAGGTACTGTGGTGAATGGCGAAAAGATCAAAGGCAAGCATGCACTTGCAGGAGATGAACACAGCATCTTGCTTGGGCACTATCCACATGCCTTGCGGTACGTAACTTGGCTTTCCCTGCGCTGCGCTTGTGGCTGACAATCTTTTCCAGAATCAAATGGCAGCCAGTCGTCCTCAGCTTCTCGTTTTCATCCAAGGAGATGAGGGTGGAAGATCCTTTGGCCAAAGTCCGTGCTCGTCTCGAGAGCCTCGACATTAAAACCATCATCCCTTACCTAGTCGGCCAAACAACACACGTCGTGCAGAGCAAACGAAATACGGCCAAGGGACTCCAGGCCCTGATCAACGGCAAATACATTGTCCAGAACTCCTATATTGACGCGCTCGTCTATGCGACTACTCCCAGTGACCTGGAGAATGACGCATCCGCGTCTCCGCTGGAAATTGATTTCGACTCTGCCTGGCCAGACCCAACGGAACACCTCCCACCCGCGGGTAACGAGCCGATCAGTCGTCCTGCGGCGGCGTTTGCACCCAATCCGTCGCGTCTGAATGTCTTTGAAGGGTATACGTTTGTGTTCGGAGACCCTTCTCAATTCGAGAATTTGCAAGCGGCGATCAACAATGGGCAGGGCAAGGCTTTGATCTACCAAATTAAAGATGGTGAAACTACAGCGGAAGAAATAGTACAATTCATGAGGTCGGCTGCTGGTCACAAAGGCGTTGGTGCGGAGAGAGAGGAAGCGGGCGGCGTCGTGCTTGTCCGGTTCCGTTCCAAAGGAGAATTCGAGCCCTGGTCTATCGACCTGGGTAATGAAGTTGCCTTGATGACAGACCAGCGAGTCATCGAGCAACGTGAGTTCTTGGATGCCATTTTGGGCAATGACGCCTCCCCGCTTTGTCGCCCACTTCCTCGCGAGGAAGGAGAGACCCAGACTTCTACTCCAGCAGTGCCTGAGCCGTCAAGAAAGCCCTCTACTGATCAGCCCGTCTCAGTATCTCCGCCTTCTGAAGAAGCTGCCCCAGCCACAACCCAAAGACCTGCTCCACGGGCACGCAAGTACGTGAGCAAGATGAAGGCTTTCGACGACGGCTTTGATATGGAATCCGTCCCTGTTTATACTCCCGATGATGATGGGCAAGATATACCCGCTACTCAAGCCATGGACCTGGAGCCCATACAGCCCGATGAACCCAGTCAGGCCGTCAGCACGGTAGAAGATCAGGAGGAGAATGATGCTGTTGCAGATTTACTGCCTGGTGCACGAGCTATGAAGCGCCGCCGCGCAGAAATGGGCGAGGATCGGCAAGGAAGCATCGACGCGCGCGTGAAATCGGAAGCCACTCCAAAGCCGAAACGCGCAAAACTGGATGTCAGAGAAGCTGCACGAAAACACCGCCAAGAGGAAGAGGAGGAGCAACAGCGACAGGCTGAGGAAGATCGTCACCTGTCTCAGGATGTGGATGTTGAAAAATTGCGGAATCTTGCCATCGTGGAAGAGATGGACATCCCTGTGCGAGAGCCCGTTGTACGAGAGCACGAGAACTCCGATCGATGGGACGATCGATGGAATGGCCGCAAGAATTTCAAGCGATTCCGACGAAAGGGCGAACCACTACATGCTCGCCAACGCATTCAGAGCGTGATCGTTCCGCTGGAAGAGGTCACTCGCAAGGACTTTGGCATCGGAGAACACTACTGGGTTAGCACCAACAAGACTCCCGAGGTGAGCCAGAGCACCGACCACGAAGACCGAGAACTCCGGCAACCCTCAACGCGCGAGGATCGTGCCGCATCTCGATCTGAAGTGTCGATTCAGCCCTCGGCGACTCCAGATCCGGCCCCTGAATCACAATCTGCACCATCTCGTAGTCGCAGTCAGAAGCGGCCACGAGAGACTCGGGGCTCAGACAGTGATGAAGAGCCTCGATTCAGATTCAGACGCAAACGGTAGCATGTAGGATTGGAAGCTTTCTTAAACTGCCCAACACCACCAAGTGGCTTTTGTATTATGTTGCATCGATACCCTCGTCAATATCATTATCCACCAGTGTTAAACGCCCTTGTGGAATTCCTCTGTCGAATATAGTCGTAATCTAAACTTCTTGAATCTAGAGACCAGGGAATCATCCAGCCAGATATGACTCTTTCTTGGACCATCGTTCGTCGTGACCAAAGTGTCGTTCCTGGCCCATTCTTTGCTGGCGTTCTATGGACCGTGAACTCCATTTATAGCGGGCCTATCGAGATGAATATCGAGGAGTTAAGGGAAGAAGATATCTCCTTTTATTGTACCATGGCCAATTTTAGCTGTAGTGTCTTGACTTGGTCACTCTTATGCTACACCTTGCTCGTAAATCTCTAGTGAGACCCCAAGTCGCTCTATACGGTCCTCGTTACCTCTAGGCATGTTAGCATGAACCTCTTGGTATTATATCTTTAATCTCTCTGGCTGATGACTTATCATCAGCCCCATGGAGCCCCATGGGTCCCTCCGTATCCTAATAGTCCTCAGCAGTAAGTCGGATTGCGGATGCTCGTCCCCCTCCCGTTCGTAGACAGATCCCTATATATACCCGGTAAACCATTATTTATACCATTCTGTGTTTCAGCGCACACTCCAGAGGATTTATCTCAGTATTTGATGGGTTTCAGTCTTTTTAGGAAGGGCCCTGAGATGGCAAACAATCGATATGCCTTCCTCATATTTTTCTTCTCTCTTCCTCTTCGCCTCTCGACACGACAACACCCCAGACACGTCTGGCAAATCCACTTTCCCTCCTAGTCCTTTCTCCAATCCTCTACAAATATCACATTCGAGTTGACTCACGATGAAGAAATCCCGCTCCCCTCCGTTCCTTGCCAAGTGTGATGCGTACGATATGTACAAGCGAGCCGTCCCCGTGGGCGAGCTGAGACTGCCCCCATATGACACCGTGAGTACATCTCGAAATGCCCAAAACAACCGACCTGACTACTCAAACTGATTACTGAGTGATCTTATTTACGAGACAACAGGACGCAGAAACCGGCAATGTGATCGTCGTCCGCGGGGAGGTCTACTGCCGCATGCCGAACTGCCCCCGAGCCAAGGTGAGTCCTATCATGATCTGTCCATCAAAATCTCTTGGTGAAAACCCATAATAAGCGCATTTCCATTTCTCTAGATTGCATTCTGCAGCACCACAAATCTGCGAAACCATCTTCGTGGCCAGCATGATGTCGTCTTGCAGCATGTCTTTGATGGCCGCGCAACACGACTTGATCGGGAGAACTCTATCTCGTGGTACAACTCCCTTTTTGAGGATGCCGAGGAGAACGCAAATGGCGAGATTAAGCATGAGGAGGATAACGAGCTCAAGTTTCAGGTAGATGGTCACAACGAGGTCAAGGTCTAGAGCATCTACGACCGTCATATCATGGCGTATTGTGTGGTCTCTCTATGTAGTTCACGCATCTTGTTCTCTTCTCAAATATCCGTTCACAAGGACATACTTCCTGTCTTCCCAATTGTCATTTGATTCTTGTGTGCCATAGCTTGAAGACAATTTAGCTTGAGCTCATACAGAATTGCAAGGCCACCATCCACTTAAGCGTGTACCACTGGTGCCAATTTTACATTTAGGGCGGGCTTTTCCCACACGACATATGCCTTTTGGTTTATCCAGTTCATGGAATCCGGGGAGATTTCCATATCGAAATTCCAGATCATACGAGCCAGAATCAGTCGCATTTCCGCATATGCCAGGCTATTGAAGATTAGTGAAAGATAACCACGTAACGGATACTGGGATCAAAATGCGTGTAGTCAACCTACTTTCGACCTAAGCAGTTGCGAGGTCCCACACTGAATGGTTGCACTGCATTCCTCTTATCGGACTCGAACTCGGGTTCTCCCATAAATCTTTCGGGGATGAATTCCCTAGACTTATGGAAGTTGGCGTCGGACCGACTAGCGGCTAGAATAGGTACTCCAATGGATGTCTGCAGTATTGTACGTTAGAAATCCTCTCCGGAACAAAGGGACTGGGAAGGGTTTATTCACTCCTCCAGGGACCCATCGACCGCAAACAAAATCGCCTTTGCCCTCAACCATGCGGGGGAAACCAAAGGGAACAGGTGGATACATCCGCAAACCCTCATTCAACACAGCTAGTGTGTACGGAAGTTGGTTAACCGCCGACCAAGTAATCTCCTCTTCCGTCACAAATGCTCCTTGAATCTCTGCTTTCAGCTTATCCATAACACCAGGTACCGTAAGGATATAGTATGTCACACCAGACAGTAATGTAGCGGTGGTCTCCGAGCCGGCAATGATCAGCACGTAGGAATTAGAAACCAGCTCGCCCTCAGTCATGCCCTTCTCGACAGGCTGCTTGAGAACATTGCTCAAGAAATCGGGTCGGCCGTTGTCACCAGAATTAATACGGGCTCGAACCTTTTCGTGAGTCATTTTATTCTGTGCCTTCTTTTCCACTTGCACTTTCTTCGGAACGATCCATTTCATCAGGTATTGGCCGAAGGGCACACGGCGCATGATATTAGCCCATGCTGCAGTTCGGAAGTGGCTAAAGATGACGGATACCCAGAAGTGATACTTGGAGTTCTCGAGACAGCCGAAGGATTCACCAAAGGCAAGATCGCCAATGATATCGAATGTCGTGTAGTTGTACCAGTTTGTCATATCAACTACCGTACTTCCAGGCTTGGAGAGTTCGTGCAAGCGCTGGATCAACATGTCGATGTAGCCCTTAACTATAACTTCCTGCTTCTGAAGACTAGACTCGGAGAAGCCGTGCGAGAGGGATCGACGGTATCTCGCATGTGTCTGATCATCTGTTCTCAAAATACTAGGGATATGGTTTGGTCCTACCGACACATGGCGCTGGTCTTTGGGCTTTTGGGCTTTACCTGGGCGAATGGCGTAGATGTCTTTCCATGCATCCGGATTGATAAAGGTCACTTCGCCTGGAGCGATGCGAACAACCTCGCCATATTTCTCATGCAATTTTTCCGTATACATTGGTAATTCTCCACCCAAGATGGCGCGATATAGCGGAAATGGTGTTGCTGCATTGAGCCTCGGGCCGGGATATGAGGCAAGCGGGTGGAAGTAGAGATTATAGATCATATAGACAGCGAATGCGCATAGGGGCTGTTCGGCGCTCAGCATACACTAGGAAAGGAGTGGCATCGGGTGCAACTGACAGCTAAGATAAAGCCCCCAGCTAGAATAATAGCTGAGCTGCCATTTCCAACGGCTGATGGGGGCATCGACTGGAGGGATGCTAAAGTTGAGAACAGAGGCATTATTGATGGAAATAGGGGAAATTTCAACCGTGGTCCAAGTAGTAAGGTAGGAGCTTCTTAATCAAGTTAGTCGATTTGCATGAATGTGTGTAATTCATGTCATTCTAATCTGGATTGCGGCTTGGGAGCAACAGCCTTGATAAAGTTTAGGATTACCTCGGAAATATCCACTCGGTAATTTATTTGGATGACGATCGTCGTGAGTTTTAAGTTGGATCTACCCCACCATAAGCAGCCTAATTCACCGAGAGCATAAGTTCTAAATTCCGAATGGTCGCCAAGTAAGTATAGTGTCAATCTGGGTCTATGAACGTCGCGTAGTATGATGGCTACGGAATTTCGGTGCGAGATTGGCCAACTGGGTTGTTTCCGTTGGTGGCAATTCTCGCCCGCGGCTAGCAAGATCCATCGTCTACCACGAGAGAAAGGAAACCTCATGATTTAGAAAATTCAAAGGAGATTGGTCTCTGCGCCATCTTGAGAAAAGACTGAATAACAAGAATCATCACAAAAATAATCATGCTATGCCTGGTTTTGATATTACGTTCAGTACTGCTCAAGGGCAGAAACCTATCTAGCCGTAGCACACCGAGAAACAGAATCATTCAAATACAGTTGTCTGCCCAGCATATTAGACGCAGACACTGTTCAATCGCATTGTGACCTGCCGTCATATTAGTTTAAATAAGAGACACACATGGTGCTTTCCGCTGGCACTTACCTTCTCGATATACCTCACACCAACCTCGATGCCATCCTCATCTTGGAATTCGGTCTCGTCACCAAAGTCCTCATTATCCAGATCCAGGCAAGTCAAGCAGGTGACCACAACTTCAGAGTACCGCGTACCCATCCGTTGCTGTAGCTCGCCTCGTGCCAATGACAAGAGCTGGTCTTTGAAGTAGTACGAGTCTCCAACTTCCTCCAAGAATGAAGCTCGGGAGGCCGCGGGATGGGCTCCATTTCTGGGAAGCGGCATATTCGGATCCTCGTAGGTCACAAGAGGTTCCCACAAACCAATCTCCAGCAGGCACACACCCAGACTGTAGATGTCGTGGTGCATGATATAATCTTCCGAGACAGATGACCCAATTCGGTCCGGATGTTGATAAAGACATCGCTCCCAGGCAAGCTCGCCTTTGCGCAGGGTTTTGCCCGTTGCCATTCTGAAACTATCGAATCCGATGAGAAAGGCGGACTCGGACGAGGACTTGGTATTGGTCAACAACAATATAGTCTCCGGTCTTATGTTCTTGTGGACGAATCCGAATGAATGCACACAACTGACAGCTCTGGCGAGTTCAGTCGCCAATCTAAACCGATCTGTGAGAGATTCCGTTGGCTTCAATTCCATAAGACGACTGCGAAGAGTTCGAGGCTGGACGAATCCATCAGGGACTCGGAATAAGAGTGTGAATGTGTCGCCATAGGCACGATTCAGAGGTTGATCTCGGTGCTTCATATAACCTTTGCAACTCAGCAATCCAAATTCAAGAGGATTCGACCTGATGAGTCGCCGTGCGAGATCCCGACAATTCTTGTCTAGATCATTTGCATTGAGTCCAGGAAGAGGCTGAACTTTCTCCATGATGAGCATCTGGCCCTTATCTTCACGCGTGCCTAGCTGGGCCGAAGAAAGAGGGATATCCAGTGCACCAAGGGTCTGGAGGAATGCTTCTGGAAGAAGAACTTTCTCTCTGGGCACCTCTCCGTTTGACGTGATTTTTACCGCTGACCTGAGCGATTCAGCCGAGGAGACAGCAGCTCGACAATATTCGACTGGGGATTGTTTCCATTCAGATAGCTGATTTTCGACCAGAGGTCCTACCCGACTCATCGCCAGGTACCAAGATGGATCAAATATTGTCTGCCATCGCTCGAGGTCATCGACCGATTTGTCGATACTTTGTCGAGACATCATATACTTGACGCGACTAAATTTCCCCTCTATCCCGTTGCGCTCCCTCTTCATAGTGTATTCGATGTTGATCGCAGCAGCTTTCAGCCTGCTATTAAGCATGTCGATAGTCTCGTAGATAACCTTCTGGTGGTCCTCGTGCAACTCGTGGGCGATTGTTTTGACGGTTGCAAGTTGCAAGTTTGCGCGCATCCAGTAATTCTTTACTCGAAGAATCTGCCCGGCGATATCCTCCCTTGCATGCTTGAATGCGGAGCAGAGGTCCCATAACTGCTTCCCTGTCCTGTGTTCGCCTTGTAGTCAGTTTCAGGGTGTGATGTATAACAGTCTAGTCGATATTGAGGTGCAGCTTACTTCAAACAAAGATCCACTAGCGAGATGATAGAGATCGGGTCAACCATTTTTCAACGAATATTGAACCAGAATTACCCCTCAAAGTGGGGGAACTCGGTCTTTTCAAGGCAATCGAGCTAAGACTTCCAGGCAAAGTGGGCCGATGCGCTAAGTGCGGCTGAGCGCGGGGGCCAAAACAAGTAATTCCAGTATGCCTTGCTAGAAGTGGCAGTGCAGCGATCTAGTTATTGCCTATCACACAGGGTCTGTAAAAGTGAGGCGCATTGCTTCAGTGATACTTTCCATTGAGTATCATCGTTTGGATTCCTATCAATGGCCGAGGCTTGGTGTGCGACAATATAGACTAGCTGAGGGAATCTTCTTCCTGGAATTCTGCCTGATGGGATTTAAAAAAAATTGAACAAGTCCAAGTATAACATCGGTTCCTGCCTTGCCGCCTACAATGTAAGGACCACACTACTAAAGTGTTATCGGTCACTCTGCATTGCCCATTGTCGCAGCCATAAGCCCAGAAAGCCTGTCGTAGATAAGTATGTATCGAGAACTAATAATCTACTTTGTACACTCTAAATGACGATTTCATATGGAGGTAGAGTACGCCGCACATGGCAGTTGACTTTCAAGTAGTTGCTTACCCATAGCAGGATGCGCTATGGATGCGCCAAAAGGGTTCTTTTCCACTAGTCGCACCCTACTCTATACCGCCGGTAACAAGTTGGATTCTTTGCCAGTGAGAAGAGAGGCCAGGTCTCTTCAGGTCCTGACAAAAGTACCTTTTTCTCGCCTTTCCCGTTAACGGTATTACTGTCAATGGTGGACTTGTCACACTGGTGAAGTAAATTCCACCATGGCTGGTCTATCGAGTGGAACGATAATAGCTGACAACAATAACGACAAGACGTTGCAAATTGTTCAGATGCAGTATACAATAAGAGGGACGGAGTTTATAGCATTGATGCGCATCGGTCAGTTCGTTCTGACTAGATGACACCTTAGCCTTCTATAACGTTCCAGATACGATTGTTCAAAAATGACAACGGAACAGGGGGTTTCCAATGAACTAGGGTTGTTTAGTGTATCCCGCCTGTGCTTTCCATTGTAGCCGCTTAGAGAGCTCATCTCAATAGAACTGACGAATTTACCGCCGTTAGTCAAAATCAATATGCATGCCCCCGAGCAAAGCCCTACAATTTTGATATAATGGAGCTATGTACAAGACCGCAGAAGCTCTTTCATTTCCCCGGCTGAAGGTCAATCTCCCCGTTTTTGTCATTGCCCCCATCCCGGACGATGATGCCGAGAATCCACACATTAACACCAAAAAAGAAAAGCGAGGACAAAAAGAGGCCGGGAACAAAGGCAGACAGACCAAGGAATTCCAGATTGTACCCTTGAGAAAGCCAGAGTGCCTGCATAACGCAATTAGCAAGGACTGCGGAGTAAAGAATATAGCAAAACATACCTGGCCCAGGATCCAGAAAACAGCGGCCGTAATGCCCAAAGTGGGCTTCCGCATCAGCGAAGATGACGGCAGGTAGAATGGAAGGAGAATCAAATACCAGATAAAATACTGTTGTCCAAATTAACTCCGATCAAATAACAAAATATCGCGGGACTTACCTGGCTAGTGCAGACTTTGTTAAACGTAACAAAAGCAAAGGTCTGCGCAAGCATAGCCGTTGCCAGACTCCTCTTCGCCAAAACCAACGGAATAGCAGCGACTGCAAGCAAAAGTTGAGGAAGGAAGGCAAGCGTCTCAAAGCGATAGCTAGCTTCACCTGCAGACGCAAGATAGAGCAGAGTGCTGTAAGGCGAGAAATTGTGCCGGTGATCAATGCGTGTGAGATGGTGGAAGAACGTGTGATGCAAGAATGGTATGCCGTACTGAAGATACATGACAGCGTTCAAGACAATAAAAGTGACGAGTGCAGAGAGGGTGAGAATCACACGCGAAGGGGTGATGAACCCGAGCACCCGAGAAAGCAGGCTAGAGCTTTTAGCCGGGGCAGCACCATCACGCTGGGCATCCCACCACCAAAGAATCGAAACTCCATAGATGAAGGGATAAATCTTAAAGTGAACCGCCAGTCCGAGAATTGCACCCGCTAGAACAGCCCTCCGAGTCAAAGTGGCCCAGAGTAACGCCGCAACAAGGACCCCCAGCAGACCCTCCGAACTACCGCGGGTACTGATATTCGCGACCATCGGATTCCACAACCAGACGGCAGCAACATAACGCAACGCCCGCTCAGTAGGGAAATGGTAGCACCGGCGCAAAAGCTGAACGACGAGCCATCCCGCCACGACATCAGCCAATGCAAATAGGATTTTACCAAATGCAAAAGTCACGGAAGCCAGAGGTCCGCTTCCCTCCCACGCAGTCGGAAGAAGCATCCACGCCAGAAGCGGCGTGTATCGATAAGTGTCGCGCGCATAAGGCGGTTGGCCCTTAGCAACATAGCGCGAAGCATCCGTGAACACCATATAGTCGATATCGGTGTATTTCACCGCAGAGTTGGCATCTTGCCAGCCACCGTAGACCAGCAGAATCAGGCGTAGCGCGGTAGCAGCCAGCAACACACGCGGGGCGGAATCAAAAAGCGCCATCTTGACGACAGAACCGCTAGATTCCAGGGATCAAAAATAATTCAGGGTCGCGGAGGGGAGTCCGGAAGCTCCCTATTGGGTGTTGGTCCCTTGGGCGATCAAAGGACCTCCTTTTTCACCAACGACGCTCCTCGACGCTGGAAAATGGGGATCACCCGCTAAGCCAATTTATGAAATGAAGTTTGTTGGACCTAATTGGCTCAATTTGCCATTCTGGTCGTCGCTTTTCCTGAGATGTTTACAGATTTCGATCCGAGCCAGACGCCACGAAAGATCGGCTGAGTCAGCACCCCCAGCTCAATTACCGTATTGGGGATAGATCGTCTCTTTGAGACCCGCAAGTCAAGACGAAGGGCAGTGGCATTTCGAGTTTCTAAATGCTCGACTATATTTCAGCTGTAATAATGAAAAGAGCAAGAGAACTGAAATGCATTTTAAGGGTTCAAATGCACTGAATCGAAAAGGGCCGTCAGCAAACCAAACCCGTCAATTCCCAAGGGGAAGTTACAGCCCCTATGGATACCATACATTTCGAAAGACCAAGCTTTCCAGCAAGTCCTGTGCAGTAGATGATGCCATTTCAAACGTCCTCGTATTCAAAGGGATATATATACACTCAATAAGTTCAAACTAAACATCAGAAAAATCCAATTCCCGCATATCCTCATATCCGCTAAAAATAACCATACACAAACAAATCAGCAATACAAAATGCTTCGTCAGAAAAATCCCAAAGAAAGCATTGAATCACATCAAGCATCCTTCATTCAATAATAGACCGGCGGATTGACAAAATAAGAATCAGGAATGGGCTCAAAGTACGGATGCGACCCGAACTTGGGCCCCTTCTCATGATCAGGCGTCAGCAACGCCATGGCCTCGCTCCGGGTATCAACATCCGAAAGACCCGGCCACATGCTCTGGTCACTCCAGCTGAGATACTCCCAGAGGTACTGACCGGAGTCATCAACGAACGGCGTCGCCAACGGATCCGCAAGTCCATTCTCGCCAAGCGTCATGCCCATGCGGGCTGGTTCGGGCGGCGAGAACATCATGCCCGTGTCCCGACCAGCGGGGTAAATGTTAGACTGGACGGATCCAGCACTACTAGAAGTGGCGATGTCTTGTCCGCGCTTGCTAGCTTCGTAGATACGCGCGATGGCGTCCAGGGAGCGCTTCGCGGTATGCCCGTATGTTTGCATACGCGCGAGCGTGGCCAGCGCCATTTCGACCTGTGCTTGGCAAGATTCGATGGAGGCGCGGGGGTCGTCGGCGGTGGGGTCGTTGAGGAATAGGCCCACTAGCGGGACGAGAGATGCTTGGAAGGTCCACCAGACGGCGTTCCAGCCACAGAGCTGGTTGAGCTGTGCCGTGGCGGCGATGTTTTGGATTGATTGTTCAGCGACCTCGCGACACTTTTCGATCGCAGTTCGTTCCTCCGCTCTCAATGCAATGTATGGAACGCGTCGCATCGCGTAGCTCAGCAGCGTGGGACGGAAGAGGAGCATGCGCTGGTTGTAGTATCGCCATCTCATGACGGTTCGTACGGTTCTGATGGACTCCGAACAAGACTCGTGGTCCTTGAGGACGGTTGGGAGGTTTTCCCACCAGTCAAGCAGCTGTGCATCAGCATGAGCCATCTCCTGGTGTTTAACGAGGGGGCCGCTGCGAGCGACTCTTGGACTTGGGTTGCGATCTTAGCGAATCGGATATTTTCCACCAATGGGAGGATCTCGAGGACGTTGTCCTGTGACACATTTGTTAGAGTAAGCATTGAATCATGGGGTCGGTCAAAAAGTACCTTGTCACGACAATTGGGTGGCCGCACTGTGATATTAGGTCCAAAACGGCCCATGCTCGGCCGGCCCAGGGTCATGCCTCCCCAAGTATCCATACAGAAGAGGGACCACCAGACCCGGCGCTTGAGATCCATCGAGGCCAGCTTACTCGGGCTCGGTACTTGCCGGCTCTCAGCAAACTCTTTGTGTAGGCCCAGCCCGGCTGCCATCCGGAGCGCAGCGCCCATGAGGGAATATGCCAGATTAGGCTGACTGATGTAGTGGCAATACCAGCCACCCATCAAGCCTAGTGCTTGGATGGTCTCCAGGTGAGCACTTCCAAGCGAGCTTAGACTGAGATGGCTCTTGCAACGCAAGAAATATGTCTGATGCGTCTGGTCGTCTGGCTTCGAGGCAGCGACACTACCCAGCGCGAGGACGATGTTGAGCAGCGCGAGCCAGTGGTCATCCTTCCGATGACCCATCATGTAGGTCTCGCGGAACATTTGCTCATCGATCAAGGGAGCGAACGCCTGGAAGTGCAGGAAATATGCATCCAACATCTGCATTTCGGTCGGCGGGATAGAATGCTGTGACTGCAAGGATCCCTCGCCGTGATTCCACTCGGATGGCATATCGTACTCGAGACCAGCCTGGTCGCGCGGATGCGTGGGTGGAGTTCGGGAGAAGTATGTGGCACACCCTGGATCCAGCCAGACGATGACCTTCAGTACGGCTTGAATAGATGAAACGCCGAGGTAAGATGATGGCTGTCGGGCGGAAAGAGACAACGCATTGACATCGTCTGAGACACCCTCGACCAAGTCGGTTGAACTGGGACGACTATCATCGAGTTCCTCGGGCATACTTTGGAGGGACTCGAGATTGTCATCTTCATTTGACTGAGGGGACACATGAGCTTCTACCGAAGCTGAAGTGGCAGGCGAGACAGGGTTCGGGGCTTGTTGTGCCCCCGGAGCCTGTGCGAGTGAAGCTGCAGATGAAGAACCAGCCACCAGTTCAAGCAGCTTCTCGCGTGGCAAATTGACCAGAGACTCTGGCGCTAAGTTGGGGAATAACTTTCCAAGGATACTTCGGTATTCATCAAGGGTGGTAGACAGTTTTTCAACATGTCTATATTTTCGTGTTAGTTATTGATCCCGGGATAGAGAACGACTAGCAATGGACATACCGTCTAGATGGACGAGGATCTGAATAATGACATTGATCGGCTTTCTTATACCACCGACAAGCCTCGCATGGTTTTTCACCATCGCATTTAATCTTGCGATGTCGACAAGAAGTACAAGCACGGAGGGTTGTGACTCTGCGGCTTACCGAGTCCCGGCGCTCGGGATTGGGGGGACGAGTGGTGCGGGCAGGAGTGGCCACCGTCGGGTTCTCAAACCCTTCAAAGGTGTGAAACATGATGACTGCACGGAATCACGCAGATGTTGTCGTCGAGAGTCACATAATTTGGGGGGAATTTCCTCGTGATTTCAATAATCAGGCAGAATCGATAGACGGAGATAGTCGTATGATTCCGGGAATTATTTGAAGCCAGATAAGCAGGCAGAGCTGATCAGGACAGAGAGGAGATGAATGTCCGTTGCAGTAGATCCCGATCACAGTTGATATTGAAGATCAACAACTCTTTGCGCGAAAGCAAAGATGTTCAATCGATGGGGAAATAGTAGAAAGAAGAATGAATTCGAGTCCAAAGGGGAAAAAAAAGGTCAGAAAAGAGGGCCCACGGCCGACTAAGAGTGCATGCGACGGGCAACTAAGACCGAAGCGAGATAGTCCACCAGAATAGCCTGATCCGCTTAAATCTCCCCGCATTTTCAGGGAACAAGACCTTCGTTCGTCTTTTTCATCTCATTTCCTGGACGCTGAGTCGTTGACTCGCTGGCAATTGGTCTTCTAGCCACTCCGGGGTCCCCGGATACGGCCTCGCTTATTGGGTATGCGCCAGGGACAGACTCGGTGAGTGGTGATGTGCGGGATTAACATCGCTAGCGTGGATCTACTGCGGAGGCAGAATGTATGGAAATAACCAGGTAGAAAGAGGGCCATATCCCTGTCCTCCCCCTCTAAGGTCGGACAGAATTTCCATCATCCTCGTCATCATCATTTTTGAGTACCGACATATAGGAGACCAGGATTTCCACCAAAAAAAGTGCCTGGGGGGGGGGCGGAGTCCCGAAGGTGCATTTGGGGTGGCAGTTTCTACAGTCTGACCCGGACGGTGCCACGCGCCAGGCTGACCAGGATGCGAGAGCGAGATTAAAGAGGCAAATGATTACGGAGGCTGCATGATTTCCATACGCCACATGTCTGTTCTCCATGCGCCAGAGGTCTTTTTTGGCATGATTCTTTTGGGGGGGGTTCCCAATGAGGGGCAAATAATCTCCGCAGCAGGAGGTCCCATATGAATGTGGATGGAGAAAGGAACCCTGCAGTAGTTGACCTGATGATCGTCTGGGGAAAGAGCGTCGCAAGTCTTGCCGATCCAGGGCCACCTCCTCTCTTGGATGTCGAGGAGTCAATAAACATCTTCGTAGCGTCGGGCATGATTTCCCTTGGTCCGGAGTTTAGCAAAGGCGATGCCATTCCCATGTGTAACCCTATGCATGAATCAGAAGAGGTACCAAGAAACCCATGCTGCAATTTCCCTCAATTAATAAAAAATTTTTTCAGTATCTCACCACTCATCGGGGGAGCCTCTCTTTGACCCATGGGTCTGGCGCCCAGGCAAATGAGGCGGAATCGGCACTGAAAAGAGACGGGGACCTCCTCAACGTTTGTTCCAGGTGCGTTTTGATCAGGCGGGGACCAGGGAGTGTGGTCAATAGCAACTGTCCAATTGCCACCGAGAGCGCACCACACCGAATGCCGAGACCCTATTCTTCCGGGCGCGATATCCCCTTCGAGTCAAGTGCCCGAGGAGATGAGGGGATGATTCAGCGGCATTCCCATCATCTCAAACCTCCCAATGCCGGCCTGCTGCACGGCATATCTGGATATTTCATCCGCGGCAAAAGTGACGTTGACGTGGGAAGGGGGGGGAGAGACCATCTGAATACCCCGCAGGACATGGATTGCAATTCTTTTTTCCTCCATGAACCCCTGGAGGGAAGCACGGAGGGGGGAATGCATGAAATTGCCAAGGCTGGCTAGCATGTGTCCTTTGGAGCCGAAGGGGGGCCGTTTGACTCTCCCGAATCCTGGGGGAGGAGCAGTCTGGTCATTGGTTCGGCTAGAGGGGGGTTCATTACACGCAAGTGGACTAGCGTGTAGTTGGCTCCCATGCTAGTGGGTTTCAGCAGGTGAGAGAGTGAGAGAGAGAGCCAGAATGGTTTGACTTTTGTTGATTTGTCGAAGCGAATTCCATCAATTCAAATCATAATCGAAGTCTGAGGGAATCATTGACAGATAAAGTTCAAGGGTCAAGGGAATGCGGGCCGGCAAGACTGGAGACCCAGTGGAGTGTGTGGATGGAAGGGTGGTACTGGTACTGTTGAGTTTGGGTGAGCCCAGCAGCTCGACGGAGATGACTCCGTGACCAAGAGAGATGACTGACGGGGTTCCAATCATCCCCTTTGAGCGAAAAGTCAGCCCAGATGCTCCGTCTCTGCTTCTAGAGGGGAAGACTGGACCGGAAATTGGTAATTCCACCTCCACATGCCCCCCACGGAAAAGACCAAAGAGGAGATTTGGGAATTGGAAGGGAAAAGCCGGCCACCTGATCAGGGAATCTCGACACCCGAACTCCAAGGCAGGAAAGTCATGTGCCCGGCACCTCCGTTCCCAAAAGGAAGGCTCGTGGGGGGTTTCTTATCGATAAGCCCATCGCAGTTGCTTCTAAATAGCTCCTTCTCCCCCAGTCGTTAAATAGTTCAATATTCAATTATTCAATTCTCTAAAAATCATCTCGTCATGATGGAATTCAGTCGTCAGTCACTCTCCACTGGTTGGAGTTTCCGCGATCGCGATGCCGACGAGTGGATGCCCGCCTCTACGGTGCCTTCGGTGGTCCAGCAGGATCTCATTGCCAATAACAAGTAGGAGCTTCCAATCGTTGCATTCATATCTCTGCAGAACTCAATTTGACCATTGAAACGTGTTTCATATAGGTTGGAAGATCCATTCATCGGTTTCAACGAGCTGAAAGCTCGTTGGGTCAATGACAAGTCTTGGGTATACCGCAATACTTTCCAACGTCCACACGTGCCCGAGGGCGCCGCAGTGGACTTGGTCTTCGATGGTCTGGACACCTTTGCTACAGTCAAGCTCGACGGCGAAGTCATCCTACAGAGTGATAACATGTTCTTGGGTCACCGCGTCAATGTGACCAAGGCATTGGCGGCAGAAGGTGATCACACGATTGAGATCGAATTCGACTGTGCGCTGCTCAAGGCACGCGAGCTACGAGCTCAAGACCCAAACCACAAATGGGTCGGATTCAACGGAGATCAATCACGTCTGGCGGCTCGCAAGGCACAATACCACTGGGGTTGGGATTGGGGTCCGGTGCTGATGACTGCGGGTATTTGGCGTCCAGTGACACTTGAAGTGTATACAGCTCGGGTAGTCGACCTTTGGCCTCAAACGCAGCTGGCTGCGGACCATCAATCGGCCGAGGTGACTGCTACCGCCAAGTTTGACACGGTTTCCGGGGGTGAATATACAGCTCGCTTCAGTCTCAGCTTAAACGGAAATGAGATCGCTACCCAGGATGTTCCCGTATCCGCCGAAAACCAAGCAGATGTCACCTTCCGTGTCAACCGTCCAGAGCTTTGGTGGCCTCATGGATATGGAAGTCAGACATTGTACGATATCTCCGTGTCACTGCACCGCGGCGACGCACCGGTTGTGCAGAAATCCAAGAAATTCGGTATTAGAACGGCCGAGGTCATTCAACAGCCGGACAAGCACGGCAAATCTTTCTACTTCCGAGTCAATGGGATGGATGTCTTCTGTGGTGGCTCGTGCTGGATTCCAGCGGACAGTCTCTTGACCAACGTCACTGCAGAGCGCTACCGCAAGTGGATTGAGTTGATGGTTGAGGGTCGACAGCTCATGATTCGGTACGTAGCATGCCACCCATCGGGGAAATCATATCGGCTAACGTTTCTAGCGTCTGGGGTGGCGGTATTTACGAGGACGATGCATTCTACGAGGCATGTGACGAGCTCGGTGTGTTGGTCTGGCAGGACTTCATGTTCGGCTGTGGAAACTACCCGACATGGCCCACGATACTCGAGTCGATCCGTCAAGAGACAGTCTACAACGTCCAGCGTCTGCGACACCATCCATCAATCGTCATCTGGGTCGGCAACAACGAGGACTACCAGGTGCAAGAGTCAGAAGGCTTGACCTATAACTATGAGGATAAGGATCCAGAGAGCTGGCTGAAGACAGATTTCCCCGCTCGTTACATCTACGAGAAGCTGCTTCCAGAAGTTGTCGCTGAGCATTCGCCAAGCACCTTCTACCACCCCGGAAGCCCTTGGGGTGATGGCAAGAAGTCATTTGATTCTACAGTTGGTGATATGCACCAGTGGAATGGTGAGTCTCGCAAATCAGGTTGAGTGATCGATTTCATGCTAACGAACTACAGTATGGCACGGCACTCAGGAGAAGTATCAAATCTTTGATACGCTCGGCGGTCGTTTCAACAGCGAGTTTGGTATGGAGGCTTTCCCACACATGTCCACCATCGAACACTTTGTCGAAGATCCAAAGGACCTGTTCCCACAGTCTCATGTGATCGACTTCCACAACAAGGCCGACGGGCACGAGAGGCGACTGGCTACGTACCTAGTGGAGAACCTGCGGACAGCCACTGACCTCGAGGTATGAACTCTCCCCATACAGTAAACAGATTCTCAAAACTAACATGCGCAGACTTACATCTACTTGACTCAAGTAGTTCAAGCCGAGACCATGATGTTCGGCTACAGAGGCTGGCGCCGCCAATGGGGCGATGAGAGACACTGTGGTGGAGCCCTTCTGTGGCAGCTAAACGACTGCTGGCCCACCATCTCCTGGGCCATCGTCGATTACTTCCTAAACCCCAAGCCCGCCTACTACGCAGTCAAGCGAGTCCTCAACCCCATCGCCGTGGGAGTGCGCCGAGAGCACCATGATTGGAGTGTCGCTCACGCACAGCCGCCACGCACCAGCAAGTACGAGCTGTGGATCTCCAGCAACAAGCCAGACACCGTTCGCGGCAGTGTTGAACTGCGATTCCTATCCGTCAACACAGGCCGCGACATCCGTACGCCGATCGTGCGCGAGGATATCACCATCGCCGCCAACGGCACCACCAACATCATCACCGACGGTCTGATCGATCACATCGCCGAGCCAGAGCCACACGTCCTAGCCGCCCGTCTCTGGGTCGACCACAAGGTCGTTGCACGAGACGTCGACTGGCCCCAGCCATTCAAGTATCTCGATCTATCCGACCGGGGTCTCGACGTGCAATTGAAGCGCGGATCTTCCGGACAAGCCACCCTCGTGCTGAACACTCGTAAGCCCGTCAAGTGTCTCGTCGTCGAGGAGCAAGAGGGCGTCAGACTGAGCGATAACGCTATCGACATCGTACCGGGTGATGAACAAACCGTGGATGTCACTGGACTAGGTGACCGACCACTGAAGTATCGGTTCCTAGGACAGGAATCGTGCGCATTGCTCCAGTAAGAGCAAGCTTATATTTAGTTGCTATTCATGATCGCATGATGTCATCCATACTAAAATGCGATGTTTCTTTGGGTATGTCTATAGACTAGTGACAGATTTGTATATGAGAATGACAATCGATCGAGAAAAATGCTGCACATTTCGAAGGTTGTTAGCTAACTGGGTAAATTACAATATGTCATTACAATATGAACCTTTTTCTTTCGTGCGTGAATAGTATCCTAGTGTTCTATTCTGTTGAACGCTTTAAAACTTTCTGTAGGCCTTTAGTTTTCTTTCTTACTCTCGGGCTTTTTTTAGCTCTAGATTTTTCTATAAATTTTATTGTAGGATTCTTAAGTCGACAGTTAAGTCGATAAGTGTAGTCGAGAAGGGAGTCGATAAGTGTAGTCCCGAATGTCCTGGGGCTGGGCGGTCCCTGCACCTGGGCACACCGCTGCGACTTCGCTATCCCTGCCAGTTTCTGCATCTATGATTCGACCAGTACCAAATTCGAGAGAAAGATTTCCCCAATCTTTAGTCATTCCTCCTCCCCTTCTATGAGCCGCAGGGAAGATTGCCTCGTGAGGTGCAGAAATGTTGCTGGTCGGACTGGTTTGCCACCGGGCTGTGGCCTAGTTTGGCCCCTCAACGCCTCTTTTCGCTAGAAAAGAAGACGTGTCATGGACCTGAGTTAGTACACCGCATAATAGTTGGAGTGTTAAGTTATTTCCCATTGGAGAGGCACCAAATTTCACGATCGCTCCATGTGCGGGTTGTCAGACGGGTACTTGGTACTTACTTCTGATCGGACGGACACGAAATTCTAGGATCGCCCATGCGTCTCAGCCGACCTGAGGTGGGGGCTCCGCAGAATACTTCGTACATCATTTTACTACTACAAGTATACTGTACTCAGTTTTGATCGGAGAAATTCCAAGTACCCCGGCCGCTGCTCTGTTTCCCAAGTTCTCGGGTCTAGGTAGTCTTCTGGGAATTGTTAAGGTTAGCACCCGACTTGGTTCATAGAAGGCTTCTATACTTGTTTACATACATATATAAACATGGTGGATCTCAAGCTGGCGAAGGATGTCAAGTACCAAATCCAAGCTTTTATTTTCCACCTGCCCTTGATCCTTCTTTTTCGCAGAAACATGACGTGAACCATATCCATGGATTGGTCGACTTTCAGGCCCTCTTTTGATGATCCGGGCGTGCCTACCAGGCAGGACTGGAGGGCTTATCAGCAAAACAATCTTCGAAATACATTCCTTGCTACAGAGCCCCCCCATGGTTACCATGAGTTCTCACCAGCTGCTTGGAAGGCGGCTGGATAGCGATATTATAATTGGTCTGGACTTGGACTCTGCGAGTTTGGACTTCGCCTATGCAGACCAGATCAGTGACGATATACCGGAACATGCGTCGCTCAGCCTCTTTGACCCTATTTGCGGGCGTCCAATTGCCCATGATGCTAGATCTGGAACAGCCTCGACCAGTATATCACCGACGCCAACTGCAGAGCAGGTGAAACTGGCAATGAGAAATATGCAAGGACAGCAAAAGACATCTTGCAAATGCTCCGAAAAAGAGAATGGGTACGTATATATCTCCCTATGTTAAGCCATGTGCACTCACCAGCTAGTTTATTGACATGTCTTCGGTTTCTATGACTTGCAGGACAGATTCCCTGGGATGTACCTGGCCAGGATGCAAAAGGCCTGGCCCGTTTTCACGCAAATCTGTGCTAAAACGACATATAGCGACTCAGCATGAGAAGCCACGGTCCTTCAAATGCCCAAACATGCAGTGCGACAGATTGTTCAACCGAAATGATAACATGCAGGCGCATGTGCTATCTGTTCATGGGAAGCGGGCTTAAGGACTCTGCTTGGCGTCGAGGTGCTGTGCAAGAGGGATCTACCGAGACTGGAGTTCGAGGGGGACCAATTGGAATCTTGATGTGTCATTTTGGCTTATGCTAGTAAGACTTGAGTAATTTATTTTTGCATTTGATATGATTGCTATGTCTGAGGACTCTCCCATAATAGATGGATAATCTGCAATCCACACGATTTTAAATACCAATGAATTAAGTTAAAAGTGTTTACTTGGTGATTGTACTCTATGATGCTAGCGATCAGTTTTTCTTGGTAAATCATTTAAGAGAGGATCGAATTAGCCACTGTCAACCACAAGGAACACAGGGCAGGGATGCGGTAGGGGTCTATGTCCCGTCTACATGTCAAGAGAGCGGGTGTATCACTATAAGCTTCCGTGCAGAGTTATCGATGGATAATATACTTACCATAAGGAAAAATATACCCAAGCCTTAAAGAATTTGTTCTAAGATTACAGTTCATCAAATCCACATCTTTCTGTAGGAGCCAGGACTTTAAGACGGGATTAGAAGACGACTCGATAGTCGACTACAATTACTGCATTTCTCTGCCTCGTATCCAGCCTGAGATTTCTTCAAGTTGGAAACCCTCGATTATCTCGCCATCAAGCCATCATGGAGGAAGTGGGTTGGCTAGTCTACAAGCTCGAGATCGCACGGCTATACCTGGAGAAGGATGAAACTTTAGTAAACGTGATGAAGATCATGGGTTCAAAAAAAAGTACATGAACCCTCATTCTCTGTCTTTCTCTATTATATCCTACTTCGCGAGGACAGTTACTATAGCAGATCTCTAGTTAATTATATCTGCTAGTCTATTAATTAGCCGACTTTAAGAATATTATCCGGGACTATAAAGTAGTTAGCTTCTATAAGATAGAGCAGACAGAGGATACGGTTACAGTTAGTACGTGTTAGTCTTTACCTAGAATGTATTACGAGATATACTAACGATTATAATAAGACTCGGACAGCGGACGGTGGAAACGTACCAGGGATTTTATAATAACAGTTAGCGCAGAATCGGCTCTTCTCTAACTCCCGGGCTATATAGAGGACAAGGTACCGTTATATACGGATCACTCGATGATCGTCAAATTTAACGCGCGCAACGCAGAGGGGTATTAAACAGCGCTCGATAAACTACGGCAATTCTTAAGAAATACGCCCTAGGTAGTGGCTGCTCGATTCAGTGAGTGACTTGGTTAGAGTTTCTAAACCACGCTTAAAGGGAATGTTCCCAGCAGAAACGCGTCCAAAGCCCTAACCGCGCTCCACGGTGCCTTTTAAGAAGGACCCGATGTTTGTGGGTCGTGAAGCTGTGATTAGTGCGATCAAGGAAAGATATGGGGAAATCGGCCAGCGTCATGAAAGGGTGGTATTGGTAGGGCTAGGTAGCGTTGGGTGAGTCGTGCCTAAAACAATGCCTCTTGAACGATAGCTGAAATCAATTGCCATTCAGAAAAACCCAGATAGTCATCGAGTATTCCTACACGCGAGCAATGTGCCGCGTTTGGAACAAGGGTACCAGCAAATTGCCGAAGTCGCGAAGGTTCCGGGACGGACGATCCGAAGATTAACATCTCCAGCTCGCGTTTCAGTGGTTATGTGATGCTCGGAATGGGCGCTGGCAGGTGGTGTTAGATAATGCGGATGCTGATGGTATCTTTTTCAAAGGCAGTGTATCTAATGAACGAAGGCCGTGAGCCTCCTGCCTCAAGCTGCGCATGGATTACTCCTGCTCAAGGCACGAAATGGTCTTGCGGCGCAGCATCTAGTTGGGGGGTATAGCTCATGGGAACTATGTGGGGCTGAAGCGTGGGGATGCTTCTTTTGTGGTTATTCAGAAAGGCGTGGACTTTTTGATGGAGCATGTAGTCTGTTGATAACTCCTGAAATTGTCATTGTTCAATAGATGATGATATCAAGAATCAAACCTTATTTTCTCGAGTAAGCAGCAGTAAAAGCTACATTATTGCTGGGAACAGTGATATAATGCAATTATGTATATGCCATGACGCTCGAACAATAGACATGATATTCAACCCTACTCTGCTCTCACGTCTCCTCTTCAGGAAGTGCTCGGGCTTGTCCATGATCATGTAGTCGACGTGCACGTAAGCACAATCAGTGTTACATTATGCATGACAGCGACTGGATCTCTAAGTCCAGAGAAAGTCTTGTCACTGGGTCTCTGTGATGTCATTCAAGCAAAATCTTCAAAATAAATCCTCCGTATTGGTCCAACTTGAATTACATATCCTCTCGCTCGACAACCTGACTCGTCTCTCCCTGTTGCTTAATTCCAGAGATACCGTAGATTGTGATGAAGGCCATGCCCAAGAAAGCTGACACACAAGAGAAGACCATTGCAATAATTCCTTTGGCTGTGAATCCGGCAGGTAGCCATGGAAGTTGCTTATTCTGACCGGTCAAGTCGAGCAAGTCTTCAATATTGGCAGCAGCATTGCCCTCGTATGAGATATCTGCTGCCTTGCAAACGCTGATCTCACTGTCCGTCAACGACATCTGCTTTTGAATCTCCTTTGGAGCCTCAATAAATGACATAGCCAGTCCCTGCGACAAATGCCAATCGATGTGGCAGTGGAAGAACCAAACACCGGGGTTGTCAGCCACAAATCGAATGACAAAATTGCCTTGAGGCGGCGCAACAAATGTATCTCGGCGAGCGGGGTATGCTGGGAAGCTGCTTGAAGGGTTCTCGGTCGCATTGTAGGCAACTGGGTCCCCGTCGGCGAAGTCGTAAAAGGAGGCGCCATATGAGGGAGTGCGGCTAACGACTTGGAAATTGTGACCATGTAAGTGGAATGGATGAGAACCGGTATCCTGGTTATTAAGAATAACCTCAATGACTGCATTGTGCTCAAGAACGAATGGGTGGGTGTATTCGCCGTAAACCTCGGCGTTAGTCGCATAGTCACCAGAGGTAAGGACGGAGTATAATGTCGGGACTTTAGGCTTCGTGTATGAGATATTGTTGAAAAACGCATAGCCTGCGCCATTGGCTAGATTTGCCATGATGACATCAACCTCAATAGTCATATCAGGGTCTGGGAGAAGCGCCATTCGATCGTGAGGAACAAGTTTGAAATCGTCATACGGAACAAGATCTGAGGCAATTGCGACCTTCATCACAGCTTCAGGATGGGCCGCACTGCTATTGTACTCAAGCCAATTGGTCTGATTAAGTTGAAGAGTGGGTGAAATGGTATCCAACAGAACTGAATCAGCGACTGTGACGATAGGATAATTCTTGTCCGTGGAGTTCTTCATTGTAACCAGAATGGAGTAACGTTGTGCTACGGCAATATAAAGCGTATCAGCCTCTTGCTCGTCAACGTAAACCCCGTCGATTTCAACGATGCGGAAAGTATGGTCCTCGATATAGAAATACTGCGCCACAAAGGCACCGATATTGATTAATCGGAGCAAGTATGTCTTTCCGGCTTCAACTGGTATATTGGTGTTCGACACGGTATCGTTGAAAAGAAAAGAGTTCGGAACAGGCTCGGCACCAGTTGGGTTCTCCACACGAATAAATGGAATATCTTCGACTAATTCGTGATACCAATCACTCATAGTGACAGTGAACTCATCATCGTACATGCTTTCAAAATATGCGTCTTTATCATGCACAATTAAAGCTTGACGATAGCCATCTGGGTAGCAAGCATCGGTATGACAATGATACCAGTAGGTGCCGTTTTGAGGAATAGTGAAATTGTAGGTCATTGAGGTACCAGGAGGGACAGGACATTGAGTAACCATTGAGGGACCATCCATGTTGTTTGTCCCATTTTGGAACATGCCGTGCCAATGGATAGATGTGTCTTTGTCTCCAAGGCCATTGTACATGTTGACAATCAGCCGATCGCCTTTGTCAACCTCGATCACTGGTAATGGCCACTGGCCGTTCACTCCGACGACTTTGCGTTCATGGAGGCCGTCAGGGTTAGCGTTGACCCAAGTGACGTTGAAATCGAGGGTGACAGTTTTGGCCTGGCTACAGCGAGCTAATAGCAGCACTGTAGCAAGGCGAAAGAAACCGCGCTGGAGAAAATTCATACTGTGATTCGGCTTGTTACTAAGCAGAGAAAGGGGATAATCGAGGATGAGAAATGAGAAGATCATGGCCAGAAGGGTGCGTATAAGCGACCTCTATGGAAGGCGGCCAATCTTTGCGCATTAACTTCTAAAATCATGGGCTCACCAAACTAGTCTGTTTTACTCGTACAATAGGTGTAATTTGGCATTTTTCCTTACCAGAGATCGAAGATAGACTAAACACGAACCAAACCTATTCCCCACTATTTAAACCCACCTACTCAGTTACCTACTAACGCTTAGCACCAGTTGGTCCCTTGGTTTTTAGGGCCTCGGGAGGCTACCAAGAAGGATCGGAAGAACGGCAAAATTGGATAATGAATATTCCGTACTGATCGCCTGAAAGGATAACTCAAGGCCGAAGTCGCTACAGTCTCTATCGCTGAACCTAATTCGATTTGCCTCGGGGGCAGATCTTGGAAACATTTTCGAAGGCTGTCGCAGATACGATGTGCTCTCATCGCAAAATAAGGATCTTTCTGAACAGGGTAGATTTTTTCCATTCATTTTCGAGGTACACATAATCAGTGGTTGGGACGTTTTCAAAATCCTTATTGGTAGGTGGGCCAATTCGGTTGATATGGATCTTGGACCACCACGTGTGTCGAATGCGTATTTTGATTGGTATCACCAGGAGCAAGGGCAAGAAACCTACAATATGCCCGAAAACGAGGGCCAACCCGAGCTCGGAACAGGGATTCAAGCTTTATAATACATATCCCCTTAATCCTCCACCCGGCCCACCGCCATAGAACCTTGTACTACCTATACTATGACTGCTGTAATACGCGGTGGGGCCGCTGGATCAGATAACCATCGAAGCGTACATTAGCCAGTCGGAGCAAGAGGCCGCGAATTCCCTGGCCCGGAAAACCCTCGGATATCAATGCTGAATCAAGACAATCCTCCGACCATCCCTTCCGTTACATTTAGCCACGGCTGATTATTGGTAGTTAACAGTAGCAGCAGATCGATCACGAGACATAAAAGCCACTTTGCCATGCAAAGCTTGTCATGTATCCACTGATTGATAATTTACTGATTGATAAATCACGCATACCAACGCCCGGGTAGCGGTTGCAACCTCTGGATCTGGTAAATAATGTAATTTCCGTACTTCTACACTCCACATCCACCACGACTTTCCGGTATAGGACACTCGCCTGCAAGAGACATGTCTCCCACCAGATTTCCCATGTAAATAAGCCTTATAGTCATTTGGTCCTCCTGAGAAAGAGTCAATCCACTAGATTCTACGTAACAGAAACTTGAGACGCACGGATCTCGACCGTCGCCGCAGCCGCCAGGATCCGTGAATTTACAGGACAATCATTTTCGGGAATTTGAGGAGACCCAGAGGGCGGCTTGTATTTTACAGGGAGTGGAATTTCCTACAGACTTTTACCCGTTATCAGCACTGTGATCATAACAGTATTCATGTGTCCCTAGCATAGCCTTTATAGGTCATTTGGATACCATGTCCATGTATTGGCGTCTCACAGGCCACGTACTCGGGCCTTTTTTTGCTAGAAGAAAGTAGAAGAATCAATTCCAGAAAGGTGGTTGGATGATGACTTGGTTCAGCCCCAGTGCGCGGGCAGCCAGATCCCCACCCACCGTAAATTGGTCACCACCACCGCGGCAAATCACAGTATCACCCTTTTCGCACAAGGCAAGACCCGGTTCGATCAGACAATGAAAATGCAGGTGTCTGGTTTTTTCTCATAACCGGCGTATTTTTGAAATGATTACAAGAGCCCGAATGCCCTGATATAGATTTTTCTTGAAATCTTTTGACTTTGATTTCCTCCCTGACTTACCTCTGGTGCTCTCGCCTAGGTTATCCAAAGCACGTGAATCATCATGGGGAACAACCAGGTTTTTGCGGTTACTGGTAAAAACTCCTCTTTGAATATTATTTGCAAGCTCTAATAGTGTCGTGCATCTAGTCTTTTTTATCTGTTTTCGAGAATGCCTGGAAACAACAGTGGTTGTGTCCGTACTCCTGGCATTCCTGAAGCAGTCACTATACGACGATGACCGAGCGACATACAAACGATTAGTTAAACAGGTACATGGCCACCGAGCCCCAAGCACGTTCCAAGACTAATAACAACAGGTCTGGCTGGGGAGCGGTTTAGGTCTGTTCATCTGTCTTGCTGTCGGCGCAGGCATGATTGGCGCGTTCTACGGCCTCGGAACGGACACCTTTTCTAGCACCGAGGACATCTGGGAAGGCGTTTTAGGCATTGTCGCATCTATAATCATTACGATAATGGGGGCTGCTCTCCTACGCGTGTCCAAGCTTCAAGACAAGTGGCGTGTCAAACTCGCACAGGCTCTCGCACATGAGAAAAATCCCAATGAGACCAAGAAGGGCCGTGTCAAGAGATGGTTGGAGAAATATGTCATGTTTATCTTGCCATTCGTTACTGTCCTTCGTGAAGGTCTTGAAGCTGTCGTCTATATAGGTGGTGTCGGGTTAGGACTTCCCGCGACTTCTTTCCCATTAGCCGTTTTCTGTGGGCTCTTGGCCGGTATTGCTGTCGGTTATATTATCTATCGGTATGTCAAATCCACCTTGGAACTAGGCTATGACTAATGGAACTGTAGTGGTGGACGGGAAACGTCGATGCAAATCTTTTTGATTATCTCTACATGCTTCCTCTACCTCGTGGCTGGCGGCCTGTTTTCACGTGGTGTCTGGTATTTCGAAAACAATGCGTGGAACAATATCATCGGTGGTGATGCATCGGAAACTGGCTCCGGGCCAGGATCATACGACATTCGCAAGAGTGTTTGGCATGTGAACTGCTGCAATCCGGAGCTTGGAGGTGGCGGTGGTTGGGGTATCTTCAACGCGCTTCTCGGTTGGACTAATTCGGCTGACTATGGCTCGGTGATCTCTTATAATCTGTACTGGATCTGTGTCATGATTGGTTATGCGCTGATGTTTTACCGTGAGAAGCGAGGGTTCATTCCTGTCGTCGATCCAGCTATCAATAGCGTTGCCAGAACGAAAGCCAAAGCTAGAGCATTTATCCTGCGCCGTCCCTACACGGACCCTGTGGAACCAGTCCAGCCAACAGTTCCTGAAAAGAGTGCGCACACTGACCTCATGGCTGTTCAACAGTAACATGGCTATTTTGACCAGATTGCATGACATGACAGTCTATACAGAGGTAAGTTAATGGTGCACGGTACCCGTAGAGAAACCAGAACTAATATCGCGCCTCAGGAATTTGCATGGTGATATCAATTATCTCAATGGGAAGGTTGGCTATATTCTTGGCAGGCCTCTGAGAGATCATACAAGCGACACGTGGGATTCAGGCTTTTTTCTGCGGGTCCTATAAGGAGAGTTGTTAGTCCCAGGCAGATGGCAAATTCCACTATGTGGATCAGTGTGAAGACAAGGCAGCAGGGTTCTCGATTGCTAGTTTCACAGGTAGATGAGCTTCGAAATTCGTTGAAAGACTTAATCTGAGCGAGGTGGGAGAAGAAAGGGAGGGTAAGTCACTTAGAACTATTGCTCCTAGAGGCTTTGTCGTCGTTGGACATGATTACCAACTTCCAACGCCTTTGGGGTTTTGAAGTATTAGCATGAATCAACGACTTGCTCAAGAACGGCTTGATATTTTTAACCAATTTATTTTGAGGCGCAAGGACTTCCACTTTCTGCTGGAAATCGCCGGTCCCATTCATTCAGCAGCCTATCAACAAGCAAAACTTACGCAATTCGAATCCGAAGATGATGATTTATAAAATAGGTAGTCGAAGTTCTTGAGGTTCCGGGGTTGAACTTACATCTGCCTCTAGTCCCACTCTACTTACACCGCTGGCCTTTTTCAGCATTGGCTGGCGTTCGACATTTCCGTCGTATCCGTGTTGGCTAGCTGCACTTGGATGTACCCGATTCCATCTAACTAACGCAAGTTTCAAAATCTTTAGGGTTTCGATAATCTCTAAAAAAATGATGCCGCCACCACGGCCACAACGAGCTTGAGATGACTGGTCAGCATCTTTGTTATAATGAGGATGGGACACCACAGTATCTGTAATTTGCCAATCCGTACCTCTGTGCAGTGAAGGGGGATGTCCCGTTCTTGTCTCTCTTCGCTCGTCGTAGCCAGTTCGATATTCGTTTAAGGACCCTTTTCTGTGCAAATCGCAGTTACCCCGACATTGACGCTGCGCCACTTGGACAGAGCTTGACTTGACATCTTTCCATGTAGGCTGAGCATAATTCCTTGCCAGCAGAGTCATTGATGCCTATTAGGTGTCAAGTTTGTGATTCCCAATTTTCTAAATTCGTGTCTGACTTATTACTCATCGACAACAATCTCTGCGTGGCTGACTTCTTCAGACCCTCCGACAGCTGGCCAATGGTTCGCTTGTAGAACAACGGGAGGCTTTGGGGCGGTCTCTGGAATACGTGGAAAATCATAACGCCACGTGGGAGGTGGACTCGCTCTCGCTAATCTTGATATGGATACTCAAGGTTCAGTGTTCGTAGGTTTACCTAAGCCACTCCACTTCCTATCTCCGATTTGGTTCTTCATGCGTGACAGAGAGGGTAGGGGGCCTAAGAGGGTAGAAAAGAGCATTAATTTGCAAATTCTGAATAAGGACCGTAATCTTGGTACAAAATCGGGGATTAAACCAACCTGGCCACCTGCCCAATCAGTTATAGCGATATGGTGGCTCGGAGATATTTCTCGAATGAGGGAACAAGCTTCGGTGGCAGTATTAGATGGTATGCCGAAAGATCCATTGGATCCTTGTCTCGGAGGGCTTAATGGGAATTTCAACAAGAGGAACTGACTGCTAATTACTCGATTGATTGGTTGATGAGATTGACGGTATCCAATACAACGAGTCATGGTTGAGTATTACTAATGTTAAAACAGGGAGGAAGACAGTGGGGCTCTAACAACGGGAAGAATTAATGCTTGGTATAGTTCGCCCCACTTTTATGCAGTTTAGGAAGATCAAAGCCATACGCATCAAGCCCTGAGGGATATGTTGATGCGCTATAAATGCTGGAAGATGACAAACCTACGGACTATAACCTCCTAGAGATGTTAATGGCAGTAGTTATGGCACTTTAATGAAGATCATAAGCTATAATTTGAGTAGTAATAATGAATACGCACATGCCGTACAACGGACTAGATGCGTATTGACGGAATCTTCAGGGTGAATTCATAGACACGCTCAGACCGTGTTAAAAATCTCGATATAGTGTTGAACTTTTGACTTGGGGGTGCCGGTTTGATTTTTTTTTCTTTATGTCCATCTCTCATATGAATCAAGAAGGAACAATCGCACATGAGTAGAGAAACAAAGTCGCCTAAATTTTTTTCTTTGTGTCAGCCCCAAAGGAGGGAAACGTGGCAATCTCGCAACCTGGGCACGTTCCAAAAGTGCTCTCGTAATTCGCTAGCCACTTAATGGCTAAACTTCGCTTCCGTCTTCTCGCCTGCAATACAGTCATAATAAAATAAGCCTTTTAAGCGCCAGCCCCACACAGTTCAGAATCTCTGTTTGCAGACGCAACCCATTCCGACCAGCTGGTGCCTCATGCGTAGATTCACGATCAGAAATTGAATTCCATTGAGGCACGTGGACCTATTCATGTACGGCTACGTATTTCAGCAAGAACTTGTGCAGACATCCACCATGGCGGAAGGTCACGGGATTGTGAATCTTGTACATACTTAAAGGAGGCATTTCCGGATAAGAATCCCTTGATTTAATCAATCCTGGGAACCTGGCTATCCATTCAATTGCAATTGTCTAAGTGCCTTGGTTCTATCCCGTCAAAATGAAGCTCTCGGGAAGCCTTCTCCTCGCTGGAGTATCTTTGGCCGCAGCTATACCGTTCGAGCATTTGTCTGATGGCCTCGCCCACTTGGCTAAACCCGTGAAAGGAAGATGGTTTGAACGTGAGTAAACTTCTCAATTACCTTCTATGAGCTATAAGCAAGGATGCTAACATCAGGGGAAAAGGCTTCGTAGTTGTCGTTCTAGAGAACACAAACAAGGGTGTGACTATGGGTGACCCATACTTCCTCAATCTTACCCATTGGGGCATGCTTCTCGGCAATTACCACGGTACTACACTCCATCGCAGCGATCTTAGTTTGGCGGTGCTAATTTATTTCTTGGGTGCTGTTAGGCACAACCCATCCTTCACAGGTGAGCCAGCATTCGCTGATAGCCCGTGTGGAAACAAGGCTGACAGCGCGTTATAGCCTAATTACATCACAATGGTCACTCATACCGATGCTGCTGGTGTGTATGATGATAGTGATCACAACACTACCGAGTCGAGCTTGATTGACTTGTTTGAGCCCGCGGGTATGCTCGCTTTTGAAAGCCCCAATTGAAAGTTTACTGACGAGGCTAGGGATTACTTGGAAGGCATACATGGAAGGCTACAAGCCTCTTGAGAATGGCGAGTGCAATCCTTACACTGAAGATTTGGAAACTCTCTATGTTCGGTAAGCCCTATCTCAGCAAATACGTTTAGGCATTTCTGATAGCTCGATAGCAAGCATAATCCCTTCATGTCCTTCGACAACATCCGCAATAACACTTCGCGCTGCCAAAATATTGTCAATGCCGAGGCTGAATTCGCTAAAGATGTTGCCAAGGGCTCCAGTGCTCCGATGTACATGTACTATGTGCCGAACCTGAAGAACGATGCCCACGACACCAACATCTCGTTTGCTGCAAAGGACTTGCAGTACGTGATTGACACTATGTTACTCAACACAGAGTTCATGAAGAAGACTGCAATTCTTATTACCTTCGACGAGGACAGTAAGTAATCAACCCATTTTCACAAATGGATCTGATGCGTCCATGGAAATGCTCACGATTTCTAGACGTGTATACCAATGACAACTACGGCGACCCTAACTCCATCTATTCTTTGCTCCTGGGTAACGACACTGTTAAATGCTATGACTGCGTGGACCAGAATTACTATAACCGTGAGTGCTTAGTATTACGAAGCCCTTGTATCCAGCTCCGACTTCTAACTCTGTGATTTCGATTAAAGATTTCTCCCAGGTTGTGACTCTGGAAAGAAACTGGAATTTGAGTACTCTCGCTGGCGAAGGTTGGGACCAGTGGTGGCGTCCCTTCGGTATGCTACGGACTCACTCAGATGATATTTGCGCCTTTGCTCCCTGTAGCGAGTACTATGATGGCAAAAGTTCAGCACGTTCCAGTGGTAACTGGAACGACCAGGGCTTATACAGGTGAAATACCGGTAAGAAGACGGGCTAGTCATTCTCACATAATGGTGAAGGACAAGCTATATGATGACTCGACCCTATTGACCTCGACTACTCGGTCGTTTGGTGCTACGTCCTCCCGTTTGTACCTGCATAGATCGCTCTGTAGGTTTGATGGTTGATTCTAGGACCAGCCCGTTGTTCTTTGTCATATAGAACTATTTAGGTCTTTCTGGTATTCTTTTCCTTCTTTTCTAGATCATCTTCATCTTCATGTGTCCAGATAGACAATTGACTCAGATTCCCCTTCTCTGCTTCCTTGCGTAGGTGTCGATGACACCATCATTAATTATACCGAACCACTGCTTAGTTATCCTAGCCGATTTCTTACTATCTTATATCTAGTCTCTCTTCACCCGATCTTCTTCCCTATATATACATTTCTTGTGTAAAGGAACTTTATGTACTACTTATTAGTCCGATAGTTATCAGCCCGAGTCTCTAACTATTTAATCTCCTCTTGAGTGCAGGGTGCAGACTTGTTGGCAGGGGAATGCTTCCTTCAGGCTGTCCAAATCATACCAACCGTGACATAAAGGCCGGCCAGCGGAATCTCAGCTTTCTAGATGATGTGCATCCTCATTCGGTCCTTGAGAAAGCAGCATCATTTTTCGGGGATCAAACTATCTTAGAGGATTTACTGAGATACTCATGGACACGCAAAGCCAAATGGCGTGCCCTCACAGTTAGCCTCAGGGATGGGAGATCGGATCTTGCGAAAATTCTACTTTGGTCGAATGCTGACATCAATCAGCGGATCCGCAAATATCGAGACCTTTTAAGATGGTGGGATGATGCACCTCTACTTATTGCGGTGAATAGGCAAGACCTGTCCCTGATTCGGACCCTCATCGCTGTTGGCTGCGATGTCAATTTCATTATCAACCCCAGTAAAGGCGCAACCACAATTCTGGGGAAGGCTATCAGGGAGGGAGATGTGGATATTGTGAAATCTCTCCTGGTGGCTGGCGCGATGGTCAACCAACCCTGTGGCTCAACAAATGCACTGAATATATATATTGAGAAAGAACGCCTTGATCTTGCGGTGCTTCTCCTGGATGCCGGTGCGGAGATCAATAACCCACCGCACCCCTACCATGGGAGAACGGCCCTACAGGTAGCAGTCGAGAAAGGCAATCTCCAGCTTATCGAATTCCACCTCCTGTCAGGGGCAGATGTTAATCAGGAGCCTGCACATAAGGCCGGGGCAACAGCGTTGCAGTTAGCCTCAATTCAAGGCTACATTGGGATTGCTCGCAAACTCATTGATCTCGGGGCTAACGTAAACGCCCTGGGAGCTTGCATTCACAGTAGGACTGCTTTGGGGGGAGCCGCAGAGCATGGGCCTATAGATACCGTTCGACTCCTCCTTGAAACAGGGGCTTCGGTTGAGGGCCCTGCATGCAAACAGTGTTGGCGGCTTATGCGACAGCAAAGTTTCTGAAGTCCATGATCGGCTGGAGCAACTTTGATTCCGAGTCTGCCACTGATGACATTCTGGGAGATGATGGTGACAATGGAGAGGCTGTGACAGATATAACGGGTTATGTCAATTAAAATGCGCTGGCTGGTCTAGATCATCCAAGCTCAGTGATGGACTAGGTATTGGTCGCCACCGAGCCAGTATTTGAAGTGTGAATGCAGTGTGCTTGTGCAACAGCATTTTCGCATCTAGCAAGGAACGTCAAATTCGAATAAAGGTTATATTGAGAAAAAGCATCTCAGAGAGAATAATTAATAGGGAGCATTTACTATGCCAACGATCGATTCTCAATACCTACTGGTCCAGAAGTTACATCGCCCTTCTTGTCTGGGATGGCACTTTTTGGCCTCCGTACTTTTGAAAAGATATGTAATTGCATACTTTGTGCTTCCAAATGATCGATATATTCATGAATGCAACGTAAATCAATGTTTCCAACTAGTCTATTGGTTAGAGCTTTCATTGCAAAAGAAAGCCACAGCATAATACTGTCAGCGACGAGGAGGAGTGGCTCTCCCGAGGGTCGGCAGCTCGTTCGGCAGTGGGGAACGCCCCTCCAAGCATCAACGATGACCAATTCACAACTTACTTCATTCTCAGCCATACATCCACTGAATATTAGCATTCTGTGTATTCTTCCATTCCAATCTTCTGTTTTGCGTCTTTGGTTCCTTGAGTACCTCAAAAGTGATCATCAATGTCCATCCCACAGCTCCAACAAGCCGCCGTGGTTGAGAACCCCGGAGAGAACTTTACAGTTGTCTTACGCGACAATGTACCGGTCGGAAATCCAGGTACAGACGAGGTTCTCATCAAGTTAAACTGCACAGGCATCTGGTAAGACACGCTGTCGACTCTTCTTATGTGCTCGATTGCTAATACGAGTTCCATCTATCAAGCCACTCAGAAGTCCGCGCTGTACTTGGCTGGGGTGTCTACAACTCCATCATTGGCCATGAAGGCGTAGGAACTATCGTCAAAGCAGGTCCTAATGTCTCGCCATCCTTAATGGGACAGCGCGTGGGATTCAAGTGGCTGTACAACGCCTGTACGGAATGTTCCGTTTGTCGACGAGGCTTCTTCCAGAATTGTCCGAAGCAACTAAACACCAGTCGACATGTTCCTGGTACATTGCAACAGTATGCTATCGCCGATGCTCGGTTCCTCACTAAGATTCCGGACGGGGTCCGTGATGAAGTTGCTGCTCCGCTGTTGTGTGCCGGTCTCACGATGGCCGGTGCATTGGCCCACCTGGACAACGAGCTACAGCCTGGTGACTGGGTCGTTATCTCCGGCTCTGGTGGTGGTCTGGGTCATATCGGCGTTCAACTTGCCGCCCGTGTCAAAAAGCTTCGAGTCATTGCAGTGGACAGTGGTGATGAAAAGAGAGGCCTCAGTCTCTCCTCTGGTGCAGAGTTCTTTATCGATTTCAAGACCGAAGATGTCGCAAAGCGAGTTCTCGAGCTCACGGAAGAAGGTGCTCATGCGACGATAGTTGTGCCCGGCGAGAAGGAGGCCTTCCAAATGGCACCAACTTTGGTCAGGAATATGGGCCACATTATCTGTGTTGGTCTTCCACGAAATGATATCGAGCTCCCCATTTCGGCCACTCTCTGTGCTGCTAGAGGTAAGCTTTCTTGGTTCATCTCATTGGGTTGAAACTCCAGTGGCTAATTCAAAATAGGGCTTACCATCAAGGGTTCCTCGGTAGGATCTGAGGAGCAAATGACGGAGCTATTACAGCTCGCTCTCGATGGGGTAATCACTCCTGCGATTGAGGTGTTTGACTTTTCTGAAGCACCAAACCTCATTCGGCAAATTACCAAAGATGCAATTTTAGGGAGAGCAGTTGTTACAATTCCGTAGTCAGATCTATTAGAAGAAAAAATAGAGAAGGAAATATGAATAACGTTTCTCCTTTCCCATGCGAAACGTAGCCTAAGCCCTCGACCTAATGGAGCCATGACCGCCAACTATGAATTCGATATGCCACGTTCCATTGGCCATAGAAGAATATCCCTGATTGTAGTGGCTTCCTGTTTCAGCTTTTCTCAGGCGGAGACGGTTTTTCAATCCTCAGATGGCATGCTAGTAACTCCGTTCTAGCGTTGTCGATCTGTCGAGAGCTGGTTGCCTCAGGCGTAATGTCGATTCAACCTTATCTCTTATCGCTTATCGCTTATCAGGTGGTGCTGTAATTCCTCTTTCCATTTCAACTCCACTTCTCCAACTTCCTACCTTCAACCTCCTCAATGGGTACAAAACGCTCCTGGGAAGGACAAGCTGTTGTCAAAATGGACTCGACAGAGTCAACGAGTCCGACGATCACAATCTTCGAGAACTTCCGTGACGAGCTCGATGAGCACCATGACCGTCGTGAGCGCATCATCAAAGCTAGTCGCGACATCACCGCGCTCAGCAAGAAAATGTAAGGTTTCCCCAGAAGTGAGGTCAAGACAACAGAAAACTAATCTGCTCATTTTATAATAAAGAATCTTCGCCCTGCAGCGCGTACGCACCACAAACCAACCCATCCCACCGAATATCACAAAAGAGAACGACACTCGCCTCGAACAGATCCACAAGCACTTTGCCTCAATCGTCTCCGATCTCGTCGGCATCAAATCCTGGCGCTACCAGCGCCAAGTCAGCGGCGGCGTCCAAGAGTTTATCGAGGCGATCTCATTTGACCACTACCTCCGCACGGAGACATTGATCACCCACGCAGAAGTCGCAGCCCGGTTACCCGGGATCCTGGTAACAGAAGAAGACTACTTGATGGGCATTTTCGATCTTACGGGTGAAATGATGCGATTTGCCGTGACAGCCTTGAGCTCAGGGAAGGTGACACCTACGGACGCAGCTAAAGCTGGTGTCCTCGTTGATCTTCGCGCTATTCGAGCTCGATGCGAGGCGCTGAGTGTTTCGGGACGACACCGGGCATCCATGTATAAAGATCTTTCAAAGAAGAAGGAGGTTATGCAGAACAGTGTCGAGAAGGTGGAGCGCGCGGCGTACGGCATTCTGGTGCGAGGGAGTGAGCGGCCGAGTGGATGGACCCCGGATTTGTCGGTGCCGGTGGAAGTTGACACCCATTGAGGTTCTCTGTGACTCAAATCTAAAACTGAAAATTCGTACGAAATTTCATGATCTGTGATGTTTCATCATATTCCTCGCGGAATGAGCTCTGCTCGCTATTGCTGTGTTATGAGACTGCATCAGCAAGATAGTCGATGCTACTTATGGCCCGAATATGCTTATTCCACTCGGCGCAGTTCTTTCACAGCAAGATATTGATTAATAACAACAGTATGAAACTACTCACAACTTCCTGCATCTTCATCGTCCTCCAAGCTTCGATGAATCTAGCAAGAAATACAATTCGCAATCAAAGCCGATATTCGGGTCCCGTCCAGATGGATAAGAAATCCAAAGTGATTTTGAAGCAAGTCGCAATGAGTCAGCACCTATAGTAAATTAACTCAGGTTCAAATGGCATCCTGCCTGAAGTCAGCACTGTTTTTTAGATTACACCAAGTCATGTCCAATCAAGACTTCTCCCCATCGAGACTACACAATACGGTACGTACCTAAGCCAATTACAATACGTAAATCGGCCCTTCGAACGATCCGGCGAATCTTCGTTTGAGCTCAATCTCGTCCGTTGTATTATTATCAGAAGACTTGACAGAAGTCGTAAATCCACAAAGATCACAATCGAAATCGCCAGATCTCCACTCATAGCCCAGCGAGTTGTTAAACTTAATATGACGACAAGTGGAAGACTCCGTTGAGATCTCCCACCCGGGTGCTTTACCCTCGAAGCCGTCCATATTATTCCATTCGGTCTTGGGACTTTTCGGGAGGATCAACGACAAGAACATGGAAGGATCTGGTGCTGCCTATACCGCTACTTTCCCGTACTGAAGACTTATACTGTGCAGCTTGCTTGATGGAACTACACCCTCAAGAGGGAATTCAACATTGATCATTACCATTTTAAGCACCCGAGAGTACGCGAGTGCCGGTTGCCGCGCACTTATGTGCTCTGTCCACCACATCGCTGGCTTAGCCAGAGAGAGATTCTCGAGCTCAGGGAGTATTTGCGTACGAGACCCGACTCGAACAACTCGCGGTCTCCTCCCTTGGTATACCTGTAGAAGTCGTAGACAAAAAACAGAAATGAGAAGTACCAGGATCATACTGCCTAGTCTAGCCCATCCAAGCATTAAACAACCATGCCCAGCCACACGACTCCTTTCCTAATAACACTGATTACAAAATATAACTCTACAAGAAAACCCGGGGAACGATAACCAAATAACGTTAATTATGTGGGGGCTCTCGACAGAAGCGTCACGGTGACATCACCACCCGCAAGCCTCAGCGTAGAGAACTGTGGACACAACAAGCCCACAAAGCACGGAAAAGATAACCACGAAAGAAAGAAAAAGAATAAAGAACGCCATAATTGTCATATCATCCATAGCCTCGACCGTGTCATGTCCGCAGGAAGTCTCAAGATCCAAAGAAAGCCTCGTTTCCACAAAGCAACCCATGAAACGCACTCTGAAACTTAACCCCGCAGAACAAACAGCACAATCACGCCGAGCGCGGATCCTCATCCTCCGTCAAAATCCCCTGAGTAATAAGCGCCTCGGGCTCGGGACGATTCTGAATCTTGTGCTCCAGATTATCGGCCAACATATGGCGCTCGAGTTCACGGGCGTGAGCCTGCAGGGCCGGAGCGGCGGTGGAAGCGGGGAGGATATTACCTTGTCTGGTTAGTATAACGGCCGAGGATAACGTCCGGGGGTAATAGCGCGTCAAAGGCATGAAAACAGCATGTGTAACGCATGTGTAAACTGTAGAATCAGAGAGACAACAGAAGGAACGGGGAGATATACGCTCCACCAACTCATCTCGCTCGGGTCTCTTCTCGAGGTTCTTCTTCAGACTGTCCGTCGCGCGCTGGCGGTCCAGTTCCTGCTGGGCGGACTGGAGAGATCTGTTGCTGGTGTTAGTAGAATGGAGACGTCTGTCTAGGATGACGAGGTCCTGTACGGTGCCACATTGGTGTTCAGCAGGATATGGCGGTTCTTGAGGTCCTGCATGTCCGGGCGCGTCTGGAGATGTTTCTCCAGCGAGTTGCGGCGCTCGTGCGGGAAGGCGCTGAGGGGAGTTTCGTCGATGGCGCTGGTCATGGTGGAAAAGGTACGAGTGTGGATTGATGTTAGTGATGGATGTTAGGAATGGGGAGGAAGGAGAGGAGGATTTGTTCGATTTTTGTAAGAAAAAAGAGGAGAGAAGAAAGAGGAGTTGAGGTGAGTTTGTCAAGTGATGAAATGCAAGTCCCACGGGCCCGTCACGCGGGGAAGTCCCGTCTCATTGGACAAAAGTACGGAGGTATACAGTTCTACATTATTACCTCAGATATTATAGATAAAAATAAAATGAATAGTCAAGCTTGTATTCGACCCTCTCGTAGTACATCCGAGTAAATGCAAATCCACTCTCATACATGACCGAGACCCAAAGCAACGTCTCGGATGTCAAAGTGGAAAGCTATCTGGGGCAGTCCATATTCTCTCAAGGAAATTCCAGGGTACAAAAAAGCACGAGGGGTGTTTCTTTTTCCAGGGGGGCATTCAATCCATGCAGCACTGAAGCCGCGAATCGATGTTCTCCAGGAGTTCATCCACCGCATCGCGTTTGTCCGGGGTATCCAATCAATGCCCACACGGTTTGGAAGCCATTTGCCGAGGGGAAAGATGGGAGATGGAGAGATTGGGAAGAGAGTTAAACACGTCCTGCGGGGACTCCTCAGTCTTGGAGTCTCCCTCGCGCGATCATATCCGTCCTGCAAAGGAAAGAAAGACAAGCCCGTTCCGATTCTGGAGTGCACTTGGTTCACGAAAAAAAGAGATGCTCGGTCTGCAGCGAAGCTCGATCATGTCGAGATCTGCCGCAGACCTGGCCTTGCCTTCAAGGAACCCATAGCTTACCCCGTCCACGGCCACTGCCTCGTCCAGGGCCACGAGTGGACCCTCCGCGACGTCCACCCGAACGGCGAGATGCCCCGGCCATGCCACGAGCAGCACCCTGCTGGGTGCTCAGGTCCACGGTAGCTGGCGCTTTGTTCGCACCACCCAGAGAGCGGCTGAACGAGTCCGGATCAATGGGCTGGGTAGGAACCTCGATAGGAGTAGTCTCAACGGCAACCGGTGCGGCTTTCGGGGCAGCCTTACGAGAGGACCCACCCCGGCCACCGCGCGAAGAAGATCCCTTGCCGCCACGACCACCACGAGGGACGAAAACCAGCTCATCCTCGTCAGAGTCCTCCTCGTACGATAGGAGGGTCTTGGGCTGTTCCGTAGGTTGAGTCTGGGTCTTCTCGACGTATTTGCAGCGGTTCTTGTACTCGCGTTCCTCGTATTGAATTGCAGTGCGTAGCTGGAGAATGTTCTTGACTCCAATACCAAACTTCTGCGCCCACACTTGGGTCGCGCGATCGTTCGTCACCAGGATACAGGTCTTGGCGGAGTTCTCGGCGTCCGGACCGCTATGAAGACGCCACAGCAGCGCGCTCAGCAAAGGGCGCAACACGGGCGGAGCGATTGGGATGGTAGAGCCAGATTCGGTGCGCTGGTGTCCGGACTTGGGCTTTTCGGCTTTATTGGCAGTACCATTCTCGTGTTGAGCACACTCGGGGCTGGTGCGCGAGCTGCGAGACGAAGTGCGCGACCCTGGTCCACTGGGAGAACCGGCCGAGGTGATAGATGCGGCCTCGGCGTCTTTCTTAAAGTTCAACTTGCTCAGCAGCATCTGCGACAGGTCGTCCTGACCGGAGGTTCCATTATTCCTTTGAGATTCTTCGGGCGCGGACTCGGTAGATTCCGCCTCGTCAATCGCCTCGGGTTCCTCCTCGAATTCGGGCAAGAAGAATTTCTCTGCATCCTCCCAGCGCTCATACTGTTCCATGGGACCTTGCAGGGTGACACGGTCGGCGGTGATATGGTCTTTGCCAGAGGTAACTCGGTCGAGGAAGCGAACAGCCTCGCGGGCATTGATGGCGGTTTGCGATCCTGCCCGCTTAAGAGCATGGAGCCGTTCGAGGGCTGGAAAGAGGAAGGGAGAAAAAGAAAGTTAGATCAGCCAGTAACCAGCGACGAGGAACGTCGGAAGGGGACTGCTCCTCAAAAAGTATCGAGATACCTACTGTAAAGAGGGACAATGAGATCGATGGCGCCGTTGGTGGTCCATTTCTTGATCTCGCTGATGTTGGTGGTCAAGGCCGTCTCGTCCACGGCGCAATGAAAGACCTTGCGTCCGGTCGACATGGCGGGCACTAAAAACGAGCGTCTTTTGTTGGAGGGGGTATGAATGTAGGATCAGGGAAGGGCAAAGGGCAAATGTGCCCTAGACCGGGGAACTGGATGTATTGACAGCCGCGACTAGACAGGTCGGGGGTGGTCAGCAAAGAGGGCCGATGAAGGAGGTTTGGGGCGATGGAGGGACATGAGAATGTGGGGGCAGGGCGGGTGGTCGGTATGACGCGGATGGTGGGAGGTGGAAGTTACACTCACAATGAGAAGCCTGGGGATAAGAGATCATCTGCAGCATCTTTAACCTTGGGGGGAATTTACCAGGAGAGCAGCGCTGGTTGTTCACGCTGGAGACGAGAAACTTCTAAGGTTCCTGTTGCGACGATGACCTCGATGGGGCTGACTAAGCCAATTGAAGGCGGGTTCCTGATAAAGGAAACCTACTAACTGGGCAACTAGAATTAAGTAGATCAAGAGTATTAAAGATCAAGTGACGTGAAATTGATAGAAGATATCAGAGAAGGATGGGAAGAAGATGTAAGAGGGATGCATTTAGAGATGACGTAGAAGCTTAAAATAAGCACCTCAACGACAACGAGTGGAGTATCGTCTAAAACAGGAAACAAGAAGAGCTAAACGCGATACCAAGTCAAGAAAGGCAAAGGTCCAGTCCCATCGTCCTTAGGTTCATGAGCTCTCATAATTTCTACGACTTAACCTTCTTGATCAGGCCATCGGATTCCTTGACTCGTTGAGCCCATTCACTAGAACCATGTTAGCAGTCTTATCAGTAAACACAATGCTTTCCATAGTGTATAACTCACGTCCAGCTGCCGTCATATACCCGACGGAGATTAGGGTTGCCATAGTCTGCCTCTCCCAAAGCTGTCTCAATGACCGTCGCCGTTACGCCAGTGCCACATGAACTGATAATTGATCGAGAAGGATCAACCTTGTGATCCTCAAAGACCTTCTTCAACTGCTCGGCGGGAAGATAAGTCTTGGTCTCGGGGTCCAGCAATTCCTGGAACGGCAAGCTCTTTGAGCCTGGGACATGACCGGAGGAAAGACCGGGGCGCGGCTCGGAGTCAGTACCAGCCCAGCGACCATACGAGCGAGCATCCAAGATCTCGATCTCCTCCGCACCCTCCTTGCCATAGTCCAATGCCAGCTCCTTCATCTCACGGAAGGCAATGACCAACTTGGAATCGTAAGTCGGCACGGGATACTTGCTCTTCTCGACGGGAGCGGGCTCGCCGCTCTCAGTGGGAAGACCCTCGCGGGTCCAGAGGCGGTAGTTGTTGAGAATGTGGACATTGGGGTGACCAAACACACGCAAGGTCCAGCCCACACGGGGGGCACTGAAGATACCCAGCTCAGCCGTATCGTAGACCACCACCTCGTCATCGCGGCGGATACCAAGTTCACTCATCGCCTCAGCGAATGTCTCGCAGGTAGGGAGCATGTGTGGATAAGGCGAATCATGGTCCTTGACCGCATCAAGGTCGAAGAAGCGGGACTGCGGGATACGAGACTGGCGGAACGAGTCAATGCCCTTGCGACCTTCGGGGTCATTGGGCATGAACCATGCTGCACAGAGGGGAATCACTCGTGGAGCAGTCGAAATCTTAGTCGGTGGGTTCTTCTTGAGAGCTTCATTGAGCTGGGTCGGAGTAACCAAGTAGGAGGAGAAGGAGATATGGCGAGCCTGTTGCCCAGGACGGGTAGTAAAGGTCATATTTGTGCGAAAAAGACGAGTGGGAGAAGCACCGAAGCGAGCGGCCATAGTAGCCATGGTCTAAAGGGTGGGAATGGTCTCCTTATGTCAAGGTCAAGTTGGATTTACATCGGAGCGGAAGGTGTGGAGGAGGTGCGGAGAAGCGTCTCATGTGATAATCACGATAACAACTCGAAACTTTGATAAGCCGATAAGCGGACCCCAACCCGTTGCTTTCCCTTTTCCACTGCCATTCCTCTGTTACGATTCCACAGGCTTCATTTCAAACGCCTTGATCTTGCCTTACAATGAAGGTCACTCTAAAGGAATGGAATGCCGTTGCCACTTGGCACTGGGACATGCCCGAGGACGAGGTGTGCGGTATCTGCCGCGTCCAGTTCGACGGCACATGTCCGACCTGCAAATTCCCCGGCGATGACTGCGCCCTTTGTGAGTTGCTACAATGCGCCCATTACCCCTCAAGCGGGTTTCCTTGGATCCATACTAATCTCCACTCTCTGCGAAATTAGTAATTGGCAAATGCGGCCACTCGTTTCATATGGTGAGACTATCGACGCGTCGTGATGTGCGTGGGGGGGTAACCGACTGACATTGTGGTAAACAGCATTGCCTCATGACTTGGATTCAACAAGACTCTTCAAAGGGACTGTGCCCGATGTGTCGTCAAAGTGAGTGTCTATCGTCCTGCCAGAGATATTTCCTGGTGTATTCAATGCACTAACAACCGCCAGAATTCGAGTGGGTCCAAGAAGAAAAATAGTGGTCTCGGTGACGGTGTACTTTGCATTTCCCCTCGCGGCAGGCGTTCGGCGGGTTGATTAAAGATACCCTTTCTTTTCCTTTCCATTTTCTGGACCAGTGTTTTCTTCCGTCTTCTCCTCTATTCATAGATGATCTTACAGCTTAACATCATTCAAGTTGGTTTGGTGGCTAGCTACACTATACATCTGACCAAACGTGTTGACCGGAGCTACTCCGGAGCTTCACCACCTATTACCCAATTCATAAACTAAATATTTCCACTATCAAGTTCACTCGCCATAGGATATACATATTGTATGATTGATCTATGTGGATTCGGACTCAACGCCGAAGTCAGGCCCGGGGGTCAACCCGTTTGAACGACTAAAGAAATGGCGAATATATATCCACCATTTGCTCATCTCCGTTCTAAATTATGCCACCACAAATTGCCAGGACCTTATACATCCCAATCTGATAATATCCATGGCATATTTCACCATATATATCCAATTTTCAATCGACTTGAGAATCATTATTCGTATAATCTCATCAACATCAAAGAAGTAGATCAAGTAAACCCGATGGCATCACGTGCTGCTATCGATAAGAAGCTCTGGGGAAGCGACATCATCCCAGTCACCTCCTCCACTCCGGCCATGTAGCGACGGACATGTCTGTGAATAATACTCATCCTCTCCCGGTCTCCCCTTCCTCACAGTCCTCTTTCACCGACCCTCCACCCCGTCCAACCACCTCCTCCCGACCGAGCGACCAGTCCGTCGGCACATCCGATGACCACCCTATAGATGAGGCTCCACCCCAACACGCCTTGCCGATCACCTCTCCAACCCACGATGGCGCGACAGACGAGCCAGGCCATGACGACGGCGCAGAGCACAACCCAAGGGTCCTCCCCCAGCCCTTCCAGCCATTCTTCACTCTAATCGAAGATGCCCATACATCAGACCACCACCACCCAACGGTGCACTACATATTCTCTGATGACGACACGGACATCGTAACGGAAGCCGCTCTACGCAGCTTGGAGGCTCAACAAGAGGCTGTCCCGGGATCCAAAAAGGTGGACGGGCGTACGACAAACCCATCGCACAACCCCGCAGAACAACACGACAATGACAAGTCCGCACTCCTCCCGCCGCCGATACCGGGGGTCCGCGATAACTACATCGTGCTAGACGTCGAACCGGTGCCCGTTACCCCAGCGGGGACTACACCACCCGACCCATGCACAGCCGCGCCCCTCACAGCCGGCGCAGGTGGTACAAAGTCCATGTCCACGTCACCGGCGAACCCGTCCACGCTCGCATCCCAACATCCATCCCCAGGGCCGACCGTACCACAGCCCCAGTACCGTGTAACGTCGGCGAAGAGTTTCTCGCCGACGTGGCAGGTACTAAGCAGTGAGATGGTAGCGGCGCCTACATTCGAGAACCAGAATACCAGTGACGCGCCGGGACACGGATTGATGTTGAAGATTTACGGGACGGCGGGGATTCCGGGGGACGTGGGGAAGGAGAAGGGGGAGAGGGGGACGCCTCGGTTAGAGGATATGATGGATCAGTTTGCGAAGAGGATGCGCGAGTTGCAGATGGTTATTGATGCGGCGGATGTGGCGCCTCCCGAGGAAGGGGAGGGGGAAGGCGAGGGGGGACGTGATGAAGAAAGTCAAGGACTGCTGGGGCAGAAGACAGCCACAGATGAACATACAGTGGGTGACGAGGCTGCGAAGCAAGGGAGGGGTACAGAATGAACGATGCACTTGAGAAAGGCGATGTGGCTTTGGTCCCACTTGGTTGATATTTGGTTTCACTTGGGGAGATTGAATTTTGGCGCACATTTTGACAAATACATTGGCGTTATCGAGTTTATCTACTGACAGGCCATGTTTGCCTGCTGGGTATACCATCTTTTCTCTTTTTTATCCTTGGCTACATGAATTGAAGAATCTTTGGGACAGAAGTCAAGATGAAAGGATTCAATTAAGAGCAGGTGTGGCCCTGGCACACGAAGAATGCCATGATAGAAGTAATATCGAAACACAAAAACACCGGATGAAGGACGCTATCCTCTAGTTTATGGACACTCCAATCTATCCAAACAAAAGAAGCAAAAAAAGTGAATGACACTCCCACACGGTTTTCTCAGCCAGAAACTCCGGTCCCGAAAGGGAAAAGACCAGCGACATTGGGTATCAAGATGTTAAACTCGACAGTGAAACAAGAAAAAAACAAAGAGAACATGAAGAGAGGTGAAAGAAAGACATAAGTGATGCAAGGTGAGCACAAACTTATTCCGCGTTGCGACTCCTATATCTGCGTCCGCCGCCAATAGCAGATGGGGGCACATTCTCTCGGCCCTCCATCATGCCGGCCATCTTCTTGGACAGCATCTTCTGAGGCAGCTTGGTCTCAACGGGGGGATGGCTGGAGGCAGAGCGGCGACGCTTCAAAGGTGGCTGCTCCGGTTCTTCCATATCGGGGGTTTCCTCCAGGTCCATGGGAGGCGCGGGTGCAGTAATTTCAGGGTTGCCGACGGGCACATTGTCGTCATCAGTATCGTGCGCGTGTTGTTTGGCGACGTTTAAATCGACTTCCCTAAGGCCAGTGTTGGAAGAATTGATTCCGGAGGACGAAGGATGAGTCCCTACCTCTTCCGCGGCGTCGCTATAAACGAAACCTTTGGATGGCGAAGAGACCGGGGAGCTGGGAATGGGAGCTGGTTGAGCCTCTTCGCTGAAGGGAAGAGCTGTGAATTGCTTGGAAGTCCGGTGCCGAGAACGAATTCCCTCGTGTGACTCAGTGCGAGGTAGATCCGTGCTGTACTCATACTTTCGCTTCTTGGGAGTTGCCCCGGTTGGAAGATACTCCTTCATGGGGTGGCTCTGGACGTTGTCGCGCAGCTCAGAGAGTGGCTGGCGGATCTCCTCAAGAAGAGGAGCAGCCGCCTGCTCGAGATGTTCGGTATGCATGTCGACATCCTCCTGAAGCTCGCTTACACGTCCATGGAGGCCATCAAGCTGTTCCTGAATGGCTGTGCGCGAGTCCCGACCATTAGTGGCCATGGCATCCAGACTACCAAGCTGTGCCTCGTGGAAGCGGCCATTATGAGACCGAGCCTTGGCGACAAAGTCATCTAGAGCTTCCATTTGCTTGCTCATGTCGCTCATCTGAGCATCCACAATCCGCACAGTCTCCTGGTGTACCGACTCGGTGGCCCGCTGAATTGACGCATTGCGTTGATCAAAGTTCTACTATAGTTAGTTCCGCTTCCTCAAATATAACGATGCAGTGTAGAACTTACCTCCCAGTCGTTCTGCATCTTAGTTCGAATCTCATCCCGGGATGCCGTCACGTCCTTGGCGAATTGCTCTTCCTTAAAGATCCATTCGTCGATGTGCCGGTCATATTGCGCGGTGGCTTGCTCCAGGGAATCACCGGACGCCGAAATATCAGTGCGAACAGATTCGTACTTGCTCTTGAGGCGAGCAGACTGTCGTTGATTAGACTCCTCGAGTAGGTGCCGAATCTGCGACATCAAGGTTTCCCGCTCCGCCTGGGCATTGGCCTGCTCTTCTTCCATAATCTGAGCAAGGTTGGAAGAGGCCTTGCGGTTGGCCTCTACCGACTGGCGGTTTGCTTCTTGAAGCTCGAGTCGCAGCTTGTTGATCTCCACCTTTTGCTGGTCCAGATGCGATGCCATGTTCTCGAACATGGACTTGAAGTCTTTGCCCAGGGTGCTGTATGATGAGTGAAGCTGGGAGTGAAATTCTGAGAACTCGCCAATGACTTCTTTTGAGATTCGTGCAGCTGCCGCTGAAAGGCCGTTCAAGCCTTCACCAACCTTAGTCTTGACATCCTCACGGAGAACCTTGATCTCTTCGAGAACCTCGTTCATTTCGTCGTGCGCACTCGAAGTTTGCTTCTTCGCATCGGCTTCGACCTTGTCGAAAGATGATGCAAACTGCTGAACTTGAGACCGAGTAGATTGGACAGCATTGAGCTCGTCACCGATAAATTGGTGAATCCTGTTGGACATGGTCTCCAGAAGCTCCGCATGTTGAGCCTGGAAGTTTTCCATGCGCGCATCAATCTGTTGAGTGACATCAGACACCTCACCAGTGGATGCCTCCCAGGTCTGACGGTTTTCAAGCTCCAGGTCATCCTTTCGCTCAATTTTGGCGTGCAGCCCATTGATATCCTCGACAGTATGATCCAAGCTCGACAGCAGACCTGCGCCAATATCACGAAGAATGTTTTCTGTAGCTTGGTGAGCTTTTCTCAGAACGGTCTCTTCATCCAGCTTCTCCGAAGTATTCTTGAGGCTGGATTCCGTTTGCTCAAGGATACCTCGCGTGCTCTTGAGCTTGGCCTGGGTGTTCTCGTTGTCCTGCTTCAACGTGTTGAAATTGGCCGTCAGAGAAAATAGCTCCTGGACCTTGTGTCGCAGACTCGATTCCATAGACTCGATCTTGGCTCGTTGTTCCTCGTTGACAATTCGCCGGGATTCGCTTTCCGTGGTAATCTCCTCGTACGCATCCGGGGTCATGTAAACACCATTACGGTGGCGCGTGGCAATGAGCTCACTCTTGAGCTTCTCAATTTCCATTCCAATCTCACGCAGCAGCTTGTTTTTCGACACCATGGAATTGATCTGTGGTTTGTTGCGGATGTTCTTGGCTCGGAAAGCATAGTCGAGTGTCGAGATTGTCTCCTCTAGGTTGGTCTTTGCGGGAGATACTGTCGCGATAATGCATGTCTTCGTGCGGCCACCCAGAGAATCTTGCAGGAGCCTGGTCAGCTTCGACTCCCGGTACGGGATGTGCGAGCTCTTGTCCACCAGAGCATTAATAACTCGACCAAGAGTCAGCAAACTCTTGTTGATCAAGCCAGCCTCGGTTGCTCGTTTATTCTCGGCACCACTTCGTCCAATGTTCTCGCTACCAGCCAAGTCCACCAAGTTGAGTTTACCAGAGCTGACATAGTCCTCGCCAGACTCGGTGGTGCGCTTGGTGAGAACCGTTACCGTGAAGACTGTATGACTACGCGAACTTAGGTCGTTGCATTTTGTCGCGGCCACCTGGCGCTTGTGGCTGCCCATCTGTAGCAGCTTGATACCAGTTGATGCCGAGTCGATATATGTTTCCTCCATTCCTTGAACTAGTGTGCCAAGGTGGCCCTTCTTCTCATTCTCATAGATCTTGAGTTTCGTGTTGTCATCGGCGGCAAGGAGATCACGAAGCTCCTCGTTGTACAGCTCGATGAAAGAGCATTTGACAGTGCTTTCCGTGTCTTCGAGTTTGTGGAAGAGCGAATAAAGTGTGCGCGGGATAATGCCTGCATCGTCTGATAGTATCCCCAGAGTATCGGTCATGTCTCCAGACATGGTGTATGTTTTTCCGGTTCCTGTTTGACCATATGCGAAAATCGTGCAGTTGTATCCGGCGAGCATCTTTGGTCCGAGTCAGCTTGAACAATTTCAAGGACGGAATCTGCTCAACTCACCTCATTCACGATTGGAAGCACCACCTCCTCGTACACAATGGTCTGATCCGCTGCTGGTGAAAAGACTTTGTCGAAAGCATATGTCTTATTCGAAAGCGCATTGGGTCCCATCGATAAATCCAAGTTCTTTCCACTCACGCCTTCCGTGGAGAGAACAACGCCACTGTTTTCCTTGATTTCACGCTCATTACGCCCCCGGCAGCGCACCACCACGTGGATGCTTGTATCCTCGTTGATCTCTCGTTCGAATTCCCTATCCTTTCTCTTGTTGATTGTGCTAGCTTGATCGACACTCGGCTTTTGTACACGTGCAATTGAGGAGGCGGCTGGTTTCGCAAAAACTGCTGGCGATGCCTGTCGATCGGGGGCTGTGGAGCCGGCTCGTCGAGTCGGTTGGCGCAAACCCGTCCGCCTGGCGGCAGCGGGGATGGCAGAGGTAGCCCGTCCTGGGGCGGGCATATTGAGAGGGGCTTGCAATAATGTGGGCAGCAATAAATCTCCTTCAAGGTCGAAGAGGGAGTGGAAGAAGATTAGTGCATCAAAATCGGGTTGCCGATGGGTCGCAAGTGTAAGTGCAGAAACGAGGATGCGGGCGGATGGATCCCTTTGGGCAAAACATAAACAAACCCCACGTGACCGTCCCGTCTTGGACGCCGCCCCATCCAGTACAAGCACTCACCTTGACAAGCAAAACCGCTTTCTTTAATTTTGAATTACGCAGATAAACAACTTTTTTATTTATAGGTTGAGACTATAAAGGTATTCGGATTTTTGCCTCAATATTGGTACTTTCTATTTGACATTGATTATACACTCCGTCTGAAGAGTGCTGGTCAGTTGCGATAAGCTGATAAAGCGATGATCACACGTGACCTCCCCTCAGTCATGCTCCCCTCTCACATGACTGGCGTCATCGCATATCCCCCGCGGGCTTCTTATCGGTGACTCCCTTACTTTGTCTCCTCCTTTCATCTGGCCCCTCGATGATTTGGAGAACAAGCGCACTGCAGCCACGATGACCGCCCGATCGGCACCGGTTCAGATTTTCCCAGGCAAGGGCCTAGGCTTCATCAGCATGTTTCCCTCCCCCAAGTCCTTGACCTATAAGGCTGTGGACAAGGTAGCTAATCGTTGCGCAGCACTCGGTGCCTCTCTACACAACGTCCTGACTCGCGTCAAGTCTCACCCCCAAACATACCCCGAGATCGACCTAGCATATTCCTCGACGGACCCTCTTCGCAACCCTGTCATCTTGAAGTTGCCTGCCAACGGCTTGCGATTACGGTTCGACGGACCCGACCAGAGATTACGTTTGATCGAGGTGTTAGACTTCTCGCGGAGCAGTTTGGTATATAAGAATCAGGATGTGCTGAAGGGGGCTAAGTCGACCGAAGCGTCCTCCACCACCTCTCAAGGTCCCGGCTTTCGGCATGTCTACAACCGCCTCTTCGGGCCCTCCTATCCAGGCGAATACATCGAGCCAGCCGAGAATCAGTCACAATACGGCACATATGTACTATCATACCCAGGTGTATCGTTCTCATTCCCTCTTCAACATTCCGCATGGTCCGACTCGTGTGACTTTGTAGCACTACTTTCATCCTCCGCTGCACTGCCAGCAACATCCATGGCCATTTTCCAAGGGTCTTCATGGCCCGAGGTTCGCGCCAAGTTGTTCACTCAGCAGCCCCAGTATCCGCGCTCCTCTGCCGTGGTCAGCAAGACTCGCGACGCATTTGCTGACGAAGTCGAAGAGTTCCATATTCTGGGTGCCGGGAGGTTAGAAGTAGAGCGACGGAATAATCCACCAGCACAGATCATCCTGGGGGAGACCACCCCTCAGGATATGATTGCCGAGTTCGGTCCTCCCGATGCCATCTACCGTAAACATGACCGGCGGATATCGATCCACCGCGCAACGGGCAGTGGTGGCACGGGGGATCCTCTGCATATGAGTCCATCGCCTGGGACAGGAATCGAGATTCCAGATACTGACCACTCCTCCAATAACAGCGTAACTGATGACTCGGATGAGGAAATATCTCCAAATAGCATCAGTGATCCAACCTCACTGCCTGCCGAATGTTTCTTCAACTACTTTCATCATGGATTCGATGCATTCATTTCTTATCCAACAACCCCAGGGCCTGCATTCCCTCAATCAGGGATTCCAGAGCCCTCTTCTCAGCCTTCTCTACCACAACTGACCGTAACGAAGATCATTTTGCATGGAAATGTACCAGGATCATACCCGTTCAACCGTCATCGTCGCAGTCGGTGGACCATACACCTTGACCAGTCCGATGACGGTTTAACCTCCGAGTCCTCCTACGATGACATTTCTAAGCGATTGCACGATGTTTGGAAGGGCTCGAATGCCAGCCCGGAAGAGCAGCGAGTCATGCAACGGCCAATGGTTCTGAACCGCGGCTGGGGTGACAGTCCTGAGAGCAGTGTCGAGTTCCTCGGTGGGTGGGAAGAGACCACAGCCCGAGGACAGCGAAACGGCCCCGACGGACATGATGGCGGACTAGGCAATACTGAACTCTTTGGGTTTCCAGGGTTGTTGTTCGAGGTATTGAAGAACGGCGCGGTGAGCTGCCTCACGGTTTATTAGCCGAGTCCTTCGGTATGCAATCACTTTTGGCGTTGGGATAGGATATGACATTTTTTTTTACATTGAAGACGCAATTGAGGATGCGACCATGAGCTATGAATTTTAGGGTTTCTCTTTAGGAAGTTTGTAAACATCTAAGATCGCATGTAACATCCCGTTTCTAGAATACCAATCTTTCATGCCAGTTGTATTGCAGTTCCTTGTAACATTCGTCATTACCCGTAAATCCCCCAATCCCCATCTCGACCGAACCTCCGCGCGATTCTTCGCATCTCCCGTAACGACTTCAAACTTCCAAAGGGGAGATGCAGGGAGGATGCACAAACAGGCGCGGTTACTCCCGAAGTCCTGGACGTCGACTCTAAAACTCCCCAAGTCGACGTTCCCCCCGCGAGTGTCGCCGGCCGACCAGACAAAATACCTAAAGCGATCCACCGATGAGCTCTACGCCTGGCAGCGCCGCGAACGACCGGCCAATAAACCCTTCGTCCTCCACGATGGACCGCCCTACGCGAACGGCGAATTGCATATTGGACATGCGCTCAATAAAATTCTAAAAGATATCATCAACCGGGTACAATTGGGTCGGGGTAAACAAGTTCGGTATGTGCCGGGCTGGGACTGCCATGGCTTGCCAATTGAGCTCAAGGCCCTCCAGGGTCTACGTGATATGGGAGTCATGGATGGATCAGTTAGTCCGGCTGTGATCCGCAAGTCTGCGCGCCAGCTGGCTCGACAGACTGTCAAGGAGCAGATGAAAGGCTTCCGCGGATTTGGAGTCATGGCCGACTGGGAGAACCATTGGAAGACGATGGACAGACAGTTCGAGATGCGTCAACTAGGGATCTTCCGAGAGATGGTTGACCATGGCCTCATCTATCGCAAGTTCAAGCCTGTCTACTGGTCGCCTTCTACCGGCACTGCACTGGCAGAGGCTGAGTTGGAGTACAAGGATGACCACGTTTCCACCGCGGCTCTAGTCAAGTTCCCACTCGTGAATATCCCATCACACCTATCTGCGGACCCCTTACTCAAGTCGGATGGTGTGAGTGCTGTGATCTGGACTACTACACCCTGGACCCTGCCTGCCAATGCCGCTATTGCCGTGAACAAAGAACTGGAGTACGTGATTGTACAGTCCGAGACCCATGGCAACCTGCTGGTCGCCCAATCTCGGTTCGAATATCTTGAGAGCATGCTCAAGGAGGAGCTCTCCGTCATTGTACCCTCGATCCTAGGCTCCGAGCTGGCTGAAAAGACGACCTACCGGCCTATCCTCAAGGGCGCCGACGCTGATCCTCAGCCAATCATCGCCGCAGACTTTGTCACCGCGGATTCTGGCTCTGGACTGGTTCACTGCGCACCTGGCCACGGTATGGATGACTATGAAGCCTGTCTCGCTCGCGGTATTCCGGTCTTTGCCCCCGTCAACGACGAAGGTCGGTTCACGGAGAAAGCCATGCCGCATGACCCCTCTCGTCTCGCTGGCAAGCCAGTGTTGGGAGAAGGTAATGACCTTGTACTGGCATATGTTAACTCCCACGGTTATCTCCTCGCGCATCACAAATATGAGCACAAGTACCCTTACGACTGGCGGTCCAAGCAGCCGATTATTATTCGTGCCACCGAGCAATGGTTCGCCGATGTGGCTGATATCCGCAGCAGCGCGCTCAAGGCCCTGGAGGATGTTCGATTTGTTCCGGAAGCTGGCAAGCATCGATTGAATACCTTTGTCAAGAACCGCAGCGAATGGTGTATCTCGCGACAGCGTGCCTGGGGTGTGCCTATCCCTGCCATCTATCATCGGACCACCGGTGAAGCTGTCTTGACCAAGGAAAGCGTGTCCCATATCATGAAAACTATTGAAGAGCGTGGTATCGATGCTTGGTGGACTGACGATGCTGACGACGCCGCTTGGGTGCTCCCCTCTCTGCGGGATGACTCGGCCGGTTACCGACGAGGCACTGATACGATGGATGTGTGGTTCGACAGCGGTACCAGCTGGGCGGAGATTGATGTCCCTCTTGAAGGCCGCAGTCATATTGCTGACGTCTACCTGGAAGGATCCGACCAACACCGTGGCTGGTTCCAGTCCGGTCTTCTCACATACATTTCTCATCAGGTCGCCTCGGGTCAGAGCGATGCCACTCGCGCTCCTTTCCGCAATCTCATCACACATGGATTCACTCTTGATGAAAATGGACGTAAGATGAGCAAGTCTATCGGTAATACTATTGCACCTCAGACCATCATGGATGGAACTCTGCTGCCCCCTCTCAAGCCACGAAAGGGTAAGGGAAAGAAGCAGCCAGAGAACCAAGCGCCAACGTATGATGCCCTGGGACCCGATGCCATTCGCCTGTGGGCTGCTAGTAGCGACTACACCCACGACGTGGTCATTGGAAAGCAAGTGCTTCAGACTGTTCACACCAGTCTACACAAGTTCCGTGTTACTTTCAAGCTGCTGCTTGGCGCACTGGGCGACTTCCGTTCCGAATGCATTGTCCCGTACGAGCAGTTGCAGCAGGTGGACCGCATCGCGCTGAAGCACCTCTCCGACATGGTTCTTTCCACGCAAAAGGCTTGCGACAATTTCGAGTTCTACAAGGCCGTTGCCACGATGAACCGCTGGGCTAATCTCGAGTTCTCTGCCTTTTACATGGAGGCGATCAAGGACAGACTGTATACTCTGGGCGAGAACAGCACCAGCCGCCGTGCTGCCCAAACCACCTTGTACTACATCTACCACCACCTCCAGGAAGTGCTGGGCCCCATCACTCCTCTCCTTGTGGAGGAAACCTGGGATCATACCCCTGAGGTGATCCGGTCGCAGAGTGAGCACCCGTTGCGACGTATCGCAACCACCCCGGCGACCGAATGGCAGGATCCTGCCCTAAATACCAGTTATCATGAGGTTGTCGCCGTTCACTCAGTCATCAAGAACCTACAGGAGCAGGCCCGCGGGAAGAAGCAACTCGGCTCATCGCTGCAATCGTTCGTGCACCTGGTTCTTCCCCAGACTAGCAGCACGGTCTTCCACCAGTACCTTTCCGAGCTTCCAGACCTATTTGTGGTGTCGTCCGTCACTCTAGCCGACCCCAGCGATGCTCTTCCAGCCGAGATTGCCCAAGCTGAATGGCAGTACGAGGACGACTGCGAACTCCCTGATGGACAAAAGGGGCGAGTGTACGTCTACGCGCCACAAGCCTCCAAGTGCGCCCGTTGCTGGCGGTATGCCATTCCGGAGCCGGTGGCGAACGATGAGATCTGCGATCGATGTGATTTGGTAGTCAGCGAGCTGGAGGCTGCTGCTGATGCGGCTCCATCGCCTGTTGTCTAGGCTTTGAGAGGCTGAAGTTCTGGGGCGTAGGTTGGCTGAATGATGAATTGTGATGATCATCTGTGACGCGAGATTGTCGAGTCTGCTTCTTCTCTTGTATTATACTCCTCTCTAGCTCTTTGCATAATTTCTTTACATACAAAATGTATTATCATTGAATCAGCGATTTAAACCTAGCCACTTGTAGATCATCCACATCCGATCTACAGAACGATCTATAGCCTGTCAGTCATTTCCTGCTGTGTACCATTCCTTGATTCTGCACAACCCAAACCAACCAACAATAAAACATGATTATGACAACTCAACTCCCAGCCACAACTCCTATTAATAATCCCCCGTAACATGAAAATTCAAAGCAACATGTAACCCAATCCGTACGACATTTCCTGCTTCCAGTGGCGATGACGACAGCGTTTCCCCGTCATCTGGAAGCTGGAATCCTGATTTCCGCCTCCTCCGCCTTTATCTTTAAGACAGCTTCGTCTGCTACTTTTCTTTCCTAATTTTCAATCTATTATTATTTCATTCATCTTCAACGGGGTTTAATCATTCAAGATGATGGTTCCTAACGAGTTTGATACCTTTCCCAAGGTTACGGCCACGCTACCAATCACTACGCCGACTTCGGTGGCTCCAATCCCCACGGTGATCCCCGGCGTCCCGCTCTTCCAGGATCTCCATGATACGGGGAAACGTACTCTTTGGTATGAACCCACTCTAATTTATAGATTAACCTGGTATTCTCCACGATCATCTAACTAATCACTCTTCCTAGGGTTGTCACCGTCCTAATGGGCATATCCTCCCTAGTCTTCTACAGTCTCGCCGCCCGCGCCCCACTGGTAAGAAAGCGCCCAGACCCTCTTCCCCAGATTCAAATCTTATCTCAAGCTTAAGCTTAATCTTAAGCCCCAACCCTGACACCCGTTAAAAAATAAATAAAATAAACCACTAACAACCCACAGTCCAAACGAGTCTTCCACACCCTAACATCCCTAACAACAACCCTCTCCTTCATAACCTATCTCGCCCTCTCCACCGGCCAAGGAATAACCTACAAACACGCCCACGTCGTCTTCCACCACAAACACGTCCCCAACAGCACCGACGACTACTACCGCCAAATCCTCTGGCTGCGCTACCTAAACTGGGCCCTCTGCACTCCCCTCCTGCTAACAACGTTCGCCCTAATCTCCGGCCTACCAGGCGGCCATCTGGTCGCGGCGATAGCGGCCAATTTCGTCATGCTAGCCGCGGGCCTGTTGGGTAGCTTTGCGGGGCATACGGGACAGAGATGGGTTTGGTTGACGATTAGCTGTGTGGCTTATTTGGTCATGTTGCATCATGGGGGGTTCCATGCGCAGCGGGCGGTTAGGAATAAGGATGTGCAGACGAGGAGGTTTTTTGGAGCTTTTTCCGGGTTGGGGTTTTGTGCTTTTGGGTTGTTTCCGATGTATGTGTTCCCCCTTTCTTTTTTTTTTCCTGGTGATGTTATGGAGACATTGCTAATCGTATCTACTAGTGCCCTCGCTGCGGGTTCGCTCGCATTGAAGATCACTGTTGATGTCGAGACTGTTCTTTTTGCGATTCAGGATATCTTTACGCAGGGTCTTTTGGGTTATTGGCTTTTGCTGGCACATGACAGTGCCCAGGGAATGTAAGTGACTTATAACTTACAGTTTATGGTTGGTACCATTACTCACGCTGATCCAGTACTCTCTATGTGGACGGTTTCTGGTCCTCGGGCGTTGGAAACGAAGGCGCTATTCGTATTACCGAGGAAGATGGCGCGTAAATTGAATCTCAGGCTGTCAGTACATTGATCTACTGGCAGTCTCGATGCCTTGGGGCTGTATGAGTTGGCTATTTACCAATGGTGGGCTTTGAAAGTCCCATCTACCTTCTTGGATTGAGCTTCCATTCCTTCATCTTGGATTCGTGCTTTCGCCTCTACTCTGAGGCATTGGGAAATTGGACATTTTGTATTAATTGTAGCAGCATGATTCTTTAATTCTCCATTCACTCATTAAAAATACATGCATTAAAAACTGCTGTCGTACTTATCTTAGTAAGTGTCGGGATACAATATCGTAAATCATCGGGTCGTAAGATCATAACCACCTATTAGCAATATGCAAGGGTAGATCAAGCTAGAAGCAATTCGCCGACTACACCATCTTTCCACTCTTCTTTCAGCTGATAAGATGCAAAAGGGCCCGGGTTTCATCGTCAGAGGCGGGGAATGAGCTCTGGTCCACATCCAACCCGCCCTGAATGTCCACCATTTTCAACTCCATCTGCGGATCGCCAGAGACCATCCCGACGGCAACGGGCTCCAACTCAATCTTCCTCGGGTACCGCACGATAACATTCTTCATAGACTGTGGCAGCCAGAATCCGGCGTCGAGACACTGGCCCTTGAATTTGATGCTTTGCAGTCGTTCTGGATCGAACCAATGCACGAAGGGGTCTGCGTCCACAACAAAGCCTGACAGAGTCAAGTGCTTGACACTGATGCGCTGAGATGTCCGGCCCCTAGTCATAGCCAGGATCTTGGCCTTTTCGATACCGTGCTTGTCCAAGTATTCACCACAGCCAATGTCGGGGTTTAACGCCCCGTCGCCGAGGCTTCCACTTGAAGAAGCTACATTAGCGAGGTATCTTCTTTATTTGCGGTAATATAACAACTTACTGGTACACCGGCTCGGCAGAGTGTTTCTTGTCCATCTCCCATCCATCCGTCTTTGATGGCTTTCCACTGTACTCGGTGTATGGTGCTGTCAATCTCCGGCTCTAGCGCCATTTCCAGGGACAAGTCTTCGAGGCCAAGATTCAACCAAGCAGCCTGCCAGATGAATGCTTGATAAGACTGCAACATGCCGGTGATTTTCAGCGAGCGTAACAAACGAAACTGGCACAGTGGCTCCAGCTCAATGATATTCAGGCGGCCGATCTCGTTTATTTCCTCGGTGGAGGGCCAGAACAGGTCCAAGCCTAGGCTCTTCTTCGCCCGGGGGAGATCAGACCAGGTTAAACCACCACAAAAGCCAATGAACGGCTTCTCTGCAGTTGCAAAGTCGTCGACGGGTGGTGTAGGATGGCGAGAAATCGGAGGAGCGGGTGAAGGGGACACTTCACGCGTCTTAACGACGATACCTGGAGGCAGGTCCGGTTGTTTAAATGGCGATAACCGTCCAAGTCGGAGCGCAGAAGGCGTCACGGGAGCCGAGCCACGAGATGTAAACGGGTTCATAGATGATGGCATCAACTTGCGAGGGGAGGGAGATCGTGTACGGCGCTCGTTGGCCTTTAATCGAGACGTCCCCATCGACAGGGACGAGTGACGCCGGAGGCCAGTTTTGCCTGCATCAGACATACTTAGACGACGCTGTCTCTTTGTGGGAGTCTCCTCGGGGACTAGATTGAATGGGAAGCGTTTGGGTAAATCGAGATCCAGTGCTGAAAGAGAGTTAATGGTATTCTTCAGAATTGACGGGACGGGTCACGAATGATAATCCAAGCATGAGTCGTGAACGCATACTAGTGGTTTACCTTACCAATGTCCAGCTCTTGGCTGATTTTGCCCTCGTACTGCTTTGCATCCTGCCAGAAATCCCATCCCATGAGGGTGTGTCTCCAGTGTTCGGGATGCTCCTCCATTGTGGAGGAACGGTGTAGGGTGTGGATTAAACCACCAGTATGGAAGTGAAGTGAGAACTGAGAACTGAGGTTTGGAGATATGGAGAGGAGGGAGAGAAGGAGATGGGAAAAAAGAAGGTACGCTGCAGCACCTGCCTTTCCTCTTTTGGTCGCGGCCTTGGGCATTGACTTTGCACCACGAAACTGGAAGTCTTAGATTCGAATATGACACTATGAACACAATCAAGGTGATATCATGGATAGATTCATGTTGATGACAGCCATGGAGGTAGAGAACAACATCTCCATGCAGACTAAGATGAAACGAAGGAGGTGTAGGAAGATCGTAGGGAAGCACCCAGTCCTCTTTATATGGCTCTGTCTTTGTCTAGAGGAAATCCTAGTTCAACCATTCTTTGATTAAATCCCTTGGTTCTTTCGTTGATCAAGAGGGGTAGCCTCGAGCCATGCATCCCGCCATGTACAGTATACTACTGTAGTATGTATATGAAGGGTATAGATGGAGGCTCATACTCAAGAGGCTGCAAGTATACTCCACCTGCCACCGGCATAAAGCTATGTACTATGTGGGGACACACTAGGTAGATCTCCGTTAAGCCTCAATCGGCTAATTCAAGATCAGAATCGCTGATGGGTACTACAATCTATAAGGCATCCCAAATCACCACGAGAAACCATCAGTTGGACTGGTAGAAAGGCTGAATTTGCTATTTTTGTTAACCCTTTTTCCCGTGATAAATACATCCATCTGGAGCCCGGGGGAATCAACCCGCAAGCCACCCTTTTTTGTGTTTTTTATCCTGCCAGCCCGGGAGAGAGAGAAAGAAGATGGGGAGTTTTGATTGTGGTGGAGGAAAAAGAAGATTTTTGAAACTTTAAATCATGCTAGCATTATTCCCAATAACCTAGTACTTCTTGCCCTGGCGCAGGACGTCACCGAACTCCTCAAGAGGGGAGCGGATGAGCTTGGTCTCCTTCCAGAGGTTGGGGGTGAGGAAGCCGTAGGTGTTGACGACAGCGACGAAGGTGGCCTTGAGGGTGTTCTCGAGGGTCTTGGTGGAGCCGGAAGAGGAGGTGTAGGCGTCCTGGACACCGGCGAGCTGGAGCAGACGCTTGACGGCGGGGGAGGCAACGAGACCGGTACCGCGGGGAGCGGGAATGAGCTGGAAAAACAAAGTCAGTTCCAATTCCTGATCATTTTGCGCATTTCACGCAGATTTCCCGAATTCATTGAAATTCGAAAAGGGGTCCCAGGATTATACATACACGGACAGCGACGGAACCACACTTGCCGGACTGCTTGACGGGCAGAGAGTGAGGCTCACCGAGGTTGGTACCCCAGTAACCGCGGCGGACGGGAAGGACGGCCAGCTTGGCAATGGTGATAGCGGCACGGATGGCAGTGGCGACTTCCTTGGAGGTCTTGATACCGAGACCGATGTGACCCTCGCCGTCACCGATGAGGACGATGGCCTTGAAGCGGGTACGCTGACCGGCACGGGTCTGCTTCTGGACGGGCTTGATCTGTAGGTGGTTGAAGAGAAAGATGTTAGTTACTGGAGTCTCGAATCAATTTTTACGTGTTTCCGTCAATGGTTCAATTGCGCGAAATTTTTGAACGAGGTGTAGCAATTGCACTCGTGCTTGTCGCATGGGCGCAAATCCTTTCCCGTTCAAAATGCGATTGTCCTCCCAATTCCTCCAATGTGTGTTTCGTGATGCCGGTGTCTGTCGTACCTTCATAACCTCATCCTTCAGCTTGGGGAGGAAGAAGTCCACAATCTGGTACTCCTTGATGGGCAGAGAGTGGAGGTAGATCTGCTCCATGCTGGTGATCTTGCCGGCCTTGACGAGACGACCGAGCTTGGTGACGGGCTGCCACTCCTTCTCCTCCTGCTTTCCACCACGGCGGCCACGGCCACGACGACCACGGCCACGGTCACCACCACGGTCGCCGCGCGAACCGAAACCACCACGTCCACGGGGAGCAGCGTCAGCCATGTTGTATGTATGAGCGACAGGTGAGGTTGTCGAAAGGGGGGTCGATGGGGTCGTCGGAGGTTCGATCTGGACGGACTTGTTTGGCCGAAATTTCGGGTGGGCTAAGCGAGGGCGGGCTGGGTTAACTTGAGGTGTGGTGGCAGCCCTAGAAGTAGCCCTAAGCCCTAATGACCGAATTGGGGGAGGAACTTCAAGAATGACGGAGATGGCACGTGCACTTTAGGCTTTCCAGGGGCAGAGTCAGCTGATCGATTCCAGGGCCCCGTCTCGGGTCCAGACAACATGTACATATAAGACTAGTTATTCTACGGTGTACAAAAGGGGATAAATACAGGGGTATATACCTAGATTACTGTTATACTGTAATTATAGTAGAAAATAGTTTCATAAATTATCTCTCTAATCATCAGAGTCAATATTATATTCATCGATATTTGTACTATATACCGAGTATGTACTCTGTACATAGATTCAAGTCTTGCATATATAGAATATAATAGAATATAGAAATAGAAATATAGATATCTCCAAGACGTATCGACTCCTTCTACGCTAGGGCCAGGCATTCGGAGATATCACAAACCGATCAATAAAAAAGAATCACATGAGCCCAAAAAAAGAAATCCAAATCCTGTTTGGGCCTTGCCGCCCCAGGCGGGTGAATTTCCAAGCCGAGCGAACCCCGTCCCAAAAAACTCGTCTCCGCAATTTAAAGATGGAGATCTTTCCCCCCTCCGACAAGTTTGAACCTGCCCGCAACCCTCTGACGTCTTTTCTTCTTTCCCACCGAATTGACTCGCTTTCTCGTCCTTCTTCCATTTATTCCTCCCATCTCTCTACACACAGTCAAACACCATGTTGCGCTGGTAAGCTCCTTATCTCTCTCCTCCTTGCCTTGACCTTGGCCGCGGGAAACAATAGCTCACCGATTTGATTTACAGGTACCAGAGCAAGTTGGCCAAGAACCCTATCCTCACAGCCAGCATCACGAGCGCCGTATGATCCTCCATTCCCTACACTTCCTCCAGCTCCGTCCTTTTCCAATTCGAATCAATGCGCTCCGATCTAACTCCCATACGCAGGTGTTGTTTGGTAGCGGCGATGTCCTAGCTCAGCAGGCCGTTGACCGGAGAGGTCTGGAGAAGCACGACTTTGCTCGCACCGGGCGCATGGCTCTCTACGGTGGAGGTACGACTGGAATTCCTGAAGATCGCCCTAAATACTAGTCGCTAATCATTCCTCTTTCTCTAGCTGTCTTCGGTCCCGTCGCCACTACTTGGTTCGGTATCCTCCAACGCCACGTCGTCCTCAAGGGCACCGCGACCACCACCGTCGCTCGCGTCGCGGCCGATCAGATGTTCTTCGCGCCCATTCAACTGACCTGCTTCCTATCCTCGATGGCCATAATGGAGGGTAGTGACCCGATTGAGAAGTGGAAGACTGCCTTTGCGCCCGCGTACAAGGCCAATCTGATGGTCTGGCCGTTTGTCCAGGGTGCCAACTTTGCCTTTGTGCCCCTGGAGCTCCGTGTGTTGGTGGTTAACATTGTCAGCTTGGGTAGGTGTTTACTCGAGAACCTACGATTTGACGATTGAAGTGCTAACCTCTCTGCAGGGTGGAACTGCTTCCTTAGCTTGATGAACAGCGGCGAGGAATAAACGGGTCAACTGGAGGGATTTGAACAAAGAAAAACGATCTTGCGTGTCCTCGATCTTCTACTGCATTTGTCTATTATTTTCATTTTGGCGATACCATCGGCATTTACTATAGAGGGATTCCACGGTCGCTATTTTGGGGGTGTTTTTTTTTATCAGGGCTATATACACTGCTTTTGGGTTATGTACTACAAGGGGCATTCTGCTTTTATGGGCTTTGGGACTTGGAATTTTTCTAGCGAGTCATGAGAGAAATTAAACTGGATAATTTGAATAGACTCGAAAAAAGAGAAAGAGTATCTAAATGCAAGACAAGTACTAGTCGTTCAAGAGTATTCACCCCATTCACTACTGCTCCTACTGTTAGGGCTCCCGCGGCCCGACCCAAAGAGGCAAAGCAGTTTTTGCGTTGCCGCATCTCGAACTTCAAAACTTCCACCGCGGGACCTTTTCGTTTGTCGCCGCCCACTCCACGCTCCACCACCCTCTCTGCCTGGAGCAGATTCTATATCACCTTCCGACTTAAGCTCTCGCTTTCTGATCGGTGCTCTCTCTCTCTTCCCGTCCTTGTCGCATCTCGGTCAACTCTCGCCGATTTCTTGCGCCTTCCGGACCCGAAAATCTTCCCCTCCGCAGTCAAGCCTCGAGCCTCCCGCCTCCCTTTAAATCTTTCCCTCTCTCACGCTCTCCTCTCCAACCAACATCACCCACCATGGCGGACGTCGCAGAGAATGGTCACGCCGTGACCGATGAGAATGCCGCCCCCGCAGTCGCTGCCTCGTCCGATGAGGCGATCACCGTTTTCCACAACCCCGAGAACTTCAACGTCAAGCACCCGCTCATGCACGAGTGGACCCTCTGGTTCACCAAGCCTCCCTCCGGAAAGGTAAGATTCGCTGAGTCTAAGGGCCAACAGAATCAAGTACTGATTGTATCTCATCTAGGGCGATAACTGGAATGATCTGCTGAAGGAGGTCGTCACATTCAGCTCCGTCGAGGAATTCTGGGGCATCTACGTATGTGCTATTACCCCCCCCCCCCCCCCCCCCGATCGGACACTTCGCCATGAACGTCCAAGACTGCTCTACATATACTAATCGGGTTTCATCGTTTAGAACAACATCACGCCAACCTCCGAGCTGGGCCTCAAGGCCGACTACCACCTCTTCAAGAAGGGCGTACGACCGGAGTGGGAGGACCCCCAGAACAAGCACGGTGGCAAGTGGTCATACCAATTCAAGGACAAGCGGTCCGTCCCCATTGACGACCTGTGGCTGCACGCCCAACTTTCCGCCATCGGCGAGACCCTCGAGGGCGACGGCGACAACGAGGTCATGGGTGTGGTCGTGAACGTGCGCAAGGGCTTCTACCGTATCGGTCTGTGGACCCGCACCGTTGGCAAGAGTATCCCTGGTGACAAGGCTACTCGCACGCCCGCCCAGGGTAAGGAGGTACTGGAGTCGATCGGTCATCGGTTCAAGGACGTACTCCGTCTTAAGGAGGCGGATGTCGTCGAGTTCTCCGGTCACACCGATAGCGCACACAGCGGCAGCACCCGTGCCAAGGCCAAGTACACCGTTTAAAAGCGTTGACCTTTTGGAACTTCTTTTCATTTTCTTTTTTTTCGGAGGTCCGCTTTCCCTTATTGCCAATACCCAGGGATGGAAAAGGGGGAAAGCGGAGGGGGTGGAGATGGAACTGCAGATGAAGATAGAGACTTTATGATGAAGGGAGAGAGACTTACAGATGGGGGGATATTCAGGAGAAACCGTGGGCGTTTTTTGCCGGGGATGCAAGCAAAAGTTGATGATTCCCAGTCTCTCTTAGCCCTGCTGCATTTTTTCTGCAGTAACGACCTGATTCCTTGCGACGTGTATCTTACTCTACCAAACGCATTTATGAGACATATGTCGTGACTGTTATTTTCATTCTTGTAGAGTATAGCTTCTAACGTACCGAGGGGGGCTTAGTAGTATATCTAAATCAGCGCCGAAAAGCGCAATATAGCGCGGCCCGGGTATGACGGATCGGGCGAGATTTTTAGTCAACCCCAACCCATTAGGTATAACTACGGTAGCTAGACGCACTTTATACCTATGCAAGAGCGGAGCATAGCTTGAAATACTAAAGAATACACCCATGAGCTCGTTCAAGGGTATAACAATTTATGGCTGGAAACGTGGAGCTATCTATGATATATTTCTGGCATGTCGGAGGCCACGAGTTGACGATATATATCTGACCGGGATAAGAGACAAGATGTTTGAAATCGGGATAATTTATTGTCGGGCAATTGTCAGATTGGTATTTTCTTTCAGGACCCTCTTTTTGAATTTTGAGTCGGAGAATATTTGCTGTAGAGACTCGATGCTTGTGTGTAAGGGATAAGAGGGCGAGGAAGCTAGCTATGCGCAGAGAACACAAGCGTATCATTACCTATTCAAAGACAAGACTCTGAATTTGATTATCCGACAACTCAAATTCTATAGTCGGGAATTTCGCAAATCTCATTCTGAAGAGGACGCTCCTCACAATTGAATCTCCGAGTCTATACCATATGCCTACTAGAAAACAGTACCGTCTCATCGGACAACACACCTCCAACCCCAGCAGCTTCAATGAGCCAATCACTCAAGTATACTCTGACAATAAGCCTATTCAAAGAGTTACACAAACGGATACTCAGCTGCACGCAGTGCACCGTCAGCATATCTCCTACCTAGGATAAGGCCCGAGGTTTGTACTCCCATTCCTCCCCGTTTAGCACTGTGATTCATCGATTTGCAGCGGAGGTAGTCAGCAAAGTCACCGTGGTGTATTAGTAGTTTTGGTGGAGTCTGATCCTAGGTTATACTTAAGAGATGTGTCCTGGCAATAGCCGGGGTATATTGGTCTTTACAGTCGACCATTTTACAAACTTGATAGCGCGCTAGGGAGTTGCCACATTTTAGAGAAGGTCTCCAGCTTTGATGGTACCTTTTATACCCATTTCATTGCAAATAGGTGTATTCAATACGATGGAATGGTTCCCAGAGCTCAACAGCGTGCGCCTCACTCTCGCCATCCTCCTCACCCTCCTCCTCATCCTATACTGGTACACCCGGATCCCAAACACCATGCCCAAAAACATCCCCACGGTACCAATCTACATCTCCCTCCTCGGTCTCTGGAGCGACATGGGCCAAGACAAAACCTACGACCGATGGCTTCGGCAACCTCTTGAAAAATACGGCGCCGTGAAGATCTGGTTCGCTGGACGCTGGAACGTGCTCGCCACGCGGCCGCAGTTCCTGGTGGACATGTTCCGACACGAAGACGTGTACGCCAAGGCGGGGAGTCAGAAGAAGATCCCCTGGAGTGTTATTGCGGCGTTGGTGGGGGATAATATTATTAATAGCCATGGGGAGACATGGAGGTTGTTTACGGCTATTATGAAACCTGGGTTGCAGAGGAGGATTACAGAGTCGGGGCCTTTGCTGGAGAAGTCGAGGAAGTTTGTGGATGTTCTGTTAGAAGAACAGTGGAGGATTGGAGGTGAGAAAGGGTTCCTTGTGAATCCGATTATTCAACGGTGGGCGTTGAGTTGTATGGGGATTTGTTTTATGGGTGTCGATCTTGAGGTATACACACCCACTGTCATTGTCATGGGTGGTTACCCTGCTAATAACCTTACCCAGGCTTTAGAAAGACCAGGCCAACGCCTCGAAGAACTCCAATCAATCATCAAAAAGACCCTCTTCAAACCGCTCTTCTTCAACTTCCCCGATCTCGATCGATACCCATTCATCTTCCGCCAACGAAAGATAGCATTCGCCATCATGCAAGAATTCGGTGACCTCCTCTGCAAAACAGTCCGCCAACGCCCACACCAGGAAACTAAATCCCCCGACGGCGACCAAGTAGTCGACTACCTCGACCGAGCCCTCAAAGAAGGACGCATCACGGAAGAGCAATACCGCGCAAACATCAAAGTAACCTTCCTCACCGCACACGAAAACGCCCAACAACTCCTCAACTCTACATTCTGGGTCCTAGGCACGAACACATCCGTACAAGAAAAACTACGAGCCGAGATCCTCGCAACGCATGACACAAACCCCTCAACAGACCTAGTCAACTCCCTCCCATACTTATTCGCCGTCATCCTCGAACTACTCCGTTTATACCCCCCGTCTCACAACTAATCAACCGCGTAACGACCTCTACCTCCGTGCTCGGCGGGGAAATCTCCATTCCAATCATACATGGGTAGGATGGAATGCCTTTGGCGTACACACAGATCCGAATATATGGGGAGACAATGCGAGAGAATTCCTCCCTGAACGATGGGGCAGTGATGTAAAGAGTATCCAGAGTGCGATGCGTAGGAAAACGACGCAGTGTCATTTTATTGCGTTTAATGCGCATTCGCGGAAGTGTCTGGGTCAGGGGTTTGCCGTGTTGCAGATGAAGATTTTGTTGTTTGAGATGGTGAGGAGGATTGAGTGGATTGTTGATCCGGGGTATGAGTTGAAATTGACTTCGGTGAGTGCATTGGTTCTTTGAGAGGTTTGTGTGGAGGGTCGGTTTGACTGATTTGGGCTTCTCATAGGGTGGGATTATGGCTCCGTTGGGACTTCGTGCTATTGTGAGGGAGAGGGGGGAAGTGTGTTTGAGTGAGGGTTGAATTGATCGTGGTAGGTACTTAATCGAGGGCATGTTGGAAGGGAGCGTAGACCTGGGGATATAGGGTATTCTTGAACTAGAAGCAAGAATGGTAAAGTAGTTAAAGATGCATATAACCAAATGATCCCCTTATCCGAAGTTGAATCCCGTCCACACCATAGTCGACACCAACGCCTGTATGGCCCATGGCATTCTCAGTCTGCATGGGGGATTCCTGCTATGTCGCAGGGAATTGGATAGAGTGACCGTGACCACTTATCACTGGCCTTGACGGTCCAGAGGATTGTTCCAGAGTCAATGCTCCCAGAGTCGAGACGGGTTAGTATAAATTAATCATCAACGACTATAACAATACAGACGATAGAGGTCTCTGAAGAAGAATAGGAAGTAAGTTCCTACTGGCCCCCAGAGAAGAGGCTGAATGTGGACTCTCCTTTGCCGCCTAGCCACTACAGTCCTACTGCCGAGACAGCATCGGTACTCGCCGCAGGCCGGAGGAGTCAGTCTTTTTGGAGAAAGCCCGATGACGGAGGCTGGCCTCCGATTTCCTTCCAATGACTTGTTCTTATTTTTGAGTCGTGATGGGTCATTCCAGTCATCATAATGTGAAGGCCGATGTCGTTGACCCTGGCAGGAGGCTAATTAGGTTAGCCATTCACAAACCTTATATTCGCTATGCAAAGACATAACCAATTCTCTAAAAGAGACAGGCCAGCATTCGAATCTCTTGTTCGTATAAATCTAATAGATACTAGAGTATAAATCTCCATATAATAACGATAAAAACCTTTATTAACTCAGTGAAGGAAGTCTTAACACTCCAATTTTTGCTCGAGTATCTACTTGAGACGGAATGTAGGCATAGTTATAGGAAACGGGTTACTCATAATGCAATCCTGCCCTTTCTTCTGAGCAAAAAGATTGGCATCGCCTAGTACTCAAGTAATGGAATGTCCTAAGAAGATTAAGTAAAAAAGATTGAGCGACGCAGGGATCGAACCTGCAATCTCTTGAGCCGAAATCAAGCGCCTTACCATTAGGCCAGCCGCCCATATTATTAGTCATCTTTCCTAGTTTTAGTCAATATATTCAAATTACTCTAAGTTCTAACTTTCCACTATTAAGAAGATCAATAGAAAAGACCTGAAGATCTAAATCATAAAGAACATAAAAGTCAGAGATACCTTAATCTATGAACTACTATTAATATATGACTCTTTACCCTTAAATTCCTCTCACTTTCCGCTCATTCGTTATTGAGCCATCCTTCCTTACTCCTAGCCTTAACGCCAAGTATCCGAACCACTTTGAAGGTAATTAGATTAGGTTGATTATTTTAAGAAAAATAGGAGAGGCGGTATATGGCCAATTTCTGTCTATTGTATCTACAGGGCGGCTGGCCTAATGGTAAGGCGCTTGATTTCGGCTCAAGAGATTGCAGGTTCGATCCCTGCGTCGCTCAATCTTTTTATTTGTCTTATAATTTTCGCCTCGCTTTTTGTGCCCACGGCCTCTTTGTCAGCCATACTGTCTGTCCCCTATCCTATTATCTATCCTATTACCGACCACTTTTCTTTCTCTTTAAATGGGAGGTCACCGTAGTCATTTAATGAATGATACTTGGAAAATCCCCGCAAGCCAGCATAGCACTTAGGTCGGTGGATAACTCTTCATTTTTTATTTCGAGGAAGACTTAACATCTGCAAGACTGACACTAGAGAGTCAACCTGATTCCCCTGCCCCAAGACCAGGTCCAATGGCCCTTTCAGCAGGGTTCTCTGAATTAGTCTCTACGATTTTGCTTGACCATTCTTACCGTATCTTGGAATAAGTCGTCGGGGTAGTAGTTGCTATTGATCGAAGGACAATCCCTCGAGGCAATCAACGAAAGTATTTATACCGAGCACTGCCAGTTGACTGTAAGTAATTAGCTAGACCCAATGATCCTTGCCCCCTCTCTTGGCATTTTCGGCAATGATTAATTAGTAGGCTAGCAGGATCCGTGATGAGCGCCTTGCGTGTGAATAGAAACTCTTGTGGGCTCTGGCAGAGCAGTCGTTGGAAAAAGACCTCATCCCCGGACAGGAACGCTGTAAGGATTTCGAGATGAGAAAAAACGAAGAATCTTCCACTTAGTACGAGAAAGGACCCGCCATTCGACCACTCACGAACCTTTAGGATACGTCTGGAGTTCAACAGCTCATGATATCTCTCTCGAGCAGATTTGGTTGGACTGGAAAACAATGGCAAAGTAACCCAGGTATCGCCGATGATTATCATCTGAGTACCAAACACTATAATGTAGAGACGGGTTCAGTTGGCGGTGCTTTTTATCACAATGCTTCTGGATGCGGTCTCGTAGATTGAATGGTTGGCCAACGTATAGCCAGAACCTTCCGTTTTGGGTTTATAAGACATGACGATAGACTCAGTACCTTCTGAGTGGCTATCCTTTCGAGGCTGGTGGAATGTTCTTCTGGCAATGTGACATTTGGTGCAGCACGTTAGTCGCATCTCGCTTGTCTCTGTACTCTACTGTGGTACCGAGCCGAAAGCTTCTCTTGTCAACGTTTCTCGATCTCCTCGTTGCATTCACCACCACTAGGGTCCTCATGAGAGTGATCACTGATCGATGGGCAATCTTCTCCATGGTCAAGGTCTTCGGAATAGTAACCCTGCATCCACGAATCATATCCCCCGAGTCTCCCGTCAAGGAATAATCTCGGGTCCTTGACTGGCCCAGTAATCGCGGAGTCCACCGAGTAACGACCGGAGAAGATCCGTTACTCCCCGGTCCACCGCACGAATCCTGAGTGGACGACGATGTCGCAATATCAATTCCTCGACGGACGAGACAACCACAAAGAGCTGGTTCAGCGACTTCGGCCGATGGTTTCTCTCTGGTGCTGCCCATGCTGGCCACGCAAGATCTCGAGTTCCCAGAGGGATCGGATCTGGGATTCTTATCCGAAGAAGGACTGATCGCCGATGTATGAATGGGGCATTTTTGGAGTCACGATGACTCAGTCGAGGGGCCACGCAATGATCTGTGTTTAGTGTTGCACGGGATATAGTAGTACATAGCAAGTAGTACAAATGTCGTGTACGAACAAATTCTTCGGCACATAATCGATGCTCAGCGAGGCATAACCCGACGTCGAATCATCTCGCCAAGAAGTCGATATGCAACTTTAATCGAATGCTTAAACTTCCTCGTGAGTTTTTGCGAACAACCTCACCGGAGTCCTCCGTTGGAACCCCGGAGCCACGAGTATATACCAATGGTGAATTTGTGAACGTCCAAACTCTCCTAATCAAGTGGCGTGCTCAAGCCGCGTCTTCTCTGGAGCAGGCCAATCTGCCAATTTGCCAATTCTCTTGGACCTGGGCGCCAGGAGAGTTTCGTCCCCCTCATTTGGCGTGATATCAACCGTGCGGTGCAGCCAAGGGCTTGGAACTACGCCCTTCGTAGGCGACTAGTCGCCAACCGGACAGCACACGGCCGGTCAAGATTGCCCCAGACGGTCAGGACGAGCGAAGGAAGAAAATCACGGCGTTTCTCGTTGGTGGAACCGCAGCGAAGTCGGAGCGATAAGCATGGCCTGGGGGGCTTTTTCTTGGAGTCGGTCGGTCTTGGGGGCTCTCGTGGATTTTATTTATGCAGGTGTGTTCCCCCCGTCAATCGCGGAGCTTTTTTTTTGACTCTTTTGAAACTCTCGTCTCTCTTGGCTGGACCTGAGAGAGAACTTGAAATTTTTTTGCACTTTCATTACTTATTTACATACTCAAGTCCACTCTCTCTCCTCTCCCCTCTCGATGACCAATTCTCTCGACAACCAGAAACCACCTTATCATTGAACGGTGTCTTGGCAGCGCCAGACTCCACCAGCCCGTCGTCGCCAAAATCTCCCCGACCGCGCTGTTACGAGAGAGAAATTACCCCGGAAATCATGCCCTGCGATCCGACCACGTACCAGCTGTGTATACACTGCGTACGATGAATGGGGGATGTCCTCTTCCCTAACGGCAACCTCGACACCCAGTCAAACTCCCTTCAGCATACTTGAGAAATCATTGGTTGGCTATTGGCGGCTCGCGCAGGACTCGAGATCGTCCCTGGTCTGATGCTGGTTCCAGTTCCTGGAAACGGATCTGGGTTTCCCTGCATTGAAGCATACTCACTACGCTCTGCGTCGGATGGACTCCTCTCCATTGCTCTTCCACCCCCCCACACGATAATACCCAGCGGACTCCGGGGTAGTATCGTGCCAGGCTTACAGGTTTCTGAGACATCAAAATCAAAAAAGACATGAGTTTGATTCGTTGGTGAACCAAACCTGATAAGCTCCCTGGGGGGACGCGGGGAAGCCGGCCCCAACGTTGCAGTACAGATACGCACTATGGAAACTACTGTACGAATCTTGTACCTGGACTTTACGGGTGGCGGGGGAGAGAGAGAGAAACCAACTGAACCGGGCAACTCCCTGGCGCAATCAGCCGCTCGTGTAACGACTCGACGCCCCCTCGCCTTCGCCCCTGGGGCTATCCTTGCGTGATCAGACGACGAGACAATAGCCGCACGACATTCGCCCGGCTCTGATCCGAATGCGGTTGCTCCCCGACCCTTGAGAAGGCCCAAGCGGATGGATAGGACTGGAGGTGGAATATTGTCTGGAGTATGGAGGACTCGAGTCAAATACCGAGAGTATAGGAATCACTACGCAGTACTCCGTACTGATACCCATTATTGACGACCTCGGTCGCGGCCCGGAAGCGCGTCGGCTGTTCACGACTGATCTTTCATTCGTCCAGTCTCGTCAAAGCCGAGAATGACCCCCGCTGTAGGGAGGTACAAGCGATCCTCTCTCTCTAATCCGTCCAGCCCACTGGATGTCCGCACAGTACGGAGTAAACGCCCGGTCCATTATTCCCATGATTCAAGCCCATCCCCCCAGTTCAGATGCCGAATCGCCCCTCTGATGACTCGACGAGCCGTGCCCGCGTCAACAATTAGCGGAGTCCGGAGAGTGGACTCCGGCTAGAAGCGTGTCTGATCGAATGATTTCTCTGGGACAAAGAGATCCATTTTTTTTTCTCCTCGATTTGCCTCGTGGCAAACCCGGAGAGCGCTTTCGAATTCACGGTATGTGGTGGTGCCGGAAACAGAGCTCAAAGGGAGGGTTTCTGTTCGAAATTTCCACCGGCCTTCTCCGACTGGGTTATCTTGGGATATGATTCGTTGGCGAGTAGGATGTGGACACCGGACTAGACCCTTTGTGGTCCCTTCAAGTCCAGGTACGGCTTAACGGCAACTTTTTTTTTTCTGTTTTCCTTCGAGAACCTCCACTTCCGCGCCATCGGCCGGACTGCCAAGACTTTCCGCGCCGAGAATGAAACATGCTGAATCCTGCAGCGTTGCTTGTTCTTGAATCCAAGACAATAGTCGTGCAGAATATCAGCAATATCAGCGCATGTCAGCATACTCCAGTACTACAGTACTATCAGCCAGCAATACACTATCTGAGTATCAGTTCATTGCCCTGGGGTTACATTTCGTGGGGCTCGCCCATCGCCCAAAGTCGACTGATCGTGCCGATCGCATCCACGGTTACTCTCTCGCCGGGTTCAATTGGTTTTTTTCTCTTTCTCGCCTTCCGAAAGTGGGAACCCACCAAACCTCCACTCAATCCCCGGGACTTGTACTGTACAGTACCAAGAAAATAATGAGCTTGAATTCGACTCTTAGTCGTTTATTTTACACGATTTTATTTTTCCTTCCATTCGGTTCATGCGCCGATAAGAAACTGTCCGGAATTTTCTCCACCGGGTTTGTTGGGTAATCAGCATCGGCTATATATGTATACCGGTCACGGTCACCTTTTCCTCTTTCTCTCTTCTCTTCGTCCCTGTGCAACTTTTGGAGAAGGCTATTCCCTGGACCTAGTATCGCCATGTCGACTGCGGATCACGAGGTTGAGGTCGCTCGGTATGTCTTGATAATACCACCTTCCCTACACTCTACACGCATCGCAGGAGAATGACACGTCTAACTGCTTTCCCACACCAGCCCTCCCACTTACAATGACACCGTCCCCGTTGAGCAGCAGGTCGTCCTGAACGAAAAGGCCAACATGGATATGGACAAGGAGAACCTCTCCATGACCCCCGATGGCGGCGAGCCCACCGAGGACGAGAAGCGCTCTCTGCGTCACATCGCCGAGAACCTGCCCGTCTCCGCTTGGTTGGTCGCCATTGTCGAACTGTGCGAGCGTTTCACCTACTACGGCATGTCTGGTTTGTTCCAGAACTATGTCCTGCGTCCTTTGGATGGTAGCCAAGGCCGTGGTGCCCTCGGTATGGGTCACCAGGGTGCTACCGGTTTGACCACTTTCTTCCAGTTCTGGTGCTATGGTAAGTTAACACAAGAATGGGGTATATCAAAAAGGATCTCGACGCTAACTCCTCTGTTTTTCTAGTTACTCCCATCCTTGGTGCCATCGTCGCTGATCAGTACCTCGGCAAGTACAAGACTATCGTCCTGTTCTGCGGTGTCTATCTCGTCGGTCTCCTCATTCTGGTCTGCACCTCGATCCCCACTGCTCTCGAGCACGGTGCCGGTATGGGTGGCTTCATCGTTGCTATCTTGGTCATCGGTCTCGGTACCGGTGGTATCAAGAGTAACGTCGCTCCTCTGATTGCCGATCAGTACAAGCGGAAGAAGATGGCTCTCCTGACTACCAAGAAGGGTGAGCGCGTCATCATCGATCCCGCGTTGACTATCCAGCGTATCTACATGATCTTCTACGGCTGCATTAACTTGGGTTCCCTGTCTCTGCTGGCTACTCCCTACATGGAGCAGTACATTGGTTTCTGGTCCGGTTACCTGCTCTGTCTCTGCATGTTCGCCGCCGGTACCCTTGTCCTCCTCCTGGGCCGCAAGTACTACGTTGTTCGCCCCCCTCAGGGTTCCATTATCACCGACGCCTTCAAGGCTCTCTGGATGATGGTCAAGAACCGCAACATGGACGCTCCCAAGCCCAGCTGGCAGCTCGAGCACCGCGGTGTCGAGGCCACCCTCCCCTGGGACGACCACTTCATCGACGAGCTCAAGCGTGCCCTCGTTGCCTGCCGTGTCTTCGCCTTCTACCCCATCTACTGGGTCGTCTACGGCCAGTTCTCCGGTAACTTTGTCACCCAGGCCGGCCAGATGCAGGGCCACGGTATCCCCAACGATCTGATGCAGAACTTCGACCCGATCTCCATCATCGTGTTCATCCCCCTGCTCGAGACGGTCGTCTACCCTCTCATGCGCCGCCTGAGGATCCCCTTCCTCCCCATTACCCGTATCTCCCTGGGTTTCGTCGTCGCCTCCCTGGCCATGATGTACGCCGCCATCGTGCAGCACCTGATCTACTCCGCCGGTCCCTGCTACGGCCACCCGCTCTGCGCTGCCTCCGAGATCGACGGCACTGCCTACGGTAACAACGTGCACATCGCCATCCAGACCCCGGCCTACGTGTTCATCGGTGTCTCGGAGATTTTCGCCTCCGTCTCCGGTCTCGAGTACGCCTACACCAAGGCTCCCCCTTCCATGAAGTCCTTCGTCCAGTCCATGTACCTCCTCACCAACGCCTTCGGTTCCGCCCTCGCCGAGGCCCTGACCCCTGCCGCCTTCGACCCGGCCATTATGTGGATGTTCGTCGGTCTGGCCTGTGCTTCCTTCCTGTGCGGTATCATCTTCTACTTCATCTTCCGTCACTTGAACGCCCAGGAGGATGACATGAACGCCCTGGACGCCGATGACCCGATGCCCGAGGCCCCCCGCGAGGAGGCTCGTCGTGCTTCCCAGGCTCCGCAGTAAATAGATCTGTGATCTGTTTGCTTTCCCCGGATATATCCTTGTTATTTCCGGTTTTTGTACTTTTTTCTCTCTTGTGATGATATCCGAACTTGCATTGCGTTGCGTTGTAAGCATGTCTGCTTTTTTGGCTAGGGCGGAGGGAGCGGGTTGTTGTCTTCCTGTCGTCTTGGGCTGCTGGGCAGCTATGTGGGACGAGCTATGACGTTGCGGTGATAATCTTAGTATATACATTATAAATAGTTTTCAATGCCTGTGAATAGAAATATCTCCTCAATATTTGACTGGCCATGCTTGTATTGTACAGTGGATAGTTAAGTACTCTAGATTGGTCTACTCCATGCCGACTTGATGTGGGGTTGGACCCTTGACTTTAAACCATGTGTTACTGTATCCAGCATTATGGAGAAGTAGCAGCCTACCGTACCATTTGGAGTACTCCGCTATGAAATTGGGTTTATCTGATATTACCCCAGAATGGTGTGCAAGATCCAGGACTGGATATAGGTGGATGGCTACGATTGGCGGGGTCTAAATGCCACATGGGACAATGCCACGAGCAGTGGAGGTGTCATATTGAAATAATGCCCAAATCATCATGGATACTATCGATTAAGATTTATCGATTAAGATTTACGATTAACCTCAAGGTCAGGTCATAGGTAGTCATGTGCATAATCTACCTAAGTGCCAGTGATGGCCGTGGATCGGGCGGAGTACCGAATATGCGACAGGTCAACTCGAAGTACACATAAGCTATTAAAAGTTCCAAGTACTCTATAGTCTATAGCTTAACTGCAATAGTGTGGCCCCATAGCACACCGTTTTTTGTTACTTCGGCGACCTAGAACATTCTCGCCTTTTATTTCCACCGGATGCTGCAATCATGACGTACAGACTGTGGGTTGTCAGTGGCCACAGGGAGGACCCGGATAGAGTACGTCTATTTGGAGTCTACACTGTCTATTCTATCAGAATATAAAGTGTTATTTGTATAACTAGATGGTCAATTATAAAACAAACTGACAGCTGTCAGTAGAGTACCACCCGTGGAAACGGTTTCCCTCCGGCAGTAAGAAGGGACCCTGATCCACCTGAGCTCTCCAGTCCCTTAGTTAGGTGGTGTACAAGTACCTACCGTAGATACATACTACTGTAGGTAATTAGCATCGCCGATCGCCAGAAATTCAGAAATAGCAACAACCCGCATGAGCCACACCTTCTGAATGGCCAATTGCTCCGCTCCACCACGATCGCAAGGAGGCTGCGCAGGAACGAACTTTTTTGAAGCAACGAGATCCTGGTAAAAAACTACGAGCGATCTTCGATAACGAGTACGGGGTACTTTTTATGGGAATAGAGGGTTTGTGACTTTGTGTCAAAGCCAAATCAGAGGGAGACCCCTGACTATCACTTTAATTAGCAAGTACTTTGGGAGTTTCATTAGTTTAATTCTGGTGGATGGAATGGTGAAACAAAACGCCTTTTTAGCCGCTCGAGTACCCCTGCGACAGTCCGTACTCCGTACAGACACTTGAATAGCTTCGTGTGTTAACTATTTCTAATCATGTAGAGATAGAAATATTAGGTTATTAGAGTGATTAGTTATTCATAGTTCATATTAATGGATAAGGCTACCGTATTTCCATACGAAACTCAGCCACTCGGTCAGAAGTGACATTCTCTTCAAAAGTGACAGCGACACCGCCAGCGCTTCTGCCGCGCCACTTCCTCCCGTCTTACTCTCTCCTCTTAACCCTCACTCCCTTCCCTCCTTCATCTCCCCTCTTTCCCCCCTCCTCCTTGCTCTTGATTTTTCTTTGTTTAAATTCCAATTAGCCATCATGAGTGTGAGTTCATACTTTCCCCCCCAAATCCCCCGATCGCGAATTCTTCTGTATATCCCCCCTATTCTGACAACGGCCAGTACCAGAACTTGGAGGACAACAGCCAAGGGGGCTACGGCCAATACAACCCTTACGGTGCTCAGCAGAACCCCTACGGGGCCCAGTCCCAGCAGCAACAATCCCAGCAGAGCTACGGCTATGGCGGCGGCTACGGCCAGGCCGGTGCCATGGAGCAGGGCAATGGCGGTTATGGTGAGAATTGACCCATTCAATTTGGTCCCCTTCGGGCGCTCTCGGAACGCGACGCGCTGACTTGTTCCGTCTCTTTGAAAACAACAGAAATGGGCAACATGCAACAAGTCCCCGATAAGAATGCGCTTTTGACCCGCATCAACGAGCTGAAGCAGGGAATCGAGGATGTCAAGAGGAAGCGTACTACCCAGCTCCGCGCTGCCCAGACTGCTCTCCTGGAGTCGAACACCAGCAAGGAAGACCAGGTGACGCGCCAGAATGTCGACTACATCGAAGACGAGATCAACACTGCTCTCCGCTACCTGCGCGATCAATTGAAGCGCATCGCCGACACCCCTGGCTGCGGCTCTTCCGGCCCCGCTGAGCACTACACAATCGCCAAGAAGAGCTTGCAGGATGAGATTACGGCTTACCAGGGCGATCAGTCCAACTTCCACAAGCGTCTGGAGGAGCAAGTGCGTCGTCGGTACCAGATGGCCAACCCCGAGGCTACCCCGGATCAGTTGGAGGCTGGTGTTCAGGCTGTGATGCAGGGACAGGAGCAGGCATTTATGGTGAGTTTGAATTCGCGTGCGAAATTCCAACTAATATCAAGATTCTAATTCTTTTGCTATAGACCCCCGGAACTCGTTCTCGTCAGGCCAACGATGCCCGCCAGGCTACTCTCGCCCGTTCCGCTGCTATCCGGAAGATCGAGAAGGATATGGCCGATCTGGCTCAGCTGTTCACTGATGTCCAGGAACTTGTGATCCAGCAGGAGCCTGCCGTCACTCAGATCCAGCAGGGCGCCGAGGAGACCCACCGCAATGTCCAGCAGGCCAACACCAAGCTGGACAGTGCTATTACCAGCGCCCGCAATGCCCGCCGCTGGAAGTGGTATGCGCTGATCATCGTCAGTAAGTGGCTATTCCGCCCCGTATTTGCGTGTTTTCTTCTCTTGAAACTTGCGACTAACTGGACACTTTTCTAGTCATCATCATTGCTATCGTCGTCGGTGTCGCAGTCGGTGTTACCGAGGCCAACAAGAGCACCAAATAAGCGCCTGCTTTGCTTTTATCCCCTCCATGTCTCCTCCCCCCTCTCCCAACCATGTACGATCTCATCACTATGCCTTCTTCTCGAACGAAAACGTTGCGATTCGAATCCCACACGCGCGGCGCCCGTTCCCTCGATTCCCCATACATGTCACCACCCACCCTGTCCCCCTTCGTTTTCTATACCACTTTCTCGCATGTCATTTCTTGTCTTTGTCTCTCTCTCTCTCTCTATTGTGTAAAAGCAAATGCTCGATCGGCCTTATTTTCCTTGTGTTCTTTCCAGTTGCTGCAGGTCTCGTGTACAGCCGCTGCGTGGTGATTCCCCATGCGACTGTTCCATGATGATGATTGTGCTTTTTGATCCTGCTCCCCGGGTCACTCGAGCGTGCCTGTCATCGACAAGCTGCGTTAGTATCCAGGGATGTACATACTAGATTGTTTTGCTGTTTTTCTTTGTCTTGGTGCCCTCTTTGTTCTGCTTGGCACTTCAGTCTATGTAATACCGTCTAATAATTTATCCCTTCTGTCTTGATGTTTGGAGTGTAAATGTAGAAGGGTAGGCCAAGTGTATGTATGTGCTGCTTTAATTTCTCCCTGGGGTATCTGTATTTGTATCTCTGCGCCTCAATCCTAACGCAGGCTTGTATATCACACACCTCGTATATCTCCGAGTCCTGTACCTGTATCCGCATCGCTCCTCTGTATCCACCTCAAGCCTTCCTCTCCTTCTCCCTCTGCTCCTCCGCCGGCGTCTTAGTCTTCAACTGCAAAGCATGAATCCCGCCTTCCTTGGCCATTTCCTCCTTCAACAAAGCGTATACCATCCGATGGCGGGCGGGTTGCATTTTTGACTCAAAGGCGTCGGAGACAATCGTCACACTAGAACACGGTTAGAATTGAATGAATGCTCTATAGCTCTGGTATGCTCGTTCATAGACAGTAGGGGTTCCGGGGATTGCGTACTGGAAGTGTGTTTCCTTCGAGGTGGATCCTTCCATTGCGGCGTGGTGTGCGTGTAGGTGTGAGTCGTTGCGGATGGTGAGGGCGGATGGGGTGAAGGCGTGGGTGAGCTATACATGTTTAGATTGATATTGTTAGTATATGGATTGGAGAACGTAGCAGCCATGTAACGCTGGGACTGGTAGTGGAAGCTCTGGGGGGTGTGTACCTTGTCGCGCATGACGTCCTCCATAGGCGTTGTCGAAGCCATCCTGGTCGAGACGGAGAAAAGGCGGCGCGATAGCAGGCCTGGGAGTGTGCGGGGGAGCATTGGAGGACTGCGCGTGCAGTAGATGTAGAGGGTGACGGTGAGGGGAGGATTCAGTGAAGCGTTGGAGGTTCGGCGGAAGAAAGTCATTCGGAGCTGCGAGGCTTCCCGCGGAAGTTTATCCGCATGACATCAACTGCCTTTTTTACCTTTTAACTTCGATTGTATTCTACAGCGTTGTGCGGACTTGCTAGCGAAGTATGATCTGATATTATCTGACAGACTAAGGAAGGATAGTCATTTGTTATTGAAGACTACCATGTCCAGACTCAATTTGGTCTCGAGGCTTGCACGCCCGTGTCTGCGCGTGAGCTCTGCGCGCCTGATTCCCTCGGGACAAACAGTGCATGCGAGGTTCTTTTCAACGGCGAAGAGACTGCTCACCTCGCTGCCGGATACACACATCTTCCGAGCTATTAGAGACCATGATCCGTCCAGTTTGGCGGTGCTGCATAGCTTGTCGGGTCGGTCATTCACATACGGAAACCTGACTGCCGATGTCCTCCGCGCAAAGGAGGACCTCGAGCAGAAGGTGGGCAAGATGAAGGGGAATTTGTCTGGAGAGCGGGTTGCATTTATGGCAGAGAACAGCTATGATTACGTTGGTGCGTAGCTCTATTTCTCTATTCCGTTTTCTTGTTTCCTGTCCTTGCAAGAATCGAGGCTAACTACTGATAGTCTTGCTCCTGGCCATCTTTGGATGTGATGCCATTGCACTGCCCCTATCCCCGTCGTTTCCTACGGGCGAATTGCAGTATATCCTTGACAACTCGGAGGCCAAGGTCCTCCTAGCTACGGAGAAGTATGCCGACAAGGCCCAAGGAGTTCTTCAGGCGGGCTTGCAGCACGATCCGTTGTTTGATATCAGACGGAAACTTGTCGTGGGGGCTTCTGGAAGTGAGGCCGTTCCGTTGGAAAAGCCAAAAGGCTCTAGTGAGCTACCTGCAGGTGGTATGATGCTATATACATCTGGTACGACGAATCGTCCGGTAAGTAGCAGTCTTCATACACACCTCTGTTTTTATCAACTATAGAGCTTCTATACTAATTCACAACAGAAAGGAGTATTCATCCCCGAATCAGCACTCACCGCACAGGCAACGTCCCTCCTAAAAGCATGGGAATACTCTCCACAAGACCGACTACTCCATCTCCTCCCTCTACACCACATCCACGGCGTCGTCAACGCCATCATAACACCCCTGTTCGCCGGCTCCTCCATCGAATTCATGTACCCCTTCAACACAGATCGAGTCTGGAACCGCCTCGCAGCACCATTCCACCCACACACCGAACCCAACAGCCCAGAAAAGTCCAAAATCACCTTCCTCACAGCTGTACCAACAGTCTACAACCGCCTCCGATCAAGTTTCCCCAAACTCCCACAGGAAATCCAACAAGCTGCGCAAAAGGGTATATCCCCGGAAAACCTCCGTCTCAACATCTCCGGCTCTGCAGCTCTACCAACCCCTACAAAAGCAGCCTGGCAAACCCTCAGCAAAGGCAACGTCCTCCTCGAACGGTTCGGGATGACCGAAGTCGGCATGGCGCTAAGCTGCGGTCTCGATTTCGCAGATCGCGTCGACGGAAGTGTCGGCTGGCCTTTACCTCAGGTAGAAGCCCGGCTCGTGGACACGGAGACGAATCAAGTTATTCCTCTAGGCGAGGAAACCGACGCCAATGGCCGCGAACGCGTAGGTGAGATCCAACTGCGCGGTCCAACTATCTTCCGCGAGTACTTCGGTAACGAGAAAGCCACGCGGGAGAGTTTCGTGGACGGCGGTGACGGGGGCGCTCACTGGTTCTGCACCGGCGATGTCGCGACGAGACGGGTTGTACAGGGCGCCGGCAAGGGAACCAGTGGTGACTGGGCCCGCGGACCGATGTATTTCATCCAGGGCCGCAAGAGCGTCGATATCATCAAGACGGGCGGGGAGAAAGTGAGCGCGTTAGAAGTTGAGCGGGAGTTACTTTCTCTGTACGTTTGCCAAACCCCTTCCCCTCTTACTACCAGTGATACCATGCTACGAATGTAACGTACTAACGCATACCAGCCCCCAAATCTCCGAAGCAGCCGTCGTAGGCCTCCCCTCCGAACAATGGGGTAGCAAAGTCGCCGCCGTCGTAGTCCTACACCCGGACGCGCATACTACCGGACGAAACGGCAAGGCCTGGGGACCTATGGATATGCGTCGTGCGTTAAATGATCGATTGGCTGGGTATAAGATTCCGCAGGAAATGAAGGTTTTGGATGCGATTCCGCGGAATGCAATGGGGAAGGGTGAGTTATAAGATATACCTATCCCTTATTCCCTCCATCTATTTACTAGTGGAGGGGATGTTGGAAGAGTGATTCTCGTTGTGTGTTCATGCTAACTCTGAATTGCAGTGAATAAAAAGGCGTTGGTGAAACAAGTTTTTGATGTTTAGGTGGTGCATTGGTAGAGAGAAGGGATGGTTGTATTTGGATAGAAGCTGGTTGGGGTTGGATACTCTCTTCTCTTCCTGGGATTTGTGTATAGTAGGTAGATCTCTGTGTATGTATAACATTTCCAATCTTCAAGTCCGAATCACTGTATACATCGTAGGTTGAGATACATCTAAGACGCACATCGAGTCTGTGTGTAGAAAACCAAGAGAACGCTCGCATACATCGAGGAGATTCAATTCTCTATTGTCATGATATACAAGTATAGTACACTATAATACAAAACCACCGGCTTATCCGGCGGTGATTACCCTCACGCTCAAGCCCACTCCCCCGTCCTCTTAAACGACTTGATCAACCTCTTAGCCTCCATCTTCACCTCCAAACTGGCCATATCCACAGCCGTAATCTGGGCATCAACGACCCCAAAAATATCCATCTTCTCTTTACCCGGGCACCCCTCTGGAATAGTGATGACACAATTAACACCCAAATTGGTGATGATACCCGAATACACAGTGCCCTCGTAATCAGAGCCCGTTCGCATAGAGCGTAGGATGACGGGGAAGGATTCTGGGAGTGCACATTCGGCAAAGTAGAATGCGCGGAAGAGGAGCATGCAGGCCCAATGTTGGGTGGAGTATGCGGAAATGGCGCGGAGTCGGGCGAGGAGGGGTTGGGAGTAGTCGATGTGGTTGTCGAGGTCGAGGTGGGAGTATGGGAGGGGAGATGTGACCGGTTCAGATGGTTGGGACTCGGTTTCGATGGTTTCATCTGGGATGTCGAGGGTAGCGTCAAATTGACGGCCGTGTTCATGCTCGAATCGCAGTGCTGCTTCGATCTGGTAGTGCGCGATGACGTCGCTGAATCGACGGAGCGGGCTTGTACTCTTGACGTACGCATCTAGACCGAGCATGTGGTGGTGGAGGGGAGTAGAGGCCGAGACTGCCTTGGGCAGGGCAAGATGGTAAAATGCCTGGCCGCCAAATTCATTCATGTTTTCCCGTGTGACATGCCCATATTCAGGGTCATACCATGTCCCATCGTAAACAACGGGGATGTTACGGGCCGCACAGAACTGACCAGCGATGTGGCCGGCCAAATTCATCAGGAGCGAGACGAGATATCGTTTCGACTCGTCCCGGACTTCATGCGGGTTAAAGTCTTGCATTTGAAGCTGGATGATCGGGTCACCGATAAAGTACCGGCCTTCGGTGACTTGGACCTCATATGGCTTCGCGAGCGCCGTGCCCATTTGGACGGAGAGGGAGGTATCAGGCCGAGGGAACTGGATATCCATTGCACCGTTTTTCTGACGCTGACTGCGGAAGCCCAGCATCAACTTGCGCAGGATGGTGAAGTTCTCTTTGTCCTCAGCGGTGAGGTTCTCTCGCAGGACCTTGCCTTCGGGTAAAGTTTGCTCAATGGGCTGGCCGCCGATAGTAAGAGATTCGGATGAAGGCGTTGACCTGGGATCCAAGAACTTTTGTAATGTGCTGTGGGTCAAGCTGACTACATTTCGAATAGTGCCATTCGCGACCTCGGTGTCAAGAATTTCTCCTTGAAGATTCATCTTGGCGCTGAAGGTCAATGTCGGTCGGCCATTCGTCAGACTAAAGTAATCCTGCGTGAAACTTGAGGGAAAGATGGGGTATGTACGCTCTGGGGCGTAAGTCGTGGCGAGTCGAGATTTGGCGTATTCGATGATAGGATTATCGTGTTTCAAGAAAGCTGTCGGGTTGGCGACGTGGATGCGAACCCAGAATGTATCCTCGGAACCAGGAATTCGCTCCAACGAGACGCCATCGTCAATCTCCTGTGCTGTGACTGCGTCTATACAATAGACCGGCAAGTCTCCCCAATCTTTGCGTAGGTCTTTCATTGAATCGGTCAAGGACTCTGAGATGGCCGCGCAGGATTCTTCAATTTCTTCCCATTTCATATCCTCCATCAAGGACATGCCATGACCGGGTAGCAAAATGTTTTGGTCGAGAAGACTGAGATTCTCCCACGGAGCCACAACGCCAAGCTCCTGTAGGAACATACGGGTAGATGACTCGCTGAGCCCAAGCGTGTTGTACATGCCCGTGGCACGCATGACGTGAGAGGCAGTCGATCGCAATGTACCAGACGGCATGGCCACTGACGGAATTGCGTACAATTGCATATACTCGATAATTATCTGATCAGCCTTGGTGAACTTTTCAGTCAGGACTTCGCGATACACCATCGCCTTGCCGTCTTGTCCAGGGTGGAACTTTTGAGACGAAGGGCCCACGCTCGACATTACCGTCGGAGAGCGAACCTTTCGACTAAGACGGATCAAGCGCTGTGCCTTTTGAATGAATTGTTGCATGGGATGATCCTTGAAACCGGGTGTCTCTTTGGCCATAGCTGCCCGAACCAAAAAGTCCTGGTGTTCATGAACCCATGTCGTGACCTGTTTGACTACATTGGTGATTCTCTTAGGCTGCACCAAATAGATTGGGTGGAAGGATGAATTAAAGTCCTTCTCGATGGCGAATGGCCGGCGTCGCACTGCTTGATGTACCGCGAACAGGTTCACGCTGTTTAGTTGCGGCTCATCGATACCAAGAAGCTTCATGGCAAGCTCTTCAAGAGTCAAGCGAAGAAATTCCGTTTCATCCGCTACCAACTCGTGAATACTGTCCAACAATTGCGCATGCTCTCGGTAGAAATCGAATACTTGCTGTTCAAACGCGGCCATCATTTCGATGAGCGGCCGCCCTAGAGGCCTCGGGAGTCCACCTTCCGGCACGGATTGAATCTCGGACTGAGCTTGCGGAGGACGATCTGGAAAATAAGGCTTGATCGGATCAATAAGAACCGTGGAAGCAAAGCCCTTCACGACGTAATCGAGTTCACGATTGGAGCAGATCCGCCAATTCCCTCGACTCGTGTAGATTTGTTTCTGCTTGTGGACGGACTGCACGTAGATCGCGAGGTTGAACACACCATCTGACGTGAGGCGTCCTACTAAATCACCTGGCTCTAGGTGGTCCCCTTCAAATTCTTCTGAGGTATCAAAGTCATCTTTATTGGAGAGTTGTGAGCTAGCCCAGAGCGAGTCCGTTGCTTCACGGCCGTTGAGCATAGTTCCAACCAAGTGACCGGGGTCATTGGGTGACGATGCACTGCCCAGTTCACGAACGGGATCCAGGATGTTGGGATTGGTTTCGTTCCATTTTCGTAGGTATTCTCGAATATCGCGATACGTCTCGAGCTCGGCTTCCAAGCGGGCTTCTTCTTCGGCGACGGGGGCGATCACTGGGTCCTGCCCGGTCGAGAGATCCTAAGAAGATACGGGCGTGAGTTCAAAAGACCGGAAAAGGTATAGAATATATTTACTGGCTTCTCACCTCATGGTTGACCTCTTCACCCGCCACTGTCCTCAGCGCTCGTGAAGTCGATACCAGTCGCCGCCCGCCCAACAGCGGCGTGCGAGACACTGGCCGCGGAACAAAACCGGCTGCTCGCCTTTGCTGCACAAAGCATTGTGAGCACAGCTGCCTTGCACTGGCCAACCTCCGTAACAGCTCTATCCTCGGTAGCACCATGGCCGTGTGATGTCGATTGCGAAAAAAACGATCCTGATGCTTGCCCGAAGCTGCTCCATTATGCGGGCAGAAAAGCCCCACCGCCATAAGGCGGTGTATCGGAGCTTATCGCGTCTCCAGTGGATTGTGTTTACTTACACTCGTCTGTCGAAATGATTGTACTTTTTATTGTAAAATAGATTACTCTTCCATCGGACCGCTCGAATTTGATGTCTGTATTTTCCATTTCCAGTATGATAACCGTAGTCCTGATTCAGGACGATGGATCTGTTCTGGATGTATCAGATCCTCTCTCGCGGTTTTGGGGCCAAGAAATCAATAGTTCATGGGCCCGAGCAGGGATTATTCCATGGCACGCAATCATCCATGTTTTTGTTAGACGACTCCTCTTCGAAGCGGGTCGACGGCATCTGCCGCAATTAATTTAGGAGTTCGTCCGGTTTAAACCATTCCCGGATTATGGTTATGGTTTTGGATTTGACAAGGATGTTAATAGACTTGCTCATCTCGACAAATCGAAGTTGGTATATAGTAGACAAGCTCCTTTAAATCTTACACCTCTTAGGTCTACGATGTTTGCTTTTGGTAGTACATACAACTCTTAAATGCACTATCTGACGTGACACAAAAGTGTGGAGTATGCCATGTTCAAGTGTCGCGCAGGAAAGCCTCGCAAGTCGCAGATCTACAGGCGCCTCGTTCCTTGAATTCTCCGACTGTAAACCCCCACTCCCTGAGAATTCGTTCTCCAAAAAGATCTACGTATTCGGCACATCTATATGCTACACTTCCATACTGTATAATCATCAGCATGGTAATATCGTGTCCAGCGTATTCGCTCTCGTTCATACCCCACATTTCCATTCAGACTGCCGTCTTCCTCGGCAGCTTCGGAAGCTATGGGCTCATGTGATACCCGCAATGCTGCATCGTCACTAAGATCTACTAATGTCTCGGACTCTTTCATCCTTTTTCAGTATTCGGCTTGATGCGACCATGACAAAAACACCCGGCGTGCACAAGATCGAATGCCCAAAAACTTGACAGCCGGGCGACTATCATTGCTAAAAAGGTCTAAGCGAGCTTGGCCCTTTGACCCTTTTAGTCTAAGTTTTGACGGCAAAGTTGGCCGGCCTGCCCGATTCAGGAACCGTTCAGGGGGTCCATTGATGATCCCCCGCACATCCCACTTGTAAAGCCACTCTGCTGACAGAGATTTGAGAAGTTACCTTCGTTCTTGGGCTTGCGGCTGGAAAGGTATTGAGAAAAGGCGCTTTATTAACCGGGGCATGAGACAGGTGTTTGGCCACATCATAGTTCACGCCCCATTGACTCTCTCTTCTGTTATGGCTAGCTGGGCATAGTATACCAGAGGTGTGATAGAACAAGGGTCTACCACTCTGGCGACATTTTGAGCCTTGGTGGCTGAACTATTGTGAGCGCCCTATCTCGGTCAAATGATAAACCTCCTTTTGAGATGATCCGTGGGTCCAGCTAGTAGTCGACCAATAAAAAAAGAAGCCAAGCTAATGCAGTCAGACTCGCAACCTATCACGGAACTTCCAGGACTAGTCAATGATATCTCCTGCACCTCGGGCACTGAAATGCCACTCTCCGAATAAGCAATGCATCGCGTACAGCCACGTTAGACCGACACATCTCTTCACTTTTGCGATCGCCGAGAGATTGGCTTTCTCGGTTAGACACCTGAGTGAAAGGATCTACAACCTCAAAGGCCGTTATACATCGTCTGATCAACAATTCCGAGGTTTCCTTGTAAGAATAGATGGTTCCCGTACCATGTGCACTCTTCTTTACCCGCACTTCGGCTTCACGGACGGATAACCCGAGATGGGGAGTTTCAAGTCAGCTTGCGAGCTGTCTGCGAATACTCAGTGCGTGATGCTCCCTACTCAATTCGGCAATTGCGTGACATGGCGTCGGGGATGTTGACATCGCTTGGAAGAGAGCCTAATAGAAATCCTAGCCTCTGTGGGGTATACTGTATCTAGTTCTTGAGCTTGCGGGCTGACGCCGACACGCCGTCCCATGTAGACTCCACTCTCAAGGAGAAGTGGCTAATGGTGGATACCCCCAGAGTTTCTGTAAGCCAGGGATAATTCAATTGCTATATAAATAAAATCCAATGGGCAGCCCCCTAACTATAAGAAAAGCCCGAACCTCGACGTCTGCGCATTTCAATCGAACAAATCTTCGACTATCGCATACATCCCCCCGCATACTTACTCTCAAGTACGTCTATATACACAAAGAGCCCACAAAACTTCTGAAAGAATGCCTTCCAGCTTCGGCTGGCGCGCTCTAGCGCTGTCTCTGGCCGCACTCACTCCCCTCGTGCGTGCCGATATTTGCTCCACCCTCGCGGCTGCCGGAATCGACATTGAATACCCATTATCGCTGGACTACTCGACCGATCTGACGAATTATTGGTCCGCCGCCTGCGGTGACCTCAAGCCAACATGCATCGCCGCGCCATCCAGTGCGGCTGAGATGGCGCAAGTGATCAAAGAACTACACGATGTTGATACATTGTTCGCTGTGAAGTCTGGTGGTCATATGCCAAACAATGGCTTCGCTAGTATTCAAGATGGTCTGCTAGTCTCGACCAAGAACTTGGATCAAGTGTTTTATAACTCGGATGATGAGACGGCTGTCATTGGACCCGGTCTATCTTGGGAAGAGGCGCAGAAGGGACTGGAGGGAACTGGTCGGGCTGTGGTGGGAGGTCGACTTGGAGGTGTGGGTATTGGAGGATATATGCTTGGATGTATGATTGTCTTCGGAGGGACAAATTTTTGGAACATACTAACGGATTCTTGCAGGTGGAATGAGTTTCCTCAGCACTCAATATGGCTGGGCAGCCAACAACGTCGTCAACTTTGAGGTTGTACTGGCCAATGGTACGGTGGTTAATGCCAATGCGAAGGAGAACACCGGTAAGAAACACGCTCGTTCGAATTGACACGGTCACCTACTGATAAGCTGCAGACCTTTTTGCTTCCCTCAAGGGAGGTGGCAACAACTTTGGTGTCGTCACCGCATACACCATGCAGACGCACCCAATTGGCAAAGTCTGGGGTGGCAACTATATCTTCACTGCGGATAAGACGCCCCAAGTGCTGACGGCCCTGCGCAACTTCGCCGACAACTACCCTGACGATAAGGCCGCAATCATTCTGACCTCGGAGCACGGTTTGGTGATTGACTTCTGGATCATGTTCCTCTTCTACGATGGCCCCGAGCCTCCTGCGGGCGTGTTCGACGAGTTCACAGCGATTGGCCACACGTCTACCACCAAGACATGGGATACCTACTATGATCTGCTCAAGAATAACGATTTCTTCATTTTGCAGTAAGTGAAGTTGATTAAGCATGTAGTTGGTCGATACTAACAACCCCATCAGCGGACAACGTTACACCATTGCCACGGAGACAACACCTGTGCCCAACAGTACCGTCGGCACTGCTCCTCTCCAGGAGTACTATGACCACTGGTTCAACGTGACCGACACCGTTCTGGGAGTGACTGGTGCTCTCGGATCTATCGCTTTCCAGCCTGTCCCCAAAACATTCTCCGAGAAAGCCAAGGCCCGTGGTGGAGTAAGAGACCCAATACCTTTCATAATATCCACAAACTAATGATAATAGGATCTTCTCAATGTCCCAACCGACACCAACTATATTTTCATCGAACTTGACTTCTCCTATTCACTTGCTTTGGACGACGACAAAATTGATCAGGCCAACCAGAACCTCTACCACGGCATGGGTAACCTGGTGCAGAAGAACATTGATAAGGGTTTGCTTCCTGATGTGTACCGGCCACTTTTCATGAATGATCTCTACTTCCGCCAGGACTACTGGGGTCGCATTGATCCTGCGTCGAAGAAGTCGGCGCTCGAGACGAGACTTCGCTATGATCCGGATGGCTTCTTCCAGAAGCGGACTAGCGGTGGCTGGAGACTGAATTAGTCCTCGGATGTCGCCTTGATATTGATTGTGCATGTTGTACATGTTTTAATCTTGTTATGCATAATATTGAAAATAATCATGTTTTTTTATTGATATTCCGTCGAACGAGGTTATATTAGGCGCGACATGGTACGCCGAAATGACGAGCAGGTGAAAGTTTTGGCTTTCGATCTATTCCCTGAACAACTTATTACTCCTTTCGAGATAGATGTAAAATATACAAGCCGCTCCAGATTGGGTAATGGCGCTCATTATGTGATCATTTTCTTAAATCTTCGCCTTGTGTTTCTCCAAGATCTCCCCTTCTCCTTAGCTCTCTCAACATAGAAGCCTACAGATCGACTTTAGAATTTTGTCACAACTCTTTCGTCTCTTGACAAATAATAAATACCCGGAATACAGAGTCAAGGGTTACTTCAGTCATGAAGTCTGATTAGTGAGTTCCTCAACGATCTATGCATTTACGAACCCTTGGTCGTATTAAGTCTAATCAACCTAACTCCGATTCCAACAGTGGCATCAGCTCAGGCCCAAGTGACTCCGAGGGTTGGAAGGAGGTAAGAAGACGAAAGCAACACCGCTCAGATGGCGTGTCCTCAACTTCTGGAAAGAGCGACTGGTCAGGCATGGAAAGCTCCGAAGGTTATTCAAATGCCAACCACGCACGATCTCAAGAGAACATGACGGATGATGCGTTGACCCAGTCGAAGGAGCAATCCGAACCAGCCTCTGAATATGAATCGAGCGATGGATCTCTTTATTCGACCGAAGATGATACCTTGGATCAACTGTACAAAGAAAAGAACCCCAGACTTAGGGATCAATCGAGTGCGAGTGAATGTGGAATGGATGATATCCCAAGCAAGGAGAATTCATGCAAGAACTTTACGAAGCGCCTGCGAGGTTGGTTCGACAATTTTCGGAACCCGTTCAAGAACAAGCTCGCTTCGTTCTGGGAGGGGACAAGGAAAGTCTGCTCCAGAATCAAACATACTGCTGAGGGAATAATCCTGTGTCTGCAGCTTCTTGTCATGGTGATAATAATTGGGTTGCTCTAACATTGCCAAAAGTTCATCGCTATTGATTGCTTGAGTGCTTTCGGTGCCACAAGGGACAGGTTAATGAAGGAGGTTGCTTAGGAAAGAATATGATACATCGCGTTTAAGCCGCGATCGTGAGATATCTTTAAACTCGCTCCACAAACTTAGACTCTTCAAAACATCCCAGGCGCCCAGTAAAAAAAAATGAAAGAACCAAGCGACTAGGATGAAACATGATCGACCGTGCATTTACCATCCCAGAATGTACCTGACTCACTCTTGTAGCCGCCTGCGTCAGATCTGCCGCCATAAGAAGCAGCGAGTGGCTGAGAAGCGCCCGGGATTCTTAGGGTTCTTCTCCAAGCGCCGAGGCGGGTCTCCACCCCCAACCAATTTCATCAAGTCATACCCGGGTATATTTGGGTTTTAGTTGTCGGAGCTTTTCGTTACAAGGGCTGCAAATCAATGCAGGTCCCTTTTTTAGCCTCGAAGCTATGTCCATTGTGCAGCTGGGATTCGTTGCGCGTGGCGCCTGTCTTTAGCTATTTCCCCAACAATGAGGTCAGAGGAGGCTGTAATCTCGCATCGAGGGCCTAGATCTTAGCTATGCTTCTAATTTTGTTTGGTCTAGATTGCTGTTCTTTATTTGTTTGTTTGAATTGGAAGGATAAGCTCTTTGTGGGTGGGCTTTATATAAGGTCTGGACTGAAGTCCCTTTGTTTCCTGAATCAACTCTGCAACACTTTCCTTCAAAGCGCTTCCTTTCCTTTCTCTCGAAATTTTTTATACTCATCTATTCTCACTCCTTCGATTCTGCATTTTTCCTTTGCGATTCGTATTAATTACTTCGCTCCTTGAACGTCCAAGTCCCTATCTATCCCAAGTCAACGCATTGGATCAACATTCTCTACGATCAATCTCTATACACTTTTCGAAAACTTTGCCATTCGTAATATTCAACATGCCACCCCGCTACGGAGCCCTCAGTGCTACTTTCCAGCTCGCACGCCTTTTCCAAACATGCTCGCTCATTGCTATCATTGGCATGACAGCCAAGTTCATCTCCTCAATTGTCAGCAACGACGACACAGCACCAAACATTATCATTGGAATCATCAGCGTGGTAAGTGTGACGTCCACGAACTTACAACCAACTTCAATTCTGACCAGAAGCAAAGACTTGTATAGCCGCGATATACTGCATCATCACCGGCATCCTCTTCTTCGATGACATTCTCCCGTTCCTCCCCTGCGCGATCGTGGACCTCCTCCTTCTCATCGCACTCATAGTCGTCGCTGTGATTATGGGCAAACCACTCTCCTATCTAAACTGCTCGTCACTCTCCTCGCTGAATTTCAAGGATGCGACTACATATGCCTTTACGTCGCGCCTGTCTAGCGTCGAGGCAAGCATCAGCGGCAAGATTGATTTCGAGTCGTGGATTGGAGCGTCGAAGACTATTTGCTTGGAGACTAAGGCAATCTGGGGACTTAGTATTGCGTTGTGGTAAGTGATTATACATTTGAATGTTTCTGCAGCAGATTACTGATTTGATGCTAGCATCCTGTTTTTCTTTTCTGTTATTTGCAATGTTTGCCTCTGGCGTCAGAAGAAGGCCAAAGCCGACGCAGAGAAGTAATTTATTTGGAAAAATGCCACGGGTGACCACCTAGAAGTGGATCCACCGAGGAATCTAGGGGATTCTATTTCAAGAGGAGATGGAAACGGGCTTAATTGAAGGCATTGGTCGGTTGGATTGGGCCAAATTGTGATATGTTCTTGTCTTTTACTACACAGTGCACTAATGAGGTTGTATTTTGGCGTTTGGAGTTATCTGTTTGCCATGGAAAATAACGAAGAAAAGTTAGCCGAATGAAACCACTCGTTTTACCAATTTTGGTGATATCATTGCTTGACTCGAGGTCCGAACGAGGAATACTACAAGCTCTCCGCATTTTCGTAGACCGTTCGGTGTATATCGGGTCATAGAGATTCCCTGAGTTCGTATTGCGTAGAATATATACACCTTTTTCTAGTTGACAGATTCAGCGACCTTGGTGACGATTGCCACAACCTCCTCGGGGATGGTCAAGAACGGGGCATGGCTTGACTTGACTCTAACAATGTCAAACCCACCAAGCCCAGCCATCTGTTCCTGGAATGGAGGTGGCACTGCTGTGTCATTTTCACACAAGATATAGGTCTTCGGACATTGATATTCACTCTCCACGCACTGCGGCCATGTCTCAAAGCTCTTCATAGTTTGTTTCTTGTGAAGATGAGCCCATGCGTCATCGGCATCCTCGGGGGTGAGATCGGAAAAGAAGATCGGTTTAGCCGAGTCTTGGAGGTGCACAATACCATCCTTTATCAAGATCAGTCAGACCAACTCGGATCAACTCATTGTTTTCGGTCGTGACTTACCTTCCAGACATGGTAAGGCTGTGGAGGAGGATTCTGCTCGTTACCGAAGATACTCTTGCCGCGAGTAGGAAACACGAATCCAGCGATACTAATGACTGCAGCGATTCCTCCCTCGAGACCCTTTTCAGTGCGTTCAGCAACTGTCAGACCGTCGACGAGCGCGGTCACGGGCAGGGAGCCATAACTGTGAGACACGACAACAGCCTTTTTGCCTTGGTCGAGCAGTGGAAGTAAATGCTCTCTAATCACAGCTGCGTCGTCGAAGAAGCTCAACGCGGGGTCCACCTCTTCTCCACACACGGCCAAGTCAAAGGAGAGCACTTCATATCCCTGGGCGCGTAGCGGGTCGGCAACCTTGCGGTAATGGATAGGTCGGTGATAAGCACCTGGAACAATGACTATAACTGGGGTTTGAGGTTCCATGGTTGTTATGATACTTGAAAGCTGGTAGCGAAGGGGAGAAATTCGTTTGGAGATTCTGGAATAATTCTGGGAGTCTGACAGATGTAATGAGGACAAGGCTGAGTAAAATGCCTGCAGGGTGTAAGCCTCCAGGGTGTAAGCCTTGCGCGGTCCTCGGGTATATCTGGGCACGTACGAAGAATACTTCGGTCTTATGGTCATATACAGAATAGTGCTGATGCCAATCCAATTTGCACCGGCTTTGACATGGTCCTCCTATCCCGAGCTGACGGGCGGGATAATCGCAACCTCGTCCCCGGCCTGTATCACCTTCTGGGCGTCTTCCACGACATCGACATATTCACTTTCAAGGCTGATACCGCAGCTGCTCAGTATCTTCTCGCGAATGCCCGGGTATCGTTCCTCGAGCAGCGGGTATAGCTCGGACAAAGGTAGGGGTGCGGGGAGACGCTCGGTGTTTTTGGAAGTGTATTGGGATGCGGTCGCAAAATAGTGGATGGTGAATGTTTCTGTCGATGACGACCCCGTTCTACTCTCTGATTTTGAGGCCATGATCTCGTGTAGTTGGCAACTCCCAGGGTATAGGAGAGTTGTGTGTGAGTTGATTGTTGACGAGAGAAGAGGACTGCGGGGGAGGGGATCACCTGACGGGCGATTTAGTGGGACTTGCCCGCTCCTGCCTGAGGCTCACAAACAGATACTTAAGGTCTATCGGAAACTAAATAATAACAACGGAGAATAATCTTTCGAAGATATGGCTAGGTTGAAGAACTTGCTAAAGGTGTACTAAATTATAGAGTTTTTTTGTACTCCGTTCCATAAGAGCTTAAGAAGGAAACGAGCTGGAGAGGTAAATAAAGTAAAAGAAAGTATTCGGTAGAAGCAAAAGCGGGCCTTCGGGATGAGAATTACCGGCTCCACTAGTTACCCCGAGATAGTCACGGACAGGAACCTTTCCAAATCTAACTCGCTGCCCGACGTGTTGGAGTATCTCAGGCGGGCCAGGGAAGTTGGTCCAATTACACCAAGATGGGAGGTCCTAATTCTCCTAACAGGAAGAGTAAGAAGTTAAACCTGTCTTTACTGAGTACCACTAACTTGCATCTATCAGCCCAACGGTCAAGAGTGTTCAAGGCATGTGAAACCTGCCGCCAGCGTAAGGTGAGATGCAACGGTGTACAGCCATGCCAGTCCTGTATCAAGCACTCTACGCCTTGTGTCTTCCGCAAGAGTGCCAGGAGGCAACTGCCAAGTCCAGACCAGGAAATCCACACTGCACACAGTGCTGTCCAGGATCACACACCTCCTGATAGTGATGACTGTGTTGTCCAGTCCACGCTATCGGTCTTGCCATGGGGAGTCCGACAACAAAAAGATCTGAAGCACGTCTTGGACGTTCTCAAAATAGACGATAGCTTCTCTGGGCGGGGTAAAGTCACCAAGGTCTTCAGCTTCACATCTACGATCACCATACTCAATCTAATCCTGGACTTGATTGCCCAATTGGACGACGCTCACCTCCATATTCTGGATGAAAACCCTAGACACACGCCCCATGCAGATGTTCTGGAATATTTACACCAGGTGCTGGTCCGGCACGAGGTCCATCGCCTGCCACCCTTCAATCCTTGCCCGCCCGGTCCTCTGGACACAGTACCGCTACAACTGCAAAGTATTTTTCTTGAGCGATATATCGCGACAAACTGGAAAATACTTCCATTTCAATCGCCCAGCAGTCTACGTACACGGCTTTCCAGTCTCTCTTGCCAGCCAACATCACATATGCAAGATAAAGACAAGGCTCTGCGCGCTATCATGTTCCCTCTTCTTGCCATCGGGTCCATTACTACCGGCCATGCAGAACTAGGAGACATGCTTAGTGGTGAGGCGCAGGGAAATACAATTACGCCATACTATATGGGTGACCTTCTTGCCTTGCAGAGTGATTTGCTGATGATAAGTGAACCTTTCGACTTCTTGAGTTCCGTACTTTAACTGACTTGGGATATCCACATCCAATATTACAGTGACTCTGGCTCCTTTGAATTGGCATATACACGGCTTGGGACGGCATTGGCGAAAATCTTCGCAGCCGGTTTAGATAAACCGACACGTTCAGCCCAGGAACAGGCTATTATATCTGCCTTTTGCTGCAATGAAAGGTTATTACCTCTATTTCAGTTATGATCGCAATTCGCTGACTGTTATTTCAACCAGCCTTTTGTGTATTGCCCTAGGCCGTGAAGCTGTCTTCTCTAGCAGCATGAAACATCTGCCGCAAAGCGACAAGACAATTATTGGATTTATGCACCCATTCTTTCGCATTCTTGCTGAAATTCAAAGGCTTCATCAGCCTGGGATATCAGACTTTATGGAGCTATGGAGTGCCTCCTGCTCACTTCATGAACGTCTAGAAGCCTTCTGGTCAACGAAAGACTCATTCCAAGATTCCTCAGAGAACGGTGAGCTGGATATGGGAACAGTGTGTTAGTGAAATTTTTCACCTTGGTTGGTCTGCTTAGATGTTTCTGACTTGTTCTACAGTGTTCCAATACTCGGTGCTTATCCTATACCGGCCATTCTTAATTCTTCGAACCATGGAGAAATTGCATGATGTAAAATATGGCTTAGATCTCAACAACACCTTCGAAGACAGTGAAAGAGCAGAAATCATGTCAAAAGCATGCCAGCACTCTATTGAAGCCGCAGAAAAACTCATTTCGTTCTTTTGTCGGCTATATGAGACAGACTCGATCCAGAAGGTTCAGTATTCCAAATCCCCTTATGTGCTAGGCACAGTCTGTTAATTCCATATAGACTCTCCCCCTGAACGCATTCTTCCTTGAGAATTCTTGTTATGCTCTACTCATCGATAGCCTGTGGGGCGACCGGATGTCGTTGCATCTTTCACATATCCAAGACGGCTTACACTGTATGGAGCAGACGCAAGATCAACCGGTGACTTCCTCGCGACTTTCTATCATCAAAAATACCCTACAAAAAGCTGGATATTTTCAAAATGCCGATGACATACTTTCAAGTCATGCGCTATCGGAGTCTGGAATGCTTTGGTTGAATGAGCTACTGGAGACCCACTACGGTTTCGAGTAATCCAGGGCCTGGAACAGTTAATAATGACTTATCTGTCATCTTCCATTTATTGGGTTTGGCGTGATTAGAACGCATTTGTATCAACCTTGCCGCTCAGTGGGACGAGCACTTCACTTCTTCTCTTTCTCCATCCCTAAATCTTCCTTGTTAACTTTCGCAAAGCTATAATGTTTATCAAAGTTTTCAATTTCATCCGAGATAAGACCTCTAGGAAGATTTTGATTGATATTTTGAGCCAGTGCCGTAGACAAAATACGTCATTCAACTGAGCCGTCTGCTGTGTTCTCTCCACTAGACTATCGCCCTGGTGCACTGGCCTGAGCTAGAAAACCGTGTTTACCTGCGACTAACAGGGTATAGGCACGCCGGGATACTGAGAAAATTGTCCTGGGACCTCTCATAGACCTAGTAAATCCATTTTTGTGTGTAGATTCTGGACGCGGGGAAAAGGGTTGACCCCGGATTACCCCGGACGGACCCACCGAAATCCGAGATCCGATCCACAATATTCCGAGTCCAGCAAGTCTGGGGTCCCCGAATACGCCGACTTAGAATTATTTTCCAACATCACGGATAAGATCTAGACTTTGATTCTTACATTTTTTACTATCATAATCCGTTGACAAGTAGCCATCTCAACAAAAACACAATATCAGATAATTTTTCAAGCCGTGGTAATGACATGGCTCATAGCAGGGTAGTAAAATAAGTCAATCCTTTGCTACTCGTACAGAATTATTGGTGCTGAGAGATCCAAGTTCTTGATAGCTTCATCTGTTATGTAACTAGGATGCTTTGCTTGGCTAAAATGGCGCTCGTATAATATATCGGAAATCGCCTCGAACGGCTTTCGTTATTTGCTGGGAAATATTCTCAAGAGAGCTCTACTGCAGTAGGAAATCCACTACCGCTACTTCCTACAATTTGTAGGCCCCTTTGCCCATTGCAGCATCTAAGCAGACCAGGCCGATTTCATATCGGGACCGCTCAAGTAGAGCATGACCTGCTGGCCCTGCAGCTTGCCGTTGTAGTACTGAAGAACTTGAAGTGTTTCTCCAGTTGCCGCGGTAGGAGCCAAGAGCGACATATCACTAGAAGCCTTTTTCTTCGCCAGCCATTCATCCTGTTGTTCTTGTGCCTCTGTCATATCGTTTGGAATAAATGCAGAAATCTTTCCGTAGGGGTAAACCTTGCCAGGGATTATAGCTCCGGTTACGACGATACCATTCTGCTCGTCGATAACGAGGTTGAGTCGTGCATTTGTATCGGCAGGACGAGAATCGGGCCAGCTACATCCAAGAGGAGTAGTTGAACCGTCTCCATCCGGGCCAGGGTCGATAACGCTCCAGCCCTCTTCGGTGAACTGGCAGTCGTCAGCGACAGTGACCGATAGAGTGCTGTTCGGGTTGAAAGTCGCTGCGCTAAGACTTTCTAAGACTTCTCGAGTCGCATTCTGTCGATCGGACGGGGGCGACATCCAGCGCTCATAGTTCTCGGGTAGCTCCGCGGCCGAGAAAGAGAAACCGTGGTCACCACGGGAGCGGTTCACATATAGCTCTAGCTCCGTGATTTCCTTGTTGACGACTTTGATCCGGGCCCATAGGACGGATTGCTTGGTATCGCTGCCCTCGCTGATATCGAGAGCAAAGTACGCAGAGCCGGATGTAGTATCAATTGCGAGCAAACTGGGCGAACCTGCGCTTGTAACGGTCCTCCATAGAGTCATCATACCCAGGGCTGCAGGGTGAGAGTTCTCAGTTGCATAATAGGTCTGTGCAAGCGGCAGGATTTCCGGATTATGCAGCAGCATAGACGCCAGGATTTGGTCAACGATGGTAGTCATGCATTCACGCGAGCAGTTATTGTCAGAGGTGCTAGAGACACTCTTTTCAACTAGCCCGGCGAGAGGCACTGCAGTTGCTCCTGCCGCAAAGGCAAAAACTGCAGCTGCTGTCACAAATGGAAACTTCATTGTGGTCGTAGTTTGTGCTGATTGATATGCCTGAGATCAGACGGGCAACAAAGGTAAGCAGGAGGAAAGCCCTGGCGAGAGGTTGAATGTGAAAAGTCTTGAAACGTAGAGTGAACGTGCCTTATATACCCATCCAGCTTCCTCTCGCAGATCTCGGGTGTGATTGTATCTTGCTCACTGTGAGTTGTCCACATTCCGATATTCAATATCTTGGTAAGACGATGGAGAGTGTTGCGAGGATTGTGTAATACCCTAGATTGTGGACCATATTTGCAGTCCCGAAGGATTTGGCTCTCCAAACACTTTGCGATATACAGCGCTCCTGGCTCGCCAAATTGATTGCACCTCTAGATTTTGAAGATTAGAGTGTTCTTACTTTTCTGTTTAAGTTAGAGCCTAGTTGGGGTGATTCGTGAGCTATTTACTACTCTGAATATGAGCTTTCTATCATCCGCCTGAATAAACGCTGCTGTTGAGGCCGGTGTCATTTCTAGAGCAAAGAAAAAAAAAGGAAAACAAGCTATTAGAAAGACGAGTCAACGGAGCCGTATGTGTTTGTCGCTAATTTGCTCTACACTGTCGAGCGTAATCATTGAGCCAAGTCTTTCACCCAGTCCTACAACATATAACGGATGTATATGTCCGGGAATGATCTGCAGAGGGTATATGCCCGGGGAATAGAGATCTAGAGCTCCTAGACTTTACCTAATAGAAGGTTAGCTTATTCCTCTTGCTAGTTATCGTTGGTGGTTGGGCCCTTAGAGGCTCGGACTTTGGTGGGTCTCCCGGACTTCAATGGATCTGGAGAAGGGGTCCGGGGGTTACTGGTGCATTTCCCCCTCACCCTGGGATTCAATCTGCACCATAGCTTTTGCTTTAGTCAATTACGCCTATAAATGTTTTTCTACAACTTAGTGTCGTCGGGAAATGGGCCATGTCGGCACAACTTCAAGTTCTCTAATCCTCCAGGGCCCCGCACGATAATATGGGTTCGGATAAGCTAAATCTTTGTCTAGTGAAAAAGGAGGTGATCATCTTTCCATGAGATGCAATTTAATCCTCCAGCTCTTTTGCCATTGCCAAGCTACGCTACGGCCGTCATGGCTTGATAATTCATATGGCGACGGAAGCGAGGCTCACGTCCACTGCACCTTTTTCTCGCGCAGTTGTGTGCATTGTTTCATCGAAATTATCAAAGTTCCAGGACTAGAGCCGACACATATGCAGCATTTTGGTGCTCTTGTGCGTGTTGTCATAGTAATGAAAGCCTCTATTAATATGAGGGCAGAAACCTTTATTAGGGTGGTTTGTTTGAGGATCTGTTTGGACTAGCCTTATAACGATACTAGGCTGTTGCGTCGGAAGATCACGAAGTAGTGATAAAATAGGTTGGATCCCCGTGGAGTGCATCAATAAGCCTAATTTCCCATAGTTAGTTATTTCTTTTTAATTTAATAAGCGAGACAGGAGAAAACGCTCAGCTTTCTTCTAAGCACTTGTTTGCCGTGCGGAGTAATTGCCTCCTGAGTGATAACGCATCCCGTTTCTGCTGAAAGTGCGGGGAAACAAGTCTAGATTTCGGTACCACATCGGAATTCTGGGGAACTACGTGGGGCCTTCATGAACTAAATGCGATAGCTTGTTTAATATTGCCCCGAGGTATCTCTTCCCGTGGTTCGGAAAACCCTCAATATGGCTCTTCCTAGTATGCTATGCCGGGAGCTAGAGCGTATCATGTCTCCTGTTAAGATGAGATAACTTTTGAATAGGGTTAAACAAGAGGAATTAACCTCTCGGGGTAGTGATAGACCGATGCTTAAATGATTAATTGTTTAGCTTCACAAAATATTTCCCGACACTATGACAGTGCAAGCAAAGGCTAATTTGGAGAGGACTATAATTGCAGCTTCTCCGTCCCTCAGATTATGAGGTCAAGCAATCGTGCAAAGGTCTTTCGCGTTCTCAACTCCAATTTCTATTACTCCGTTCTGCAGCAATGAGTGCAGCCAAATGGCTCGTTCTGGTAAATCTGCTCCAGATTCCAGCAGCGGCCCATGCGACGCCATTCGGCCAGCATGAACTTATGAGCCGGGGTGTTGGCCTTGGTCAACTTCCCATCCCATCTACTTACGATGCACCTCGCTTCCGCTGGTGGTGGCCGGGCGGCTGGATTGAGCCTGATGTTGTGGAGAGCGAAATACAATCTATCGCTTCTGCAGGATTTGGTGGTGGTGAAATTGGTGATGTTGAGGATAGCATCAAGGTCTCGATGGATCCAAAAGTCTATGGATGGGCAAGAGATCGATGGAATGCTGGTGTCCTTGCTGCCTATAAGTCAGCCCAGAAGTAAGTACTTGCACTCAGGTGTGATAAGAGGGTTTCACAAGCTAACCGGGGATAGACTGGGCGTTTACGTGGACATGACTCTTGGTCCCCACTGGCCAACCGGAGTCCCGGGGTTCACCCCTGATTCTCTCGAGACCTCCAAGGAGCTAGTTCATGGGCAAGCCTTGATTGCTGCGGGGAAGTCTTATTCAGGATCCCTTCCTCTGCCCGTGGCCAACCCATCTGGTCAAGAGACTGGCAATCCCTCGGTCAACGCAACCGCAAAATTGGTTGCTATTCTGGCTGCTAGAACCAATGCAACATCGGCGAATGACACCGTAGTTTCATTTGAGCCGTCGACAGTCGTGGATTTGACAAAGTACTATCATAACAGCCAGTTATCCTGGACTGCGCCCAAGGATGGAAAGTACATGGTCGTTGCCGTATACGGCAGAGGGACTGGGCAGATACAGAACATGTACGACGGAAATCCGGATGGACCAAAAGTGACATATCCGTTTCCAGCTTACATTGTCGACCATTTCTCCAGCGCTGGCGTGGATGCGTCTGTGAATTATTGGAACAAACATATCTTGAGCGATGAATTACGCCAAATCATGAAGAGTCAGGGAGGCTCCATTTTTGAAGATTCACTCGAACTCAAGTACAAGCAGTACTGGACACTCAACTTCATGGCAGAATTCAAGAAGCGACGAGGTTACGATCTGACATCATACCTGCTTTATATACTCAAAGATACCACCACATTCACTGGTAACGATGAAGTTGCCAGCAGAATTGAGTACGACTTCTACTCCACTGTCACGGATCTCTACATCGACTACCGGGTCCAGGGATTGAAGAAGTTCGCTAATGGACTCGGCCTGAAATTCCGCCTGCAGCCCTACACAGCCACGATTGACTCTGCGCGGGCAGCTTCAGCTGTTGATATCCCCGAGGGCGAGTCCCTGGGCTTTGAGGGGGACAACGATGCCTTTCGTGTTTTGGCTACTGGTCGAGATGTTGCTGGTCACACCAAAATCCTTTCCAACGAGCTGGGTGCTTACATGGGCAAGGCATATGGTGTCACCTGGAACTTTCTTCTCGGGACGGCGAATCTTGATTATTCTCTCGGTGTCAGCCACGCAGTTATCCATGGTTTCCCATATCGTGACTCTCCCTCCAGTGTGTGGCCAGGCTTTGCGCCTTTCACCCCTCTCGGCTTGTCGAGTAATGGGTTCGCAGATGCGTGGGGTCCTCGTCAGCCTCAATGGCTCTTCGCGCCGAACGCGAGTATCTATATGGCCCACGCTCACAACATCCTGCAAACGGGCTCTCCAGCGGTGGATCTGGCCGTTTTGAATACCGATTGGGGCGTTACGGCAACATGGAAGGATACTGGATTGAATGATGCTGGCTATTCTTATCAGGTGAGACTATTTAAGACCCAGGGCGTTATGCGTGAAGTTTTCGCTGACCAATTATAGTTCCCAACCCCAGAACTACTGGCAGAGCACTCTGCCACTGTCAAGAATAAGCGTCTTCTCCCTGATGGCCCTCAGTACAAAGCCCTGTTGATTAACAACATCACTACCCTGAACCTTGATAGCGCGAGGCAGATTCTCTCATACGCCAAGTCAGGTCTTCCTGTCGTGATTGTTGGGGACGCTCCCTATCAACCACAGTCTTTCTGTAATGACTGTACGACAGTGAAGGCTCAAATTGAGGAGACATTCAAGTCAATCATGGCTTTGAAAACGACAAAACAAGTCTCATCCCAATCCGATGCCCCAGTGGCTCTCAAGGCCCTTGGTATCGGTCCCTCCGTTCAGTACTCTGTATCATCCAACGTTTCTACCATCACGACCAAACGTCGCATCAGCGACTCTGAGACCATCTACTTCGTCTACAGCTCTTCTGCCATTACCGAGACTATCTCCCTGGAAGGGGAGGGTTATCCACTTATGTTGAACTTTTGGACCGGGGAGATTACCCCTATCGCTGCGTTCGACGTAGCTGGTGGGTACACCAAAGTCAACCTGACCTTGGGCGAGAATGCTGCGCAGGCAGTTTACCTCGGCAAAAGAAACACATATGGCGTCTCTAATCTCATCAAACATGTTACCGCTACTGATGCCGAGGTCTTTGTTGATTCGGGAAATATTTTCCTGAGATCTAGCAAAAATGGAACTCATACTGCGAAATTGTCAAATGGAAAAACGGTCAGCGTCAAATTCGATGATGTGCCGGCTCCAATCTCTCCGACTTCTTGGACGCTATCAGTCGAGGATTGGTCCCCTCTGAGCACCAACGAGACTGGATTGAACTCCTCCTTGACTTCGAAGACCATTTTGCCGAGTATCAAGTTGAATTCCCTTAAGTCTTGGACCAACATCACTGGATTGGAGAGTGCGAGTGGCATTGGGACTTACAGTACGACCGTCGATCTATCCCTAGACCAGTCATCTCAGAGCTCTGGAGAGAATCTCGCGGTTTTCGTCAACTTCGGCGATGTGGAAGGTAGTTGGGGCTTGAAAATCAACAATATACAAGTCGATGGGGTGGACTTCCTATCTTCGACACCGCTGGAAGTTACTTCATATGTGAAGAATGGTCTCAATGGTATGTTTATCTTGGACTGAAGGGTGATTTACCTACTAACAAGCCGCAGATATTGAGATTACAGTTGCCACTACACTGTGGAACAAGCTACGGAAGACGTGGCCTGCTATCTATGGATCCCTAGAGGCACAGGAAGTTGGTCTGTTGGGCCCCGTCACATTGACGTACTACGCTCAGAAGCAAATCTAAGCGTCGAGTATTGTGGAGATGCTTGGTGTGCCATTAATGTAATTGGGGATGTAGTTAGTATTTGTTGCTGCCGTAGGGGACTGCTGATGGGGCCTTGGTATCATGCTAGATTAGGTGGTTGGTAGAACTCCTCTTTGAGAGTTGCTAATACCACACCCCAAATTCCCAATTTGACACTCCTATCATTGTTTCTAGCTAGTATGGTAATTTTATCACTATGCTCTGATACCTCCGGTACTTGCGTGGGTTGAATTCGCCCTTCTCTCTTCGTTAAATCTAGTAAATGCAGCAGTAGGAGAGGAGTCGGCCAAAATGGGGGTCGGACGGGACCGTTAAGCAATGGTGAAGTGTCATCAGTTATTGTCAACCTTAAACTTCATTTATGAGTTACCAGTCCTACACCAGAACGCTGGGTAACGGTAAAATTAGCACTGAAAATGGCCACTCTTCACGCTTTTTAGGCGTTATTTTTACCGGAATCTTAATTCCGGACTTCTGGTCAGCATGGTAACCGACGAGATCTACGACCATATCACACAATCTCGCCGAGGTTGCGCTATTATCAAGGATGGCATTAAGGACACCTTCCTAATAGTACCTATTGTCGAAGATAGCCAGCATCTCCTTGTCTTCCAGTGGAACAATTCCACTTACGTCTTGTGTTGTCTCTCCTTCCGCCTCGCAACAGCCCAGTTTCTCTTCACCTCTTTGCGGAGGCTATTCGTTGGACTTATTCAATGCCTCCTGCTCATATTCTACACCAAGAATTAGCTAGATGACTTCTTCGCAGTCGCTCAGTTTCCTTCACTGAGGTCTATAGGCTTCCTAGACGTATGAATACTTAATAAGTAAAGTAGTAGGCTATATCGCTAAAAGGTACATTCGGTTTATAGTAGAAGCCTATATAGGATACTTCGAGCGGACTAACGCTATTAAGCACTTATCCTTAAAATAACCGAGTTCGCGCTTCGATAGTAGAAAATAGGGTCAAGATAAAGTGTTTTTCTCGAGGGACACAGGGTAGGGTAGGTGTTTTGAGTAGAGCAGCGGGGTTTAAGGGCTTCGAGGTGGGGGAAGGGTAGCGGCGAGTAGACTAATGGGTTTTGCTATTTCTTCTAGAGTCCCCTATTTTGATCCCCTCATCGTCGATTAGGTATAGTGCCGCCCGTTGCCTGAACGATAGTCGTCCGGTCTGTCCTGTACGTAAAGTACCGACCGCTATCGCCTTCCATGTTAGGAAACACAGAGACGCCCTTTCAACCCCTGATCAAATGACATGCTAATCCTGATATGGCTAACTCCGTATTTAGATATTTGTTCCAGGTTTGTACGGTAACAAAGCAGAACGTCCGAAACATGAGACTCTAATAATAGACACATACGAAAAGGGGCTAATTAAAGGTGTAATTTCGGTTAAAGTGAATCTGAATGAGGGCAAAAGGATGGGTAAAATGAAATACTATTTGTTGGATACTAGGCTAGTTATAGAAGCGTATTTTTTTGGTGCAACACTTTGAAGTAAGATAGACAAGCTGACGTGCGATATCTCTCACGTACATAGCGTCCTGGAAAGACTGAATTTTGAGAAATAGCATTTCTATATAAATACTCACCCTCAGAAGCCTATACTTAGATGCAAAATCTAGTTTCATAAGGATTACTTTAGTACTAGAAGTAATGTATTTGGCATGTTCGTATAAAATATGGAAATGTGTCGAGTACGCTAACTGACTGCATTAGGTTTTCGATGGCATTACACGAAGAACGAGCATCAAATGCATATCTTGGCCCTCATTTTGGAAGAGGCCTGAGATGATCAATTTTCAAATACCATGTTATGTACGGTAATATATAACCTAGTATCAAGGTTGTACACATTACGAAGCTTGCTGGTTAGATCGTGGCGATTTGTGAGTATTACCCATCAAGGGAAGAATTTTGATTTGCAGCCATTGAATTTTATAATCGTATTAGGGCGATGGTCTCACAAGGAATCCCTTCACAAAAGCCCTGAGCACGTCACTACTTAGCCTGGTAGTGGCTTCCTCCCATAGACGGCGACTCTACTCCTAGTTAGCAAAAGTGTTCAGGTTATCGAAAAGAGTAGGGAAGGCATACGTTTGAACATATGCATGTAATCTCTTATTCCGCAGTTCCTGCTTAACCACAGCGTTATGAATCTTCGCCGCATCTTCGCCCCAGCCAAGCACCTGCGTGTATAGTCGTAGGGAATATGAATCAATCGCTTGCTGTAACTGCACTGCCTGGTACTTGCCTAGGGCCTTGAGATAAGGATCCTTTGGCCAGGGCGAGAATGGCAGCACGTAGACTGATAACTTGACATCCTCAAAGCCGGCTGCAACCATCCAGTCTTTCAGCTTATGATAGATATTTAGCTCCCGACCGATCTTATCGCTTGCATAATTGACAGCCTGCTGCCATTCCATGATCGCGCAATCTTGCTTGAGGGAGCCATCGTCGCTTCTGGCCCATACAGCACTCTCGTGCGACTCAAAGTAGCCACCAGGTTTGACGTGATCATAGATCCGGCGGATAAACTCAGGCCAGTTGGCTACGCATCTAGTTAGTGTGTCAGAGCGTCACTTCTGCTAGGATAAAAGACTAGCCATGGAAACATACCCCGCTAGACATCTTGCATGGATGAAATCAAAATAGTTTTTTTCATACTGCCATTCGCTTTCAAAATCCTCCACGATGAATTCGATATTCGGTGCCACCCAACTAGGCTGGATGGGACTGATGTCGTTTCCTATAATGTGAGCGCTAGGGAATTTCCTGTCATTAAATGTTAGTATTTCTGGTGAAGGAAGATATGAGGTTAAATAATATCATTTACTCAGCAATGTCCATGGCCCAAATTCCTGTTCCGGTTCCGAGGTCAAGAATGTTCTGTGGTGACGATTTGATAGGGGCATTATAGAGCTCGCCTCGTAGTAGCATCAGCCATCTACATCGCCCGGGTTAGCTACACTTGTTTTTTTAGATTGTAATGTCTCACGGACATATGGTGTGTCTGAATGAAGAGTCAGTGATTGCACATCAAAGGTCATTAGGGAGAGTGCCTTACCAGATCCATTCGATCCTGCTCTTCTTCGTCATTTGGCATCCTAGCTTGGTCAGTTTTCACAGTTCAGAGTCCCTAGGGAGAAATAGGAACGTACATATAACTTCCCTAATCGTAAGGAACCGGTTAGTTAGTCCTTGAAGCTTCATACTACGGGCATCGGCTAGGCTAACACAAGAATACTTACTGATCGGTTACTGCAGTACCGGCGACCATTTTCATACTCGAACTGGAGTACGCTTGACGAAAGAGATGTAAGATCGGACAGGTCATCGTCGAATTCACCGTTGCTATCCTTCCAGGTACCAAAACTTTAGGTCCACTTTCGCAACTGGCCAAACCCTCGCGTCTACTTACGGAGCTAAAATCATCAACTGTAATTACACCGGGCGTGTTAACAAAAACCTCTTCATTGGCCGGCGGTGTGAGCTCGGATAGTTCCGACTGTGCCGCGGGCGGTTCGTGGGGAGGGGACGACATTCTGTGTTGATGAGACGGAGCAGAATAATGGTGGCATTTATTGCAAGACAATGCTGTCGTCTATCCCTTCTTAAATAATGCTCGCTTGTTGACAAATCCCGCACGGGTAGCGGGGTCTAGGTTTGTATCCAAACTGTCGGGTTCGCAGAACACGGAAAATCGTCTAATCTATCTTGGAATGGGTAATCTAGTCTACGTGTCGCATCTGGATCCTTGGCGTGGCTGCCAATAAACAACCATCATAAGAAGCCGGAAAACAATTCCGCTCCTGATGTACTTCTGTATCATGCTGCAGCCAAGCTATCGCGCCTTTGCAGACCAATTTAGGTTGGAAAAGACTATTGAGTGTTTCTAATAGCTGTGGGATCTGACTGAAAGTCTAATAGGCTATTCTGAACACCAGCTACATAAGCAGTCTTCGATTTTGGCACCGATTCCGCGAGTGGGGTGGCAGAATAGGATAATCTACCCCCGCATCTTCACCCTTTTTTTAAGCCGCTCCGACCGGTCTGATATATGGCTGAAGTACCTTATCATTGAATCCAATGAGAGCATGGCGGATTAAATCCCGGGGAGTGAAATGGGGGCATATTGCCATGGGTTGATAACCATCCGGGGTTGATAGGGATCGTCGTTATTAGTAATCTTGAAGAATCGTCTGAGGGTTAGTCTAGAGCTGCAAGTGGTTAGCTAGGAACGCCTGATGCCCAATAGGACCTGAAGCCGCCACATAGTGATAAGCGATGGTGGAGAACACGAAACAAATCTCACTTATCTAGCTTTGCTTATTAGGCCTAGCATGTCATGCGATCAGGGTTTGAGAGAACGTCTCCGTTTCCGGACATGGAAGGCAAAAACGGTTGGGGAAAGAGGTTGGATCAACTATAATTGCCTCAGGCAGAGAAAACGTCGAACCAGCAAGAATTGGCCTAAAAGTTACTAGGCATAACTCGCTGTGGAGCTAAATTCAGTGGCTCGGTCCCCGCTCCTAATGAGGAAGACCCTATTGGTCCTGGTCTTTATTGCCTACTAAAGTGGGTCTTACGCGAGACACGACGACCGCAGTGATATCTTATTCGCTGTAGCAAGACCCCTCCGCACATCAACCTCCAAACCGAGGGCCTCCAGTAGATTTAGGAAAACGTATTCTAGCCCGTGTGGCTCACTATCCATAGTCATACTAGATATCTATCGAGAGCTATAAGGCCAGTTATGTAATAGACCTATTGTCGTGGAACAGTGGAGAGTTTCATTACAGTGACCTCGGATTGGTCCATCTCCTTCCCAGATTTTGTATGTGTTTGTATGTAATATGCGGGTAACCTTTCGACATCGGTATGGTCACTCGAATACCCGGTTACACCGCCCAGCTCAACCTGCCCCTTTTCCATTCGTTCGAGTCCTTTCCTTTCTTCAATCAATCAACCTTGTCTGTATGATTCCGATAGTTCTCATTCGTCCATATGCATACTAGCCTATACCAATTCAACCGGTTTTGATACCTATTGATCTGCATCTAGGTAGGCCTTGAGTCTGGAGATATGTATCCGTGGTTGAGAAGCTATAGTGGGAGGGCTTAGGTTTCGGGCCCTGTGACCCAGAACACTGGTCTTAGGACCACGGCCTGACGGCTATAGACGTAGGCCTACTTTAGACTTACGTCTATAGCTCTATCTCTAGCAGGGCCTTCAATCTGTTAACTAGCGGCCACTATAGCTATGTAGCTATACGGGCTCTAGGTATTTTGACGACTGTCCGTACGGGATACTAGTCTTTCGATATAAATCTTATATTCCTCACTATATATAGCCGTAGCCTACAGCCCATTTGGCTCACGATCCTAGACACATTAGCTAGCTAGGCCGGGTATTAACTAGCGACTAAACCTGTTCTTTTCGCTTTACGTGGAAATATACGCTTTAGCATCATAAATAGACAAAGTAGGGGTGCAGGTTTGTGGGTTTAGAGGCAGCGCGCGCTATCTATCATATAGAGCATTGCCTCTCCCTAACCTCCTAAACTAAGGGGGCGAGCTTCGATGCAGCATTAAGGATAGATAGCACGAACACAGCTTTTGTGACATTTAGCGACGACCGGCTATAAGTGAGGAGACAGTGCATTCGATCACACCCGAGACGACGGTCAATGGAAGAGAATGGTAGGTGGTGAACAAAAAGACTGGTCCAGCGAAAATCAATCGCTATGGCGGCAATTGAGGAGGGAAATGAGGGCGGTGAATAATGAATGACCGTTTTAACTCTGGCTTCAACCCAAAGGTCAACATAAAGGCAAGTTTGGCCGTGAAACCGCAGTTTATTCCAATAATCTAGGTGTTATAAACAGAGCTTATAAATCTGGGGAAAGTTAAAGCACACCATGGGTTGGTAGATTTAGTTGGTCCCGTATGTGAACCGGTCAATTCGCTCGGACAATGTCTGAAAATCCCTTCTTCTCTCAGCCAAAGCACGCACGACCAACTCGAAAATGGCAGAATTCCCACTTTCGTATGCGGCCTGAACGTGGCTCAAATCTATTGCTGAATTGCTATGATTCAATAGCAACGAAGTTGATTCACGGCGGCGGGATTCGATGGCGTAGTGTAAAAGCTCCGTTGTATTCAGACGGCAGCCAGCATTCAAGATCATGTGGAGACCTGAGGGCCATCCAATGAACAGCTTCGCAAGATAAGTATTCTCTTCATGGGCGTCCCTGGCTGTTGACATTGAAATTATTTCATGGAGATGTCTTTCTGATCTCAGCATGATGGATCTCTTGTTACGATATAACAAGAATACAGTGCGATACTATATGTATTGGTCCCTGGGTCATATCCGCTGATCGCCGATATAGTGGTCTTTTTGGCCTACGTAGGAAGTCAGGTGACCAGGCTGATCTCTTTACATCTCTCTAAATCGGACGAGTAAATTTCTAGATTTTTTGGAATTCATTAATGTTTGCTCTATTCCTTTTGAATTACTTTTGGGAGCGAGAAATGGAATTCCACCCGAATTCCACCCGAGAATGTGGACATACCTTCATGTATATTTCGCCTCGCGACGGCGTAGATGCAATTGCTAGAGCAATCGACCTCAACGAAGTTTCCACGGTTACATCCCCACCCTTTGCGGACACCGAAGCTTTTGTTAACGTCTCGTGTTAATTCTGCACCGTAAGCCACGAGGTCGGAGAACATAAACACCATCTGGTCTTGAAAGCTTTTCGACCGAGCGTTAAAGCCACTACTCCCTTCAATAAGGAGAATGTCCAATATAGATCCACTATAAGTTTGCTCATTTAACAGGACACCAAATTCAACAAGATTCTTGATGAGACCACGGTAATCTTCCGTCCTCGACTCAGGGACATGTCGAATCCATCTTAATACTTCCTAATGCGGTTGTCAGAACTATGTCCTTGTTTCATCCTATTCCAAGCTTCCCTACTCACATTGAGAACGGTGCCTCCTAGGTAATACCCAAGATCCCTAGGTGAAGCTTTTCCTTCCTCGTACACTGATCGTAGTTGGCTCACCAAGGTTCTGATGAATTCTTGTGACGTGCATTTCCTCAGTTTCCGAGGCGCTTCCCGTACAAGCTCAAAGGCAGGCGATTCAAACTCATCGACGATTGGACTGAAGATTATGGACGGGCAAATTGTGCATCCTCCCGCCCCCCTGACGCTTTTTAGAGAAAAATTAACCGAAGCGGTAAGGAATCTGTTGCATAAAACCAATTTCCTTCCAAAAATAAATGTCTCTTCCTGAAAATAAAGTGGGCATCCGAAAGTATGGAAAGAGCACCAAAGCGATGCGAAAGGTCCTTTTTTTTTCCATAGAAGAGGCGCGTAATGACGAACAAGAACATTTTTTTCGCTCTCGTTGACTAATCGGTATCACCTCAGTATGAAAACGCGCCGAACTGCCGTTGAGGGTCTCATGGTTATCATATAACGACTCCAGTGCAGTGGACTCGAGCATTGGTCCGTTTTGTCGGATCAGGTAGGAATACTAGATTGCTCCATTCAGCACAGACATATATATCACGCGATCATGGAAGCCATACCATATCTGTTAGGTGTTGGTCAATGCCAGAAATTCTACAACTGTTATCCTGCTGGGCATGGTCGATGCTCTTGACGTGACTATGAATTCTTGTCGACTCATTTAAAGTCTGCTCTGCAGTGATAGACAATAGTTCTGTCCTCTCTGAATTATGCGAGACGACGGTTCTGGACACTTCTTAGAAGCTAAACTCTGTAAAGTGGTTATAAGAAGGTAAAACGTACAATTGTAAAACATGCATCGATGTGTCTAAGTTTGATTGCAGATTCTCCACGTGCTCAAGAATCGATCTGATCGTGCCACGCCGAAAAGGGTACAATGCTCTCTTGAGATAGTCCCGCTTCTGCTCGCCTGGCGTCGCGTTGCACCTGTCCATGATCCCCTTTAATTGTTCCAGACCACTTTTGCAGTCCACAATATTCTGCTTAGCTGTCCTTGTTGCTGCTGTTTCTGTTCGCAGGTCATCATGGCTTTGTAGTACGTCTTCGAGTACTGCAAGGACATCTTTTAGATCCTCAAGCTTCTTGAGCACATTTTTTGTGTCTTCGGAATTAGGCTCTTCTACGTAGTTAAATAATATTTGCGAGACTGGTACAGAGGATAGTCGATCTGATGACTGATACAACGGAGCGTCGTGTACCATCCTAATATCTACCCGTTTAAATATAAAACTATTATGACAGGTATTTATTTATTTAAGAGCTTGCATCGCGGTCTTTTCCAGAGATTGCAGAACGGAGGAGGGTCAGGATAGCCGACTTAGTGTCGGGATTTTGCAGCCACTCGGCCGCCTCTGAGGGGGTTTGGCCATGGAAATTTGTGCCTTGTGATCGTGCTGTGGGATCTGCTCCCGCATCTAGTAGTACTTTGATAGCGCTCGTCTGGGCATTACGGATAGCGCAATGCAGGATAGTGCCCCATCTAGGGTGGGATGCATTCGGATCGAGGCCCTTTCCAAGAAGGAAGGAAGTCTTGAACTGTGATCCAGCCACGCGCCGACCCACGGCATAAAAGAGGTGTTCCGATTTCAACCAGGCCCCATATTCGAGACACAGATCAAGTAGAGCGGTGTCATCTTCTCGAAGGCAATAAATAGCAGCAAGGAAGGTAGGTGCCCCCCGGGAGTCGACGCGGTTAGAATCAGCGCCCCGTGAGAGGAATTCACGAGCGCATTCGGGATCTTCCATAAAGCTATTCAGGGTCAGACCTCGATTCAGATATACAGTAAAATAGCTAATACGTACGCAAGAATAGGGTCGCCACTAGAATCGGTTGCGTTAGGATCAAGGCCATGATCGAAGAACAGGCGAACAATGGTCGGGTGTTGTCGGCTACTGTCCCCACGGAGAGCGGCCACTGATTTAGTAGACACGCTAGCGCCAGCGTCGAAGAGCACCGGCACGAGGTCAGTATGCACCATTGCAGTGGCCTCAGCGAGCCCCTCGTCGAGCTCTTCGGAAGTTAGTCGCCCGCTGGCGATGGCTTCCTGGGTCTTTGATAGGTCACCCTCGTAACAAGCATCAAGAAAGGCATCGACAAAGGGGTCTTTGAGTGTCATGGTGCCGGCGATATGGATTCTTTGAATGTGAAGATTGTAAAGAGACTGGATTGAGCTTGGGGTAGCGCTGGTGAGGTTCCGCAAATTATCAAAACGTGTGGTAGTCGCCAAACGAGATCTGTATATGGAGAAGCGATGTGGGGGTGCCGGAGGTAGTAGGACCGAAGGGCACAGATATGGAATTGGAGAACGGCTGGTCTGTTAGTATAAGTGGACCCTTGGAATTTGGTCGAGAATAACGCTCCGCCCGAGCCAATTGATGCTTATGATCGCCCCACCCTTCGGAAACTCTACTCCATGCATTCCTATACATTATTTTAGTATAGAGTCTTTGGACGGAACTACCCGTGGCTTTGACTAGCTTGAACTAAATATATGGGGCCAGGTAGTTTGAAGGTGAGAAGCCCAGTTCTACTGCTCCGATCAGACTAATTTCCTTGGTCATCCACGGATTGATTTATCGAACAGCTCGGATAGACTGGGTACGGAGTATGCACCCGCAACGCCAACATTTTCACATGTGTCTCAGCCCCACTGTCATTTAGAAAGTATTCTCACGCCGTCTCCGGCCCCAATCCATTCTTGATCTGATGTTTCCATACGCTTCTTTGGATCTAGCAAGTTGCCGGAACTAACGAGCCAACGAAGATTCGCCTATGATCCGCGTTCCCATCAACACAACAGGGGAACGGATAAAAAGGAATATTTCTAGATCCGGGATAACCACCTACGCGATTTCAGGGAATTTATAGTCAACGGAGGTACTCAAGGTTGTTTTGGTATATCCCAGGACTCTCGAAGTCACTCACTTTTCCTTTGGGAAAGTGACTTTCAGATGCAATGGCACTTTCTTGTCCTCCTATACTCTATTCTCACTCAACCACACGTTGTAAACTGTGAAGATGATTATTTTGTTATAGGCGATCTAAGCCAATATACCACAAGCGGAGTGCGTATCAGGTACCCAGTTGCCAGCTGAATCTCATATGTGCAAACTTGGCCCAGCATGGTATCTAATGCCTCTCCAGGTCCCAACACCCGTCCTTTAGGGTCTGCGATTGAAGTAACTGCAGTGGGTGACCCAGATGAAAACGGTGTCTTAATTTTTCTGTCTCCAGACATGCAGGCTAGTTTGAAGTCTACCATGGATAGTAGCTGCACAAATGCGGTTGACACGAGCTGCTATCAAGCAGTTATGAACGTTCTTGAGGGCGCCAATCGCGTCCTTCAATCCCGCGACCTTAAGAAACACGAGCTAGAAAGACGAGAGGTGCCTGTTCTAGGAGCTATCGCTATCTTAGTAGCTGGCTTAGTATGGCCGATCATTTACCATGGAGACCATGTGGTCCCGGTGCCGATAAATATTCCCCCGGCGCAAATTGAGGAGTCTTTTGATCTGGAAACTGCCACTGCTATCATTGTCGTCACCGATGATAATGCATCCCCGATGACCGTAACTCAGCCCCCAGAGCAGGCCGTGGCCACCGGGTAAGCAGGCAAATACTCCTCTTTCTCTGCCATAGTGACCAGACTGACAGGCCTCACCTTAAGATCCCCGCTCATCATCACGACCATGGCAAGTTCTGGCAATGGTGCAAGTGTGGGGGATGTGGCTATTAAGCTGGACTCAGCAGAGGCAGCGCACTTGCAGGCGCTGCTATCCGGTTCGAACAACGGCAACTGCGATGTGGGCAACGATTTCTTCACTCCCACGCTTCGGGCTCGCCAACTCGACCAGTCAAATATTATCTGTGCTGGCATGAACGTCATCGCCGACGGCATCACTCGCGATGGGGTCCAACCCTGGCTTTTTGTCATTCCCGTAGTTAGCGTTAAAATTAGTAAAATACTTATATTAATAACTATCTTATCCGTCGCTACCTAATAACCGTCCACGAGATACTAGTCTATGCTAAGGAAATACTACGGGGAAAGAAAACTACGTTAGGATCGGTGGGGATTGCTAAAATATTAGAAATTTATTAAGCGATCCACCCGTACAGCCAGTTAGTAATAGACGGGTTAACACCTCCAAATCCTGGTTGTCGACCTTTTTTTTCTGGAAAATCGCTATTCATTACTACTTGATACAAGGACATCCCGCCTGTTGCATTCAATAAATCTTCTCAACCGATAAGGGGAAAAGGTAAAGGCACATATATTCAGGAGAGCATGGTAGCTATAAGATACTAACAACACTTAGTCAGTAAAAGTGTGGGCATTGATGTTGATCGTGGACACGGCCCAAGTCTTGCCACCATCTGTGGTCGTCAAGCCACTAGAGCTAGCTTCAGTGAGAACGAGAGTGTTCCCAAAAGATGCATCAGCGGTGTCCAAAATGATCTTTGTTGACAAGTACCCTATATTACACAATTGTTGGATCAGTGATACCTCGGTCGAGTTGACATGGGAGAACTTACGATGAGCTGGTACCGAGCTCTTGCAAGCGTCATCTTGGCACTCAACGGCAGTGCCCCAACCTTGGGCAACGCCATCATCTAATGAACGTTATGTTAGTCAGCTAATCGATTACACGAAGGTACGCGACAGTTGTGAGCATACCAGTCGAGAGAGTGGAGACAATTGACCCATTGATCGCAACTGATTGGTCGTAGTTTCCAGTGCTATCATTGTACTTATCTGCGATCGTATTTAGTATGAGGAAGGAATGGCGGGGATAAGATTCTAGGGAGAGTAATCTTACAGTGCATCGTCAATTCATCGCCTGGGTTCGCCGGGACCTGCTCGCCGCCAAGTTGTGTGCCTATTTGTGTCAACATTTCATCCTACATACGAGGTGATCATTGTACATACCCTTCAAAGTACTCGCCCAAGTGCACCATTGTCCGACCTCTGCGCCGCAGTTTCTAGAAGTGAATTAGAAGCAATAATTTAGTCCCTCTCATACGAGAAACTCACGCGTTGGGGTCTGCAAATGAAACAGCCAGTGCCTGAATTAAATCGCCTCCACTTGTGCCCATACCCGCCCATAGAGCAAGACGATCCGCGCTGGGAGAAGGAATATCTGGCAGCACCAAAGTTGTGACGGATTCCCGAATCCAGGAGGAAGAGGACACAGGTCCGAGAGAGAAAGCAGGCCCAAAGCCGACAGTCTCTTGAGCGTTAACAACCTCAAGAATTGCGAGAATGGACGAAATAGTGAGATTTCGAAGGCTAGGCATGACGAAGATTCTGTGAGAACGACGGGAACGTTGGATGGAAGGGTGTAAGTAACTGATGGAAAACGCTCGACGCTTTGGGGGCGCTTGGAGCTTATATTCTCACAAATCGAACCAGCTCAGAGTCTTTCATTTAGCCAAGGAGAAATTGTTCCGGGGTGTTTCTTATTAAATGACTAGGGGTCCAAGGACCTGCGACTCTATGATTCATGTAAAAGTGCCTTAAAAAGCAGAATGTTACGGCTAATACCCTGAGCTTATTCAATTTGCGTATAACTTGAAGATGACCCTATTGTAATTTTATCTTTTCGAAGCAGCCTTTTTTCATTTCTAAATAGTTGGCGGAAGACTAAAGTATAGTTTTCGGCAACCTCTACAGGCCATATTTTCAATAAAAGGGATCCCGAGAACAAATTTGGCAACCCTTGGACTCCCACACTCCTTTAACTCAACCTCTTCACCAACTACCAGGGTCTCAATGAAGGTAAATGCACGTTCAATTGCCTAAATTGTATCACCCTAAGACACATCCGACGCTACGTGTTTCGAATAAGTGGGGTGTCTCGGACTTGAGAGCGGGGCGGTTAGCACTAAGTACAAGTGTAAAACTGAAGACTACAATCAGACTGCTTACAGTACTTGGACAAACTCTTCATAAGGCAGGAACGCTTCGAGCTCCGGACGGTTAGTCCGATTAAAAAATGTTAATAGCCTCACCTGTGGCTATCTACATCACACTCTTCAAAGCACCGAATCCTGTTTGGCCGATAGGCTAGCTATCAATAGCTGCCTTGCAAAAAGTCCTCCAAAAATGCCCACTGTATATTATCCTTTGACTCTCGGTCCCACGCATTGATGGTTTTGGGGAAGAAATCTATCTTTTCAATTAAAGACGCGTCGTGGCCAATAATTACTAGAACATCTTCATTTGCGTCGAATTCGCAAAGCTTCTGGATTGAAAGCTGAGCAGAATCTTTATCCACTGTACAATGCGCTGGCATCTTGTAGTATGGCTTCTCGCAACTCTTCTCGGGGTGGATATCGAGGAAGAAAGACGCTGGACAGGCGCACAAAGCAGCTTGGCCCTCAGGGTCTAAAGGTGAATGTATTGTGGGGCGAAAAGTACCCGGATAATGGCAAATATCCCCGCCAATGAGCACAAATTTATCTCTCTGGCCTTCTGTAGATGAGTTTGTTGCCTGAGACACCCGTGCAAGAGCAGCTAGATGCCCGATTGTATGCCCTGGTGCATCAAGTAGAAAGAAGCTTCCATCCCCAAAGTAATCAAAAGCTGGAAATCCACCAATCAAGAGGCTCTTTGGCCCATGATCGAAAGATATCTCCCGAATTTGATGATTTTTCCACTCTTCGTCAATCAAAGATGATTCGGGATCCACAGGCCACCCGGGCAAATAAGCGTTTTTGAAGCCAGGGCCGACAACGACTTCAGTACTTGGAGGAAACTGACTCAAATCACCCAAATGGTCGAAATGGTGGTGGCTGAAGACTACAGCCTCAATATCGTCTTGGGATAGATGGCCTTCCTTCAGGATTTCCGGAATATCTTTTGTTACTTGCAAGTCCCAGCCAGACTCGGCAAGAAAGTTTCGGACAGCTGGAGGGTGACTTAAGGCATCTTTTCTGAGGCCGAGATCAAACAGAATTTTCCGCTGTGATCCAGAGTGATCAATAAGAAACGAGAAGGATGGAAGGTCGAGATATTGATGTTGCGGTATGTCTGGTGTGAGAAGATGACTGCATGGAAGTCGCATACGTGTGCTTTGATTTAGAGTCAGTGCATGCTCGATCTAATTGAAGCTGTCCGTTCTCAGGCTTCTGCAGTGGAACTGGACAAATTGTGTGTACGCGGGGACCTGAACTACCTGTGAATGACCGAAACCTTCACGGTGGCTGAGCCTCTTGGGATATTGAGAGGACTCTCCATTGGATTAAGATATCTTCAAAATGCCAGCGTTCACTGCACTGGGTGCGACTGCATCAACATCAAGCTCAAGAAATGGGGAGCCCTGATTTAATCACTGTGACTCATTTAGCCTATACGAGGAAATTCAAGTTCAGGCCTTGCTGCCTCAGGCTCTCATACTGTGCGCTCTTGCCAACTATACGGGGATTCCACGACTCGGTTGGCTATAGTCGACTCTTCGATGGAAAGACCGCGATCGATACTCCTCTGAGCAAGAATCTCATCTGGGCAGTCGGGCAGCCGAAGAAAATATATATCGACTTGGAATTCTTGGAGATACTCCCGTTGAGAGAATTCAAGAATGGAATGGTCGAGGTGATCAAGGTGCCTACTACTTCTAGTGAGGAGGAATTATGCGCTCTGGAAGAGCACACTGAGAAAATCATGAATTCGGCTTATCGGGTGCCCCAACCAGGTGAATCTTGACTCAAGAGTATTGAGGATGATCTCATGCCGCATATTTTCGCTGCAGCGCGATAGAAAGCCTCTATCGTGTCAGCCGATGAGCGTGAGGGTGACCTGCGGAATTTGTTGAATTGGGGTCATTCTATCGGTCATGCAATTTAGGCCATACTTACACCGGAGGTTCTTGTTCGATAGTTACCTGATCATGATTATTTAGACGCTCCAACCTCTCGTTAGATCTTAGCTTTATCAACAATCAACACATCCTCAATCTCTCCAATCCTACTGTACCAACGGTTCTGCATGGCGAATGTGTCGCTGTAGGTATGGTTGAAGAGGCTGAACTAACCTGCCACCTGGAAATCCCGGATCATGTCGCCGTCCCCAGAATCACGAAGTGTATCGCAGCATATGGACTACCGGTCTCCTTGGAGGATCCGATAATCACCAATCTGGTAAACGGGAGGCAGTACCCAGTTGAGCAAATTCTCTTCTTCGTTTCATTGGACAAGAATAATGACGGGCCATCGAAGAAGGTTGTGCTACTTTCTGCAGTTGGAAGCACCTACGAGCAGCAGGCGAGTGTGTTCTCCAATGAGAAGATCCTTGACGTTTTTCAAGGCGGAAATTGGATCTGATAATGACGAAGACTTTGTTTGAAGCTACAGAATTCAGGACTGTAAATCACGATTACTTAGAAGAGACACAGATTAGATGTTCGTAATGGTTTTGAGATTCAACTCATGCTATATACATTGTTTTCGTACTGATTAGTATCCATCCACTGCACTCAGGAGACGGGAATAGCTAGCTTTATCCTGCCTTGATTGGAAGTATACACTTCCAGGTTCGCCCAATGCAATACCTTCACCATTTCCTGGTTCATTATTATCATCATGATCATTGTCATCCTCAGATTCCTCATCTGTATCCAAGACAAAGTCTCCAGGACTCAGACGGCTGTAGTTCTTATAACGGTGCCACAGGATGACACCACCTGCAAGCATCACCACGGACAGAACCCCCGATCCAGTAGCGATCAAGATAAAGCCAGTTCTTGATAGCGCCTCGGGTTGATTTAAATCAGGGATCCCGGAGTTAGACTCTCCGTACAAATCCGAGGCAACGGGTAACTCAGCAGTATCTAAGTCCACAACTTCACTCGACCGAAGCACGTTTCCATCGCGATCGATAGCTTCGGCCCATAGATACCGCCAAACCGTCTCCCCAATCATCAACTTCGTCTCAAAGCCAGTCCGTCGTGATTTGGCAAGGATTTCGCCTTTGTTCACCCGCAAATCTCCAGCCGCTCCTCGAATCGCCCAACTGGCAACCTCAGTAGCGCCATTCCAGCTGACGTAGATAACCAACTCCCCCTTCCAATTCTTCCTTGCTGCAATTTCAGGATCCCACCAAGGCGTGGCTGACCAGTCCATCTTGTAGGCGCGATAATTGTCAAGTGCATCAGGGACGTCGAGGCTATGCCACGGCGAGAATTGTACGTCCATGACGGTTTCACCAGTAGCATTGTGCTCTGTAAAAGTCGGGCACCGGCCCCAGCCAACAAACACATTACCAAGGTCATTGAAAGTAGGTGCGAGAACCTGGACGCTACCCTGACTTTGGGCTTGCAGCTTGGACGGGTGTTGGAACTCCTGTAGAAGCCGGACAGTTGGGGGCGAGACTGTGTCGTCGATAGCGATATGCAGGCCACGGGAGCAGTCAGTGTCGCACTCGCCATGTGAGGTCTCCTTGACGTGGTTATCGAACAAGGTCATCTGGGTCTCATTGGTTCCGGGGACAAAGCGAGCATGGTGTTGCCAACGCATTGACAGTGCGGGTTGGGCGGACTCAGCTCCTTTCAGTGGAGGGAGCTCGACAAAGTCATTCTTGTTGCCACCTAACGACCAGATAATTTCGCCCGTTTTTCCGTCAATCAGGATGATAGAGTGGATGTGGCGCATCGAGACAAGGTAGTTTCCAGCCTGAGTCTAAATATCCGCAGCACGTCAGAATTTATTTCACGGCTAATAAAAAGGGACTCGGTAGCTGGGTATCGTCTTACCTTTTCGATGCTATTCAAGTGATAGGCATCCCAGCCCAAACCTCTTCCTTCGTATGAGTCCAAAGGGTTGACGTGGTCGAGAGCGCGCCAGTCAAAAAGTACCTCGTTTGTCTCGAGGTCAATTTCCTGGATAATGCCATCCAGAATTTCGAATTCAAACGGTAAATTCCATCCCTTATAGTTTGCACCTCGAACGCGTATCTTGTTGACTCCCGTGACTAACGCTGTTCCATTTCCCGTGAATGCAAACTCATGGAGGTCGCTATGCACCCTGATATTCTGTGCCGATATTTTGTAGACCAGCCGATAGGTGTCGTCATACGCAAGACCATAGCCGTCTCCGATCCCATCGCCTTTATCTCCTTCCCAAAACGTCAAGTACTTCTTGCCGAAATTCTCCTGTACTCGCGTACCAAAGACATTTTGAAAAGATCGATTCATAAATACAGCACTCAGGTCGTTGGCGTCCAGGATGAGCGGTGATGAGAGGGGCGACGATTCATTACCGTCATGTCGGAGAAATATATGGGAGCCTTCTTTAGATATAGCATCCTGGTCCCATATGTTGACTTGCAGAACGGGCGAATATTCCCTACTTGAGTGGAATTCGAGATGGGGACGGTGGCCGAAGTCGCCATTGTTGTACTTGTGGTAGTTGACCGACACAAAGTCCCCGCGAACCTCCCAAACGAACGCGGCAAGACATACGCAGGCAAGAGAGAGAATCATTTCGGTATGCCTGTGAGAGCTACCGCGACGCGACAAAGAGCTATACTTTTGGGTGCATTATCAACGACAAAATCAAGCCGTGTTAACCGAAAGACGTAGAAAGTATCTATGACTTCCACGTTCGGCGGGAGGGGCGCTTTTGGGGGAGACTAAAAATGCTTGATGGACTATTTTGCGATCATCAGGGCTTGCGTATGCACCACGCCAAGGGCCATCTTAGTCCTCATGGCCACGACTTCCACCGGGGATTGGAGCGGGAAGTGGGGGGGGAAGAGATCGGGTGATGGCATCGGGCGCCAGGTTCATTGCACTTGGAGGAGAAAAGACCAATAGTGACCAGGACGATGCCTGTCACTACATTATGTTGAAACACTCGGTGGTCAAAACACTCATATAGAGGGTTGAATAATATTGAGAACGTGTCCAGGAACTGTAGGGCACGCTCAGAGTCTGCATTTGACTCGTAATCATTGCCAAATTGGGTCAGCTGTGGGGCGGAGGGTGGAGCTCATTCGTTATCTTGCTTCGTATATCTCGGCTACCGGGATAATAGCGTGGCTCGGAGAGTTCTGCGGAGAACAACTAGTTCCTGGCTTGTCGAGCAAAATTAATGGTCCGGGTTGTGGAATAATTTCTATAGAGGGTGGCGATGACGGAAGGAGTGACGAACAATGGAGATATTTGCATCACCACCACATGCGCAATTCCCGCTCCGCTGGATCTTGGCAAGGTCGAGCGTATTCGTTAGTGTCTGGAATAATTATCCACGCGCTAATGGATAGTCCACTCTTTCAGGGGGTCCTTGAACATATTCCATCCATAGTCTGGGGAATTTAATATCCCGTTAGCTTGTTGAATGGAACACCCGGCAGTACTTAAGATAGCCGAGACGATACAAGCTCGTTAACAAGTCCGGCCTAATTTATGAGGGGTAGAAAACTAACTAATACGTTATACTATTTGCGTTTATCAAAAACCATGATTCAATTGCAGGGTTTGGATGCCAATTTAGTACGACTTTGGTAGGCCGAGCACTCTCTCCCCAATATAATTGCATATCATCTCCCGACTGACTGGGGCAATTCGAGGAATCAACACTTCACGCAAATACCTTTCCACATGGTATTCTTTCGCATACCCCATTCCTCCATGCACCATAACCGCTCGCTCACAAGCCTGGAACGCTGCTTCGGCACCCAAATACTTCGCGGCGTTGGCATATTCCCCGGACGAATACCCCTCATCGTATAGCCGCGCGGCATGGTATATCATCAACCTAGCCGCTTCAAGCTTCATCCAGCTGTCAGCCAATGGGTGTTGGATAGCCTGATTTTGTCCAATCGCACGTCCAAATACGTGTCTCTCGCCCGCATAGGTGGCAGCTCGTCGAATGGCAGCATATCCAAGGCCAAGAGCTTCGGCCGCGATCAGAATGCGCTCGGCATTCATCCCATGTAAGATCATTTTGAATCCCTCGTTTTCTTGGCCGACCATATCAGTCGCTGGAACGCGCCAATTATCGAAGAAAAGCGAGTTTGTATCGACAGCCGCGCGGCCCATTTTGGGGATCTCGGTAATTTCCACCACGGATGGATCAAGATCGGTATAGAATAGTGACAGACCCTGTGATGGTTTACTGACTTGATCAAGAGGGGTTGTGCGAACAAGGATCAAAATCTTGTGCGCATTCTGTGCCGTGGAAATCCATATCTTCTGGCCCGACAAGACATAATCATTTCCATCTCTTCGAGCCGTAGACTGTAGTTTCAAGGTATCGAGTCCGGTATTAGGCTCGGTGACGCCGAAACATGCCCTCTCCCGACCTTGAACTAAAGGTTCAAGCCAGCGACGTTTCTGTTCTTCTGTCCCAAATTTGACCACCGGTTCCAGGCCAAAGATATTCATGTGTACAGAAGAAGCAGCGGTCATTCCTCCTCCAGACTCCGACAAAGTCTGCATCATAATTGCAGCTTCAGAGATACCTAAGCCCGACCCCCCAAACTCGGGAGGGATACAGATTCCAAGCCAACCATCATCGGCAAGCTTTCTATGGAGTTCGACGGGAAATTCTTTCTTTTCTTCTTGCCTCAGCCAATACTCATCGGGGTAATTAGCGCAGATTTTGGCGACGGCTTCGCGGACAGTCCTTTGAGAATCTGTAAGGTCGGGATCGTGTGCTTGCAGGTATTCTTTTGCGCGGGCATGAAGGAGTCGCGTTAACCTTTGAGGTTTCCCAAAGAAGCCATGTTGCAACTGAGGTCGTCTACTCCACGATTGAGTCTAGTTGAGTGGGTCAGCTACTCCCCGCATGGTAGCTAGGAGGATAGACAATGTGAACGCACGATCAGTCTGCGCGCCGGATTTGACATTTTCTTTGCTTTCACAAATCTCCAGGGCTCCAGATTTAGTTTTCTTGCGGGACCTCAAATATAGGGAGGATCCTTGGCGGCTATTCGAGTTGATCAATATACTCTCAAATCGTCGGGGAAAAAGGCCGAAAACCCCGCCTGTCGATCGCATGTCGCGCCCGAGGTCCGGACCACGTTGTACATACAGAACAAGTGTGCCCCACTAATTGTGAGCTCAGTGGTGATTCAAATGTTCTTAGAAAGACCATTTGCGGGGAATTGATGTCTGCCAGCCTCGGCGTTTCACTTTGGTTGTCACTTTGTTATAATTTTGGATCTCCTCACAACTGTTTGACCATCCGGGGGATTTCACCACATTAGACGGACTTTTCCATTCGCCATATCTCTGGGCCCTCGGCTTCCATATAACTACACTCGATTCATATAGTCTCTCCAAATTTGGATGCTTAGCGATCGACTACACTGTTGTTTGACCTGCGGTTCTATTTGGGATCGCCAAAATGCAGTTTTTCATTCGCACGTTTACACCACGATCCTCTACGTCGCTGTTCCCTCGATCTACATATTTCTTCCATATACGCCGAATTCACGCCCAGCCTTCTCATAGCCAGGCGGGACCCTTAGCAGGCGTCAAAATTCTCGATTTGTCGCGCGTTCTAGCAGTTAGTTTGCACATATCTTGCCAGAAACCGGCTCTAACGTATCACAGGGCCCATTCTGCACTCAAATCCTAGCCGACTATGGAGCAGATGTGATCAAAGTTGAGCATCCCAAGGGTGGTGTGAGTTTATCCCATCCCCCCTTCCGAGAACAATCCGGCCTCTAGAAGACCATAATTAATTTTTCCACTAGGATGACACTCGTCTCTGGCGCGAGGCAGGAGAGGAGGTTATCTGGAAGCCAAATGCCAAAGATACATCTCTTTACTTTAATACAATAAATCGGAATAAACGCTCGATTTCCCTCAACCTGAAGCATGAGCAAGGGAGAGCTGTGGTTCTTCAGCTAGCAAAGAACGCTGATGTCGTGTGAGTGTTGAGGACTCTGGCACTTTGAAAAATAACACATTTCTCTAACCTTCCTCTCCGATTTTTTAGTGTTGAGAACTTTGTACCAGGCAAGCTCGAAAGTCTAGGTCTCGGATATGAAGTCTTGAAGAAGGCCAATCCCTCTCTCATCTTAGCAAGTATTTCCGGTACGTACTGCTCAATACCCTGCCCTTGTCACAATTTACAGAAAGACTGAGTCATCGCAGGCTACGGTGCCGATGGCCCTTATTCTCAACGTGCAGGATACGATGTCATAGGCGCTGCCGAAGGCGGACTGCTTCACGTCACAGGCGAAGGAGACGGTCCACCCACCAAGCCAGGGGTCGGTATCATAGACATGTGCACAGGTCTTTATCTCCATGGTGCAATTGCATCCGCACTGCTTGCTCGGGAGAAAACCGGTCTCGGTCAGAAGATTGATACATCACTGTTTGAGACTACAATCTCCATTTTGGCAAACGTGGGCATGGCCTGGTTAAATCTCGCCCAGGAAGCACAGCGATGGGGCACGGGGCATCCGACAATTGTACCCTATGAGGCATTCACGACGAAAGATGCGTATATTGTTGTTGGTGCAGTTAATGATAGACAGTTTCATGTCTTGTGCGACCGGCTGGGGAACGCCGATTTGGCCCAAGATCCTCGGTTCGTGAACAATAAATTGAGAATTGAACATCGAAAGGACTTAAAGCGCATCCTAGATGAAGAATTCGCTTCCAACACGACCGCGTACTGGGAAGATAAGTTTGAGGGCAGTGGATTACCTTACGGTCCGATCAATAATATGGAGAAAGTGTTTTCGCACCCCCAAGCTATTGCCAGGAATATGATTGAGACCGTCGAGCAAGATTCAGCCGTATCGGGGAAGATACAAGTTCTTGGTAAGTTCCAAACGACTTCTTCAGTTCTCACGCGAATCAATTACTAATTCAGTCTTTCAAACAGGTATGCCAGTCAAATTCAGCGAGTCTAAGACTTCAATCAGACGTGCTCCACCGGCTCTAGGAGAGCACACGGATAATGTACTACAGGAGCTTGGCGTGTCCACTACTACTATCTCTAATCTTCGAAAGAATGGGGTTATATAGGATTTCCAGTCCAAATTTGAAGAGTATTGTCATTTATTATTAGCCGATGTCAGACAGCATCCACTGGCATCAATCCGTGACAATATAGAATGATCAAAACCAATCCTGTGAGAACCCTCTCAAGACTTCATGTGTCTCCACAAAGTTGCTCCTATGTATTGAATTCTGCATTTCCTGGAAAACCTGTTGGAAATCCACGATCGGATCAAACTCATTGAGAGAGTTGAATGGATATTCGTCGAGACCTCCGTTTGTGTCTGGGAAGTAAAGACTGTCTGTTACTTGATGGGCATTGACAGTCGCACCATGTTTGTTTTCAGTCGTCGTAGCCTCTGGCAATCGCGGGGACAGATTCCGCTCCACTATTCCCTCTTGTGGAGAATTCAAATTTTCGTGACTCTGCAGGAAACTCACAGCAGCTAGTCCCTTCAACGCACTCATGCTGAGTATGTTAAAAATATCACATGAAGAGCGCGCATCATTCCATCTCTCACAGAAAGCAGTCAATAAATTCGAGCAATCACGAGAATCAGAAATAGCATCCCAGTATGACGGCACGAACGCCGCAATACCTCGTCGTTTCCTCTGTGCACAGCAACCCACACAGTACACATTTGCCAGACCAGCCATGAAGATCATGTATAGGCAGGACCATGAGTAATTCAAGTGACGAGCGCGCAAAAGCTCGAGGTAATTAGCCAGCACCTGACGAGATGAATTCCACAGAATGAGTAGAGCGTCGTCAATGTCTTCATCTTCGTCCAGTCCTTGCATGGCCGGGAATGTGGCCGATGGGCGGAATAGCATCAAACAGCCGCTGTGGTATAAAGCATGATACCAGTTGACATGAAAGAATGCAGAGGGAAGGTTGGATGTGGCATCTCCTGTCGGTAAGGCAAGGAGCTCTAGGTCATCTTTCCAAGATTGGAGTTGATTGTAAAGATCCCTTCGAATCAGCTGTCTCTCACGCAGGGATAATGATTGTGTGGATCGGCTCGTGTACATGGACTGGTGGATTTTGGCTTGGATCATGCGTAATCTAATATGATGTAGAAAAGGAGAGGTCTTCCGTTTGGATTCTAGCGATGCGTCCAGTTTATCGAGCGACGCATCATCTAGCTCTGACGGTAAAGGTACGTGGATATCATCGTCGTAAAGTGCAAGTGGTCTGCCAAGAGAGACGGTCACAATTCTGCTACTATTAGCAATGATATTTGACTGATATCGCAGAAACCCACCTTTCCAAATTATAATAGCACCAAAAACAGCGTCTTTGCATTTCCAACAGCAAAGAAGCAGGTATTTGGCCTGTGAGATGAACTTCGCACCTCTTCGGAAGAGTCGCGACGTCATTATGCAGCCCAAGCTCCACGCATATTCGAGTTGCCTTGCCTAGTATCTCCCACATATCTCTAGACGTATCACGAAGACTGGCATGAATTCCATATTTGCAATAGAGGAGAAGTGCCTGCAAAAATCGAATATCTCGAAGTTTGGAAATGTCGTCTAGCCGCGACAAAGCTCTGGCAAAATGAGACTCGGTATCACCAAAAGGTGATGCCTTTTTGGAGGAGACAGATCCCAAAGCCAACACCATATCAAAAGCCAATGCTTTCGTGGGGCTTTGATGGTATACATCGGGACTGTTGTAAATTTCCTTCATCATACTCATGAAACCGGGTCGATAAAGTAGTGGAAATGTCACATGCCAGTGCTCGAAGTAAGAATCAACCAAAGGCATAGCCAACTCCCTATCGACAAGCCGTGCGGCAGTGACAACAGGTAATGATCGCTTTTCGGATGTAGCACGGCTATTTACGAGTCGATCGAATAGCCCGCCCGTAGCAGAGGTCTCGACAATGCGTTCAACAACATCCACAAAACCTACCCCATTGCTAGATCCAAGATATCGAGTTTCTTCACATGGTGTGCGCTGTATCTTATCCATGGATATCGCTGTAGAATGCAAGACTTGATGGCCTGATTGATTCCGCTTCACTGATTCGGGGAGACCTTCACCAGGATGAACAGAATTAACATCGTCTTGCAGAACATCGCCAGGACCAACATCGGAAGGCGACTGCTGATTTGCTTGTTGTTTTTCTCGCTCCAATTCTTGAAGGCGCAATTCAACTGAATTGAGATACTCCTGCTGACGCTGACGATCTCGGCGTTTATCGGGGTATCGGCATGAGGCGCCAGTTTTGACACACGAAGTACAGTTTGGAGTTCGTCGGTCACATCTTGTCTTACGAGAGTAGCAGCGCTGACATGCAGGCATTGTGCTCACTGCATATATAGCGGGATCGCCGGTGTTAAATAAGGTTGATGTGGTGGTAGCTGATGGGTAAGAAGAGGGTGTTAGCCTCGGCCAAATCCAAGTGGAAATGCGGAGAAGCTACGTGAGAGGTTAGTGGAGGCAACCTCGATCTGTGCCCCCGATTAAGCTCGTAACGCAGCTCGGGGCCACAGGCATCAAGAATTAAATATTTCGCAATCTGCCTTTGAGCCCAGGAAATTTGGTGTCTATCATGAAGTTAGAAGAGCCTAAAGGCGTGAGTTGATCTTCTTCAGTATCCATCAATCAGTCACGTGATTGGGTGTATTTAGATCCTCCGCCGAGGCAGAGTCGGTCAACTATTGTCTTTTAAACAGAACATTTACATACAAATCAATTCTAGATTTGCATCCACATATATATATGCCCTTCTCAAGCTCCTACAAGTGGGTAGCAACCCAGGACATAAAGAAAATACCGTTCCAACTCCCGAGTAAGCAGTGCCTAGCACTAATCTATAAAAAGCGCAAGATCACTACCAATCAAAGACCGCCCTGACGCAGTTCAACATGAAAATTAGTGTCCCAGGCTCGTATCGTTTAATCTCCGCGGACTTAGTGACGTGTCTAACAGCTACGAGAATGTTGGGGTCTCCAAGAAACCCCCATGTTTCCCAAACTCTCAAGAAACTCCCCCAGGACTGACGTAGGAACTTCGGCTAAACAATTCAGGACGGGGTGACACGATATGCTAGGTTCTATTGGCCGAACTAGTTTCCCGAGACCCCCTATCTCCTCGTTTTCCCCCTCGAAACTACTGTACTCCGGAGTGAATTTTGCAAATCCCGCGTGGAAAGTTCGGGGACAGTCACGGGACTGCCGGGAAGTTCCCGGCAGGTGACCGAACGAAACCCCCACGGGAACCCGCAAAATTCCATCCAGAACCCATCGTCCGACCCGTTGGGCTCGGCAGAGAATGGGTTGAACAGCTCCCCATTTCACTAGGTTTGGCCATTATTTTCGAAAGATGAGCTGAGATTCTAATCGTCTTCTCCAGGACAATGCTAGCTATGGCTCATTCCCTGAAATCCCGAGGGCAGTGCAAATCCCACTGCTCTCAACCTTCGCAAGAGCAACCCGACTCCCCAAGCACAGTGCCGGGCCGATTGGCGAATCAGAACTCCCACTGCGGCCTGGCCGGGGAGCCCGACTCCGCCGGAAACCCCTGCAACCGAAAGAAAAACCTGCCGTGGCGCCTCCCGACCACCAAACAGGCCATAGGCCAAGAGCCAATTTTCCATTCCCCACCAACAAAAACCCCCCGCAACTGACGAGAATTTTAGCGTGGGGGTTCCCTGGGGTTTTGCACGCAACCGGAGGCGAGTGGGGTTGGGGAATGGGCAAAGAGAAAAAGGGAAACCCCCCCCTTCGATCGATTTCTTTTCTTTCTTCTCGGTGTGAGAATCCGGCCTGGTTGCTTAGAGAAACTCCCCAAGCATAGTATATACCACAATGGCGGACGATATCTCACGAAACAACAACGACCGCATCCAGGTTGAGATTGAGAAGGAGCGCATCGAAAATCTCGAACATGTGGCCGAGCAGCCGAATGTCGTGCCTCATATCGACCCGGCTCGTCGAGCCGTCGTCGAGAAGAGCCTCAAGCGTAAGCTAGATGCTCGATGCAGTCTGTTCGTGTTGATCTATATCATGAACTACCTCGATCGAAACAACATCTCGGCGGCCCGTCTGAAGGGTCTGCAGGAGGATCTCAACCTCACGGATACTCAGTACTCAACCTGTCTGAGCATCCTCTATGTGGGGTATATCCTCATGCAGGTCCCGTCGAATATGTTCATCAACCGTATTCAGCGGCCCTCCCTTTACATCGCCATTGCGATGACTCTCTGGGGTCTGATCTCCACATGCTCGGGTCTGGCAGGCAACTTTGGCCACATGGTGGCTATTCGTTTCCTGCTGGGTTTCGTCGAGGCTGCCTTCTTGCCCGGTGCCCTTCTTATTCTCTCCAAGTGGTACACCCGCCGAGAGTTGACTACCCGGAACGCCATCCTGTTCTGTGGTAACCTGATCTCCAACGCCTTCTCGTCGCTCGTCGCCGCGGGTGTCCTGTCCAACATGGACGGTGTCCTGGGCCATGCCGCGTGGCGCTGGCTCTTCTGGATCGAGGGTGCTATCACCATGACCATTGCCATCTCTGCTGCCTTCATCTTGCCCGATCTACCCACCAACTCCCGCGGTTTCACCGAGGAGGAGCTTCTGGTTGCGCAGCTTCGCATTATGGAGGACGTTGGCGAGGCCGATACCGACTCTGAGGAGCAGAGTCCCTTCAGTGGTCTCATCATGGCTCTGAAGGATTTCAAGATCTACCTGATGATGCTGGCCTTCACCGCGTACGTCGTTGGACTGTCTTTCAACGCCTTCTTCGTAAGTATTCAGCTGGCCCAGCTACAAGCGACTGTTGCAGATACTAACTACTTCTACCAACAGCCCACTCTTACTGGTACCCTTGGCTTTGCCTACGTTCCCACTCTCCTCATGAGTGCTCCCCCATGGGTCTTCTCCTGCATTTTCTCCGTGATCAATGCCTGGCACGCCGACAGAACCCAAGAAAAGGTCAGTCCACCACTGATATTCCCACCAAATCCACTTCACCAACTAACCCGTCCCAGATCTGGCACATCTACGGCCCCATTTTCATGGGTCTCGTCGGCTTCATCATCAGCATGTCCACCCTAAACGTAGCAGCCCGCTACATCGCCCTCTTCCTCCAAGCCGGCTCCTACGCCGGCTTCATCGTCTTCTACTCCTGGATCAGCTCCTCCTTCCCCCGACCCCCCGCCAAGCGCGCCGTCGCACTAGCCCTGATCAACGCATTCAGTCAACTCGGCAACGTCGCCGGCTCGTACGTGTGGGATCTCAAAGAAAACGGATACCGCAAGAGCTACGGCATCGTCACTGCCATGTACGGTATTACCATCATCGGCTTCTGGATCTTCCGCATGATCCTGGTTAATCTGAACAAGAAGCTTGAGCAGAAGGAGGCGGAGTGGGATGCTGAGCATACCGAGCAGCAGACTGGGGATGCGGTGTTTATGGAGAGTGCGGATGAGTCGTTGCGCATGCGTAAGGGCTTCAGATATCTGGTTTAAAGTGCTGGATTGCTTGGATCAGATAGTTATGACTGTCATCATGCCTAGGGGTATGGGGCGGATTTGTATGAACAGTTGGCATTTGGCCTTGTTGCGTGGGTGGATAATCCCATTGCAAATTTGGATATAGTATATGCGAATCAACGCGACATGAAATGAACATTCTTCTTTTTAAAGCTATTAATTTTGCCCCATATTGAAGGGCCAGAGTAGATTGCAGCACATCTGGCTCCGAATACGCACTCAAGGAGTCCGTCGGACTGACCATGACATTACTATGGATATCCATCAGCCGTGGAAGTACACAAAACAAGCCCATTCACGATACCCCTCCAACTCACAGACTAGGAGCAATATTCCTAATAAACTCATTTCGAATCCTCTGCGGATCCCAAGATCCATCCACAGGAACCAAGACACGAGTGACACTTTTGCCAATTAGCGCTCGTATCTGCCTAATCCTTGACTGACTGTTTACCTGTACCTGCAAATTCTGGTGCCGAGAGTCAACCGATGTTAGGCGTTGACGGTCCAGTCGGAAGATCTCAGTCATGAGGAGGGTTCTGTGGCCGCCGTTTTCGGGCAGGGATGAGAGTTTCTCGTCTGTGAGATTTTTGATAAAGGATGTCAGCAGTCGTTTGGCTTTACTCGGCATTTTTGTTTAGATGAGCAGGTTAGTTAGTCAGTGGACAGGTGAGTTTTGGATTGGAATGAGTAGTACTTTATTTATATTCTATGATCATAGTAAAAGGAAGCGGAGAACCATGATTGTTTCAACGAATTGATGATTTCCAAGACAGTGACTGTCATGGGTTCTTTGAGAATAAAGTCCTGCTATGCACAACAATCCACCATTGTCATCCAGACTGGAACAATCATTGTTGACAAGATTATAGGTTAATCCCATGCTTCGTTCTTCAACCCTTTGGCTATGCAAGGTTATATTCTGGTTAGCGTTATAATGCCCTGGTCTTGTCTTGGGAGTCTTAACAAAGGGATTGTGCCTGGAAACAATAGGAGATCGCCCAGGCAGGCCACCACTGTGCTTAATCAGTCCAAACTGCATTGGAACTAATTTGCCAAGCCTCCTGATGTTTAGTCTTCTGATGTTTAATCTAGATCCAGACTTGTGTCTGATTAAAAGAGTCCTTTCTTCGTCGCATCCTCGCGACTAGCAGCATTACCAAGTCAAGAATTAGTAAATCCACGAACAATTATCTGGCCATGTGGCTCTTATTCTGACAACCTCATTGTTCAAATAATTTTAGGCCTGAATTAATACTTCCTCGATCACAGCACGGAGCGTTCCTCATAGTGTGTCAACACCCATGAACCCGAGAACTTCAGAAATATATAGTTCCGGTTGCACTACCCTTCCACACCTACCCAGTATCCCCAAGTAACCAATTCCTCCTTTATTAACTTGCAGGCCCTAAATTAGGTAAATATCTAGGTACCTATGCCTATTTATCTCTGATGGAAATTTCCCCGACGATCTGATCATGTACACATCGCCACCGTTAAACCATGTCCACATCTTGAAAAGGGTAATAGATCATAAATCAGAGCCACTTGCATCCTAATTGGGCAATCTGGCCGAGCGGTCTAAGGCGTCAGACTCAAGAGAGATTTCCTCTTCTGCTAAGATTACTTGGCAGAGTATTCTGATCCTCGTACGAGGGCAAGGGTTCGAATCCCTTGGTTGTCAAATCTTTTTGATTTTTTGTTGTTGGTCACAATCGTGCTTTTTGATGCAAGGTAGTAAAAAAGAAAAGAATAGCGAAAGAATGGCTATGAAGTGAGCAGTCATTTTTCTAACCCGAGATTCTGTTTGAAATTATGGAAATACCAGGACGCAAGGGATGCGCATTCCTGAGGCCGTCGGGAAGGTGCGAACTGGGAACAAACAGGACAAACAAGGCAACAGGAGATGGTCACATGACCATATACGTACATCTATATACTCTTGCTACTCATCAACTCGCATGTCTATTTTCAAAACAAATAGAGAAACTAACATCTGAATCAATAGGCGAAGACTGATTTTGAACCTAGCGTGGAAAGCCTTTACGATCTATACGCTACAATGGACTACTATACTACCAGCTATAAAACTTTCGAAAAAGAGCATACCTTCTACCATGCCTCATACTATATTAAGCTTAAACCAAGATAACCAAACCATACCAATTACACCATCCCCAAACCCCATCCCTTCCCTCCATCCTACAACCCAGCCAACCCCCTAAAAGCCTTAACCAAATCTCCCCTCAAATCCTCCCAATTCTCCAACCCAACACTAACCCTCAACAACCTCCGATCAACAGTAGCATCCGACATAGTCCTCCACTCAATAAGCGTCTCAACCCCACCCAAACTAGTCGCATGCTGGAAATAATGCAACCGACTCGGCAACTCCCTCGCCCACGCCTCATCCTTCATCGTAATCGAAAACACAGGCCCAAATCCATTCGGCATCTGCTTGGCTAACCAGTCCCCCTCCGTCTCCTGCACGGAAGCATGGAAGACCTCTTCCAGGACAGTCTGCACGGCAGCCTCGTCCGAGCCAGGCGCCGGGTTTGGCGCGTGTAGCGCGGAGTGGAGCCACGAGACCAGACGAGAAGTATTCTCGCTTTGACGCTGGACGCGGACTTCCAGTGTGCGCAGACTGCGCACGCCGAGCCAGGATTCCATATTACCCATCACCGAGCCGAGGAAGATACGATCTTGGAAAAGCTGGGTAGCCCAATCATCGCGCTGGGTCGCGAGAACACCGCACAGCACATCGCTATGACCGCCGAAATACTTCGAGCCAGAATGCATGACCAAGTCCGCGCCGAACAGGAACGGATCCTGCAAACCGGGCGGGGCGAATGTACTATCGACGATGAGGAATGCGCCACGGGAGTGTGCTTTCTCCGCGTAGGCGGCGATGTCGAAGGCCGTTCCTTTAGGGTTGACGGGTGTTTCGAGGAGGATTACGTCTCCCTTTTCGAGAAGGGTGGGGTCGCAGTTCAGGTCTAGTTTTGCCAGGCCTGTTAGGCGGGTGAAGAGGGCGATTACGCCGTGGCAGCCGTGGTAGCCTTCGCCGACGGAGATGCGGCGTGGGTTTAGGAGGGTGAGGGCTGCGTGGAGGGCGGAGAGGCCGGAGGAGTAGGAGATTGCTTTGCCGTTTAGGAGGGAGGTGAGGATTGTTTCGAAGCGGGTTGGGTTGGGACAGGAGACTCGGGAGTAGATGTGGTTTGTGGGATCGATGTCGGACTACAGAGAGCGAAGAGAAGAGGGAGGCATGATTAGACGGTTGACAATGCCATTGACAATGTAGAATAGCTAGGGTATGTAGGGAGGTAGGAAGCTAGGGGAGCTAGGGCATGGAAGGGTAGAAAAGGTGAACATTGAACAATGCGTACACTGTTGAGATCCGCCGCAGGAATAAGAGCAGAGGGATCGTCGGAGTAGCGGAAAGTGGTGGACAGGTGCATCGGAGGAGCCACATCGGACACGACATTGAGCACGTCGTCCGCGTGCAGAGAGCGGGTAGAAGTGCCAATGTTATGCGACATGGTTATGCTATGTAAACAGAAGAGGGGGAATTGTATGCACAGGAAGATAAGAAGGAAGAGAAAAGAAAAGAAAAGGAAAGGAAAAAGGTACCCGGCAAAGTTATAATACAAACAGAAAGTGACTCAAAAGAGGCCGAGAGGAAGGGAAAAAGAGGGGCAAGGCACGCAATCAGGTCACGTGGTGTGGGGGGAATATGCTGCCGGAGTGAAGTCCGACATTTGTATGGGACCATTGACTGTTGGGTATCATGCATGATCGAAATAAAAAAGAAGATCGAAGGGAAAAGAGAGTCGTTGACTATCGACGAAGTGATCCCATTCGTGATGGCTCACGGACAGATCCGGGCAAGGCGACCTTGAAGTTGGTGCGGTCTAAGGTATGGTTAGCACAGAACACAAGATACAAGATCTATCAAGCAAGAATAATCACGAAATACTTACCAAGTTCCTTGTCGAACGTAATGGTAATATCGTCATGTTCGATCGGATACTCGGGCATATCCAAGCACACAAAGTCAGACCCCGGATCCTCATCTTTGTTTGGTAGCGCAAACTTAGCATCCACAATGCGAATACCAAACTTGCCAGATCGGCCAAAGGATTCGATGTGGTCGGTGCTCTTGAGAACAAAGTTCATGCAGGTGCCATGCTGGAAATCGCCGAAGAAGGCGATGAGTTGGGTAGTCTTTTCTTGGCGCACAATCTGAATGCGTGCTAAACTGGCTTCCCATTTCTTGTAGATGGGAACGACCATGCGTCGGCGGGAGATGGTGAAGGAGGAGGCGATTCTGATCTTGTTAGCTCGGTGTCAAATTGAGCAGCGGAGTATTTGCACTCACCCATCGTAGATAACCTTGAATCCAGTCACGGCTTCTTCAAATCCATGGAGATCTAAAAGACATCATCAGCAAACTGAACATCAACCCATACGAAGCACGACATACCCTGCATAGAAGCAAACTCAAACCGACGAACCATCGGCTTAGCCGTTGCCTTTTCCAAAAACTCCGAAACCTGGTCCGGCATCTCGGGTCGAATCAGGTTATCCGCCAGCGAGACCGTCAGATCCTGCTGTGCCGGACGGTACAAACTCATGCCGGTGGTTCGATTCACATCCAGCCCGAGCTTGAGTTCACCAGGTCCTGCAAGAAGAATATGTAAGCATGAATCCAGATCCCATACCAAAGGGCCATCCAAGCACGGGAATGTCGTCTTACCTAAGTTGATACGGTCTGTAACCGACCCCCACTCCGTAGCGATAAACGCCCTCAAATTTTCTGACAAAATGGTTGGACCATAGCCATGGTCAACAAAGGCATGTTCTTGGTCGATCACCGTCGCAGTGCCGGCAGGGAATTGGAGATGAGTAGTAGGAGCGCGGCCACCAGCGGCGTCTCCCGGCTCCTCGATTGCATACGAGCGGAATTGGAATTCTCGTGTCTTCGTCTCGCTCTCGCGTGGCACCATACTCAACAGGACGGAATGAATCTTGGTACGCTCCTCCACCTCGTGGAAAGTCATCAACATGGACCGCGTGCGGCCATCTTCCGTGACCTTCAAAAGAAGGGCAGGGCTACCGTCTTCACCACGCAACAGACCAAACACCACCGGTGTGCCATATCCCAGGATGTGCTTGACATTACTGAGAGTCTTCACCTTGGGACTAGTCAGCACGGTAAGACGGAACCCGCGATGGGCGTTTCGCGAGCCAGTACCCTCCGTCACGGTGACTTGTCGTTCAAATAGACGAATCCGACAACGCTCCATCGGGTCCGCAGGGAATGCCTTTGGTGTCCCGGTGTCCATGTACTGGAAAACCTTGAGGGTATTCTCAAAGACGACTGTTTCACCCGCCTCGGGAGACAGACTCGCCTCTGACTTTTGCGTGTATCTGACAATGTTCCAGAGCGTCTTGAAATCATCTTCCTTAAACATGACATCGAGCTCAAACCCACGGGGCAGCTTAACGCGCATTGAGTTACTCCGCACTTGCCATTCCACATCATCCCAGGTAGGACCCTGCTTGCGGTCGCATTGAATCATGACGTTGACGAGTTGGCTTTGGCTGGTAATCGCAGCGAACACGTACCAGTCAGATCTCTCACGGATAATCGTCAACGCGCACGGCATGGCGTATTGTTGGCCTTCGTCATCCCTCGAACTCACACACGCTTGCACAAACATGCTGCCGTAGCTGAAGAAGCGATTGTTATCTCCCAGAGGCATCATGTTCGCCATACTCGGCGTCTTGCCCGGCGCATCGGCCAACATGGATCGCGACGCACTACCAGACAAAACGGCGGACACATCTGGCGCAAAGAAGGGGTATCGAAGCCAGATGCTGGTATCCAGCTGGCTGGGCGAGTGTTCATCATCAGCCAGGATAGCAGTGAGAATGCTGTTACGCTTAATGGACATGGAGAGGGAACGAAGGTGGTTGAGGATGGTCTGGTGGAGGCTAAGTAGATCAACCAACTCCTTATCACCCGTGGTACTAGCCACCGCCAGGAGAGCGTCAATACCCATGGAGCCGTACCGAGAGAGCTCGTAATGCCCAGGAACTATCTTCTCATTGATCCACAGGGCTTTGCCCAAGTCGACAACCGCCTGTTTGGCGTAGCTCACGGGCGCCGTATTACGAGAGCGCGCATAAGATTCCAGTCGAGTCTTGCCGCGCAGGAACCACCAAACTGCGGCCCGGATCCATTCGGTAAGAGACGTCTCCACGAGCGGCTTGACTTTCTCAGCAGCCATGTTAAAGAAACTGTCGTATCTGGCGATGTACTCCTTGAATTCGCTGAATGCAGTGTCGCCGACCTGATTGGCAACTGATCGCAGAGAAAATTTAGGAGGCTGAGGGCTTCGAGACGGTTCCCGACTGGATCCGGTAGACGGAGAAGCGAGCTGATTCATGGATGGAGGCTGGGGGCTGCGTGGAAGTTCTCGTGTCGATGGAGATGCCACCTGGTTTACAGAAGGCGCTGGTTGGGGCTCATGCATGGAGACCCTGGGAACCCCAGACGAGGGTCTTCCGGGGCTTCCAGGTGTGAGATTGGGAGGTAGACGCGGGTCGATGGGGCTGAGGTTTGGTTGAGCGCGATGAGCAACCGGGCTGGGAGCGTTACGAATCGATTGCACGATTGACTTGACAGAAGGAGCGGTAGCCGAATAAGGCGGAGTCTCGTAGAGTGAATCGTACACAGACTCATTGGGGCTTCTTGGGCTGTGCGATGGAGGTACTTCGGGACTCGAGATATCGGTCTCGTCATCCGCCGGGGATGAGATATCGTCGTCGAATCGGTGCTTTTGCAGCGCACGACCTTCCTCCGCCTGCATCTGATCCCGAACACGCTCTGCGACCGAATGGGAGTCGGGCGACGATCCTCGGAAGGAGAGACGGGACCCGGGTTTCTCAAGGTGCAAGGTGCTGAGGAAGTCCGCATCCCGTTGCTCGTGCATGAGGGGCGGCTTCCATGTCGAATTAGGACTCATCCCACCCCGCTGTTCCTGCGGGGTCCCAGCCCGGCGTGATCGCGGCTCACCATCGCCCAGCGAGGTGTTGACGGTCAATGCTGGCAAGTGCGAGCGCGACGGGTTTGGCGAGCGTGAGGGGGCTCTTTTAAGCTGTTGCTCCGCCGCCTGTCTGTCGCGCGACCGTTTGCGCGAGAACGAAATCTCGATCGTAGGGGTATCTGTCTCGTCGCCGCCTTCGCCAATGACTTCCGGAGCCTTGTCGCAGAATCCCACGCGGAGACCCTTGCCCTTGCGGGGTTTATGGAGGTTCGTCGGGGGCTGGGGTAGTTCCCGTGCTTGGGGAGGCTCCCGCGGTTGGGGAGGTTCCCGGGGCTCGGGTGGTGGTGGTGCAGGGTTGGTGAAGTTGAAGGCGCCATAGCTGTCGTTCAGGGGTGATGGGATAGAGGGAGCAGGAATCTGGGCGACATCGTGCGAGGGAATCTGGCGTGTTGAGACGGTAGGCGGGACATCTCTCGGGTCTGCCTTGGTAGCAGCAAAGTTGTCTGGGATGGGACGATTGGAAGCAAGGAAATCTTGAATCTGCTGGTCGGGTGTCGAACGGTCTTTCTTGTCTTTGGAGAATAGCTTGCCTCTCCAGTGAGGCTTCTTTTCCTTGACAGGCTTGGGCTGCTCGGCAGCCAGGAACGAGAACGGATCATCAGCAGGCATGTCGATAGAGGGTGAAGGTTAGGGCGCGAAAGCAGAGAGACTAGATGTCAACATTGCACGCCCAGGCGCGATCAATTCAACGAGTGGTTGACAAGGAAACCAGTCCTCATCGAAATGTTGCGGGCGACTGCGAGTCCGGTGATAGTTTCCCCCTCTCCTTGGAGATCAAGTCCCGTTCGGTACAATCAGCACGCGACCAGGCGTGAAACGGGAATCCACCAGGTTGAGGACTGATGGAAAGGTGTTCTTGATTTCGGAGCCAGCTCAACCTGCGCCGAGGAAGGTGTTGGAGAGTTGGTGAGGAGGAAGTGTTGCGCGGCGCAAAATAGCGGGGAAGGGGGGGGAAGGAGGAGGAGAGAAGGAGGGCCGGCGGGTGGAAAGTGGGATACTTTCTGGATAGACAGGGGAGTATACAAAACACACCACCACACAAACCACCTTGAATAAAGCGCCTATTGGATCCTCGAGGTAAAGAAAAAGAAAGAAAAGAAGAGAAGAAAGAGATCAGCGCAGGAAGGAGGGGCGAAAGGGTAGCGCCCGTGCCCCGACGAACCAACTAAACTAGGAACAGCTGGACGAAACAATGTGTTAGTTTGGGGAGATACACAGGTATAGTTGTGGTGGTGGAGACTGAATCATCCAAGAAAGAGAGGGCCGGCTATCTTAGTGTATAATAGGGGGGGGGAAGTAGTGGTAGGGTAAGGGGTATGAACTTACTTTGGGAGGTTTAAACTTGGGGGAGAGACACCTGACGAGCGAACCTAGGGGGAAAGAAGATTGACAAGAGAGCTGGGCCAGCAGCCGTGAGATGCGAGAGA